GAGGAAATGAAATTGAAATTGTATGAGGAATGTAATGATAAATTGAAATTACTTTAAGATGAAAATAAAAGATTATAATAAATTCTAAATGATTCAGAATTGAATTAAAATGATTTAAATAGTCTTTAAGAAAAGGTATTAAAATAATAATGATTTTAATAGATATAAGTAATAAGGTAAGATAATGAAAGAATGATGAGATAACTAAAATATAAATAATGATTTATATGTAATATATTAGTAGATTGTATGTTGTTTTTGTTTAATTTACTTTAGTTTATTTTAGCTTATTTTAGCTTAATATAGTTTTGTTGTATAATAATTATATAATATAATTTCCTTAAAAAAAAAGATGGATGATGCATATTCGCGATAAGCCTCAACTCCAGCAGATCGGAAGAGTACGTTAGAATCAATGCGAAATGAAAACATGAACTTTGTTGAGTAATCTTAATTAGATAGTCTATAGCTCAAACGATGTGATAGTGGAGTATTACAAAAATCAGTAGAAAAATTTATTATGGCTAGATAAGTGAGCGGATTGGATAGATATTTCTTAGAAATTGAATAGTGGCTCGATGAAGATAAAACATTACATACTAATACTCCATTGGTCCTAGAAGCCGATGATGGAATTGGAAAGAAAACGCTCTTGGTAAAATGGATGGAATATCATGCCAGAAATAAAAAAGGAGTAAGAGTAATGTAATTAATAGCGATATCCTGATTTCATCATTCCTCATTTTGCCACTTAGTCAGGAAAAAATAGCAATTATTATTATGCAATATATAGAATCCTTATAAAATTAAGAGAAGCTTTGAATATTAAATAAAAAGTGGAGCTCTTGGAAGAGAAATTGAGACGTTACTTTTAATATTGGTTAGAAATATGTAGTAGACAATTAGAACAGCAAATTATTAATGGAGCAGAAATAATCTATGATAAAGTATTTCTATTTATTTATCACATAGGTAATCCTAGTATTTGAAGGTATCGATAACTTTAGAGAAATCTTGGATATGCATAGAGAAGCTAACGTTAATTTTTGGTTGCCTAAATATTTTCCAACAAATATTAAAGTTATTGTAACTGCTGAAAGACAATCATCTTCAATGCGATTACTTAAACCTGATTGTTAAGTCATTCCTATTGTGTCTGATAAAGCATATATGAAATAGATGGTAAATAATCATTTGGGCAAGAATTTATTTATTTAAGTAAATATCAATTATTCTTATATCTTATAGAAATTTGATCAAATTTTAGATATCTTCATTTAACTTAATTATAGAGTTAGAAATCAACCATTATTTGTAAGATCCTATTTTTCTGTATTTGTACCTTATCCAACAGATGGAGTAGTTGAAGAACATGAAATAGATATATAATTGATTGAAAATATCCTGGACCCATTAAATCTTGATCACTTTAAGAAAATGAAAGTTGTTGAAGATCTATTTCAATTTTAATTAGAATATTTCTCTAAAGTATAATTGCTTGATAAAGATAAATTTTAAAATGTACTTCTTGTCTTAGCCTTAACATAAAAAGGATTGACATATCCAGAAATAGAATCTGTTTGTGATATCACATAATAGGAATGGAAAAGATTTCTTGTGTTCTTTAAGGTTTACATAATGAAACATAGAGATTTATGGTTAATACATAATGAAATATTTAAAAAAGTGGTCATTAATCAATATTATTAAGATGTAAATAGTATTTTGGAACTTCATGATAAAATTGCAGCAACTATTGACAAGATAACTCCAAACTCAATTAGAAAATTAGAAGAATAAACATTTTAATTGTTTAGTGCAAAAAATTACTTTGCTCTCAAAGAAGTTATTAGTATTATTGAGAATTTCTTACTTTTGTTTAATCCCTCTAATAAATATGATTTGTGTAGATATTGGCAATCCTTAGAGGAGAATGGATTTGACCCAGTATTAGAATATAATAAAGCTGTTGAAGGTTTTCAAATACACTATCACCCAAATGCAGAGGATATGTTTAGAATCATTATTTAGATATCTAGATTTTTAAAGGAATTTGGTGATTTTGAAACTAAAAATACACCTGTCTTTAGACATCCTCCTATAATTGGAATACTTAGTGATTTATATGATATTGGATTATTGTATGAAATATTAAAATTGGATCTCTATTATGATAAAGCACCAGAATTGAAGTAGTTTGATCCAGCTAAACATTTGAAACGTGTAGCTAAACCATTAACAGCTCCAGTATTATCAAAATAGGAATCCTTAAATGTTGAAATAGCCTAAAATAGAGCAGAAATTAGGTCTCATTATTTAAAGTAATTAAGTAAGCCAGTTGAACCAACTGATAATGAAGAGGAATTACCATAATCAGTAGATTAATTGGCTGATGAAATGGATTAAAAATTAAGAAAGACTTTGTAAGCTAAAGAAGATAATTTATCAGAAGATCTACTATAATAAAGTGATAGGGAATCAACAGATTATTATTATAAGAGATGGATTTGGATTTAATTTCCTTGGGCTTGTATGAGTGTAAGTAAAAAATGTGATTATTCAACTGTTATTAAGTAATGTTTTTCATCAGCTACAGATTATATGAGTGTAGAAGATGAGAATGCATTTACAGAATCTGCACTTAAAATAGCATTAGAAGCAAAAAGAAAGAAAAAGGAAATGTATGAATAAAAATACCATGAAGAAGTAAGATTATAAATTATTCCCTAAATATCAGTATTATAATAGAAGAGTATGGATGAAGTTTTTAGAAAATAAAAAAGAGAATAATTAGATTTTAGTTCATTATCTAGTGCAAGATTTGATAGATCTACAATATCTGTCTTACCTCCATTATCAACAAGAAGTTCTTAAGCTAAGAAAACTAGTTCTCCAGATCCTATATATCCTCATTTAATGTTCATTACATCTGATTTTACTGATTCTAATCATTTAAATGAAGAATCTAAATCAATAAAATTAACTTAGAGTAGTTTACCTAATGATGGTAAATAAACCATGCAATTACTTGATTAGATGAAACTTAAAAAAGAAAGAATTAAAGTATTTTCAACTTCTTCAGTTCAACATAATTCTTATAAAGTTACTGAAATATTCCCAATTATTAAAGGATCTATTTAAAATCATTCCTCTTAATAATTGAATGTTTTAAATGGTTAATTGAGGATGATGAAAGGTAAATTGGATTAAATTAGTTATGAGAATCTATAATTGGCTAAGACTTATAAACTCTTGAAAATTATGGATTTTAATAAAGGATATTTGGTAAGAGAAATGAATAGTTTGGATGGATTAAAATAAACACTTGAAGTGTTAAAAAAATAAACTGATGTGGCTGAAAAAGAATTAAAGAGAAGTTATAAAATGAAAACAAGAGTCAAAAAGATACTTAAAATATGTAGAGATAATAAATAATAAAATGAAGAGTATATTAGAAATTTAAATTATTTAACTAGAAATTTTATTAAATTAATTAAATTTGAAGAATAAGAAATTAAAAAGAGTTAACTGAATATAAAATATGCAAAAAGATAATTTGAAGAATTTTTAAAAGTCTATAAAGAAAAAAGAAATCATTAAAGAAACTTAATAATTTAAATCAAAGATAGTTTGCAATAAAAAAAACTTTTAGATAAAATATTTTAAGATGGAGATAAAAGAATTGCAGAATAGGCTAATGCATCTATCAAAAAATTAAGAAAGAAATTAGCAAAAAAAGAGGATGATTCTAAAAATAAAAAGAATAAAGAAGCTTAAGAAAAAGAAGAAAAGCATCTCAGTGAAAAATTATAATAATTAAAAGCTTCATATGAAAAAGTTAAAGGAGGAGTATTTGATATTATGAAAGAAAATTATAATTAAACTAATCAGTTCATAGATTTTATGGCTCAAAAAGATAGAAAAAGTGAATATGAAATTAAATTATCTGAAAGAAGGTAGAAATATACTGAAATAAAAGAATAAGAAAAAAAATTAAATGAACAATTACATACTTATTAGAATGCCTATTTGTCTCTTAATATTCCATAATAATAAGAAACTAAAATTGAAGGTAATTATATTCACTATTAAAATAACCATAGATCCTAATAATGATAAGATATAATCAACAAATTTATAGAAATAAGAATAATATTTGAAAAAGTTAATGCTATTATAAGCAAAACTGGCCAGTTCATTAGAATAAATTAATGAGAAAAGTAAAATTAAAAAAGATGATTCTGTATTATATATTGTAGATTATTATAGATAATTGAAGAATTAAAGAGGAGATAATAATTAATAATTAAAAATGAAGGGGAAGCATCATATCAAAATCTTATAAAGGATAAATACGACATTAATTCCTTATTAAAGAAAAGTGCACCCTTTTATTTTCCTAAAAGATATACAGTTCATAGTAGTAGATAACCAAGTGAAGAATGAATAATATAATTTTAAATAACATCAATATAAATTCCTGCTTATAGATAGTATAATTTGAGAAATCAAAATGATTTTAGATAATCAACTTTAAATTATATTACAAAATTTTAGTTAAATGTATTAATTTATTAAGTATCTTTATTTTTTATTCTATGTTAATAGAATCAAAATTATAGATTTTTAATTTAAAGTGTAGTTATGAATTTATTATAAATACATGGAATTATACAGACATCTTAGATGAAAGGAAATGTCAAATAAATAAATATTTAACTTATAATAATTATATAGAATAATAAAGTAGAAGATTTTATTTATAAACTATGAAATCTATTATTATATTTAATATAAATAAAATGAGAATCTTTGATTTGAATAAATATGATTTTTTAATTAAATTTTGATGAAATATATAAAATGAAGTAACGAAAGATTTAAAAAATCTTAAAATATCTTTTATTTATATAAACCTTTTACGATCTTCATTCTATTATTTTTAAATATAAATAATACAAAGGAAAAAGCATGAAATACTAATTATATGATGAAACATTAATTATTTAATATATATTATAACACATAACATCCTAAATTAGATATATTTTATATTATTCTATTTAAAAATAAAGTAGAAAAATAATGAGAATATTAGAGTGTAGATTATTAATACATAAATTTAATTACATAATAAGTACGTGTTTAGTGAAGATTATAAATTATAAATAACAATTTTTTCCTACTTTTCATAAATTTCAATAAATAATTGATTCTAATGATGAGAATAGGACTTATTAAATTGATTACATATATATGGGATTGTCATTTTTTAGTCATATATTTCTTTGATTTATATAAAATTTATTCATTTCTATTCAAATATTATCAAATCAAAGCATCCCTATAAACTTTTAATTTAAATTTTTGCTCGACCTTCTTTCTGTTATTGGTTTGAGAGGACTTTAAAGGTATGAAGCTGATCTCAAATCGATTATAACAGTTTCAGAAATTTATGTCGATTTCTAAAAAACGATAGCTGACATATTGTTACCAATTCTTTGGTTTCCTTGAACTCACGAGAGAACATTAATTTCGATTACAACTTTTAATCGATTTATGTTATAGAGGGCATTGCTGAAGGGAAGTCGTCTAAGATCTCCATTTTATCCATATCTCCAATGATTGAAATTTTCATTGGTTCCATTCTCTACCCCTTATGAGGTTGGAAGATTATGGGTGCTTTCGTTAAGGGCTTAATTTCATTTGCCTTAAGTGTCACATTAATTCGATCCTAACAACATCCCATATTATATTAACTTAGGGAAATTGATTTAAATTAATAAATCAAAACGATGTAAAAGTTTTTAGTGCAAATTAATGAAAGATTCTTCAAATTAATTAAAGATAATATTGGAATTTAAATTGTTTTAGATTTTTAAAAACCTTAAAATTCAATAAGAGAGACAAGATTAATAAAGAATAATTATTAGATTTTTAATTATTAATAGGATATAGTGGAAATTAAACAAAAAGTATAGTTTTGAATAAAAATACAATCATAATCGTAAATAAATTGTAAAGAATTTGTATTATTAATTTATTTTAATTATTTGTTATTTATGAATTTTGAATTCTAAAAACTAACATAAAGCATATTGTTGGTATTTTATTTGATGTTTGTTTATATATATTAATAATAATAATAATTTTCTTTATATTTCTATTTATATTTAAATCATATGAAGTGAATGAATCATATATATATATGATTTTGATCATTATTATAATACTTCGTATTTGAATTAATAATACATATATTTTTATTAAGTTTTCAAATCTTTAATATGAGCACCAATATGTTTAATGTCCTCAACATTTCAGATGATGAGGATCCAAAAATTTAATAGACATAATCGAAAACCCAATAACAACAAGCAAAGAAGAGTAAGTCCATTCTTTCATTATTAATTAGATAAGTAAAAGCGTGATTAGGAATAAGTGATTCCTGTTGAATAAGTTAAGAAAGAAAGCACTTAACATCATAATCCAGTCCAAAAATAAAAGGGACTAACAGCTGAACCTCATCCAAAGGACAGACATTCTGGAACAGGAATTGGAAAGGAACTTCGTAAAGAAGGTGGTGGAAGAAGAAATTGGGGAAATTATAAGGATGATTTAAAGTAAGAAAAGTATGAAGGTGCAATAGAGGGTAAGGAGGTATCAAAAGAATAAAATACAGAGTAATAAGCTGAAGAATAATAGCCATAGGAAAATGTACCTTAAGCACCAGCAGAGAAAACTTTAGCAGATTATTATTAAGCAAGAGGAGTGGTAAAGAATGAAATTATAATAATTATATAGAATGTTGAAGATGTGCTTAAAAAGTAGTAATAGAAAGTATAGCCAGTAGTAAAGATTGATGAGGAGGCATTAAAAAAGGAGAAATTATAGGTGATGAGAACAAGAGAAGATGAGAAGAGAGAATAGGAATAGAAAGCAACTAAAAAATAAAGTGGTTAATAATAGGGATATAGAAGTGAGATGAGTACAGAGGGATAATAATATTTCGGATTTACAAATGATTAAAGAAGAAATGATAGAAATGATAGGAATGATAAGAATGATAGAAAAGATAATAATAATTATAATAAAGGATAAAAGAAATAAGTACTTATTATTTATTATTTAATTTATTTTTAGTAATAACCAAATAATGGAGTTCAATTCGATGATAAAGATTTCCCATCATTATGAAATGATCATTCCAAATACATAAAATAGTGAGATATTTGGTATATATAGTACATATATCAATTATAATTTCACTCTCTTCTCATTAGTGATTATACTTCACTTAATTTATTAGAAACAGGCAATCTAAGATTCATTTCTGATTTACTATGTCTCATCACTTCTTATCTAGTAGTTGTTAAGGTTGATCTAAAAATATCATCCATTTTTGAATTAAAGCTTCTTACTGTTTATGGTCTCATTGGATGGACATATTTAGATACTTAATTAAACATAGGTCCAATTTCAATATTACGCCTAATTTTTTTATCTCTAGAACCTAGACTCATTTATCTCATCTTGTAGAATGCACTACTTTTAATTTTAGTAGCTGAAGCACCTCTTGAAATAAATAATGAGACTGGAAATTGAATTTATCTAGATGTAGTTGTTGTTGCATCTTCAACTTAGACATCAGTTTTTTGTTTTGATATATGTGTAGGTATACGACTAAATTATTATTGTTTTTCTGATTCCTATTCTTATTCTTAATCATCTTCTTTTCTTCTATGTATTTTTTGTAAATATTCAATAACATTAATAAATGGTGTTTCAATATTGCGTGGTGAACGTAATTGTTGAATCTAATTTAAAATATGCATTGAGAATTTCTTGCCTGTCATTTTGGATTTTAGTTAACGATGCTTACAATTTTGACAAAGATCTGACATAAATTTGTAATTATATTATTAAAATTAAATTCATTTCCATATCTTGATTGTATGATCCTTACTAGCAGTAAGAAGATAACTATTCTCATTATCCAAATAGATCATGTCAGTTACACTATCTTGATGTTCAATTAAATTTGAAGTATTGGGACCATTCCTAATTTCATGATCTTCAATAATGAAGACATCTCCTTTGATATATTGTTTGAATTTCCTATTTGAATTATAGGGCGAACAAATCACATTAGTTTGGAATTCCTTTATTATTGAAATTATTTTACTAATTCAGAATTATTAATATCGCTATTCAAAGTCCAACTTTAAACACTTCTATCCTTAGTAGCTGTAATAATTGTATTCTCTAATTTCTAGTTATATCCTCTGTTATTCAAACATAACAACGAAGTAACACTGGTAGTATCTTAAAAAGAGCCATCCAAATAATTCTTCCACATATTTTAAAGTAATTGTTCTTTAACAAATATTGAAGAGAAATTCAAATTGAATTTTTAGATTGTTTAATCACTTAATTAAGTATAAGTTGATATTTTGTTTACATTATTAAGAATCTATTCAACATTAAGAACAGACTTAAGTTTTGGCATTTCCATTTAAATATTCTTATTCTAGGAACAATGTAAAAATAATATTGGATTTATTGTATTTTTATTCATTTTAAGATCAAAGAATGCAACCTCATTATTTAATGATTGATAACCAATCCCAATTAATTTATCACTATTTGGATTTATACCTTCTAATAATGAATTCCTATTCATTTCACATAAATTGTAAATAGGCAAAGGTTAATCATCTTTTGATAGTAATTGATAGATATTCATTTACATCATGCATCTATTATCATATAATATTAAATAACCGTTTAAAGTACTTAATAAAGTCTTTTAATTGTCATGAATTAAACTAGAAGCTAAACCACATTTTTTATTTACACTTAAATGTTATTAACTTCTTGATCTAATATCTTCAAGAATCAAGGATCCTTTCTCAGTGACATAACAGAAAGCATTATCGTAATTTACTATTCTCCTTATTCCTGAATCTGCTTAAGGGAATGTAGTCACTCTTTAATCAATCTTATATTAACTAACTTAGCCAGAGTTTGTACCAACAATGAAACTGTCTGTGCCTTCAAGAAAACATAGAGCATTTACTTTATCAATTAACTTTTGGTCTTTAAAGACAGTAATTTATTTTATACTGCCACTAGTAAAATCTTCCTATATTGTATTCATATCATAAAATCTAATTGTACCATCATGAGAACCTGAGATAAATCTAATTTGATCACAATGTTTTTATAATGAAGTTACGATATCATCATGTTCTGGAATAGTGGTGACTAGTTGATTTTTTAATTTGAATTGTCTTACTATTTTAGGTTGGATACTTCTTTAAAATTTATCTTCAGACTTATTTAATTAATAGGATTTCTATATAAATGAATTAATAATGATATTGAAATTGAGATTGTTTATCCATTATGTACTAGATTATGATACTAGATATTTCTTATTGAAATTTTAATAGTTTTCAAACTTTTTCAAATCTATTTTACAATGATCATAACTAAAATTAGAGTAATCTTCTAAAGTTCTGTCTTTTTTAATAAATTCTTATAAACTATTATAAGATTCTTATTTAATAAATTTAAATTTATATGCTGCTTCATAAAATTCATTTAATCTTTATTTAACACTTGTTGATGGTAAGACTTGATTATTATTTAATTTTTATGATGAGATCTCTAGATTTTATTTAGATTTCAAAATATATTCATGATAGTAATTATTATAATTGTATTGTTCTCTTTCACTTAAAGGTTAGGAATTATTATTAAATTCTTGATTCTGATTGATAAATAATGATTACCTAGCTGGTTTTTAGATTAATTAAGTAAACACCTCTTCATTCAAATGAGGTACATCTTATTTTAAATATTTTTTGATATGTGGTAGTAAATGTAAATAATTATCTAGACTATTGAAGTTTCTTAGTTATATAATAATAAATTGTTAAGCTTCATCCCTTACCCATCTATTATGATGTAAAATCAAAGGAGATATTTCTTTGATAAATTATTTGATTTTATCTAATTCCAATAATTATTATTCTGAAGCTTTAGTCACTATTCTTAAAGTGCGAAAGAGAGCCATTTCATTTCTAGTATTCAATTATAAACAAGTCAATAGAGTTTTACTCATATCAGTTTTGGCATAGTATTATAATAGATCAAATCCAACTTCTAATAATGGAATTTTTAAATGAATTTTATTTAATTGAGCAATTAGAAGCTTCATGATTTCAATAGTTTATGATGAATCATAATACTTTAATACATTTTTAATATTCTATATTAATAATATAGATAATTCTTAATTGTCATCTTGTAATTTCTTTTATATTATTTATAAGTAGAGATTCTTTTCCTCTTTTCTATTAAATAAATGTAAGATTTCTGCTATATCTCCAATTTTAAGTGCTAACATTGGATTCTAATTCATATCTTACAATCTAGTTTTGATTTATTCCCAAATGTACAATTAGAAAATGAGTGATTCAGTTTTATTGCTATGTGGATAATTGAATCTTCTCAATAGATCTAATAGAATAGAGAATGCATAAAATTGAGTTTAACCTTCATAATCTTCACTAAATAAACCCAAATTAGGTATTATTAATTTATACATAGATGAATCATCAATAAATTCAAGTAAATATTCTACTAATTCTAAACCACATAATTTTGTTTATAAGAATCTACAATTTCTCATTTAATTAAATATCCATAATATCACAATTATATATTCATTCTATCTCTTATTATTATTGATTTTAACACTTTCCAATAGAAATTTTCTATCAAATGATTTTGATTTCCAACATATTAATTCGTTTATATTCTATTTTTGATTTCCTTTTATTGAATTATCTTCTTAATTTTGAATATTATTCTTAATAATTAAGTTTTCATTATTTTCAATCTATCCTGCCAAAGTATCACAACTTTGAGGAATATTGAATTTGATTTATGAGAATCTATTTGGATATTGGGATACAATGTCTATGTCATTAAATGAATTTAAAGAAATAAATTAAATAGGGATTGGCATAACATAATTCCACTATTTAAATTGTGTAGATGATAATATTTATCTAAATAATTAGATTCTTATATCAGGATACATGAATTCTCCTTTGAAATTTATTGTATAACATATCTTTTGTAACAATTCAAATATTTCATCAGCACATATAGAAGTTTAAAAAGTATTAAATGCCATTTCAGCACTATAACGTTCATTTGGATCTAAATCAATTAAATAACATATTAGATCTCCTATAAAACCATCAACTTAAATGAGTGGTTCTCGTTCTTTTCTTTTATATGATAATAGTTATTTAAATGTAAATAAACTTTCACCAGTATATATTTCATATATGACACATCCAAGTGAAAACATGTCCATCTTCTATAAATCATATATCTATTATTTAGTCATATTAGCAATATATTGAATTTCTAAAGCATCTGCATATTTCTCTGGTGCCAATGTACATTTTTGAATAGATGATTCATAAACATTCCTAATGACTTCAAATTCATTACTATAGTATGGTTTATAAGATGCAAAATCTGTCAATACTAGATAATCTAAACTAGTAATAAGTATATTTGATGTTCGTATATGTCCATGATATAAATTTTGTTGATGTAGTGTTTTAACAGCACTCAATAATTGTAGAGTGTAGAAATGCAGCAAACAAATTGGTAGTTTATAATTGGATTATAATCTTTCTTCAAGTGTCATATATAACATTTAACGAGATACTGCTAAATAGTCTTTATTACATTCATTTTGCATTTCTTATGGAGAAGGTTTTTCTAATTTACCAAAATTGATTAATCCACGAAATGCCATTAAATTTGGATAAGGCTCAAGTTTTTCAATCAAATATTAAAAGTTTTAATAATGGATGTAAAGTTCATTATGTGTCAATTATTTAAGTAATAGATGAACTTTGACAATTAAATTCTAATGATGCATTTTGTAATGCATAGTCTTAAATAATTTATTATCTGATAACCGTTTTTATCGTACTCCAATGTCTTATTCAGTGTTGTGAGTCTCAAAAGATTTCATCAAATTGAGTTTACCTCTATGATCAATTAAAGAATTTCCCATTTATTTATAATTATATATCTATATATAATCACTTTTCATATTATAAAATACCAAACACTTAATTTAGATATACAAACACAAATCATTTTGTTAACATTTTTAATAGAATTTTATGATTCTCTTTCTAATCAGGATGAGTCTCTATATAGTAATCAATCATATCTCTGACTTCATCATATAAGATATGCTCATCTAAAGTCATTTTATCTAGAATTGATTTGAATACATACAAAATAACTTATAACTCTTTATAGAATCTGGATCTTAGCTAATTAATTCTCTCAAACTCTAAATATATTAATTCCCATAAAAATCTCGAATAAATTTAACTACCATTAATTATATTCAATACTCCTTAATTTATTCACTTTTCTACAATTTGGATTGCATTTTTAATACTCCTAAAATACTTTGAGTCCCTCATCCTTGTTTTTCTCACCTACTAATTTTGCTTTCATCTCTATCAATTTCAATGAATTTTCATATGGTAATTAATCAATGAATTACAAAGCTACATCATTAGAATATATCTTTGTGAGCATTTAAACTAAAATATATAATATTGAATTTATACTACCTTTTAATAATTAGATCTCTTCATTTGATGGATTTAATTGAAAGTACTCATCAATAGTATATAAAAGCTCTTTTTATCTTCCTTAGTTATACAATAATCTTACTAAAATAAATATTATTTATACTTTTAGCTAGATAACCATTTTCATCTCTAGGGTTAAATTTAATATGTTAATCTAATAATGATATTGCTTAATCATGCTGCTTCAAAATGGTTGTCAATATTTCTGCCTTTTTCAATAATATATTTTATTCTTTATTAGAACATTATTAAATGAATTTCTCCCAATGTTATTTTATTTAAATTGGCTTACATTTGTATTTCATAAATAAAGCTTTAAATAATAATAACAAATTTAATAAAACCTTTCTCTTCATATCCTTTATACTAATATGGGAATAAATTTATATAATCATCAAATACTTTCAATGCCAAATCTAATTAATTCAATTTATAATAATAATTTGCTATATATTATAATTTATTATTTATTACCTTTATCAATGTAAAACTTAATATCATTCTAATTTTATTATATCTATTACTCCATTTAATTAATATCATAAATTTTGGGTATGATAATATTCATTACTTAAAATTAAACTTATACATACTTTCATTAAATATTTCATTTTGAATAATAAGTTTCCTTTTTTATTCAATAGTATTTAACTTATCCAATTTTTCGATTATTAATTGATTACAAATATATGAGGATATAAAATACTTTAATTTCTCTAATTCATATCCTTTAATTAACTAATTTTAAGATTTATCTAAAAATTTAATATATGTTTATGATTACAATTCTCTATATCTGAATAGATTAATTAACATATATCCTTTATATCTAAATTGTTTAAGTAATCAGATAAGATATGAGGATTAAATTTACCCTTCAATTGAAAAGCAATTTAACATTTTTTATCAAACCCTTCAAAACTAGAAGGGAATTTGAGTAAATATTAATTTAATTGATTCTCATCTCTATCTAAAAGACAAAGCTATTCAAATCCATATAGATCATTTGGATTATTCTTAATAAATAATTTCAAAACAGAAACATCATTTTAGATATTCATTAATCTCAAATACCCAATTCTATTATTTGGATTATCATTTATAAATTAGTTCCAAATTTCAATTTATTGAGTAGGTAATAAATCACATAAACAATCATAAACTTCAATTGAATCTGGATTTTCTTTTAAGTACTTTTTATAGATTTCAATTCCTTCTTCAAATTAATCTAAAAATTCAGATAGAAATCTAACTATGTATTATAATATAAATATATTTACATGTCTAATGATAATATTTAAGTTACACTCTTGTCTACTTCAAATAATCATCAATCACTGTTTAATAGTCTTAATTGAAATAATTGTGTAATAAGCATAATTTGCGAACAAATAAATGTCTATCTCTAAATAGGGCTTATTAGGTTGCATGATTGACTTCATGAAATAATCTTTCCTTCTATTTTTGTGTTATGCAACATTAGAATTAATTGTATTAGGTGAATTCCTAACAATCTAATAGGATAGATTTTAAAGACATGACAATAAATTTATCATCTTCTTATAAATATTTTCTCAATACTATAATAAAATTGGTTATAGAATACATTAATATTGCCATGAATTGGGGAAAACTTGTTATAACATAAGTGTATTATTGTTTTTTAAGTATTGTTATGCTATTGATTATCGTAAGAGTTAGAAAGATTATGGAAATTCTTTCTTTTTATAATGCAATTAGGAAAGAACATAAGACTTATCAATTTGATTAGTTTAATTCATATAATTAATATATAATTGATTAATATATTTAATGTTAGCCTCACTCACAAGCAAATTTAAAGTCAAAAGACGTCACACAAATTTAGAATGCTTAAAGAGGTGATAATGGATAGCAGAAATCAAGGTTAAACAAGAGATCATCGACTCTTCCAAATTACAAATGAATGAATTAATGATTATTTGGTTTTACTAATTGGAAATTTTTGACTGAAGGTTTATCTACTCTTCCAAAAAAGTTTAAAACATGAGCTTTCATTTTTGCATCCCATCTAGGAGGTTTATTTATGAATTCCTCAATGAATTCACGCTTATTATTTTAATAATCATATTAAATTCCTTCATTATTATGAAGAGGTTAGAATACTTTTGGAATATTCCTTTCTCCAACCTTAGGTATTAATACTTTCATTTTTCTAGGTCCTTTATTCTACATAATATGACTTTCATAATAAGCAACTCCCAATTAAGTTCTAAATTAGGATGTGTCTTTACACTTCTTTAAATTCTTACCTTCATCCCAAAGTATGAATTCTGTTCCAAGGAAATTAGATCTAACCTTACCCAAAAAGCATGATTTTTTGGTTGAGAATTCTCTCTTATCCATAGAAATGACATAATTGGAAGTAGTATTCATGACTACTTTTTTTGCACTAAATAAGTACACATCCTCTTCAGTTGTGTAAACATGATAAACTGGATATAGTCTGGCAAGACCACTCTTATCTCTTTTAATATAGCATTATAATGTTCTATCTTACATTAAAGGACTTGTAAGAAATGCTCTTCCTTAATCTTAACCTTGCATTTATTCTTTTACATATTAAATTTCAAGTTTAGGAGGGAATGGATTGACTGAGACATGACTTGAATTCATTTATGATGATGGTGGTTATAAGTTCAATTATTGTAATTGTTATGATTCTTGAAATTGAGATTATTGATCATTATCTTCAATTCTCTATAATTCAAGATGTCTTGGTTATACTTGCTGAATTATATCCTCCACATCTACTTGTTCACCAATCTCTGATTAGAAGTTGACAACTGATTAATTATGCTAATCTCTTTCATCAGTATTATTTGATGATTCTTCTGATTAATTTTAAAGATTATTGGAATTTTTGTATTATATCTATTGAAACTAATTCTGTTATTCATATTCTTATTATTGTTGTTGTTGTATTTTCATTTATTATGCAGCTGTTTAAGGTCTATTCAATCTAAGGTTATTTAAGTCTTATTCTTATTAATTGATTTATTGCATTCCCGGTTCATGAATAATTTCCTCATCTTAGAAGTCTTTTCTTATTTTCATTTGTTGCTAAACATTTGTCTTATACTTATTGTCTTATTTATTATTATCATCATCATCAAATTAAATGATATTATCCTCTTCACTGTTCTTTCTACTCATATTTTAAATTTATTATAATAATAATTAATCAAAAATAGAAGCACCTTTTATTTCCTTTTTAATCTATTTTATTTTATCAATCTAAATAATATTCTACATTAATCTCTAATAATAATATATATGTATCACTTATATTATTTCATTTAAATATAATACCTTTATATTATTATTATAAATAAAATGATAAACATAAATATAATTTAATCAAATAACTCTAGCAAAAGTCCATCCAACTATTCTATTTAATTTATAATTTTCCTCACTATAATCACTGTCTCCCATATTCTATATATATATATTTAAATATTATTTACATGAGTAGAATTCTTCATAACATTAACCAAATTCTCTTATGTTTATCCAAAATTAACTTTCTCCTCTGGATTATTCCAATCCAACCATTCATGTTATTTTATGATACTCCAATTAACCTGAGATGGAATTTTGCATCCAATCCTCTTATTTGCCTCTTTCTATAACAAACTCTACAATAAAGATTAACATGATTTGCTTAATCTAGATGGAATCTCAAGATTATCATTCCTAATATTATTATACAAAGTATCCAAATCCTCATTAAAATATGGAGGTTCACCAACAAGTAGCTCATATAAAACTGTTCCTATTCCATAAACATCTGTTGCTTGTACAGCTCCTTTCTATGAAAGTACTTCTGGTGCAAGATAAGCAGGAGAACCACAAAAAGTTCTTGCTTTCCCATTTTCAATTTATTTAGAAAGTCCAAAATCAACTAACTTAATTTTATTTTCATTGTCTAAAAGAACATTCTCAGGCTTTAAATCTCTATATAGAATATCTTTACTATGTAAATATTCTACTGCTTTCATTAATTACCTTATAATGATCTTACATATTGCTTCTTTGAATGTCTTATGTTTATATAGATGAAATGATAAATCACCTCCCCCACAATAATCCATAACTAAATATAGATTATTGAGTGTTTAAAATGATTGAAATAAATTAACAATATAAGGTGAATCTACTTATTTTAATATTTCACATTCAGTAACAGCAAATTTTACTTATTTCTTTAATAGCAATTTTCTTTTGTTTAATTATTTCATAGCATAAACTTAATTAGTAGGATTATATTTAACTAAAAACACTTTACCAAATGCTCCTTCTCCAACCTGTTTAATAATAGTATAATTTATTAAATATTTTTTGTACTATTCATTATTTCCATGATTATGATTATCATCAATTGGTGAAAGTGTTTTAATAGGAGATTATTATTATTATTAAACTTATTATTAAACTTATTATTATTTTTATTATTATTCTTAAACTTCTTAAGCTTCTTTCTATAAAGTTTATGCAACCTAATCATTTAAAGATTAACATCTAGAATCTGCTATTATATTAAATTAACCACCACCACCACTCACTATATATTAATTCAATGCCATTATATCTCCTTATACAGATAATTATGCAATCCTCCTTTCAGTTTCTTTATAATACAAAATCGAATCTTCAATACTCTTCTTCCAACTCAAAATTGTACTCTTACTTTTTGAACAAAACTACAATATCAAAATTCCACTCTTCTTATATTAAACCTATCATATGATATTCAGTTTCAATTACACTCAAATATTCGTGATCACCTTTCATATACCACTCTCTCTTAGGATTCCATACCGAAACTACATTTGACAATGCAATCATTTCTATTGGATTTAGAGGACAATCCCTTTCAGTTTTATATCTACAAAGTGTACCTGCTTCTGGGTCTAAGGTTAAGTAACGTTTATAATGAAAGAACTTCATCACATTCACTTTTTTAATATATCCTTTCTGAGCCTTCGGTTTAACCAATTCTTATGTCTTATTTAACTTCTATTAGCAATGATAAGTCACTAATTAAGTAGCATATTGATCTCCTTTAATTTCATTTAAATCAATGGCTTAAACATCAAATTGTGGATGTTTGAGAATGAGTTCTACTATGTCCAATTCTCCTTTTTAGACTGCTAATTGTAAGGCACTCTTGCCTTATGAACAATAATTCACATCGCAGACTTACTTACTAAGTAGTAATTTGGCACATTCAATTTTTGAATTTTTTAAAGCTAATTGAAGAGGAGATTGTCTATCTTTGGTACAGAAATTAATATCGGCACCTTCATCAATGAAATAGACTACTAGTTCTTCATGGCCAAATTGGTTTGCATAATGGAATCCACTAAATCCACAATATTATCTATCGTTAATGATATCGAAAGATGGACTCTTATGATTGCTAACCATTGCTTTCACTGCTGGGATATCATTGCATTTGACTAGCTAATACATAAATTGAAACATAATAATTACCTTAATGAATTCAGCAGCAATATCCATTTAGGATTTATGTATAGTTGTAGATTTCTTTTTATTTTCATCTTCTTCCTCTGAATCTTCATGCACAATTCCCAATTTCTCATATCCCTTCATACGATTGTAACCTTTCTAAACTTCCAATACTTCTGTTTCAGGAGCTTCTTCTTCAACAACTTTATTCTCTCTATTGACATAGATGAATTGGCAATCTTCTGGATTGTAACTGAAAAGATGTCTATCATCTTCAAGAGTATATTCATTTAAGATCAATATCTGATCTTCCTCACGAATATCAGTGAGTTAAGCAATTTGTTATTTCAATTGAAACACTTTGATGTTGGGATTCACTTTACATGTTTTGGTACTCATGTTACCCCATTAAGAACAATAACGAATGATAATTTTCATTATCTAATTATGTAGAATAATGTGATGTTTTTAATACTGTAATGTACAATTATACTAATATATATATAGGTCAATTAATCACTTCTTAGCTAAGTATTCCATCCATTTCTGCCTAATATTCTGAGCATAGATGGAAGGCAAATTTCGCTAAAGAGCTTACTATAAGATATCTCCTTCGCCTAGTTTCTCAGCTTCTTAAAGAGCCTTCTATAGTACAAAGGTTCCAAATTTATTTTTCATCAATTCTAAACAAATGCAATCTTGTGACAATTGTTTAATGAATCGTTTTTAAGTTTTTGCAGAAGTTTCCAAAATACATTTCTCTACAACATTTGAAGAATATTTGTGTATTGATAATTGTACTAATTTCTACAATATTTTATCAATAATTGGTGTACATTTCTAATCTCCATATACCTTTATATATAGATATAATATAATTACATCAATAACATGTTATACACCATAATTACCAAAAGGATCTTGTACTATATCATCTAATTGATCACGCATCTTAATTAAAATAAAGTTGCATTTTTCTAGATTATTTTTAAATTTAGAAATTAGATCCTTCAAAACACAAAGTCCAAATTGATGATTAACTACTTAAATGAATCTCTCCATTAATTTGCAAAATATCATATTTAAACGATCTTCTGAAAATCTAGCTATGATTTTTTTTATTAAATGTGTTCCTTGACTATCTAAAGTGAGATAAATGATATGATTTTTAATGCTATTTTCAACCATTTCTTCTTCTTATTTTGATGATATCAAAGAAACCAAAGATTAAATAGCATGAGTACCCTTTTTATCACATGCAATATCCACTAAATGATTAGAAATCTGAAAAATATTTATTAATAAAATGTTACTGTTTGTAAAATATATAATCTTTAATGAGGAGCACAACTTTAACTCAAACTACCAAACATATAATTGGCATATGGATCAATCATTAAATCTCCTATATGTGGACCTATTTCTTGTAATAATTGATCCAATTCCATTTATGTACAAGTAGTAAAATGTTTTTATATAAGACGACTACCATGTTATGTCTTTACAAAATTGACTATATTGCCTCGTATTTATTCAAAACTTTATAAATCTTCTGTCCATTCATCTGGTTGAGTTTATTCTTCTAATTAAAATGATTAGAAACGAACTCTTTATTGAACAGGACCAACTTATGGTGTGAAAATACGAGTTTTAGGTGAAAAGAGAAATGAATCAACAATAGGAGATGATTTAGGGGATTATTTTGTTAGATGCTTAGAAATATCTGGAGACAAGTTAATTTGTAAAGATTTTAAGCACAATTATGGTTGATTGTGTTCTTCTTCTAGTTACATTGATATACATATGTCATCATATCCGATACAGATGTAATCACTTGTAACTTTATTTGCATTATAGTAGAATTCATAACTATGTATATTTTTTGATTCTTGCATGAGATTACTATCCATAATGTGAACATCAATTTGAATACGTCCTTGCATTAATGGTACAAGGTGTTTTTATCTTTTTCCAAAGTACTCTCTTAAATTTGCATAATCAATTAAGATGGATGTATTTTTCTTTTATTTGAGTGTTGTGGAATGAGTAAGATTGAGGTAGGGTTATTGTGCAATGGTATGAAATATTTTAAATTCCACAAAGACTTTAACATTTAGATCTAGGAGGTCGTAGTCTACTGGTACTCTTTCCATTATTTGAGCATGTTAGATTTAATTAGTTAAGAGAGCAAGTTATGCTGTTTTATGTTTGCAATTATGGGCACATTAAGTATGGACATCAAAGTACTGGGAGAGTAGATTGGAGTACAATTGTGTATGACCTAATTGAACATTTTGGTAACAAAGCGGGCAGATTGAATTTTCATTTTGGCTCTTTCCAATTATCTCATAATCCTCGTCCACTACTAAAAACATACACTTAACTCAACTACTTAAGGATTCTTCTAATGTGCTACTACACTTTCGGGAGTCTGACTCACTAAAAGTACAACAATCATTTAAATTCTTACTTGGCGCATTTAGAGAAAATCTCTTTGAATTCATTCGGAACAGGGTCATCCCATCCGAATAATGGGTAGATGTCCTCAGTCATATTATAAACTTCTTGTATTTTAAAATAATAAATTGCTGACGAAAGATTGTAAAATTTAATTGGACCATTTTCTAAATGCGTCATATGAGATATTAAAATGCCATTTATCTTTAACTACAATAAATAATTCAATAAGATCATAGATTATATAAATATATATAGATAGATAAATCTTAATTATATCCAAACTCACTTATGAGAAGATGAGTTCACTATTAAAAAATCATAACAATCAAATTTCCTATACGATAAATTCTAATATATTAAACTATTTCGTTCATTTCTGAATCTCATAGGAGTGATATGTTATGATTTTGAAGGCTTATTAATCTTTGGTAATCTTAAAGTTGGCATTTCAAAAACTTTCATTTGTTTTAATTCATATACTAATTATGGATTTGGTTACTTTTTCTATAGTTCCAATTTTGGATGTCTGCTTAATTCATATAACTTAGCTATTCGATATGGTTTAATAATTTATTCTGATTACATTATTTTTTAAAATATTATGTCTTAAGAATAAGAATTACTTACCAAAATGAAATCCTTAGAGGAGGATATCTAAAATAGACATAGACAAATAGTATCTTTGACTGATAAGGTGGAAGAATTACAAAGATCAATTTAGAATAACTCTGAAGTATGGATAACTTAAAAATAAATTAGGTGGTTGAACTAAATGAAAAAGTTAGAATGCTTGAGTCTTAGAACATCAAATTGATTGAAAAGAATCAAAATGACGTAGTAGAGTGGAGATCAAAGGAACGTGATTTCAATGTATAAATTAATAGTTACACTAGAATCAAATTCAATAATTACAACGGAAGTTGGGTGAAGTAGAATCTGAACTCACTGAGACTAAAGAATTGAATAAACAATTAATCAACAAATCAAGTGAGTCTTCTGATTAACAATCACAGTTACAACAAATTACTTAACATTATGAACATCTACTATCAGAAAAGGATTCACATATTAAAGAAAGAGATGTTAAAATAGCTGAATAGGATATAATAATAAGCAATTTATAAAAAGAATTATCTCTTGCCTCAGAAAGGGAATAGACATCTCGAATTATTCAAGAATAATTAAATGAATAATTGAAAATATTAGAAAAGAGACAAAGTGAATTTACATAATAGAATGAAAAAATGGCCATTTTGAATGATGAAATCAAATCACTTAAATTATTAAAGGATGAATTACAAAGTGATAACACTTCACTTAAATCTTAATTATCTGAATTAACATCTAATAATCAAGAACTCTAAGAGAAAGTGAAACAATTAGAAGATTAAACTAATAGAGAATAGATTCAAATCTAAAATCTTTAAGTTAATCTCAAGGACTCATAAAGAGAATATAAAGAAGAAATGACTAAAATTATGTAAATATTGGAGAAAATGAAAGAAAAAGTAATAATATTCATCATATTTAAGCATACTAATGAATAAGAATAATACAAGTAGAGAATGCATGAAAGAGATGATATTTTAAAAGAAGCCAAAAAACAATTTGAATAAACTACAAAACAATTCGAAAAGTAAATAATAATATATTATATATTTTAGAGAAAATAATAATTTAATTACTTAAATATAATAAGCATAAAAGACATAAACAGAATAATTGAAAAAGATTTCGGATCTGGAATTTAAACTTAGAGAACTAGAATCTAAACTATAAGAGAGTAATAGACAATATATAAAATAACTTGAACATTCTAAATCACTTGATATTGAAGTATATAATTATAAATAAAAAAATTAGTTAAAAAAAGCTATTTCAATCTAATAGAAATTATAAGAATAAATGCTTATTAAAGATGAAGAAATGCAAAAAACCAAATAGTTTTAATTGAAATTATTATAAGAAAATCAAGATTTAAAAACTAAATTAGATCATTATCTTTAAGTTAATTAAAAAAGTAAATCAAATGAATTACAAAATTTAAAGAATTAATTATTAGAAAAAGATCAAGAATTAGAATTATTGAGATAATAATAAAAATCATTAGCTACTCAATTAAAAACTAGTCAAGGATATGTGACAAGATTTAAAGGCAGAGTTAAATAATTAGAAATGGATAATACAGAATTATTAAAAGCTAAGAATAATTTAGAAACATTATTTCAAGAGATCTTAGAATAAACTAAATAAAAATCAAATATCAAAAATTTATCAGCAATATCAAATAATCCTACAAAATATTAGATGAGTCTCTTATCACAAAGAAAGAATTATATGTAAGAAAATACATCAACTCATTCATAAGAAAATAGATCATCAAGTTAAAAATCTAATAATACTACACCAAATAAAGTAGCTAATAGTGGTGATGTCTCATTTAAAAGACCCATTTAAGTTAGTGGACATAAAAAATCTACTCATTCAGGTTCTTAAGAAAATATTTCCATCAAATAATAAAATGAACTCAATGAAATTAAAGAATTAGATGAAAGTTAATAATAATAAACTAAAGTTTAACCTTAAGATAACTCTTAATAATAAATTAATTAGATTGACAATAAAGAAGATACTCAGAAATTAATTGAAACTAAGGAATAAGAATAGATTATAAATGAATAAGAAAATAATAATGAAGAAGTTGAGGATTTCTTGGATGATCAAAATGATCTTGATTGATTATTTATATATTAAATTTTTATTTATATATAATTTTTATTAATTATTTATTAATATCTAATATATAATAATTAATTTATCAATCATGTTTAAATCACATATTTTAGAAATAGATTAAACACTAATTTGTTAACAACATAACTCTCCAATTACTATTATTGTTACTGAATAAAATTTTACAGGTGAAGAAAGACTTTAATGTGAAATATGTTGGAAAAATAATTAAAATAGTTTGCATACTACACCATACTAGTTATATTTAGAGAAAATTAAAGAATAATAAGATGATTTCTGTAAACATTTAAACATAATAATAATGAAAAATTTATCTATGATTGAATAATTAAAAGATTCTATTAACTAAATTAAGACTCAATTCATCTAAAAACTGAAGGATTGTGAAGAAAAGATAACAATATGGAATACACAGTTGATGGAATTAGGAAATTAAAATTCTTAATATAGCATTTATAATGAAATTAATATGTTAGTATAAAATTAAAGCAAGATGAATGATCTATTAGAATTAATTAGAAATATTAAAAATTTAAATTATGATTATTCAAGTAAAATCTAATTCTAATTGAATAATGTTATGGATACTACAAAATATGATAATTGTTTATAACATCTACTTGATATAAATTAAATGGATATATTGTAATTGATTGATGGTAGTACAATTCTTACAAGCATTACATAAGTATATGTTATTAATAATAAAAGAATATTATGAAAAAGAAATCATTATGTTAAGTACATAATTAAGAAATTGTTTATGTAGATAAAAGTTAGAATGTTGATATTGAATAGAGAACTTCTTGTTTAAAGTGTAATAGAAGGGTTGGGGATATTCTTGAAGATTTTTTGAAGAAATGGGAGAGTTATTGTTAAGATGGTAAACAGTAATTAAAGGATGAATTTTACGATTTAAAATCTTAAGTATAATTTTCAAACAATTTATTGAAATAAATAAAATAAGATATATGTTAAATTATTGATGAAAAAATCGATGAAAATATTAAAATATTAAAATCTAGTTATAATAAATATTATAGAGGTGTATGGGAATTAAATAATTTATTAAATCAAGAAGGATTAAATAATATTGCATTAAAATTAAGTATGGAAGAGAGTTATCAGGTTTTTAAATAGATCTATAATCAAGATAATAGTATTTTGATGTCCAAAATTAATTACATTTTGTAATAGTTAGAAAATTATACTACAAAATAAGATGTTAAAACAATAGAATATTAAGATATATATAGTATTAATTAAAATAAGAATTAAAACAAAGATTAAAATAAATGTGATGACTATTTATGTTTAACAATAGCATTTAATAGTTCAAATACAATCATGTTATCTGGTTTAGGTGAAAAAATTAAATCATGGCTATTTATAGATGGATAGTTAGTAGAAGTTGGTACATTAGTAGGTCATACAGATAATATTTCATGTTTAGTATTTAGTAAATATTCAAATTCTTTTGTATCAGGAGCATTAGATTATGGAATTAAAGTATGGAAAGAGAAAACTTAATTTAAATGGGAGGGCTCTTAACTTTATTTATAGCACTTTGATTTTATTAGTTGTTTAATTTTGAGTTAAGATGAGGATTTCTTATTCTCAGGAAGCCATGATAGAACAATTAGAATATGGAAATTGGATTTTACTTAAAATTTATTATAATAAGTTTAATGTTTAGAATATCATACAAATCAAATTTTTAGTATGAGTATAAATAATTCACAATCACAATTGGTTTCATGTGGATAGGATAAATAAATTATTCTTTGGGAGAAAGGAAATAATAATCAATGGTAATTTAAACAGAAAATAGAATAATCAATATAAGACTTTGGATATAGGATGTAATTTATTAGTGATACTCAATTTATTTGGTTAAATAAAGGTAGAAGAAGTTATATATTTTTTTTTGAACTTGATTAAGGAATATATATAGAAAAATAGAATAAATAAATTTATTTAGGTGACGATGATTGTGAAGATGAGGATTTCTTTCCAATATGGTATAATCATAAAATATAAGTTATATTTGTCAAAAATAAGAAAACAATTTATACATTTAAAAAAGAAAAGGATGACAATATAAATCTTATAACAAAAATCTAAATATTCAATGATCCAAAGTTTTATGGATAGTTTACTAATAATGGTAAATATTTGGTTGCTATTTATTAAAAGGAAAATAAAAACCAATAATAATTTGTCATCAAATAATTAGATTATAAATGAATTTTTTTAATTTTATAAGAGATGATATTTTTTTATATATTCGATTATAAAAATAATAATTTTCACACTCTTATGACATCTTATAAATTATTAATAATAAATAATTTAAATGAATTTGAAAAAATAAAATTTAGAATGATTTCGTAGCTATTAATCTTAAAATTTACATTGATTAAATATTCAATCATAATCTATTTAATATTGTTCATTAAGAGAGAGAGACATAACGATATTGTCTAATCAACTAATCAGAGGTTAATTATATTTTAAATTAAGGCACATTGAAATTATACAACAATAATATCAAACCATAAGGATAATGAAAATTACTGTAAATGTTGGTTAAGTTAAGTAAGAGGATCAACTTATTTCAGGAAGTAATGATAAATCGAAAACATCATACAAAATCAATAAGAATACTTATCTATATTCATTAGATAATAATATATTAAATCAAAGATCAAAATCATTTATAAAGAGCGATTTATTATATATAGAAAATTAGTGATATGTTAATATAAGGAAAAGTGGAAAAGTATCTTATCAAAATCGACAATTTAAAATAATTAAGGAATAATCAAAGAAGGTCTCACTTATCATCAATATTTATTGTATAATATATTTTAAATGGTGGGATATGATTATAAAGGGATTAATATCCTAATTGGAATAGAAAATTATTTATTATTGTTTTTTTTATATTATTTATTACATAATATTCAACTCATAAATTTGTAATATAAATAAGTATATTTCATATGCTTAAGATGTAAATTAAAGAGAGTAGAGTTCCTTTATTATAAGATTAATGATTCTTAATCAGCAGATATATGTTTGTTGAATTTCATAGTTTAAGTAAAGTATTTTTACTGTAGATCTAAATTCAATTCAATTTCCATAATTTTTGAACTATATATTTATTTTTCAGATTACTACTTAAACATAAACTAATTTCATCTTTTCATAACTATTTAGTTTATGTGAGTGAATATTATTAATAAAGATTATTGAATTCTTCTAGTTTGTTTTTGAAATTGATTTCATTTTATTATAATATAGCTGTTGCCATATTAAACTTAAAATTATTAATAATAATTAGAGAATATAAATATATTATATATATAAATTAATTAATGGATCAATTAGATTAGAAATAGTTAGAATAGCTTAAGTAATAATAAGCTTAGAAGGAATAAATGGAAGAAATCAAAAAGTCTATTCTGACTTAAATATTGACACCTGAAGCTAAATAAAGATGTATTTATTTTGAATGTTTAATTTATAGTGGCAAATATCAAATTGGTTAAACCAGAGAAGGCAGAAATGATTGAAGTTCAACTTTGTTAATGGGCCAAGCAAGGGAAGATTACCAATTAATTATCTGAAGAAGAATTGATCAAATTATTAGAAGCAGCAGAAGGATAGAAAAAACAAGACACAAAAGTTACTGTAATTTTTTAAACTAAATTACATAGTTTAAGAGGAGAAAACTTTCAAGTGAGGATGAAGATGACATTTGATCTGTGTTACAATTATAAATAAACAATTAAACAAAAACTCATGTTGATAACTCTCTTAAATAATCAAAACAACCAAATTAAATGGTAGCTGCTGGAACTACTCTAATAAGTGTTATCCAAAATCCTCTATAATAAGACAACAATCCTTCTTTTCTCATCTTTTTCACACAATCAGAAAATGAAACATATGCTCTTTAAGCTCCCAAAGATCCATTAATTTAAATTCTTCTACGTATAGTATCAATTGGATATGTGAGTGCAGTTGCAGTCAAAGTTGAAATAGATCCAATTCCAATAAATTATGCCAATTAAATCCAAATCTAATCAGATTTATTTTCTATTGGTATATGATCTTTTAATTCATCATGAACAAGAAAACTAATTCCTAAGTATGGTATAGTGCCACAAGAGGATAAAATGAATCCCTGATACAAAGCTGAAAATCCTTATGTTTTGAGAGTCTTCTTAAGACAATCAAAGATGCCTGTGTATAAACGAGCTTTGTTGAAATGACTCATATCAACAGTCAATTTAACACGCAAGACTTCAAGGGGATAATGTATAAGTTGATTAAGTAGACCTGTACAAAATCCTGCCACCAATCTATTTGTCACTTATCTAGTATACTACATTATAAATTGATAACATATTTACATTTTCTTTTTGTCGATATTCAGAAACATATTATTTGAATTTATCATAAACAGTAAAACGTATTGCAGCATTAGGAATAGTCTTAATTACATTTAGACCATTGCCTCTCCAAAAAGAGTATAAACCTTAAGTTTTGTAGATTTATTTGATTCCTGACCATGTTCTATCAATCTTGTCTTCACATTTAAGAATGGGACTCACTTACAAAATCAATTTGACTCTTTCTAAAGGAGCAGTGGCTGTTTTACTAACAGCATATGAAAATGTGGTCACAGCCATGCATTTCCAAAATGTTAATCTTCTATACTACTTAGTTTCAGGATAATTCATTTTTATAATTTAATTATGACAAAAAATTGAAATACATATAATACATTAATTCTTCAAGATTTTCTAGAGATACGAAGAGTTTTTTATCTCTTCAAACTAACACGAAGACGAGATGACTTTTCTTGACCCATTTGATTGTTATCTTCATCTAAAAAGATGAAAGAACTCTATTCAATAATGGAAGACACGAATCTCTCTACATCAGAATGGATAAAAAATTGATTCTTGAGTTACATAGCATAAATGTCATTGCTTAATTTAAATATCCTCTAACGTAAAGTCAAGATATCTACAGTTTCTCTAACAAACTTTAATTGCAACTTTGCAGATTTCATCTCCTACCTGTATTTCATTATTTCTCTTTATTCCTTAATGTGAGATCGATATCTCTCTCTCATTAATAAAGTGATGAATAAATTCTAAAAATATATTTAGTATCCTTTCTCATATAGAAATTTAACCCAAGTTAAAAATCTCTTATCAGCTTTATGCAAAGATTAATATTAATGTATCTTCATTGTATACTAATCCCATTTCTAAATCATTCTTGCTTTGTATTCCCTAACATTCTTTACAAATTAATTTAAATTGACTCTTATTAATTATAATTTACCACTTGTAATCAAAGCCTTCTTTTTAAGTAAATATAAACTAGCTCGCCATTTCAAAAGTGGTAAAACAAGAATCAATGAATTATGAATGATTCTCCTCTTTGATTACTTACAGAACATAGTCAAAGCCATCATTGTTTGTCCTACTGTCCTATAACCAAGATCCTCACGATTCAATTTGTAATCCTCTCTAAACTTTCTCATTCTTAATTAAATGCTTATAATCATCATTTTATTTTTCTTCAACTATTTCCTTCTTTATTACAATATATAATTTAAATTATCTACTAACTTAATAAAATGTAACAATTCACCCCAAAGAAAAGTCTATTCTCTTCTTCTTTCCCTATTTCTTAATGTTAATGTAATCAATTTATATTCATCATGAGCCCATTCTTTAGCTTAAAAATCAAGATTTTTTTATTAATTGGCTTCTATTATGGCTTTCTTTTGTAAATTTCTTGTTTTGAGTACTTATAAGAAACGATCAGATCTACTTACTTCCATTTCATATTTATTTACTTTCTTAACTGCCTGTATCTTATTTTGATTAACTATAAATTAAGGCATTCTTGGTATATCATCACTCATTTATACTCTCTCATGATTACTTGATATTCTTATTAATTTCTTGAAAGAGTCTGTCTATCCATAATATATCATAAATTTTATGTCTGTTTATTTACGAGCAACAAATGCTAAATTAAGTTTCTCTTCTCCATTATGTCTTACAGTCCATGTTCTATTTTTTATTACTTGATCACAATTGAATTTAGTTGGAAATGGAGAGTTAAAAGATATCATTATTTAAAAGTCCCCATCACAATATACTGTACAATTCAGAGGAGATTTTTAACCTTTTGTAGTAATATTACAATAATAAAATTCCATTGGATTCACTTTATATACTTTCCCAGAAATGAGTGTACCACCTAATAGACATTCTGGATGAAAATTAGGTTCAGTAGTTGTTTGCTTTAATGCATAACGAAGACTCTTTAATTCTTCCACACTTTCAAGCATCATCCATGATCTCTGGAATTTTTCTGTTGTTTCTTCCAATATACGAGATTGATCAAATACACCAGAACCACTTGTTTGAGATCTGTAGTGTGAAATAGATGGAGAGTAAAGCTAATTGACTGGTCTAATTATTGATTTCTTCATTATATAATTATTATATATTCTTGATAAATTTTAGTAGTTTCCAATTATTTCATTAACACTCCATATTAATCAGAACATACAAGAATCAATGATAAATGTCAATTTTATCAACTCTATTTATATCTATAATAAGTCCAGAGTATACAAATTAAAGTTTTCTATATAAAATGAAAATTATTATTTTAGATACTTATTATAATTAACAAAATATGATTCAATAACTATTGATTATTAATAACATATTAATAGAAAATCGATTATTTTATTAAAATGATGATAAAATCAAAACTAGTTTTATTTATTTTAATCATAACTCATTTGATTATAAATATTGATAATGTTTTCATATAAATATTACTATTTATATAATATAGTGTATAAAATTAATTAGAGAATATATAATTTAATTGTATGAGATTGATAAGCAGACAAAAATAAAAGTTTAAAGATATTATCATAATCATTTTTAGAAAATAAAATTATTATAAATAAATTTATATAAGATATTATTATATTTATTTGTTTTAAATGTCAAATTAATTAATAAAATATTGTATAAAATTTATATTGGGTTTAGTGTTTTAGATATTTCACGCTAGTTTTTCTATTTCTATATTATCTTAAAAATAATCTTTAATAATATTTATAATATTTAATGATCTATAAAATTTAGTTATAATTTCATTTATAATTAAATACAATTAAATTATGTTTAAATAACAAATTTTAGAATCTAGTATTTTTTAAACAATTCATCATCATTTAGAAGAGCAAGTTCATGTAAAATCAAATAAATTTATAAAACTTGAGACTGAAATTGAAATGATTGATATGTCATTAAAGTAATTATAAGAATAATAATCTGAATTATTAATAAAATGTCTAAAGTAATGGATTATATCTGAAAAGTACTTTAAGGTGATTAAGATTTTGGATAATGTAAAACATGATAATAAGAGATTGTTGGAATTACTCAAACTTTATGATATGTTTATTATACATCAAAGTGAAAACTCAGTTCAATTTATATACAGTAATAAATTTAGTTAAGTTAATTAAAAGTAAGAAGATTACTTTATAAATCAATCATAAATAACATATATATTTAAATTTTCATAATTAGGTAACATAAATTAATAACATGATCTATTTGTGAATGTGATGAAATTGATTAATTGTGTATATCCACTTTCTACATTGACATTTAAATGGATTCCATATAAACATCTGAATTTACTACTTGATAGTTAATCATAATCTTATGATATTAATGAGGTGATAATGAAATTGTTTGATTTATTTGATATAATATAATGGAAATAGATTGATTATATGGAAATATTATCTACAATGATACCAGAGTCAGATATGTTGATGTATAGGAGTCCTTAAGAGTTTTTTGATTGTGCATTAGGAAAATAAAATGTTTATGAATAATATTTGGATGGGAAATGTATATCATTTATGAAGGGTTAATTTCAATTTAATTGTATTTGTAATTAAGAATTTAAATAATTTTTGGTTTTGGGTAAAACAAGATCAAGATTGATAAATGTGAAAGATCAAGTAAAGATTGCAGAATTAATAAATATAAATTGCAAATCAAATAAGAGTATGATAGTTTTTATAGAATCAGAGGATGAAACATTTGATATAGAATCATTTGAGTAAGTGTGTCATTAAAATCCAAAATTGTTTAGATCTCAACATTTTTAGATGGAAAGTTAATAGAATGCTATATTGATTGATAAAATTGCAATGTTATATCTTTCAATGTAAGATGATCTTAGTAATATGTTCTCTTAACTTTCAACAGAATAACATGAGATAATTTATAATTCATTTAGAAGTGCATTGCTAAACAAATTTGTAATTGATAAATTATGAATTATATTTTTTTAATAAAATTTATTTGACAATGTAATCTAGTGGATAAAAATCTCAAATAATAAAAAGAACAACATTTTTGAACACATCTTCTGCTTTTAGTACTAATAGTAGAACTAATTCTATAATATAAGATAATAATTAAAAAAAAGAGTTAAGAAGGTATATGATATTGATTATATATATAATTATAGGTATCCAACAGAATGGGCTGAATAAATAGATAATAAATCAGATAATAGATTTCATCATACTATAATTAATAAAAGTAAAGAAGAACACAATCCAAATTTGGCATCACCAAGTAAAATATTTGGAATCTAAGATGGGTATTAATTAATATAATAATCATTAGCAATAATTCAAGTAGATTTCATACAACTAATGAAGATTTATTGTCTTCATTCAGAAAGAAGAATCAATCACTTGGAAATTTGGGAAGTTGGTAATTTACTTCACCATAAACACAATCATCATTGATTTCAAAATCTAATACCAGCAGAACTCTATCTAAAAGAATAGATTAATCTATTCCACTTTCTGAGTTATTGGAGATATCAAGATAATTAGATTGTTCATAATAAGATGAAATCAGATAATTATCACGAGGTTATGTTAATCAACTTTTCCAATTATCATAAACTATTGAAAGAGTACTTCGAAATATTAAGAGATGAGATAATTTAATATTATTGATGTTATGATAATTAGTAATTAGTATAAATCATTTAAGAATTGACAATTACATCAATGCTTTATCTTTCTAAATCTAAGCTGAATTCTTATTATGAGTAGAAGCTGATTAATTTCTCATAATTTTCTATTTTATCTTAATTCCAGTAGCTATATATTTTTGTTCATCTAAATCCCCTAATAAACGCTCATGATATTTAGTTGGACTGAATCGACTTTATGGTGTCATAGATTAACAAAATCCAATAATTGTCTTTATAATCTCAGTGGATCTTTGTTCATTATGATTACTTTACAAAACAACCATTCTCTTATGTCCAAGATATCCTTTATAGATTGAATCAAAATGATATTAAGGAATTAAATGATCTTATTTTGATGCTAACAATATCATTGGACAAGTGATATTTAAATTTAAAGGCAATTAAACCTTATTTATATGAAATTGAAATAATTTTGCTATGCATCCTACATTACATAAGATATTATACTTTTTATCAACTCATATAATCCTTTATTTATTATATCTGGAGTGTGGAGCTTCAATTTTATTAAATTTATAACCACATCTTCCAAAACTAAAAATGGACTATCCAATACTAAACATCTTATATTTGCATTCTTTTAAGTATACATCAAGGCTGTTGTAGCTCCCATTGATCTTCCCCACAATATAATATGAAAATATTTCTCCTTTAAGTATTTAATCACTAACGCTACATTCTCCTCCTCTTTTAAACTTCATTAACATAACTAATTACCCAAAAGTCACAAAATCACCTTAAGATTATCCAGCTGCCTAAAAATCAAATGAACAAAAATCAAAATCATTTTTGCATACAAAGGAAGCATATTAAACAGCTTCTAATCTTGATCCATTATAACCATGCAAATATAAGATGCATGATTATGTATATTTATTGCATTTATATAAAGAACATTATAATCCTTGTAATTAGAAATCTTATCTTGGAAAACCACATTCTAAATCTGATTTATTATAAGCAACACGCTTAGGTTACATAATTTACCTACAATAACCATCAAACATTTTAATTTCTCTTTATTTATATATATATATAATTAATAATATTGTTTCAAATATATTTATTGTTAATTACTTATTGAATTACTTTTATTTTCTAATCTAAATATATATATTTTTGAATCTATAAACAAAAAGAATAAAAATTCCATTTACTTTTTAATATTTTTATTATACTTTTTTTATTAATTATATGATAAACAACATTTTTTGTCTTTATATTTTGAATATTCAATATAGATATTCTAATTGTTATAAGTAAATATATTATTATAAAATATTATATTGATATCTTTTAGTTTGAGTGATTCTAATTTGATCTACATCACTAATGGATCAATATTTTAATACTTTAATGTTAGAATTCATAATGATATTTTAAATCTCCTAAGTTATATGAACTTATTAAATATATATATCTACTAAAATTGATTTATGTACAATATCAGATAAGATAACTATTATTAATAAAAGTTTATATATAGATCATATGAAAAGAGTTAAAAAAATACGTATGCATACTCTTACTGATGAACGATTATCACCTCTCAAATTTCCATCAATTTAATAAATCAATAAGACTATTTAAGGTGAAGATGGAACAGTAAATATTAATTACATTAATCAAAAAGGTTTTTGAGATGCGATAATTGATGAGTCGAGCCAATATGTGTACAAGTAATAAGACTGTTAGAACATTATAGAAAATTACTAATGAATAAAGTGAAAGAAAGGATTTGTAATTATTGTAGTAATGGACAGATGTAATATACATAAATAATAAGTATAGTCAATGGTGTAATAAATTTAACAACAAAATTTTTATAGTATTACAGAGTTTTATGATAAGATAGAACTCATTTATTCTGGATCTATAGGTTAACTTTGTCAACAACTTTCTGTAAAGTGCAATGATTATTCTTAATTAATTGATAAAATATGGATGTAATTCACTGGAATTGTGAAGGAGATAATTGAAAAATAATCACGGACTAATAGAATATTGGAAAAGGAAAGTTTAACAAATACAATAAAAATACATGAAAGATATTAAAATTAAATGAGTGAGAAATTACAAAGATTAAATGAAGCTGAAAAATAATTGAAGAGGAATGTTGAATATGCAGAGAAAATGAATAAAGAAAATCGTTATCTTAGGAAAAAGACTTGTAAATTGTCAACTGAACTTAGTAGTTATAATAATGATATTGAATTACTTAAATTATAATTGTAAGATTTAAGTAAAGAGAATGAAACTCTTAAATTATTTTAATAAGTTAGACATTAAAATGAATAATAACATTTCACAGCTGATTTTGAAGAAGAACTCTATAAAGCTAAAAAAGAGATATTTGATGATTTTAAGTTAGTTTTTGAAGAACAGACTAAAAAGTTTGAAGAAGCTTATTAAAATAAAATATAAGATTTAGAAAGGGGTTAAGATGATAAAGCTTAGAAAGATGAAAATTTAATTGAAGAATATGAAGAAATCTTATTTAAAGATAAATGTGTTGGAAATACTGTTGAGTTCAGTGAAATATAAGTGGATACAAGCGAGTAATATATTCAATAATAAAAGCTTGATTATTAAATCAGAAATGTTCACTTAAACTGTCAATTAAAAGAGAAGAACCTATGATTGTGCAAATTAGACTATGCCAATACAAAGTAATAATTAAGCCTGTGAAGCTAATTATGCTCTCATCAAAAGAGAATGTATACCTAGAAATAAAGAAGAATAAACATATTTAGAAATGTCTAAATATCCAATCAAAACATTTACTGATGATTACTATCAATTGTATATAGAAAGAGTTGAAATTGAGAAAAAGTCATTTCCCAGTATTTTAGATAGCATCTTAGATAAATTGAAAACTAGATCTCTCCAAATATTCAGTGTCATGTCAATGAAAGAAGAATTGTTTTAAGAAGACTTTCGTGAGGCTGATAAATATTTCTAAAACTCTTATTCGGTATTTCTGTTATTGGTAAATGATTTCTAAGATATTATCAAAAAATTGAAAGAGGAATTGATAACTCGAAAAATATAAATCTTTGAGACTTAAATTGATTGTAAATAAGCCAATAGATAAAAGATATAAACTTAGAAGAGATTTGATCTCTTGGCATCCAAATATTAATAATAAGTAAAGAATTTCAATTTCATCTCTAAATAACTTAAAGCTGTCTCTCGATTTTTACCATAATATTAATAAGATTAAATTAGAAGAAAAGCTATTCGTCATAAAATTAATTTTGAATTTCCAAAAGGTATTTCACCAACTCCTATGTTAATAAGTACAAACAATTTAAATCCTCCTTCTATTCCTTAAAATTTCATGAATAGTTCTACATCTCTCTTACATCCTTAATAAACTCAACCAGCTTTGTCTATCAATCCTAAGAATTCTTTGGGGTACTTTCCACCCATGACTCCACTAGAACCCTTTCAAGATAGTAGTAACCCATAAAGAACTTCTATGGTAGAACTCAGTTGTGATTCTCCTGATGGTCCAGAAGCATTCTCACCTTCCAAACCTATCATAGCATTAAATTGTAAAATCTCTTAATATTAAATATAGTCTTCCCAGACAATAAATTTGAAGAATCATAAAGTTCTTCAGATGAAGAAGTTGATTTATCTGAATGTTTGAATCCAGTGAAGAATCTATTATCAATAGAGAAGAAGTTATTTGTGAGTAGATGTAGTAGTAAGAACACTTAATTGGCCACTTAAACCTTATTACAAGAAATACAATAATTTCGACGAGACAAATTAGATAATATTGTCACATAAAATACGTTGATCAAAATCTTATCTAATTTTGTATAATGGTGTCTTAAATTCAATAAATTAAATTATCCATTACATGTTTAATTGTATGAGTACTTTTCAAATGAGAATCAATCTCAACCTTAAAATGTTTGGTTGGGAAAAGTAGCCAGAGTTATAAAATCTGTAATATATTATAAGAGAAGAAGTGAGACAGCAAGACTATTTCATTCAATGTTAGTTGGAGATGTATTAAGATATAATAAAATTAGTTAAGTTTTCAAATATATTTGTAAATTTTGAGTAATTTACAAAGTGCCACATTTACAGATACTGGCATTTAAGTTCTTCAATCTTAATTAGCAGATTATATTAAAGGAATGCAAAAGTTGCCTCAATATGTAGATTATGATGCAGAAATATCACATCATTTGGGACCTATGCAAGATATTAAGAATCAGGAATTATTATTAAAATATTCTACAATACTATAGATTTTTGCAGAGGATGGTGAACGGTTGACTCAGAATCAATTCAGATTGTTACTATTGGAATTGGAGAATAAGAGAGATGAATAATAGATAATAAATATGTTTAACAATGAATGTGATATAGAATAATAATAAGTTCAGTATATTTCGTTTTAGAGGTTTGCAATAATTTGTGAAGAACTCTAATTACTTTAAGGGTTGGATGAATACTTAATTAGAAATGATGTTTAGTATTTTAAAGATATTGATATGTGGAGAGTAAGAGAGATTGAATTAAAGTTAATGTTAATTCGAAGTCATAATTATGATGCATCTGAAAGAGATTTATTTACAAGAATGTATAAAATGCATTAGCCACAATAAAGAATTATTTTGGGACGATATTTAGAAAGAAGAGCAAAGGAATTACTATTATAAAGATATACTTTAGAGTGTTTGGCACCATTTATGTAACTTTTCGAATAATAATGATAATATTTATTTTGATATTCATAAAGAAATAGATATAAAATTAAAATATCACAAAAATTATTATTTAAATAAAATATATATATACTGTCTAATTTTGTGAAATGATGTGTAAATAGAAAAAAGTTAATGATGGCTTCAAACTACCAAGAATTGAGAAATCATCTGCTTATATTATTTAGACTAATAGAGATTCTTTAGATTTTCTATTAGGAAAGAATAGAAATCATAATGATTATGATTATGTTCCTTAATTGAAACAAGAAATTAAGTAGATTACTGAAATGACAACTAATCGATTAGCACGTTGTGGTAGTCAAATTTTAGATGGCTCTTCATAAGTGTTTATGCCTGTACAGTAAACTTAGAGAAGGATCAGTCAAATGGATTGTAAATATGATATTCAAAACTTTTTTATACTGGAACCAAAACTAGAGGTCAATAAACCAATTGTTATTAATAAAATTAATCGTGTACATAAGCATTACCGCTTATAAACTTTTACTGATTGGGTCAAGAAGTTATATGGTTAAGATTGGTTTAATGATTAAATATGATCACAAATTTTTACTTAAATTTGACTTAATTTATCCTATACCATTTATTCTAAACTCCTCTTATTAATAATCTTCTTATTATTGTTATTGCTATTTACTGTAAGATTATAAAAAGTTTAATGATTCCTATTTAATATTTCTCTAGAATTCTTTCTATTATAATGGGGAATCTATTTTAATAACTTAATCTATTACCATCTATACTATAAACTCTCCCAGTAATAATTGGTGTCTTCATTATGATTTACTCTTGCAATTGAATTCTTTCTTTCATTTATTCTTTCATAGATGAAGTCAATGTGGCTCTTATATTAGGTGATTTAATAGGTGATGTAGTTAATTAATTAATACGCATCATATCAATATTATGATGTAGATCATTGATCTTTTATAATTGTTAATCCAATTTACAACTATCATCTATATCCATATTCTCATCATCAAATTATCCTAAATTTGAAACATTAAATGCATTGAAATATTCATGTTTCAAAGCTTCCTAAGCACTTATACGTTATTTAGGATCTGTCTCTAACATTCTTCTTAATAAATCAAAAGCAGGTTTAGGAATCAATTCAAAAATTGATGAATTCCATTAAATTTTAGCCTCCTTATTTAAATTAACAATTGTTGTATAACTACGTCCAGGAAATACAGATTTACCAGTTAAAAGGAGATGAAATACCAATCCTAAAGAATAGATATCACAAACTTTATCATATTTTGTTGATAAATCTTTGATATTTAATACTTCAGGAGCCACAAATCTTTAAGTGTATTATTAATATGATACCCTGGAGTTCCACAACGACTGTATAAATAGATCTTTTCATGAACATATGTGGCTAGACCAAAATCAGCAAGACAAACTGTATCAATGGCATTTTGTTTCTTAAATAGAATGTTTTCTAGTTTGATATCTCTATGCATTATATCTTTTGAATGGATATGCTTAAGACCTAATTATAAATTTGAACGATTAACCCTCTAACAATCCTTTTATAATAGTTTGTATTTCCTTATTTGTAAATATTACTTTCTTTTTCAACTATTCATATAATTATCCTCCTTCCAATAATTCTAAACAAATATATAGAGAATTTGCAGTTTCATTCACTTCATATAATTTTATAATATTGGGATGATCCACTTATCTCATTAATTTGATCTCATTAATTAATCCTTCTTTGCCATTCTCCTCTGCATATGCTATACTCTTTGAAAATGCTTTTATTGCCATTTATTAACCATCTTCTACTCGCTCTGCTAAGTAAACTGATGCAAAATTTCCTTTTCCAATTTTCTTGAACACTTTAAATAAGTGATGGAATCCATATTAATTAATACGCTTCCCTAAAAACCATCTCCATTATGTAATTATCAATTGATGAGCTATTAATTCATATTTGTCTTATTCATCCTTAAACAACCTTAATTTTATTGGATCCCCCAATTTCTCTACATTTTCAATTTGTACTTAATCCTCACTTTTGGCATTAGGCAATTTAACTAATGGAAATCCTGGCTTCATTTTAGGTGCTGTTCGAACTATCTCAAATTTTAGATCAAAATTAATTGTCGTATATTCCAATGGCTGTTTATAATGAGGGTCCTTTTTGTTAATCTCTCACAAAAAACCTCAAATATTATGAGCAGATTGTCTGTTCCAACTAAATAACGAGATTTCCCTTCCCTTAAGAATTCTGATTTTATCAAATGCACTCCTATATTTATATCATTAGTGTAAGGATTCCACAATTATTTTTTCATTTTAATGATATTTTTTATCTTTTTCCTATTAGATTTTATGTATTTCAGAGATATTTCGAGCAACATTTTTCAATTGATGAAAATTAAATATTCCTTATAGAAACATTCATTATATTATCTTTTTTTGAATATATTTATAAGATGTGATTTATTTCAACTAATGAATTAACTTTTGGAAAAATTAATTCAATTAAATATAAAGTATTTATATATATATAATATTTCCATAATTTTTGCTGAATTTTTAAATAATAATGAAAGGAACAATTACTTTATAATATTTAAAAATTAAGCAAAAATTATGGAAATATTTACCAAACATTTGATTTTGAAATAATTTAATCTTGATTACGAGTTCTTAAAATATAAGGTATATAAATCATTACATTTAAATTTCAGATTAGAATGTATAAACGAAAAAATAAATTAGAAAAATGAATCTATCTACTTCTATTTAAGTTGATTGAAATAATTTAATTTAATTATTATAATTATATTCAATCAACATCCAAAGATTAGCACTTCTTTAAAAAACCCATTTTAGGTTTTTAAGTATTTAATTACAATAATTATTTACCAATACTAGTTTGTTCATCATCCATCATAAATACATCGTCCTTACTAATTTACTTTTATTGATAACTGTTTTTTAATGCAAATTTGTGAAGATCGTGATGATTTTTCTTTTTCTATGAATTTTGATTATTAGAATTCAAACCTTCCTATTTCATTTAAGTACAGAATTAACTGAATTTAGAGAAATTAGTCTATTACCTCTCCGACTTAGTATTAGGACTATTATTAGAACTATTATTAGAACAATTAGACAATGATCCTATAGTATCTGTTTACCCATTCCATTATTATTATTTGCTCATTAATAACATTGATCCTTCTTAGCTCTCTTGGGAACTAAAATTTGAAATATATATTACTTCATTTTCTATATTGGATTCTTGAATTCTAATCCACATCTAATCTCCATCTCTATTAAATCATCGCAATTAAATATTTCTTAAAAGTATTAATGTTTTAAACATTCCTCTGCACTATATCTATCAGCTGGATCAACTTTTAACATTTTCTTCAATAAATTCCTCAAAAACTTAGGACCCTTATAATAATAATATATAATACTTTGCTTAATTATTTAATATCAAAATCAATATGACCTGCCTTGTTTGATTTCAATATTTCCTTATATTCGCTGCCATTAAAAGGTTGAACACCAGTAACCATAAAGTAAAATATCACTCCAGCACTAAAAATATCACATTTTTCATTGTAAAATGGAATCTAATCATTATACTTCAAAATCTCAGGTGCCACAAATCCTGGAGTACCACATCTTTTGTAAAGTGGTTATTAATCCATAATGTGTGCTAGTCCAAAATCTGCTATTACAATATCAGTATCATTATCTTTGCTTTTAAGTAATAAATTCTCTGGTTTCAAATCTCGATGCATACATTTTTTAGAATGCATATGAAATAATGCTTTTATCAAGTTGTACATTAATTACTGGATTCTTTAGGCCGAATAAATAGTGTTTTAAAATCTACTGAACAACTCTCCTCCTTCTAATAAATCCAATACAAAATAAATAGAGTTTTGAGTTTCATGTACTTCATGCAGACGCAGTATACTATCTTAATTCAATCTCCTCATTACTCTTATCTCATTCTCTAATCCCTCTCTACCTCTGAATTGTCCATTGATATAGAGTTTGCTGAAAGCTTTTACAGCGTACTGAACACTATCTGAATTTCTTTCTGCCAAATATACACTGGCAAAGCTTCCCTTTCCTATCATCTTTAGAACTTTAAAATCATTATGGAAAGTTGTTAATATACACTTAGAAGTTAAGACTTGTTTCAATTATTCATAATTATCATTGAAAATATCTACATACTGGCTATTTTTTTGTAGTCTAATAATTTCTTAATCATCGTATCGTTTAAATAATATTACAGTAACAGTGAGTTACAGCATTCCTTAAGGCTCATTGTTTTTGAAGGCATATAAAGTTTCTTGACCAATTTATATGCTAAATTGTTTTATTTATTTATTAGTTTTGCTTAATCTACAACATTAAGTCTCATACTCTATAACATCATTCTAAGGTATTTAACTTAAAAAATTACTTTATATTAGTTTTTACAGAACTTTTTCCAAATCTTGGTCTTCTATTGGTCTTTATTGTCAAAAAAAGAATGAATTTCTCTAGTCATTATATAAGAATAATTATTAATTCTAATTTTTTAAATTATTATAATTATCTATCTATATCTAAACTCTTAAAACATAGAAATTTACGCGGTAATTCTAAAATTAACTTAATAAATTAATAACTATAGTGAAATATATATATAAAATCTCTTTATTAACCAACTTTCTTTCTAATTAAAAATGAAATTCTTTTATTAAATTTTATTTTTCTTAAATTATTATACAATGATTGTATTCTTATTACACTAAAAAATTAATCCTTTATTTTTTAGAATATTGTAAATATACATTTTTGACAAGTTGTAAGGATTAAAAATTTTGTCAATATTTTTTATCTAAATCCACCTCAACAATTTGGTTTAAACAGTTTACTATGATTCTGATTTATTGGATTCATCATTCTAATTGCAACCAATTCGTCAATCCCTTATATTCATTAATAATACATAATCAATACTTGAATTCTAAAACTAAACTGATATCAAATTAATATAGTTGATACTTTAACAGGTATAATTTATCTTTAATTCTGTGAAATAATTTTCTGATTTTCATATATTAAGAAGAACTTTTTTATTTATATTTATATAAATCAATCACTTTAAATTTATCAATTTAATATATTCAATAAATAAATATCTCGCTCAAAATGTTTGAATAAGAGATACAAATATGATGGTGTTATAGATCAAAACTTAATTTCTATCAGTTATGGTTAATAATAACTGATAAAAAATTAAAGAAAAAAGAGTTACAAAAGTAATTACAAGTTAAATTTTTATAAATAATTACATAGATTCTCTCAGTATAATCAGAGAAGATGATTGTGATTGAGAATTAAATCAACTAAATTTAGAATTTTTATTCCTCAAAACAAAAACTTTGATTAATTATGAGTTAATATATTATAAAAAATAAGAATGAAGTAAAATTTATTAACAATTTTGAATAAGAAACACTCTTTAAAGTTTTTATGATGCATGAGATAATATTATTTTCTATATATATAATAATTCCTGGTTGTTATAATCAAATTTTTTTTTTAAGTTTTCAAAATGTATATTCTAAAATAAGTATGTATGTAAGTACACTTATATTGTTTTGTATTTCAGTAAAATAATTAAATAGATTTATTTCTGAAATAATAGAAAGTATAATAAGATATTGATAATAATAAAGATAAAAGGAATGGCATTCTTCTCAGAATAATTAGAGTTACTTATTTAAATTTAAATAAAAATTGAGAGTCTATGTTTTTTGTTTTAGATCCAATAATATAATTAATATCTGGAAAGAAGTTAATTAAAAATAGAATTAATTATATTAAAACTAACAACTAATAAAAAATACGAATTAAATCTATAGGTGAAAAATTTATAGATTAAATAATTTTTCTAAAATTTAACTACTTAAATTTTTTGATTAATTGATCAAATATGTATGTAAAAATGATTAAGCTAAATTAAAATAAAATAAACCCATATATTGATGACAATAATTTATATAATACAATAATAATTATAATTAATTAAACACAACTTTTGTTTTTTATTAAATAAAAGTCATAAATAATAACAAATTTAGTTTTGTAGCTAAAAAATATGTCAATTTAATGTCTAAGTAAAAATACATAAGAATCAATGAAAGGTGATGCAATATATGTAGTTATTTGGAAAAGTAAGTAGAATACATTTCAACTTATGTTTTATTATAATTATAATATTTTATCAATATTAAGACATTTTTCATTAACTTTATTTTACATTCTATATACACAAGAAATTTAATCAAATATCAACATTCACAAATTCATCTAAGAAATAAGTTTAGCAGGCTTAATCCTTTTTACTTTTTTAAAATGAATAATTAATAACACTTGTATTGAAATTGTATTCAATTTGGTTTCTTCTTATTGAATGTGAGCATCTACGATTCATTTTAGTCTTCTATGGTTACAAGTATCTATCTGTTTCTGAATCTAAGTCAGTTTTAATCTCTCTTTGATTTCCAAAAGGAATAAGATGTAATTGAGGATATTACTTATTTTTTCTATTCCTAAATTATTAATTTCTTGATGATTCTACTACTATAGAAGATGCATCTTAAATTTTATTAAAAATTAAAAGGTTTCTATGCAATTTAAAAATTTAGGAATGCCTTTTGTTTTGCATCTTTTTCTAAATTTTAAATAATTTTTAAATTAAGATTTTTTAATAATATTATTAGTATACAAAAAATATAATCTTATAGAGTCTAAGAGAGTTTAAGAAAAGTATTTAAAATAATATCAAAGAGTTAATAATATCTATTTGGTTATTAGATAATAATAGATAATAAAATATATGCAATCCATCTATTAAATTTATATATATATATTATTTTGCAATTATATTACTAAAAATATGAATAAATAAAAATTATTCATATTTTCTAAGGTAATTCTTATTCATAAATACAATAATTTGTAATTTAAAAAATCATTATTATTATTCAACCATTTCATATGCACAACATCCCATTGTTGCAGGATCCAATCCTTCATATTCTTCTTCTAATGTAACTCTTAAAAATCCAATTTTTTCAATAAATAGAAGAGTTATCAAATGAATAATTGCAGACCATCCAATATAAATAAAAGATCCTAACATTTAAACAGCAAATTAATAGCCACCTTTACCATAAACAATTCCTGTATCCATATCAAACCATGAAACCAAATTAGCTCCCAACATTCCACATGCCTTGAATAAGATAAAATTAAATACAAAATGGATTGAAATTGCATCAACTGGATCATCTATTTATAGATTGAATAGAACTCTATTTGCAAAAACCATCATCATACCTCCCAATATTCCAATAACAAAAGCTGCCCAAGCATCAACATTATCACAAGGTCTAAATTAAATAACAATATTCAAATACCCAGTGATGGCAACTAACCCAGCCAGATTGCCATTACAGATCATAACTAAGGAATATCTATTACCTTAATCAATATTCATTAAATAGTAAATAAAGAAAACTGTTAAAGCTCCAGAAGCTCCAGCAATAAAAGTATTCATAATAGCACGACTCATAAAAACACTAGCACCATTTGCAATACCTAATGAGGATCCACCATTAAAGAAACACCAACACACCCATAAAGAAAGACAAGCTAAAGTGATGTAAATTGGATTGTTAGGTTCAAAATGTTCTGCATATTTTGGATTAAACCTTTGATTTCTTGGTTTCAATAACATAGTTGTCATTAAAGCACCCATACCAGCAGATGCATGAATAGTACCACTACCTGCATAATCATGATATCCTAATTTCATTAACCAACCATTTCCAAATCCCCAATGTGCACAGAATGGATATATAACTGAAGAAAATACTACCGATAATATAAAATATCCAATGTATGTCATACGACCAGCAGCACCTCCTGAAACTATGCTAGTAGCAGCAGAAGCCACAGCTGTTTAAAATGCAAACTCTGCTAAATGTTTAGAATTTTTCATATCGAATCCCACATAAACAGATGATCCAACGAATTCTTTTGAATCACTTCCAAAAGCTATCCCATAACCAACAAGCCACCATATTATAATAGTAACACAAGTGTTCATAAATATTTTGAGCATTATACTTTACATGTCCTTATACCTAAGACATCCACCTTCAAGGAATGCGAATCCAACTTACATCAACAAAACGAATGCAGCACATATACATAAATATCCCTATAATTATTGATAAATATTACAATGTCTATAGATTCTTTGAGTTGTTCCATACGTTCCATTGCTATTCCTAAATCCGTCATTCTTTTTATAAAATTTATACAAAATAAGTCAATATCAATTTTATTTCTTATCCAAAATCTTTTGTATCAATTTCTATTTCCAATATCTATCCTACACTATAGGTTCTGGTACTTTATACACAAATGAACTAGAGATTAAATAAATCTTAAAAGTACTTTTTAAAAGTTGTTTTGAATTGTCCATCATAAGACCCATTTCCTTATTGATGATTACTATTATTTTTTTTTGGTGGTACTTCCTCAATCTAATAATTAGGATAGTGTATTTTAGACAAGGCTTCTTTAAAGATCATAATACTCCCAGAAGCAAAAGGACCTCTTAAATAAACAAATATTAAATACAGAGTTTTCTTTTTTGCAGATTCCATGGGTTCACAATTATTAACTTGATAGTTCTCTTGATAAGAGGTCTTGCCAATGAAGGGCAAATTTCCAATGCTTTAACCTCTTTAAGGTCCCACTCTTTCAGTAAGACAATGTTTCCAATTAACATAATTTTATTTATAACTTGTAAGAGTAAGCATTTCAGCATCATTCTTAATGTAGTAAGGTTTAAAACTATCCTGATGGTTAATCCTAGGGGTACGATAGGAAGTCTACAGATATAAAAATATCAAACTTCATATTGCGTTTGTAACTGAAGAGATTAAGCAATTGGAATTTAGTCATATATTTTGATGTTGAAATTTGAATGATCAATACCATTTAGTTTTTTATGAACTTGATTATAGGTTGTCTACTTTTTTTGTGGGAGAGACATTTTTATTTCTTATATTCTGTTTTGTTGTCTCTCTTGCATATACAAACCAAGTAGATTAACAAAATACTCTTGATTATCCAAAATCAATCTTTCAAGATTGAAGTTTTGATCTTCTTGTATTTCTGTGGGAATCAACTCCAACCAAAGGGGATCATCAATTGGTAATAGGTCAAAAATGTAGTTATTTTATGTTTTGACACTATCAGAAGGAGCAGGAGTAGTAGTTCGAGATTTTACTGAATAATTAGGTTAAGATGAATGAGAATGTTGTGATTTAGTCAATTTGTCATGAGGATCAATAATTTCGCCCTTATTGTTTTTGTATATAATTCTTTTCTTTCCCTTACTCTCATATCTACTGTAACTCTACAATGAGCCATCAGTTGGTGATCTAACCAAAAGATTTTGTTAAGATGGCTACAATAAACCTTGCATAATTATTAATTAACAGGAAATAGAAGATTGTTTTAATTAATATAAATTGATATTTTATTATTATTTGCATTCTGATTTCTCCACTTTTTTAATATCGCCTCCTTTCCTACAGCTCTAAAAATTATTAAGATTTATAAATATATCTTTTTCTCATCTTCATTCAGTTCTCCCTTTTCTAGTTTAAATTTCAAGGAACTATAGAATCTAAGAACACTAAAGTATATCAAAATACTTTTCATTTCACTAATTCTTTATAATATCATACTATCTAATTATAGAGATCAAATCAAAGTCTTCAAAACAATAAAGAATCTATCTACATCAACTATTAATCAACAGTTCTAGTCTTTTTGTTATTTTATACTTAGTTGTATAATCATATATAAAATACTTACTCTAAATAACTAACAAAATTCATCTAGATTTCTTTTAAACTTTCTTTTGAGTGATGTTTATGACTATTCTTACAATAAATATTTGTTGATTTATTAAAATAGAATTTCTTCTTTAACACCACATTAGTGAAATATTGATTTGACAAGAAAGTCAAATTATTAGTTAAATTATTATTATTCTCTTCATATTTCAATTCTGTCTTATGAAGAAATTTAAGTATTTCTTGATCCTTTTAATTATCATGAACAACTAACAGTGTATAATATTATCATCTAATGTTACATATCAATATTGAGTTATTTAGATCATACAACCAATATTCTTAAAATGGTTATACATCATTCTAAATAGTAATTTCTCTTATTTTTCAATATCACTTCCTAAGTTTTTTGGTTCCATATCATTTAATATAATCTATGCAAAAATTAATTGATTTTTCTTTAAAAAATAATATTCTTGATTACCTACTCATAAAAAAAGGTAAATTGAGATAATCATATTCATATGTGAATTTGTACTTCTAACTATTCATCATATATTTATTTGAGATTTTTGAATTGTATTGAAGTGTGAACTCTTTAAGCTAGAGATAGAGTTTTGATTTTAGCTATTATCTCTCATCAATCAGTTCTAGGGAATAATACTCATTAAAAATTATAATGAATTAACAAAAACATTTCAAATTCATACTCTAATATCTAGAATTCAGTTCCAAATCAGATCAATAGTAGTATGAATTAACAATCTTATTGAAACGCAGTACAGGTGCTGCTCAATAAGTTGTTGGCAAATTACCAATTAAGAATCCTGAACGTACTATGACAATTTGTCGTCTTCCTATTGATTAAGTAGTTGAGTTTCAATAACGAATGATCAAAAAGGATGGAATCTATACTGACTATAATGTAAACCCTCCTTATCTAGCTAGATCAAATTCCTTTTCTATTTGGCTGGCAATTAATTGCTAGGTGATTGTGTAATCAATTTAGCATACTTTCTTGATGGTGGAGCACCTCAAGATTAAAAACAAAAAAAACCACTCACATCTACAACAGATAAGAGAGCTGCTTTACTCTTTAAAGTGATTAAGGATTCAATGTTTGAATCTTAAGAATTGCCAATAGCAGATGTTCCTGCTCCAGTTATTGGACCTGCTCCTCAAACAGCAAGAACATCAAGTACTAGAAAGATAGAATCTAGAACAAATAGAGCTCGTAGTCAATCACCACCTAAGGAATTTAAGAGTACAATAATGGTTAGTAAAGCTAATGAATAATTAGTGTAACCAACTATTTCATAATCTTAATTCTAATAATCATAATAATAGTAGACATAATAAGATAATCTAACATAAAAGTTTGTATAGTTAGGTGAAAAATTTCAATAATAGAAATAATAATAAATCATATAATCATCACCACCACCAATACCTGAATATGATAATTTTAAAGAAATCACTGATCTTCTTTCTTAATAAGAGGCTGAATTAGAAAAATAGATTGAATAATTAGATATTCATATTAGATCTGATGGTAAGTTTAAGAAGATATTTGATGATTCCACATTCAATAATTTTGATATTAGTTCTAATGATTCAGAAATTTAATAATGGAAATAGAAATGTGTAGAAGTTGAAGAAAAATTGAATAAAATTCAGGATGAAAATTAACATCTTACTGTCATTATCAGATAATAAAGTGAATTATTAAAGAAAATGAATTAGAAATCTCAATCTGGGTAAAAGTAAATCAATGACAATGCTCTTAATCAATCCACTACATCTAATCAAGAATAATATGATAAAACTATTGAAAAAAAAAATTAAATCATTAAAGAATTATCGAATTAATTGTTAGAATTAGAGAAGAATTCTAATGTTAATGTTATTGATTAGTTAAAGAGTTAAATTATGAGATTAGAATAATAAATGTAAGAGAAAGAAGATTAATGGTTAACATAAGAAAGAATCTATAAGGATAAGATAATTTAATTGTTATAAAATACAGAATGAGTTTATCAAACAAAAATTTTGTTTATTTATTCACATTCTGCTTTATATTCATTACTCAATTCTCTATAATTCATTATTAATTATTCAATCGTCTTATTTTCTTTGGCTATCATATGAGACATTTCTGAAAACATCTCATGTAAAATTACCCAATGTAAATTTACTTAATGCATTCCATCTTCCTATAAAATAACAGTCCAAAATGAAATTAAAGGATATTTCATATCTACCATCATTTTCATATTATTTGGTGAAAAACATAGAGATCCTTATGGTCCAAGATGTACTGACATGTATTCTGATCTTAAACCTGTAAAACTAAGTCCTTTATAAGGATCTGGATATTCATAGACTCCTTTTGGATCTACTACACATATAGGTAGATGTTGAATTATTTTCTTAGTGTATTCAAAGTTAATAATTTCAAATACCCAATTATGATTAACATAACTTAAACATGGTTCTTACTTCATAGGTTCAAGTATTTTCTTATTTTAAAGTGAACTAATAATCCAGCTGAATTTAATATTATGAGATTTATGAAATTGTAATGGATGAAATAGTATAATCTAAAATTCTTCATCATGTTCATATTCTTTTTAATCTTACTAAACTAATTATGGTTCATTATCAAATTATTATTGTAATTATTATTATATTTATTATTCTTATTGCTATTTTTATTTACCTTATTTTTTATTTTATTTTTTCCCTCCTTTCTTATTGTTATCTTTTGGAGGTGGTTTATTATGTATTATTTATTCAGGAATATTATGCAAAATCTTGATCACATTATCAGGCAAATTTACTTTACATCCTTAACTATAATAACCATCTTCAATTAAATTTAAATCCATCTAAATTAAGACATCTACAGTCAAAAAATGATATTGATTCCTAGAATATTTGCCAATTACAGGGATTGCAGGATCTCCAGTAAAAACATTTGTAAGGGAAGTAGATTAACATTTATTTCCAATCCTGAGTAAGAATGAAAATTAATCAGGAGCAGATTTTTGTAATTCTTTAATATTTCCTATTTATTACATAAAATTTAATTAATGATCTGTGTGTGATGTCATAATTTGTTAATTAATAAAAAACATGAGTATAAAGTCATTCGTAATTGCTATATGCACAACTTAAATAAGAATATGGGTCTTCCTTATAAGTTGGAGCATAATCATCTATTTCCCCACTCGAATATTCCTCTTTGATTGAATACTCTTTTGATTCTTCCAATAAAGAATCATTTGATTCCTCTTTCTTTGGAAGACTCAAGAATTTGTCATAAGGTTGTTCTTTTTTCAATTCAGCCTTCAAATTTTCAATTGCTTGTATGTACATTTGTTTGGTTGATTGATCTTTGATTTTATTATTAACAAGTACACAGATCTCTGCCTGACTACCCAAAAATTCAATCCATTTAGTCTGAGTTTCCATTTGAATAATTTTTGTTCTTGGATTGATTGCACCAAATAACTTCTTAAGATCTCCTAACTCAAACTTTTATTATTTTGAGGTTTTCTTTTTATGGATTGCTCTCAGATACCCATCAACCTATTTATATCCCATTTCTTCTGCCCAATGCATGAATTGATTCATAAAGAATGGTACTATTCGTCTTTAGAAATTATGTTATTTCTTGACTGAATAGGGTACTTCTCTTTATTGTTATTATGGTTTTATGGTGAAATGAGTATTAATAACATCCAATAATTATTCATTTATCTAGATGATAACCTTTCCGTTGCATTTTTTTAGAATCTAAAATATCTTATTATACATCATACTTGATAAGTGTAATCTTCTTACATTTTATTTCTAATAATAAAATTTCATATGAAAATTTAGAATTCAATAATATTTTCATTACAAATTTCAACAATTTTCATGGAATTTTCATTATATAATAAAATTAATTAATCACTCTTATTAAGTATATGGGCATAATTCTCTAATTACCATATCACTTATTCTGATTTCCATCCCAATAGCCACATCCAAAGTGGTTTCATCATAATTATGAATTATCCCTCTTAAATATTAAGCAAACCTCTATAAGATTGGCCCATTAGCCATAATCAATCTGTAATGAATTTCATTCCTATTTATCCTATTAACTACTTCTTCTGGTTTTAAACCACAAGGACATCCCTCATCCCATAATTCACTATATCCACCAAATTCCTTACCATGTGGAGGCTAATCACAAATATGAAAAATATATCTCAAACTTGGAAGAGTAGAACTATCTCTCCAACTTATTTTCTTAACTGCTTCATTCAAACCATCCAAAGCTGCTTCAGCTCCATCTCCTCCACCATAACAATCTGCTTATTTAATTATAGATATTATCTCAGATCTCGAACATAAATCATGAACTTCAGTTACATAAGTTAGTTCTTGAGGTGGATGATCACGATAACATACTAAACCAAACTTCACACTAACTTATTCTTCCAATGATTGTTATTTTATTTTATTTATTATCATCTCTACAGCCTCTGTTGTTCTCTCTAAATAAGGATCCATAGATCCAGTTGTATCTACAACAAAAACACAATCTACCATTCCAAATTCACAATCAGGAACTTATGATATCATTATTGATTAAGATTATATAACCTTCTATTCATTTTAAATATTGTTTTATGGTTTTGCATATTCTTTCTCATTAAATCTATCATTATTATTTTAACTTGAACTAAATATTTTGATATCCTCTTTATTTTCTTTTACTTTTATACACAAATCTTTGTTAATACCCTCAAAATTATTATTATTCCTATTATTATCTTTGATTTAAATCTAATTCAATTATTCGTTTTATTTAGAGTAATTTATGATTGAATCCATCTTTAGTTTTTTAGTTTAAAAAAAGTTTGTTTATTTCAACGAAGTTTTTGTATTCTATTATTTTTCTGGTGTATTTATGGATTCCTATAATTTTTTAATTTTCATGTTTTCTTCTTATTTTTGTTTTACTACTTATTATATATTGTTATTTGGTTTTAAAAATGATGTAACTGTATTGTTTTTGATGGAATTTGCTTCTTACTTATGTCCTTAATAAAAAATTGATTTCCACCAATCTTATGAAACCTTTTTATTATTTACATCCTATTATTATTCCTTATTTTTATCATTTTATTAAATCACTTTACTATTTTAATCACTCATCAATATTTAACTTACATCTATCTATTCTTATTATTTTTACTTATCCTACTATACTTAAGACAAGACAACTTTATCTATTACTTTTGTTTAGATATTGTCATCTTATACATTTACCTTTTTTTGAATGAAGTAATTTAAAGTTTTTTAAGTAGAAGCTAGAATCTTAACTTTCTATTTCTATTCCTTTTTCTCTGATTTACTATTTGATAATAAACCCTAATTTTATTGAACATTTTGATTGATCTTGATTTGACTTTATTTTTTAGGTTTTTATGTAAAATCAGGGAATCTGCTCAAATATTGTTCTGCTTCTTTTATAGTTCTTTCAATTGATTTGGATCTCTTAACCATATAATAATAAAATATTATTAGTTTTACTCATAATTCTGTCGGATTTATGTATTTTTATATGATAATAAAATAATCTCATTATAATTTAGGAAATTCCTACTCGTTTGTGATGTCCACCTTCTTTTCTTATTACTTGACAACCTATTGAACCTCCTTCTTTATGAACTCAGTATCAGGTGCATTCTCATAAAAAGACCTTTAGGCTTTAATCAAATCAATTGATGCTTCGATTTAATTAAAATAAAATGGAGCAGCAACTTTGATATTATCAAAATATTGGAAAGTTGTTAAATCATGTTATAAGAAATAATTCTAAAAATTAAAAATATATATTTATACTTCTTCTTTTTTCTAAAACTTAGAGAGATAAGAAATCAAACTATCACACAATTCTAATAAGTTATAAACATAATAAATTACTTATTAAGTCTTCTCTTGCTGTATTGGATCCTTCAACATCTTATTCTTCTTCACTTTATTCCTCTTCAACTTCAATTTCTTCAGGAGCATCAGGATCTTCTACCTATATTTTATTGAAATGTTTTTCAATCTTCTTGGTATGCTTTTCTTCTGTCTTCTTGATCTTCTCAATCTTTTAAAGAATGTAATCTCTATGTCTTTATAATTCATGTTGATTCTCATGTTGATCCTTCAATTTAATATAGGCTTAGAGTAAGATGAGAACTCTTGAAGCAACTCCTAATTGGAATTAGATCTTCTCTCTTTCTCTCATAATGGTGTATTTGAAATTTTATTGATCTTTTGTTAACTTTTAGATGGCCTCATTATCTTCATCACTTTTTTCCTATTTATTTGTCAAAGCCTTCAATTTCTATTTATTTTGATGATAATTAGCATGATCACCAGAATATTTTGTAAGCCTCTCTCTCAAATGTTGTAATTTCACGGCTGCAAATTCATACTCATCTTGAACCAATTTAAAAGTTCCTAAACTTACTAAATGTTAAGATGTTGTAGCTTCTTTGAATAAAGCTTCTACTTCATGCTAAGAATATGGACATATAATATACGATAGCTTATTCAAATTGATTAATTTCTTTTTAGATTTCTACAGTCCATTCCTTATTTCTTAATTCATCAAGAGTCTTATTTGGCTGAATTTCTGGATGTTTTGATACTACCTTAGTATGTTTCTTCTATTATTGGGCTGTCTTTGGTTGTTGAATAATATGAATCATTAATTTAATAAATGGATTTTATGATCTAAATCAACGTATTATCAAAAAGATTTGTTTAATATATATTCTTTAATTAATTAGATAAATTAATTTCAAAATTTAAATATACGTCATTTAACAAAGTGATGCTCATAAATTCTGTAATTATTATATTTTATATAATTATTATTATATTTATTAATTAAATTTTGTTTGTGTTTTCTATTATAAATAATTAATATATTTTTTGTTATATATTAATTACCTAATATATTTCAAACTTATTAAAATAAAAAATATTTATCTAAAATAATTTTGCACAAAATTTCATATGAATACAATAAATATCGAAATCAAATTTATTACTAAGAAAATAAGCAATAACATTGATCTTATGTATAAATTCAAATTATTTAATAATATTAATAATCATAAAGGTAAGTATGTTTTGAATTAAAATTTCTTATTTAACAATATAAAATTACAATCTATCTTCTATATTATAAATAAATTTGTGATAAATCACATTAATATTGTTATTAAATGAATTTTAGTATCTTTATACTCTATATTTTTTAAATATGTGCATTTTAGATAACGGAGAATGAGATTTCATTGTACCCAACAATAGGAGAATATTATGAATACAATATATATGAGCTTGTATATGAAGACGCATATGTTTTATATTAATAAGAAGAATAAAATCATGATTTGCAATAAATTAATAACATAATTGATAATAATTATCAATTAAAATGGATAAGTCATCCTAATATTGAAAATATATAAATTAAGAACTAATTTTAAGAAATTGATTTAATATTTGGAGATTGTATTATATATATGTTTGATTATAGAATTTAAATCCTTATCATCAAATAATACTCATTTTGCTGGTCTCACATTTGAAAATGAAATAAAAATTTATAAATGGGAGAATTAAGTGATGAGATAAATTGGATAATCATTAAAAATAGATAATTAATTTAATTGTTTTAATATAGATNGAATAATATGAATCATTAATTTAATAAATGGATTTTATGATCTAAATCAACGTATTATCAAAAAGATTTGTTTAATATATATTCTTTAATTAATTAGATAAATTAATTTCAAAATTTAAATATACGTCATTTAACAAAGTGATGCTCATAAATTCTGTAATTATTATATTTTATATAATTATTATTATATTTATTAATTAAATTTTGTTTGTGTTTTCTATTATAAATAATTAATATATTTTTTGTTATATATTAATTACCTAATATATTTCAAACTTATTAAAATAAAAAATATTTATCTAAAATAATTTTGCACAAAATTTCATATGAATACAATAAATATCGAAATCAAATTTATTACTAAGAAAATAAGCAATAACATTGATCTTATGTATAAATTCAAATTATTTAATAATATTAATAATCATAAAGGTAAGTATGTTTTGAATTAAAATTTCTTATTTAACAATATAAAATTACAATCTATCTTCTATATTATAAATAAATTTGTGATAAATCACATTAATATTGTTATTAAATGAATTTTAGTATCTTTATACTCTATATTTTTTAAATATGTGCATTTTAGATAACGGAGAATGAGATTTCATTGTACCCAACAATAGGAGAATATTATGAATACAATATATATGAGCTTGTATATGAAGACGCATATGTTTTATATTAATAAGAAGAATAAAATCATGATTTGCAATAAATTAATAACATAATTGATAATAATTATCAATTAAAATGGATAAGTCATCCTAATATTGAAAATATATAAATTAAGAACTAATTTTAAGAAATTGATTTAATATTTGGAGATTGTATTATATATATGTTTGATTATAGAATTTAAATCCTTATCATCAAATAATACTCATTTTGCTGGTCTCACATTTGAAAATGAAATAAAAATTTATAAATGGGAGAATTAAGTGATGAGATAAATTGGATAATCATTAAAAATAGATAATTAATTTAATTGTTTTAATATAGATATATCAAGTAATAATAGAATTTTATTTGATTGTTATTAAAATGAATAGTTATATTTAATGAATTTAAGTGATTCATAATATAATATTGTGTATTCAAATAATTCATCTATGCCTATTAAAACTAAATTATAATCTATAGTTAATGGTACTAATATATATATAATATATGCTTAATATTATTAGAATAACTCTATTCTATCATTATTTTCAAATAAATATGAAAATTTAACTTGCTGGAACAACAACTTTTTAGATTTTAATATCCCAATTAAAATAGATCCTTATATTTATGTACTTACTTAATAACAAATCTTATAATTTTCTATTTCATCTAATTACACTTTTGAACTCTAATATAATTTCACTCAAGATAATATTACTAATTTTATTACCATTCACAGTTATTACAATTATTTTACTTATTCATAATGTGATCAAATATTTGTATAATCAGAATTTGAAGAATCTTTTACGATAATCTCTTTATGGGGATGTGAAAAATAAATAATTCTATAGAATAATTATAATCAATATTAATTTGATTAATCAATATAGACGATACTCTAGAATAACTAGTTTATAATATTTTAATAAAATCATTAAATAATTCTTTATTAATAGGCAAAATCAGCAGTCTTTTAGTATAATCATATAATTTAAATAAATTCCTTATTATATTTTAATGCTGATAATGAATTATTTTCATTTAACTAAGTTATCAATACTTATAAAATATAAAATCCATCTTTATTAATCAACTTAACTAATCTATAAGTTGCAGGACAAAATGACAATTTTTCTATTAGGTGTTTTAGTTAAAATATATTTAAAAACTAAAATCTTATAAATATTATCTTTAAATATTGCCAAAGAATGATACTAATATTTATGTAATGTTTTAATAGAAATTTCCTTAATACTAATATACAATGCTGAAAAAAATTACAATAAATTTTATTAGTTTCTCAGGAAAACTATTATAATATTCGCAAAATAATGATACAAATTATTTTAATTTTGAATAAGCAACTTATAACAATATTAGTAAAATGATTAATTAGAACTTTTATTTAGTCTAATAATTGTAAACAATCTAAAATTTTAATGAAACCTTATTGTTTTTAATTGGATATAATAATTAATAAGTCTAAATTTACAATTGCTCTTATATTAATGATTCTCTCTAATATACTACATTTAATAATATCTCAATTACTATAAAAGCAAATTAACTTTAAGTTGCTTATAGCATATACCCTGAAATAATAATAATAGGTTTAAATAACAATTAGACAATATGTTTAATTTAATAACAATATGATGATAACAAGACTTTTACTTAATCAAATATAACTTTTGAATCAGAGATCTTAGAATTTTTAGTCACTTATAATAATATCATAATTTTATTTAATAATTAAGAAATTTAGATAATGACATTGGATTTTTAAAATATCTTTACCTTAAATTAAACATATATAAATAAATATTTTAACATTGAATTCAATCCAATATAGATTATTGTTAATACACAATTATTATCTTCATTTTTATACATTAATAATATCCAAAATATTATCATAGTCTCAATATAATAAAATAGCTTACCTATTCCAATTTCATTGATATAGGTGAATTTTACAATCTATAAAATCAATTTAGTAAACTAATAATTGATTTTATCATATCTTTGTTATAATAATCAGTCTATTTGTTTTCAAGTTTGGAATGTTGAAAATATACCATAATATTATTATGAGAAGAATTTATGTGAAGTTGATAATAATGATCAAATAAGAATTTCATCAGATAATTTGTTCTTTTATGTTACTTTTGCTAATAATTCTGTTTATATTTATAATCCTTCATTACCATATCATATGAGTTTATATTATTAATTAAACTAAAGTTTTTAAAGTACTCTTGCTATTTAAAATTAGAAATCATTCTTATTTGATTATTCAATCATATTTTAATAAAAAGCTTTTTATTAACTTGTTTAACTTTAAACTATTACAATATAACCTAATTAAGGGATTTCTATATTTAATTATAGTTACCCATAAGTTATTTATAATTATTATGTAACTTCTGTATTAAACAATTCAACCAATTAATCAACACCTAATTAAAGTATTACTTTCTTATCAGATTTTATTTAATTTTAGCCGAACAAAACAATTACCATTAATTTAACATAAGAAGATTAAGATAATCGAAATCATCATTTTTCATATCCGTTGAACCTAATTGTAGATAGATAATACACCGGTTGCACAATAAATGATCTATCTAATTTAACAATTATAGATAATAAATTTATTAGTAAATTGTTAACTTAAGGTTGCTTATAAACTACATACAACTATACTTATAATAAAAATATAAATAATGCAATATTTAGCAAAAATTCTTTAATAACATCAATAAATAACAAATTTATTATTTTACAGAGTAACACTTCAATTAATATTTTGAATAGTAGCTTAACAGAAATTAACTCTAAACAAATAACTTTTAGTTATTGTCTAACCTCCACATCATATAATGACACATACTATTCAATTTGTGAAAACAACACATCATAATATTTGATTATATTGACATTAAATTAATCAGGATTTATAGTAAATACTAATACTTCAATATAACTTCCTAATAAATTCTCAAAGATTATCAAAATGAGGTGTGTCCTAGACCAAATTTTTATTCTAGGTAGCTTTAATAATTAAAGCGAATTCTTGTATTGGTTTAACCAAATTAATAACACTTTTATACAATTAACTTAAGAAATTAACCATAATTTTGATAATAAATATTATTGTTAAGATTTCTCTGCTGCCTTATTTTAATAAACTCATAATTAAGAATACACTATAATAATTTTTTAAATAATAAGATATCAAGTCTTTTATCAAATAATGGAAGTTGAAGGAGAAAATGTTAGAATAAACCCTCTTATTTATGTGATAATACATTATTGTAATTTTTAATATAGTTGCTTTTAATTGGATAAATTTAAATACATTCTAATTATAAATTTAATTTAGAAAAATGTAATAATCTTTTTAACTGATAAATACAATTTTAGTTACTTTATCAGAGTTATAATAAATCCTAACAACATACATTCTTCTAATTACGCAGCTAATGTTATAAGAACAATACCAAATTATTAAAACTATGTTTGTACTGATAATTCGTTTTACTATGATGGCGTTCTGATGTAATAATTTACTAATGGTTTAAAATATGTTACAGGAATTTATTATTTAGAAAATTTAGGTAGTCTAAGTATAAATGAACCAATATTGATGTAAGGTTCCTTTTTTTCATAACTAAAACAATATGCTATGATTGTAAATGAACAATATCCTAGTGGCATTGCTTTATCTCTGAAATATGAATATAACTATTCTTATTAACTTGTACCTGCTTACGTCATTACGTTTAGTACTACTAATATAACCTGTAATTTGAAAAAAAAAACACTATAATTCAATGTCACTATTAAGTGTTAAAATAATTTTAGCAATGGCACTTATGATATCGCATTTAATCTCTACTAATAACCCTCTTAAAGTAGAGGATGGATATATGCTCTTCTAATACTCATTTCTTTGCTACTATTTTATTTTTACTATAAAGTTAAAACCAAGAGTAGAGATTATAATATTAATTTAGAAATTGAATTATGATATATTAAATTTTTGATTTACGATATAATTAATTTATTTTAGAAGAATCAGATATTATAATTATTTTTTAATTCTATTTTGCAAACATAATTCTTTCATAATTAAATATTCATCTCCAATCTAAAATTCTTTTTTACAATATTGAAGATTCATCATTTTTTTATTACCAATTCTCTATCACTTATTATAGGAATTAATCAAAATCTCAAATCAACATCAATAAATAAATGAAAACAGCAAAGATTGATAATTGACTATCGTACCTCATTTACACTGTCATTTCAATTCATACTCTCATTTCTATTTGGATTGTACAAAAAATATTTAATTACCTTATAGTTGAATTTGTGGCTAAATGTGGAATCTTTTTCTAAGCATTATATATTGATTATTGTTATGAACTTATTTCATTATATAATTACATATTTTATCAAATAATAATAGAGGAAATAGATATTATAAGTTATATAATTTTCTTTTTTAATGTTTAAGCTCTAAGATAGTGATCTTGATTGGTTAGAACAATTATAAATTCAAAAAACAATGCTTTCACATTTAATAAATTGAAGCTTGAAATTTATATTATTAAATCTAATTGAATAGAAGTTCCATTCAGAATAAGTTTAAAACATCCTATTTAGATCAAGATTTTAATTTTGAAAGATATTTAAAATCATATTAATATGGATTATGTCATTGGATAAGTATAATTGATAGATTAGTTTAATAAAGAGGATGAGTGATTTTAAGGATATAATAGACATGCATTTTTGATTTTGACATATTGAATTTCTTAGTTGGGATAGATGTAGATTGGAAATGAATGAATTAATATAAATGATTATGAGAACTGTGTAGTATAATATATAAAAAATCAGATAATAATTTAAATAGTTTAAAAAAATGGACGACAAAACAAATCAAGAAGGGTAAAAGTTAGAATGAAATTTAGGGCTGAGTAATTAGTGATATTTGAGGAGAAAATCACAACAGTTAATGGATAGGTGGCAATTAAGAAATATTAAAGAGGGAAGTTTTTAGGAAAGGGAGGATTTGCAAAGTGTTATGAAGCAACAAATCTTGAAACAAAAAGGGTTCTTGCTGCTAAGATTATTGTTAAGAGTAGTTTAACAAAGAATAGAGCCCGTTAAAAAGTAAGTACTGTTAATTGATGTAGCTAATTTCAGAAATAAAAATACATAAGAGTTTGTAAAACACAAACATTGTACAATTTGAACATGTGTTTGAGGATCATGAGAATGTTTACATTTTATTAGAATTGTGTTCAAATTAAGTAATTAATGAAATTTAAAAATAGACATTAAATGAATTGATAAAGAGAAGAAAGAGATTGACTGAAATTGAAGTGTAATGCTATGTGGGTTAAATAATAAATGCATTAAAATATTTACATGCATAGAAAGTGATTCATAGAGAGTAAGAAATTTAATAATAATCAAAGTCTTAAATTGGGTAACTTATTTTTAAATAAATCAATGGAATTAAAATTAGGAGATTTTGGTTTAGCAACAAAATTAGAATTTGAAGGAGAAAAGAAAAGAACAATATGTGGAACACCTAATTACATAGCTCCTGAAGTTTTGGATGGAAGAGTGGGACATTCTTTCGAAGTAGATATTTGGTCATTGGGTGTCATAATGTATGCTATGTTGATTGGCAAACCACCCTTTGAAACTCCAGATGTCAAAACAACATATAGAAAAATTAGATTGAATTCATACTCTTTCCCAGAACATGTGTTAATATCAGATCCAGCCAAAAGTTTGATTACAAGAATTTTAAACTTAGATCCAACATAAAGACCTACATTAGATGAGATTATGGCTCATCCATTTATGAATACTGGAGGTACAATTCCTAAGACATTACCTTTGTCTACTTTGGCATGTCCTCCATCAGCTTCTTATAATAAATAATTTTAACCATCTACCAATACTAGTAATTTAAAGATGTCAACAAATGTATTACCATAGAGATTAACAGAAACTACTCCCAATAATCCTAAGAATGTTTAAAAATAGACTAATGGATCTTCTGATCGTTTCCCCTGTAACTTACCAATTAAATAATATTAGTATAGAAGCCAAGTTCAAGTGGAAACATAATGGATGATAATTTTGGTTCTAGTGGTCTTAACAATGCCTAGAATGTTGGTTATGGTGGAACTTAAAGACCATAATCTTAAAAACCAAATGATATCAGAAATAGTTAGAGTTAAAAAACACTTTCTTAGCCTTTTGGAGGAACAGGAATGTAAGGTGCATAATCAGTTAATAATTTGGGAGTGAAATAAACATAAGCAAAATAGGAAGTATATGTTAAGAAATGGGTTGATTACTCAAGTAGATATGGATTAGGTTATTTATTAAGTAATGGTGCAACTGGAGTATTCTTCAATGATTCAACTAAAATTGTTTTAGATACTAAAACTTTATAATTTGAATACATGGAGAGAAAAGGATAAGATAAGTAAGATATTTGTGAAACACATAATCTTAATGATTATCCTTAAGATTTACATAAAAAGGTTACACTTCTACAACATTTCAGAAGTTATTTAGAAGGTGAACCTCAAACTGCTTAAAGTGAAGAGAATGAAAATAAATAATTAGTTTATGTTAAGAAATGGATGAAAACTAGACATGCTATTATGTTTAGATTATCCAATAAAATTGTTTAAGTAATAAATTTAATATTAATAATAAATAGGTTAATTTTACAGATAAGACTGAAATTATATTATCTTCTGAACACAAAATGGTTACATATGTGAATAAAACAGGTGAAAGAAGTCATTATCCTTTGGCAACTGCTCTAGATAGTTAAAATACAGAAATGTCTAAAAGATTGAAGGTAAATATATAGTATTTATATTATTTATAGTATACAAAAGAAATATTAACTCATATGTTAAATGGTGGTTAGAATGCTGGAGACTCTAATTCTAATTAACGTGTAAATGCTAACTGGTAAAATCCTTGAATATTAGATATTCTGAAAACTATAATAAGAATATATAGTTTTGTTAATTTATAATTATTCATTAGAGAATATATATTAATAATTAAATAGACATAATTATTTATTATTATAAATAATAATAAGATGAAGAATAAATTTGAAAACAAAATAATGTTATATCATTTAATCAATTTATTTTTACACCAAACTCCAATAAGTGAACCAAAAGTACCATGACCATCAACATAATCTTGATAGAATTCTCCCTTGTAACATTCATTATTTGATAAATATAATGCTCCTTGACCATCCTTAAGATCATTCTTAAAATTGCCAACATACTTAACCCAATAACTAATTAGTTATCATTAAGTCTTACTTTCCAATTAAATCAAAATTTGAACAATCAAAAGAAGAATTCAATTTAGTAGGTTCTTTATTGTACAATGTTCCAAATCCAGAGAATTAATCATTTTCAAATTGTCCTTCATATGCTTTTTAACCAACTCCATAAAATAGAGTTCCATAACCATGCATTTTATTTTATTTCCATTATCCTTCATAATAACCACCTTCTGCAAATTGATATCTACCAAATCCATCTCTTAATTAATTATATGTTTCACCAACATATGATGATCCATCTTAATATTATTCAGTTTTGAAACATCTTGATTTATTCATCTCAATCATCTATTCCATTTCTTATCTATAATTTATGTCCTTTTTAACAACATAACTAATTGGTATTTCAGTATAACTCAATGGAATACTCTTACATGATGGATGAGTATCTATAGTGATTACACGAGGATTTGATTATTAAGTAGTTTTAGTGGTTTCTGAATAAATGGGTTTTTAGGATTCCACTTAAGATATTTGAGGTTTAATAGATGTATTTGGCATTACAAAAGGATCTATTGAATATGATTATAATCCATTTCCAATTAACTATTCTATCTTTTCTTTATCAGTAAATTATTTCTTTTATGAAGAATTTGTAAATTATAGTTAAGAATTAACCATAGGTTTATTGAATGAATAATCAACAGAAGCATAACTATTAATTTTCTATTATTAAATAGCTGATTTACTAGGATCTCTTATAACCATTTATTCTTAATACTAATAAAATCCTAATTCTTTCTTCTTTGGTTTCTTAATCATCATTTTTGATTTAATTCTTAATTATTCTAATTCAACCATAATTTTGCTAGGTTTGCTTTCAATTTATTCTTTCAATTAATTTAATGATTCTGGTATAATGTCTTCCTTTAAATTCATTGGTGATTTGGAATCCAAACAAATAGCAGAACTATTAATTAATGAATTCTCTAAGGATTTTGATATTCCTGCATCTGGATTGCCTTTCATGAGATTCATTAATTAATTAAAATCTGGTCTGGATTCTTCATCCATCTATAACATTGACACTATAACCTATTCATATTTAATTGAATAATTCTTCTTCAATAGAGCTAGTTTCCTTGACACATCAACATGTCCTCCTTCAAAACTAATAATATTTATAATGATCATACTCAAAACAATCTCTACAATGATCCAATAAACTTGCTTATAACATACACATTCCTACACTCCATACATCACTCTTATATAGATTATGTCTAGGGAATTGATTATTCTAATTGATTGCTTCCAATAACTTAGGTGATAATTCAAATAATTTCTAATTCTCTGGATTCTATTAAGCCATTTGAAATGCACTCTATTGAAAGTAATTGTCACATAGTTTTAAAGTGTTTTCATTTACATAACTAATAGTCAATGGTCTGATATTCTAATGTACTAAATGTGCTTCTTGCATTGTCATCAATAACTAATTATTGTATTATACATTACATTAACAAGGCCCAATAATTAATTCCATAGTTCTTACTCAGTCCAGAATGCACCTCTACCTTTTCTGTTCACAATCTCTTTATGCATTGAAGTAGAGTAATATTCACTTATAACATACATTATGTTATATGAAGTACACAATTCTTATTCTTTCTATATTCCACTATCCAATATTTTCACCAAATTTGGATGATCAACCTTTGCTCTCTTAATAAATCCATCATGTTGACTTTCATCCTAAATAATTACTTTTCTCATTGCACAAATCTAATTGTATTTTCTAATCAAAGTAGCTTTCCCATAACGTGAGTCTTGTATTTGTCCTTCTTATTTACTCTCTTAAGAACCCATATTATATTAAACAAATATTTATTTATATCTTGTATTCAATTATTATTATTTCAACTATTAATATAATATTAACTAATTCAACTGAAGAATCTAATTAAACCAATTCTTAATATCTAATTGATTTATGTATAATAATTAATAGTATTAATATTATTAGAATTATTAGTATTATTATTAATATTCAAATCAAAATACAATATTCATATAATATAGAGTTTTATATTAATAATAATAAATATTAATATAATAGATATACATATATATATATATTACATAAATTATAAATAGTCTTAAGATTATAATAGTCAATCTATAATGATATTCTAAAAGTATTATAATTTTTTAATTTATAATAACATTATTATTTTTAGAATGCAAAATAGATATTATAATTTACACTGAAGTCAAAGAGATACATACAATCATATTAACCTAATTAAAATTTATTAAACTCTTCCTCCAATTTTCTTGTAAGATTGAGACATTTGAAAATGTGTTTTTAAATTAATAGAAACTAAGGTAAGATTGAGTGTTATCATATAATAAATAATTAATTCAATGGTAATGTACAGAATGAGACAATGTACTATCTACATCTATAGTTCTAGATTCATATGGATATACTTGCATTTTAGGAGGATTTCTGTAATATCTTTAGACTGCGGGTAATTTTAGTCTTGGACTGCAACTGCGTCGATGTTAATTGAAATATTTCTTTCCAGTATCATCTTTTTGAAAATTGTTCATTTTATCAATCATCGATTTAAGATTATCTGGTGCTTTCAGATTACGAGAAGTATGAAATCGAGCAGATGCAGGAGATTTATCAATAACAAAGACTGCCCTAACAATAGGATCTAGATTCTTAATGTAATTAGCTATTTCTGATGAAGCTCCACGATAATTCTTATATCTTCCAAGAATGGTTGGGTCAGAAAACAGTTTTTAATTTTCAAGTCTTGATTAAATAGATTTAGAGACTATTATACCTTAATTTAGGATTTCTAGCTAAAATTATGCTGTTTAAATAATTGACTTTTGAGACCATATCTCCGTCATGAAGGTTGGCATCCATAGTAAATCGATTAAGTTCTACTTTATTAGAAACATACATAAAATAATATAATTATAAATGATATTCTTTTGAAGTTAAGTAAATAAGTAGAAGCTAATAAAGGTTTCATTTTATTGAATAACATTTCCTAACTTAAACCATTTTTTATATTAATAATGGATAAATAGAAAGTAAAATAGAAGCCAGATGATTCTGATAGTAGTAATTTCAAATAACTATTACAGATATCTAATAAATACAACTAGAGTAGATTATAATTATAATTTAAGAAATAGACAAAGACGACTAGAAAAGTAAGAAATACCAATATTAAAGAAAGTTAAACTACCTGAACCTCCACTTCCAATATCAACATCTTTACTATAATTATTATCATTTAAGAAGAATTGAAGTGGAATATATAAAGTACCTTAACATTTGCATAAAACTATCATCATGAAGTGTATTTAATTAGATTAAAATTTTCGACTCTATTTGGGAAATCTACCAGATAATGTTGATAAAGATCATCTTCATAATTATAATAAATAGAATATCTTGGAGCTGTATTTGATCCTCCATATCCAGTTATACAAGAATAATTGTTACCGAGTTAAAAATATTGTTTTATGTAATTTAGAAGCATTTAAGAAACAGAAACAGCACTATGATGCTTTGGTGTATATTTTAAGTGAATATGAAAATTTTAAATCATTAAATGTAGATAGAGATACAAAAAATGTTTGTAAGTGTTTATTTTGTGAATTTGAAACTGATTTAGAAACATAAATTATGTAAATGGATTGAATAATAAAGTAATTGGTGGTAGATTATTATAAGTTAAAAAGAATACTTAATGATCTACTTCAAATTGAAAAAATTAGTAGATTAATAATTATTGTTGTTCAAGAGAAAATGAAGATTATTATGAAGGAATTGGAAGGATTTTTGTTTTAATTTGAAAATGTATAATTTGCTAAAATTGCTATTATTCTTTTATAAAACAAAATATATGATGGAAGAGAAATAGATATTGCCTTTTATGATCCAGATAAATAATATTGATTTAAATATATTCATATCTTAATTATTTAGTATAATTGATATTAGTATTAAATTCTTAAGTTAATTACTAATAAAAAATGATGTTATTTATTGTATATATATTAATGTAATATTATTATTCTATTTTCAACATAATTTTATAGTAAATTATTAAAAGGTGTAAAATTTTTATTTTTAATATTTAGATATCAAAATTTATAAATGAATTTCGGAAAATAATAGATTATTTCTCAAATTTAATTATCTTTAAAATAATATTATTTTCTAACTTTATTTGAAAAAACATTAATAATTAAAATCATTTCCATATATTCTTATATCCTTTTAGCAAATTCTGAATTATAAGAACTAACTAATTCGATGAATCATTATTTCATATGTCTTTAAAATTTATTTTAATATTCATTATTAATTTAATTTTCTAAACCTCCTATAAAAGTGTAAATATTTAATCTATATGAAACTCATATTAAATTAAAAGATCAATAAAAAGAATCTAATTCAAATAAGAATAGAAATAAATAATTATCATAATAATAAAATGATTCTAATTTATAAGCATAACTAAAAGTTTGATATCAATTTTGATATTTATTATGAATAATATTTAAATTCAAAATCGATTAAATTCCTTTTGTGTAACATCATAAAGAAAAAGAAATACATCCTAATATACATAACAATCATAAGTGGTTGTGAAAAATAAATGTGTATAATTTTAAAAGATGAAATAAAATAATCTGCTTGAATTATTACTAATGGACACTGGAACAAGAATGCCTTCTCCAATTTCTAGTTAAATAAGTGTTGGTATAGGAAGAATTCCAAAGGATTTTTTTAATTGATTTAATAGTTATATTGAAAATCTTTGATGAATATTTAACATTAATTATTCTAATTTGAATTATACTATTTATTTCTTATTTTTTTTAAATGATCTCTAATGATTTAAGTATTATTACTAGTAATTAAATACACAATTTATGTTATTACTTAGATGTAATATAATATTATTAATAAATTTTAGTCTGTGATGATAATCATAATAGAGAATAAATATAATAATAATAATGAAAAAATTCTTAAATTTTGATTTGTAAAGATCAAGTTATGCAAATCCGGTGTTGAAGGAATTAGCTTAATTGAGTTTATTAAAAAAGATAGAGAGTAGAAAATTATTGGAGGTAGCAGAATTAGGGTAGAGATGTTATTCAATTGAGAAGAATGATAATAAATGGTTGGAATAGATTTCTGATTGTTTTGAACATTATAAGATTGAATTATAGAGAGTAGGAAATATGTTAAAATAAGCAGAATAAGAGATGATGCAGATTGAGGTAAAATAGTTGCACTCCTCCAAATATAGGATGAATTTATGACGAAAGAGATGAATTGCTATAGCTTAGTAAGTGAATTCGAGATGGAATCATGCATTAAAGATTATAAATTATAATGTTTAAATTAGAAACAAAAAGTACTTGATAGGATTAATGAATTAAATTGAGTATATAACAAATCATGCATATCGCCATAATCTCTATGGTATTCATATATATATAAATGTTCTAAGCCACTCTTATTCAACAATATTCGAGAGTCCATCCATAAAACTTCAGAAAGAAGTCTCATTCAAATTCTGAAGGAATATCTAAGATAATTGTTAAAACTCAGCCAAATGTAGAGAAACAAAAAAATAGATGTGAAACCATAGATGTAGTAATGAAATCAAAAGATTCTGCTCCAGAAGAAACCTATTCACAAAGATTAAAGATAATAAATTAACGAGTGTATGTTGTAAATACATTCAATCGTATAATCAATGTGGATAGAGTAGGACATAGAATGTAAAGGGGATAGTTATTGAGACATTTGAGAGAATTCTATAGTCAAATCATTGTTGAACAAATAAATAAAGTTCTAAAAGTACCAGATACGTTGACACTGTAGATGTATGAATAATTTGTAATTTCATTATAACAATTGGACAGAAAGCAATACTTGAATCTATGTTTTTAGATATATGATTTATAAGGATAAGGTGTAATAACTAGTACAAACTTACTCTCTATCTTATCAGTAGAGAAAAATACTTCCATTATAGAAAATGATATTCTAACTATGATTAAGCTTCGATCAAATCTACTTAAATCATAATTAGATAAGAGTGAATCATCAAGATTACCTAAACTTAAAACCATTATTATAAATCGTAAAAGAACTTCTAAAGGAAAACGAATGATGATCTCTCAAATTGAGGATGAAGTAGATTAGGTTGTTATGCATCCAATTAATAGATTGAAACTCATTGATAAAAATCAATTTTGTAAGATTTGGAATGATCAAATCCCTGGAATAATTTAAGACCTCTTCAAAAACTTGAATGATTATTATTATTAATGAGTACAGAGACGACTGAATTTATTCCTAAAAGAATGGCAGTTGCAGTAGCAATCTTGATCTTATTCTTACTCCATTATGCAACCCTCCTTATTAATGCAATCTCCAAGGGTCCAGAATAAAAAGAGTATGTCAACAGAAGAGTGTTTCTTTTTGGAATAGCAGGTCTGTTAATTATATACTAAAACTATTAGGCTTATTGAGTATGTCAACTATACAAAGTAGTGTATTCTCAGCTATACTTGCATGGCTTACTTTTGTCCCACTTGCTGTATTACATTTATGCATTTATGAAAAATTTCAAAATTTGAACAATTACAAAGACACTCTCTGGTTGGCATATTATGGATTACAATTTGTTTGGTTCCTAGGGATTATTATAGATTTCTATTCATGATGCATATATTTAATCATTTATCAAAGTTATTCACTCTCCTATTCAACTAATTATTATCATATAACATGTATAATATATAAAATCAATTTATTTTCTTTTGAATTCTTAATTACATTATTGAGTTATTCTACAAATACTCTTTGAATTACAATCTTCTTAAGTTTTTCTTATAATTCTCTTTCTTCCTTTTTAAATCTTCTCAATTTTAATATAACCTACTAAGTTGATTGTATTTCATCTTTTGATTACTTAAGTAATTCACCAAATTTTATTGTACATTATTAAGAATATATAGTTCTCTTCTTATCTATTTATCCAGTAATAATTTCCCTTGAAAAAAAACTTTGATCTGTCTATTTCATAGAAACATTTTGATTCCTAGATAAAACACGACTATCCTTATAAGTCTGATCAAGAATGACTTAATCATCTAATTCATTAAATAATTTTGAAACTTCTCATCTATCTAGACATTTAGATTAGATAAACTACTTAGAGTATTAATCATAGCTCTTCAATTATTTATTCTTCAGAATTTAATTTAATCTTTTACAGTTGTAATATTTATGATAATTCTTTGAGTCTAGATTAATCAGACATCTGACTTAATAATTTATTAGACCATAACTCATTTGTTAATATGTACCCTTTGTTTTTTATGCAATTTATGTACAAATGAATCTTAAATATTATTATTGTATATTTTGGATATCACTTCCTTATAGTCTGCCTACTAAGATATGCTCCTTGCTATTCCTGATGCTTTCTAAAATGCATATAATATATATCTGAATTGGCATTCTTGGTGAAAATCTCAAATGTCTTTCTTCTCTATACTAATTTAGGATCAGAAATGATGTTTGGAATCTAAAATAAATACTTAAATTTATCAGTTTCATTTTGAATTATCTTGCATTTATCTTTCTTACGTATTTAGCTAGTATCTTGAAAACGAACATAATTTTTATGACATTGAATTTATTTCGTTTACTTTTATGATTGAGACTCTAAGGAATCTCCCTTTTAATATTATTTTTATATTCTTTATTATTTTAATCCAGAAAGATATAAGTATTCTAATTTTAAGTTATATATTGTAAAATAATAAGAGAAATTACAGAGAAGTTAATAATTTAATTAGTAAAAATTAACATTATTAGTTTTTACAAAATTTAAGATGTAAAAAAAGAATAATTACATATTAATTTAAGTATTAGAAATTAGTTTACATTTTATAAATTAATTTTTATCATTTATTATTCTATGATATAAATAACTCAAAACATTATGACAAATACAAATAGAACTCCTAGGTAAATCAAATTTGAATAATTTCCACTTTCATCTAAATAGAATTCTAAAATATCAGGTCTAATTGCTTCAGTCAAATCTGTAACTTCAGGTTCATTATCAGTATCAGTTCTAATATAAAGTATGCATAGATAATTATTCTCAACATCAATCCAATTTTCAAACCCATGAATTCCTGGACTTGAATAAATAGATGGTTTATCATCACTATCTCTATCATATACCCATGCTCCAATAGCAAAACTATATGAATCTTCAACTTCTCCGACCACTTCTTCCATTACTTCATCTGAAACTGGTAAATCTCCTGTATGATCTTATAGCATTGTTTGAACAGTAGATGCTAATAAAATATTTTTTCCATCAAAATAACCCTCATTTAAGAGCATTCTTAAGAAATTACCATAATCAATCATTCGAATCAAAAGGCCATCTGCAATGGCAATATTATTTCCTGTTTCTCCATCAAAAGCAGTAAATTTGGCATTCTTCATTCCCATTGGAATAGCTATATATTCATCAAATAATTCATGAAAAGTCTTACCAGAGACCTTTTCTGCCATTCCTCCTGCAATTTGCATTCCAATATCACTATAACCAACTTTGGTTCCTCCTGGAAAATACACTTTACTAGCAGGATATTGACCTCCTTTAGCAATACCAAGTACAGATTCTTATAACGAAATATTTAAATCAAAAACCCATTCATCAGCCAACTAATAACCTGATGTATGAGTCATTAAATTCTTTAATGTCATAGTTGGATTAGTATTTTGGAATTCTGGATAGATATCAGTTACTTTTGTATCAAGACTTAATAATTGCAATTCGACAAGTTTCATAATAGTAGCCATGGCAATCCATTTACAACCAGAAGCTATATGAATAGTTGTATTATCATCATAAGGTTGGGTCCCTTCTGAACTCAGGTGTTCTTTTAAGTAGATTGAACCATCTGCTCCTTGGATGAGAATACTCATTTTATTATCCATTATGTCTAACTTTTCTGTTAATTATGATATAAGATCATCCTTTGTTACACAATTTGCAGAAATTATAAGTAAAACAGTTATCAAAGAGGGTAAGAAGTTGTTTTATTTCATTAAATTATTTGCATAAAAAGATTTATTTCACAGTTAAAAATTAAAATTGAATGACATAATCAATGTGTATAGGTTTGAATAATACATTCATAATTGATATTATATTTTTAATTTGAATAAAATGATACATTAATAATCTTTAATTATAAACTTATTTCTTTGTATTAAGTAATATTTTAATTTCAATATATTCATTGAATTTCTAATATAATATTAAAATTTTATGTATAACGTATATATATGTTGAAATAATGAAATTATGAAATAATAAAATATTATTAAATTAAAGATGGAAAATAAAAATATGATTTTATTAATCTTAACCTATCTTGAATTAGATGATTTAGCAAGATGTGAACTTGTTTGTCATAGATGGCATTATTTTATTAATTAAGACAGTATATAAACTAGAAAAATCTTTAGTAAATTTACTTATAATAGCCTTTAATAATTTAAGTGGCATACAAAGAAGATCTAATAATTATAAATAAAGGACTTAATATTCTATGAAGAAGAATTTAAAGTAGATAAAAATGATATCATTTTTACTATTTCATAACTTGTATTAGAATCACTTACAATCAAACTAAATTAATTGAATATATTTGATTAGTTATTAATCAATCAAAAATAACTTAGAAAATTAGAAATACTAATGCCTATTACAAATAAGGAATTTTAATTACTAACATAATTACCTCATTTAGAAGAAATACATTTAAGAGTTCAAAAAAAAACAGATGAAAATCTTAAAGTTAGTCAATTACGTAATCTTAGAGCTATATCACTCTAATTATAAGGAATATAATATTAAGAAGTTCTTTAATTGATTTAAAATTGTTATAAAACATTGACTGAATTAGAAATAGATGCTGATGAATACAATCATGATTAAATGCTCTAAATTGTTGATTGTTTAAATAAGGATAAAATATAGAAATTGTATATTTATTACTTTAATGATTACTCTAATGAGATCATACTCAAACTAAGTTAATTTAATAAATTGAATAAGTAATTTAGATTTCTTAACTAATAGGTTATCTATTTTTAAAGCTTAAGATATTGATTAGGATTATATGTACTAATTATTCTATAATAAATAATTTTAAGAAATCAATTTAAATTAATGTGATGGTATTACCAACAAAGTTTTATATTAAATAGCTTAGAATTGTTAATAACTTAAATATATTAATTTATCATGGAACTTTCATATAAGTGATTAATGTGTATCATTAATATTAGAGAATTCTAAATAATTAGAAGAAGTATATTTAATTGGATGTAAATAATTAACATTTGATTGTATACCTTAAAATTTGAATGGTTTATTTCAAAAATTAAGAATGTTAAATTTTGAATCATGCAATAATATGAATGACGATAAGTTGATGAAACTTAAAAATTAATTTAAGTATATCAAGATTATTAATTATTATGGAGATGAGATTGATAAATTTTGATATCATTATTATATACATTATTTATGATTTCATATATTTAATTATATATAATTATATTATATATATATTTATTTCATTGTAAGACCACACACAAAATGAATATAATAATATTTATTAAGACCTATTATTTACAATTAAAATGGTTTAATAATATTATATTTGATTTATAGATATAAATTTTAATTCATTATCTAATTCATACTTATAGTATCTGATATGTTGAATATTTCTTTAATTTCTAATCCCAAAATACTAAATATTATCCATCATTTGTTATAGTACCATAATTATGTTGAGTTCCACAATCAACAGATGATATAATAATAAATTTCCCATTTTCTAATTATCTAATTAGATAGATATGATATTTATGTTTTATTAATAGGAAATTCTTATTTTTATTATATATTATAGGAAAATAGTATTAATCTTCGCAATCATTATTTTTAATATTAATAGTCTTATTCTTATTTTATTAATACATTGACCATTTTTATTCAAATACTAAAATACCCTAATTTTAGGTTACCCAAAGGAATTAATAATCATTAATAAATATAACTCTATTTCCTTTAGGCAAATATTTTAATTGATCCAAATAGTATTAAAATTCATTAGATTTAATATTATTTATAACTTATTAATTATCAATATTAGTTTTTTTCTTCCAAATAATATATAAATCAGATCCACAAGATAAAAATGAATTCTCAGATTAATTATAACTTAATGATAGAACATATTCAGAATGCTATTTTAAAGAATACTTATAAGTAAGTTGATTATTTATAAAATCTACACTCCAAATGATAATTTATTTATCATCACTTCCTGATATCAATTCATCTTCTTTTTAATTTAATATTAAACAATTAACAGTATCATAATGATATTAATATATATTTGAATTCCATTTATTCAGATTAACTTATTTCCAACAAATAATCTTCTTATCTGCAGAACCAGAAATAAAATTATTTAAGAATTTACTATAAACTAGACATTTAACATGAAGATTGTGTATTTAAAGTTGATTTTATAAACTTAATTCTCCTTTTTCAAATCTCCATATTTTTATTGATTCCATATCATTTGAAACCATAATTGATCCAGTTTTATCAAATACTATTGATTCAAATCTACCATCTTATTTATTATTTTTATTATCTATTAATTTTAACTTAATCTTTTCTTAAATTGAATCTACCTATTTCTTTTCTTCACTAACTGAAATTATATCATTCTATGTTACTTAATCATCTTCTCCTATCAAAATATATTCATTATTATTATCATTTATTTATATATTATTTAATCTACTAAAACACTCATCATTACCTTTAAAATTCTTAAATCTTTGTAATTATTTAATAATTCTTTATTTCATATATCTATTCTATTAATTTATTTTATCTATTTACTATTTTAAAAACTAATCATCTCCATTTAAATTATCCTATAAATTTTGATTTTTCAAAACTTAATCAAACCTTAAACAATTTAACTTTCTTATCCATTATTCTGCATTTTCAATAATATTATCTACTTCTTATACAATAATTTATTTCAGTTGTTTCAAAAGTTCTTAAATACTGTATATCTCTTAAATTTTGATTGCAATATCATTATTTACTAATTCTTTTATCTCTTTTTTTCTAAGTTCTATTTTTTATTTTATATCTAATGTATATGTTGCCTTTAAAATATCTGATTATATAATCTAATTCTTTTTATCATTTAATTATCTCTCATTCTTATCACTTTAAGAATCTGGAGTGCTTGTAGAAACTGAATCCTTTTAATCTGGAATTTCTTTGGATTTTTTGTTATTATTGATAATAATTCTCAACATTAAAACAGAATTACATTTCTCTACAAAATCATCAGTTTGTAATATAATTAATGATCTATCACATTCATAAAGCTGGATGATTATTATAAAGGAATGTTATTATCTACCTAAAATAATTATTGTAAATAATGATAACCAATATATATATATTATAGTGGAAATTTACATATAAAGGGGAATTTACAGATTCATTACTAATTTCATTATAAATATATGATTATTGGTATAAATCAATCAACATTACTTTAATTTTTTACTTTTTCTATATTTTAACAAACAAAACAAATAAAAATATTGATAACAATAATTAAAAATAACTAAAAAAGGAATTAGAAAATAATATTAATTTTTGATTTAATTTCAACAACAGATTTCTTTTTTTTAGTCTTCTTTCTTAGTGTCTTTAACATCTTTAATTTATAATCCTTTCTTTTTCTTACCTTTACTTTCTTATGCTTAAACTTTGATTGAGATACCTTATATTATATGTAAATGTTTACTCTCTGCCAAAGTTTTAAACATTTCATTAATGCCAATACCTGATTTAGCTGAAGTAAAGAAATGTTTAGCTCCAATTTTCTTACAATATTCCTCTACTTCATTCTTATCAATCTACATCTGATTTTTCATGTCACTTTTATTACCTGCAACAACAATAGAAATATCCTTAGTTCCAAATGATCTTAATTCCTCTACCCATTTCTCAACCTAAAATAAAATACACAACACTTATACCTTTAGAAATGATTCCTTATATGTTACATCATATACCAAAACTGCTCCATATGCATCTCTATAATAAACTGTAGTCAAAGCATGAAATATTTCTTGTCCTGCAGTATCCTATTATTAAATCGTCAAAGTACCCAAATTGCTAATGTTATATTCTTGCCACCACCTAAATCTACACTCTTCTCAAAGAATGTAGCATCTATAGAAGATTGCTGATTCTCATTGAATTAATCTTTACAATATTTTAAAGTTAGACATGTCTTCCCTACTCTACCTAATCATTTATTCATCTAATCTAACCTTCCCCTAACATAACTATCTTAATTGGAGCACTCATCAGAATTTATTAATTTTAATATATATATTTATACATATGATTCTATTTTTATACCTATTATATAGATTTACAATATAATAAATTATTAAATAGTTTCTTTAGTTAATATAAAATAGATTAATCAAAAATAATTTGAATAATACATTCTACTTAGAATAATATTATTCAAAAAAAAGTATAAGAATAATAATTATTATATAAATTATATTATGTATAATAGCAATCATAATTATAATGCACTTTCAAGATTAAATACAGGATCATCATTCTTGAATCAAAAGATTCCTGTAAAGTAATAAAGAGCTTAAGAATGTTCAGCACCATTTAGTGCAACAATTACACCAATAAAGTAATTAAGAGAATCATATTAACCAATAATAGAGAATCATTTCAATTTACAAACAGAAACACAAGAAGATAAAATTTGTTTTGAATGTTTGAATAGTTTCATTTAGAATATGACTTATGGTATGGAAATAACAAAGAAAATTTTAATTGATAACTTATTAGGATTGAGAAATTTTATTGATTTCATTTTGAATTAGCAATAGGAACCATCAGGAATAGAACAATAAAACAGTTGTTTATAAAGTATTAATTCATTTCAAATTGGATAATAAATGAATAATTAATAAAATATACATGAGATTCAATTAATTGAATAAAATAATTTTGCAAATTGTTTTAATCGTCTTTTAGATGAATAAAATAAGAATCTACAAAGTTAATTAATAGTACATCAATCTAAACAAAGTAAAGGATCTCAAATAAATCAAACAGAACAATAGAATGAATCAGTTGATCTATCAAATCAGAGTTATTATTCAGAGTATAAACGGCAAGCATAAAATATTGAGATGGATTTATAAAATTTTCTAAAATAAAAATGAGTCTAACATATATTCAATATTATGATCACTATTTAATTCTGATATTCGCATGCTGAATGCTATATCTTGAAGTAAAAGCTTGTATTGCTGGAGTTTGGAGATTAGAAAAGTGATGATGACTAACTGATTTAGTCTTGTCTGCAGTTCTATCTCTACTGTACTTAATTAAACCCTCATTATTTCTTATTCGGAATTAACTAAGAAGTACTGGAGGTAACTCGCTTCTTTTCATACTCCTAGTTGTTAAGGCATTCCTATCACATAAACAACTATCTCTGGTATTAATGGATTTAATCATTACTGGAATCTCAATTTTCTTTTGAGAATGATCCTTCCAATATTTTACTGTTGACATCATGATTGAAGCTCTCTTTACAGCTTTTCTCAGTGTAGCCTTATTGTCTATTTTTGGTTTCTACATTGCATGTTACATACAAATGGATTGAGGATACAGACAATTCAATCGATTCATTTTCTACCCTTAAATACCCTCTTAATAACTCTTTCTTCTTTATTTCGTTGGCATTTCTTATAATTCATGAACAAACGATGTATTTCCATTCCTCTTAGGTTAAGCCAGAGATATTAACAATGAATTACGCTTCTCGTTAACCATCTTATAACATCTACTACTTGTTTTATGATTCCGATTTATATCTAAATTTGATAGATATCCTTATTGATTTTTCATTTCTTTATAATAATTAAATTAAACTATATATTTAAAATATTGTATCAAATGTCAATTGATAATTACCAAATATTCTAATATTCTTTATTAATATTATATATATACACTTTTTTCTTGTTATACACAATATGTTTTGACAACTAAAATAAAAATCTAAAAAATTCTTAATAAATAACTTTACTATCTTTGTTTAATAATAAATTATTTAAGATTTATTATTTATTATGATTTTTTTATTTTAGAATGGCTTTTTTAGATATTATTTCCTTTTGTTGTAATATTAATAATTCAACTTATTTAAGTGATGTAATATAAGTATGATATATAAAAATAGTAAGTTCATAATTGAAAAGATCTTATTATTATTTAAATTTTGTATCTAAATTTTAATAGATTCTGTTTCATTGCATCTTCAATAATCATAAATAATAATACTTATTCTAATAGAATATTATATATATATATATCATTATTATTTAGGTTTTGATGGAGTATATGTCAATAGATAATGTACCATTTATGCAATAACTTCTGAATCTAGTTTTTTTAATGGGAAAAAGAATCCATCTTTATCAGTCATTATATCCTCAAATTCTATTATATATTATGTATGTATACCTGCATCAAGTATTTTTTCTTAATCTATGAATTGATTACAGAGATGTGATCCTCTGACAACAATAATAGGTAATTTGTTAATAATGGCTTCTCTAATTTCATCAAAACAATCATTAGAATCTGCAAATAGAATATTGACAATTTTGCATCTTGGTCTTCCTTATGTCTTACTAATTTTTCCAGTTGCAATTCTAATATTTAAAAAGTAAATTATACGCTTTGCATAAATTAATTTTAAATAGTGCTTCAGTTCCTAAATCAACATTTTCACCTCCAATTAAAAATATGTGTGTGTGACCATTACTTAATTCATTTTTTTCAATTTTTGTAGGATTCAATTTTGGATATTAGACAATTTATTCAGGTGCAACACCAATTAGCTATACTTAATAAGATAGATACAGTGCAATTTCTTCTAAGACTAAATTTTTCAATGCCAGTTGTAATTCCATTATCTATGATAATTGCATCGGTATTATGACATGCTCTAGCAATACCAGCATAGAATTTGCCACGATTAGAATTTGGATTATCAAAATTGTGTCTACAACCAATAAAATTGACAACAGGTAATCCATCATCTAATTTCAGTTTCGTAAGTATTTCAGTCATTGGAAATGTTTTAGGTTGTGTATAATTAACTTTGATAAGTTTGGCTAATTTTCCTGCTGGAAATAAGAAATCAAAACATTTCCATGCTTGATTCTATTCAAGTTTTTATTGAGTCATAAAGACATTGGGATCTTCAGGAGGCTTTATAAATTGTAATATAATAATACAATTTGGGTATCAAGTTGAAATGTTTATTATTCTAATTATTATTCTTATTATTCATCTTATTATTGTTCTTCTTCTTCTCCTTATTCAGACATTATGATAATTAAATAAATTTATATGATTTTATTACTAACCCTAATATCAATTGGGTGTGGTAATTTTTTAGGCAAGGTTAATAATGTTGAAACAGACTATCTAAGAGTATTTTTATTTCCTCATTCACATGATGATGTTGGATGGGTTAGAACAATGATGGAATACTATAAAGATTAGCATGGAGTCAAATAAATTATTAGTTCATATATGGAATAACTAATAAAGGATAAAAGTAAGCATTTTTCTTAAGTTGAGATTGCATTCTTCTCTATGTAATTTGATTTCATTTATATGTAATAGTTGGTGGAATGAACAAAGTGACACAATGAAAGAATAGGTCAAACAATTAGTAAAGAATGAACAGTTAGAGTTTTTGAGTGGAGGTTGGTGTATGAATGATGAGGCCACATCTTATTATGAAGATATAATAGATTAAATGACACTTGGACATAAATTCTTACTACAACACTTTAATTATATTCCATCAGTTGGATGGTAAGTAGATCCATTTGGACATTCTAATACTTAAGCTCTATTCTCAAATATGATGGGATTCAATGCTTGGTTTTTTGGGCGAATTGATTAAGAAGATCGTTCAATTAGAGAAAGAAAAAAAGAATTAGAATTTGTGATACATCCTGATACAGATTAAGGACATTCCATATTGACACATGTTAATTATTATGGATATTATTCATCACCTAGAGGTTTTGATTTTGATGTTACTAATCCCAATAGATAATAAGTTACAGATTCTAATTTACAATCTAAAACAGATGAATTAGCTAGATATTTCAATCAATAATAAAATTCATACAAAGGTAAAATATTAGCTCATACACTTGGTATGGATTTCTAATGGTCAGATGCTGCTTCCTATTTTGGTTAAATGGATAGAGTAATCAATAAAGTCAATAATAATACAGAAAAATATAAAATGATTATTCAATATGGAACTCCAAAATAATATATCTAAGCATTGTATGAATAAAACATTACATATCCATCTTAATAAGAAGACTTCTTTCCATATGCTGATTACCCTAATCAATATTGGTCTGGATATTTTACTAGTCGTTCAGCATTTAAAGGTTATGTGAGAAGAATAGGTAGATATTTCCAATAAGTTAAATTATTTTATTCCTTTATGAAAATCAACAATTAATGCAAGTCTCTTTGTGATGAAACGAATCTCAAAAATTTAGCTGAAGCATTAGGTACAGCTTAACATCATGATGCAATCACTGGAACTGCTAAATAATATGTTAATAATGATTATATCAAAATGATAAAAACTGCTTATCAGGAGATGAACAAACAAGTAAGTACTCTACTTAATAGTCTTTCAAATACATAATCTATTACTCATTCTACCTGTAATTTCAATGGATCTAATGTCTGTCACTCATTATTTGATCCTTTAATCAAAAACTAAACTGTCATTCTAACTGTCATTGATGCTAAAGTTAATAATGATGGAATCAAAGAATACCTTAAGATTTTTGTACCTGATAATTTATTCATCAAAGCTCTTGATGAAAAAGACAATCTTTTAAATGGAGAAATCCTATGTACTAATGAATAATGTATTCTCTATTTACCAAGAATTGTTGATAATTCAAAACTCATTCATTTTTATAAACTTCAAACTGTTGCTTCTTAAGATGATACCGATATTATCAAAATTCAACCTGAAACTATTACTGTTGATAAAGATACAAAACTATTTGGCAAATTTAAACTCAATTATAATTACTATGTTTCATCTTCAGGTGCTTATATCTTTAGACCAGATGGATAACCACATCCATATGGAAATTATATAAAAGCTTATAATTTTACTGGAAGTTTAGTTAAATAAATTTATATCGAAAAAAGTGGTATAAAAGCATGGGTTACAACCTATGATGAAGATGAAAATATCTTCTATTTAGATACATTTGTGGATTCCATTAATATGTCAGATTATAGAGGAAAAGAAGTTATCTTACAAGTCATTACAGATATTAATAATAATAAAGTATTTTATACTGATAGTAATGGATTATCATTATAAAGACGACAAGTCAATCACAGAGATTCATGGCAAATGACAGTTCTTGAACCAGTCTCAGGCAATTATTTCCCTGTTAATGGTGCAATTATGATTAAGAATGAAAATGGAAATTAAGCATGTGCTGTTCTCAATGATAGAGCTTAAGGAGGTACAAGTCTTAATAATGGTGTTATTGAATTAATGTTATAAAGACGTTTAAATAATGATGATAACAAAGGAGTCTATGAAAGACTTGATGAATAAGAAGAAGTTGATAAAAAAAAAGTTGGAATGCGATAAATGATGTCCCATACAATTGTATTCTACAACCCTAAATCTGATTCTAATATTCTAAGACAATTATAGTATTAACAAGATTTGAAACCTTTAATTTATTTCTCAACTTAAGATTAAGTTGAATATAAATCATTGGAAAATAAATTCGAAAAATTCATTGAAAAATAATCTGATTATAATTTATGCAAATTTTATATCGAACCATGGTTAACAGAGAATTAATATTTAGTTAGAGTGCATAATTTAAGAGAAGAAGGAATCTAAAAACTTAAATTTCCAGCCGGCTTAAAATTTACAGAAACTACTTTAACAGGCAACTAAGAATTAAAGAATTGGGAATAAAACAGATTTAGTAATATAAATATTTTTTATATTTTTAGTATGGACTGACACATATACAAATCAATCATCTAAACAAACTTATTAAGAGGATCAAGTTGGACCTATGAAAATTAGAACATGGATTGTTACAATTTGAAATTATGAATATGTATTTTTAAATTTAAATAAACAATTAACTGAATGATTTTAATGATTTAAACAAAAAAAAAATATGATATCTTAAATTATAATGTATTTAATACGTATACAATGCCACAATTTTAGTAAATATATAATCTTTGCACTTATACTAAGATTGAATGTAAAATGAAACTTATTGGCTATAATTATAAAAAAATAAAGAATCATTCTAATCATCTTTCCTATTTTTTATCTCCTTAAATACCATAATAAATTTAATTTTATAAGATATTATTTAATGAATACCAAATCAATGACCAACAATTTTTTGATTTTATTTTTGTTTATAATAAAAATAACCAATAAACTGATAAAGTATTTGTTTTTGGAAAAAACAAATATAAACTATTAAATATAACTTAATTTGTTAAATATTATTTCAACTATCTATCTGTATTAAATTTTAAATTATTAAATTCCTTATGTTTTTTTGGATTTGCTACTAAATAAACACAAGTTTATATTAAAGATTATAATATAATTAATAAATGTAAATGCATCTCCTATTCTTTTATAATTGTAATATGCATTACATTAAAATAACAAATGATTTTTTCATTAATTAATAAATTTAGGGTATTTTTAACATGAATCTCATACATAATTGAGAATGTAATAAATTAAAAAATGGTTGTCAATTTAAAAATTAATAAAAATTTTCATTTCAAATACAAAGTTATTTAATATTTTATAAATAAATGAGCAATTTAAATTAAAACCATTGCGTTCATCACAATAGAGAATTAACATATTTCTGTGAATCATGCGAAGAACCAATCTGCAAGCTTTGTACTACTTTAGGACCACATAATTACACTGTAAGAGAATAAGGAATGAATTTAGTTACATCGAATTAATTCATTATAAGAAGCGTTTAAGATGAGAGTTGAACATATAAAATAAGAAATATTGCATAATATTTTACCAAAGAGAGATGAAATATTTGCTTAGATAAATAGAATTGAATACAGAATTTAAGAGATTAAATATGTTAAAAATATTATTGAGCGAGATTGCAGAGCTGAAATGAATGGAATAGAAGATCGTTTAAATTAAGCTGAATCAATGAAATAAACAATTCTTTAACATTAAATATCAGTGATATAATAGTAAGTATTATTGAATATCTGATTTTAGGGATTTAGATGAGATGAATGATTTGGCAATTTAATTTTTTAATTTGACAAAAAAGAATGATTACCTTGAATTTTTATTTGATAGTTAGAGTCTATTGGATAGAATTGAATTTTTGATTGCAAAACCATATAATAAAGGATTAGATGAGATTCCAGATGATTTACCTAGAGAATTAACTGATTTAAGATTACTATTCGGTAAGATGGAGGGATAATAATAATTGCTTGAGATTCTAAATGAGATTATATGGAGAATGATAAATGAGAGAAAACATGAAGAGGAATTATCATAATAAATATTAAATAGACATTCAGAAAATGAAATTAAAGAATGGTAAAAGTTGGTGGAATTCTTTACTGAATAATTGAAAGAATCAGAAATGATATGTTATTTTTGCAATGAACCATTAGATATAAAAACAATAAATAAAAAATGTAAGAAAAATAAGGATGATATTCCTGATAATTGTAAAAAAGTGAGTTTTATTTTAGTTATTGGATATACAGTTGAAAAACCAACAGATTAATAGATAGGAACCAAGAGACATTTTTATGGACATGCTGTTATATAAGCTAAAATGCCTAAATTATAGGAAGAAAAAAAGAAATTACCTAGTGCAGTGATTATTGAAGGAATTATGTCTAAGATAAAAGTAAGAATGCAAGATAAATAAGTTAAATTATTAGAAATCTTTTAAGAACATGATAATGATAAGAATGGTACTATATATAATAATAATTTTAGGTTATGTAAATGAAATAATATTCAATTATATTATGCAAGAACATTTGTAATTGATTGATGAAGAGATTGAAAATATTGTAATGTTTATGGATTGTAAAAGTGATATTAATTACAATATATTTTTTAATATGTTGAAAAGTTCAAATTTGATTTAAAAAATGGAAAGTGATTTAATATAAAAATATAGGCCTCCAAAGAGTAAAAAAAGAACACCATCCTAAAATTGAAAAAATTGATATTTAATGGCTATTAAATTATAATAAAATTTAGTTTTATTAATTTTCAATGATTTAAGAATAAAATCAATGAAAATAATATGATCTATAAAATATTGGATTTTTTTATCTTAGATTCCTTTAAAAATAATGATTTAAATTGTATTTTATTAATGATTGTGACATAATCATAATTGACGACATCAATATCGTTTGAGAACATCATAATTAATGAGTTATAAATAATTGTATCATATATATATGTGTAAATGGAAATTATTAAACTGATTTAGTGAAAAAAATCTTTGATTTTAGATTCATGGGTCATATTTTATTGTGATAAATATTAAATGTAATCTTAATCTATAAAATCTAATGGAAGTGTACTTCTAGATTACTTCAAGAGTCTTGAAGAAGAGAATTGGAATATAGAATTGACCCAGTATTAGAAACTAGTTGATTTTAAATTAAGTTAGAATGTGATAACTTTTGCAGAAGTGCAAAACTTTTATGCATTTGAGGATCAAAAGTAAGTGTAAAACTTAATGTAGGAATTTCCTTTAAATGCATTCACAAACTTAATGGACAGACCAAGAATGGAAAATATTGATTTGGATTGTGATATCGTATTGTACGATACATAAAATGAATCTTTTAAAAATGGTATGTGGTATGTCGATATTTAGAATGATTGGGAGATGATTGAGAAGTTAATAAAATTCAAAAGTGGTTTAAATTGTTAATATAAATGGCTATGTCATGTAATTGGAAGAGAGGATAGATTGTAATGGTGTTAAGAAGAGGAGTAGATGTTAAAAGAGGAAGTTGAAAATAGCAAAAATTTGAAATGGCATGAAATACAATTTTAGATATTCATGAAATCTAATGGGAGATATTTTAAGAAAGCCAAACAATGTAGAGAGAGATGGAACAATTATTTGGATCCCAGAATAAATAGGTATAATGAAAGTGAGGTTTTTTTATAGGAGTTATTGGAAACCAGAAGAGGATTTGTGTTTGATGAAATTAGCTTAATCTGAAGGTTTGAAATGGTCCAAAATTTCTTATAAGATGAAAAATAGAACTGAAAATTAAGTAAAAAATAGATTTAAGAGTCTAATAAATAAGGAGACAAAAGGATTACAAATGTAATTAGATATGGGTTAACTTATTGACAACATCATCTAAAAATTAATCCCCTTATAATTTAATAATACTAGTGATTATGTGCAAGAAGAAAAACCATAAAAAGTAATCTGTTTAGATAGGAATATTAATTATATATAATAACAATAATTTTGGATATACTAATATTAGTACTATTTGGCATAATAGCAATATTAAATGTGTTATAATTACTATTAGGGAGAGTAATCAATCAAAAGTGAAGATTGTCAATCTGAGAAGATATCTAGATCAAATAGCTTTTGTGGATTATTAGATAAGTTATCCTTAGATTCAAAGTCTTTGACTTAAGAATTAAATAAGCAATAAAATGCTTAAGAAATTGAAGTTCCAATCAATAATATTACAAAATCTTAATAATAAATTACTATTCCTAATTTTATAACAGAAAATTAAGGAAAAGTCAAATCTAACAAACAAAGATTCAAGTTTTCTTCTGGAGATTAATGATTAATTATTAATATTTTTATTTAGAAGTAAATCAAACATGTGGTTTTTCAGATCGCTTAGAGCTCTCCAATTAGGATACCCAGCTTATGTCTGTTGGATGATTAAGGGAACATAACCCAGTCATGCCCATGAAGAATGAAACATTTAATCATTTGCATCATTATTATAATCACCTATAATTATCACTATTATTCTAAAATAAAGATTCTTAGTTAATAAGAATGAAGAGGGGTAATAAATAGTTTAATGATGACTCGAACTAATCAATGAATATAAATAAATGTGATAATTCATTCAATCTCTATAATCTGATTGAAAATAGAATGGATAAAAATACCTTAATCATAATATAAATATTCAAAAGAAATATGAATTAAATGATTAATGCAAAAATAAATAAGAAAGTATGATATTCAAGACAAATGAAAATAAATGTATATAATATAGTCTCAAACTATATTAAATACATTTATTTTATTCAAAAATCCATTATTCAAATATATGGATTAAATAATTCTTGTGGTGATATTAAAGTAAGATCCTTGATATCAATTCAAGACATTTTACAATATAGGAATAAGTGAAGATTCTAATGTAATTAGATAGATTTAAAAATAATTGTTAAAGAAATCAATATAAAATTACATATATAAAAAGTGAGTTAACTAATATGAAAATATATGAATATTATCATTAAAAAGTGTATTAATAAAATGATTCATTTGAGTGATTAATATAAAATAAATGAATAACACTAATTAATTTAAAAATTAAAATTTTACCGTTCACATGTATGAAATGAGAAGACCATTATCTGAAAAGAATTTGGGAAGGTATATTCCTGAACAAACAAGACCAAGTTCAGCTAACTAAATAAAATAATTAACTCAAATGAAAAGTTCAACCCATTTGAGCAAATAAAATTTTTCATATAAGGATCAAAAGGAGAATATGGAAATAAGATCAAATTAATAAGACACAACAAACAAGAAGCCAAATACTAAAGAAATCTTTGAATATAAAAAACTATAAGATAAATTATCATATTTGGAGTAAAAGATAATAAATATCAAAACACATATTGATAATAGTTAGAGATAAACAAAATAAGGTTTGGCATCCAGATTTTTTACTACTAAAAATAATGATTAATAATAACAATAATAACAATAATAAGATAACATTAATAAACCAAAAATTAGCAAGAATGATCTTGATTTGAACTAAATGCAAAATAAATTAAAATCAAGCACTTTAGTTAATGATCCAAGAGTAGTATCAAATGATAATCTAAATAAAAAGCCATCCTTATCTACCTTTGTAACTTAATAGAAAACAAGTAGTGAAGCTAATATCTAAAAGATAATCTAAATTCATCCTGAATCAGCTAAAGGAATGGCTTAGAAAATAACATTTTCAAATAATTAGAGAGAAAGATCAACAAAATCTGAGACTTAATTTCTATATTATATTTCATCTGTTATAAGATGTTATATGACACCTGAAATAACAAAACCAATATAATAGGTTAGAGAACATTTAATTTAATCAATATCAGCTGCTTCGTATTCTAAAATGAAGAATTCTTAGTAATATGAAGAGAAGAGAGTTAATTTACCATCTATTTCATTAAAAAAAACAATAGTGTTTGATTTAGATGAAACATTAATTCATTGTAATGAATCAATAAAAGTGCCAGGTGATGTAATTTTGCCTATAAGATTTCCAACAGGAGATGTGATAGAGGTATTATATCAATTTAAATTAGGCATCAATTAATATTAGACCATATGCTCAATAGGTTTTATAGACATTGAGTAGACATTTTGAATTGATTGTATTTACAGCTTCACATTCTTGTTATGCAAATGTTGTGATTGATTATTTGGATCCAACAAAATAATGGATATCACATAGATTCTTCAGAGAGAGTTGTGTATAGACTGAAGAAGGAGCATTTATTAAGGATCTAAGGTATTGAGTGATTGTTTTTGGTTAGAGTCATTGGAAACAGACTGTTATCGGATCTGGTACTTGTAGATAATGCTGCATATTCATTTTGTATGTAGTAATTAAATGGTATTCCGATCCTGAATTTTTATGATAATAAATCTGATTAAGTATGAAATATAAAAGAGTATTAATAGGAATTACTTTATTTACAAAATTATTTAATGGCTATGAAGTATGCAAAGGATGTGAGATAATTTAATTAATAATATTTGAAACTAGATAGATTTGGAGAGTTCAAGGATCCAATTTAGTTATTAGAGACTTTGTTCAAAGAGTATATACCATGATTAATAAAATTATAATTAACAGTTTATTTTGAATATGCAAAGATAACCACTCTCATAGATTGACTATAATTAAGATAATAGAGGAGTAACACCTAAAAACACACAATTCAAAACTACTACTCTAAATAGTGATTTTAAAAGCAATCAAAATTATAATGTTTAATTCAAAGTTAAACCACAGATCTAAGAATAACACAATTCAATTATCATGAGTCCAGCACCTTTACGTAGGAATACAATTCAATAATTAATAACTTCTCCATTATAAAAAAATTACAGCTAGAAACACATAGAAATCCATTCACCTGGATATAGAGGTATTTCATAATAACCACATACTAATCATTTATTAACAGAAGTTCAATTCATTAAAGATTAGAATTAGAAATTACAACAATCAATTTTCAAATTAGAATCATAAATTTAAAGAGGGAATAGTACTTAATTTATTAGAGAATTAGAAAACAAAATTATTATGTTATAAACTTTAAATGATAAATTGAATTAAGATAATAGTTCTTTATTAAGAATTACTGATATTCAAGGATTACGTAAAGAAAAGGAGTAATAGTAAACTGAATTATTGTAGATGTAAGAAGAATATGATAGATTACTATAATAATTGGAATAATTCAATTGTGATAATCTAAAAGGTTTGGATTCATTAAATGAATATAATAAACTTAAATCTTTAGTATCAGATCTTGAATCCTAAATAACAGGTTTAATAATTGAAAATGAATAGTTGAATACAATCTATTCTGAATTCTAAAATTTAGATTAAGAAGTATAATAATTGCAATTGGAACTTCAATCTTAATAAATATAATACTAGAAATCAAAACATGATGAAGTTTAATATAGATACAAATACGATTCAGCTATGCATGAAGATAAGATGCAAAAATAAAAGTTAAATTCTCAAAGAAATACTCATTTAGATAAATTTAATGATAAAGTATTTTAATTGTTTTAATTTTTAGATTAAGTTATTAGAAGAGGAAAATAAGAAACTAAAGAATTTGATTACAGATATTGATTATGATGAAGAAATAAAAGAACTTGAAGATAGAGTATATATATAAATAATTATATCTTTAGATTTCAATCATAGGTTAAAATAATAGAAAATTAGAACATTAGTTATTACAATAATGATGATAATTTATAAATAATTATATTAATATCTCGTAAATATTAATCTTTATCTATTTTCATAAAATCGATTTCTTATTAACAATACACTTTTTTTAAATCAAATTTAACAATTTATTATTAAGTCAATTTACAAAATTTATTTTTGTATTAATTAAATGATTCATCATCAATTCCAATATCATAAATAGATACTACTTAAATTATCTGAATATTATTGTGCTCAAAAACACATATATTAATAATAATCATTATATGTATATATATTTTTTATAAGAGATCTTAATGTTTGAATCTTTGTTACAAGAATATTTGAAAGGAATTATAATAAGACCATCTAAAATAGATTTATTAGAAGCCATATAAATTGAATATAATTTAATTAAATTATTACGCGCCTTATGCAAAAAAATATTGCCTCATATTTTAAATCAAGTAAGAAAGGGGATGATTCAAATGATTAAATTAAGGAATAACAATTTATTGAAGAAAACCTCAAGAAAGAGAAACTAATTGTAGAATAAAAAGTGTGTTCTTCAAAATCAAAATAACACAATATAGAAGTGAAAGGTGCTGTTCTATTTATTGATATGGCAGAATTATATGAATAAGTATAGTGTGATGTCAATATATAAGGTTGGAGAAATAAAAGGGTAGAATTCTAAGGATGCTATCAAAGAATTAGTAGCCAAAATGTTTATCAGAATCATGAAAGAAAATAAAGAAGAATTTGTACCAGCATACTTATTTAGTATTTTAAAATTGGGACCTGATTATGAATCATGGGAATTAGGAATTGGATAAGGAATCATTGTTAAATCTATCAGTGCTGTTTCTGGGAAGAGTGTATATAAATTATAACTATGAAAAGGAAAAATAAGTTAGAGAATTAATGAACACATTGGGAGATTTAGGTTTAGCGATAGAAAAATCAAAATCAACTTAAACATAATTAAATAAGTTTTTTGTATCTTAAACTGTAAAAGAGGATGTTAAATTAACAATGATCTAAGTATTTAATACTTTACAATAATTACAAAAATAAGAAGGAACAGGAAGTTCATTAGAAAAAGAGAGAATTTTGACTAATCTATTAAGAATGGCTAAACCTATTGAAGCTAAGTATATAGTAAGATTTATAGAGAAGAATTTAAAGATAGGAGCGGCTGAAAAGACTATGTAAGCTGCTTTAGCTAGAGCATTCTAATTATATCATAAGGGGATAGTTGAGGGTGATTATGAAAGTATTATAAATTAAGCATTATGTGAATGTCCAAATTACAAAAAGATTATTGATACTTTATTTAGTATTTAGAGTTTAAAAGAAGTTCCTGAATTATGTCATATAATTCCAGGAGTTCCATGTAAACCTATGTTAGCTAAACCTATGAAATCTATTTAGATGATATTTTAGAGATTTGAAAATATGAAATTTACATGTGAATATAAATATGATGGATTAAGAGGATAGATTCATTTTGAAAATGGTAAAGTGAGTATCTTTTCTAGAAATCTAGAAAATATGACTCAAACATATCCAGATATTGTTACTTATATTCATACTCATTATAAACATTTAGATGGTTTTATAATTGATTCTGAAATTGTTGCTTATGATGTTGCAAATAATAGAATATTGCCATTTCAAACATTAACAAGTAGAGCTAAAAAGAATGTTGATTAAAATTAAATTGAAATTCAAGTTTGTTTATACATATTTGATTTGTTATATTTGAATAAATAAAGTTATTTGAAAGAGACTTTAGAAAAAAGAAGATAGATTTTAAGAGAAACATTTAAAGAGGAGGAAGGAAAATTGAAATTTGCAACTTCTAGAGATTCAGAAAATTTTGAAGAAATTGAAGAATTTTTATTAAATTCAATTAAAATGGGATGTGAAGGTTTGATGATCAAAACTTTAGAGATTAATTCATAATATGAACCAGCTAAAAGATCATTTAATTGGTTAAAATTAAAAAAGGATTATTTAGATAATGGATTATCTGATACATTTGATTTAGTACCTATAGGTGCTTGTTATGGAACAGGAAAAAGAAAAGGATTTTATGGTAGTTATTTATTAGCTTGTTATAATGAAGATATGGATCAATATGAAACTACTTGTAAGATTGGTACAGGATTTAGTGATGAAAATTTAGAAAAGTTCTTTTAATTCTTTTAAGAATACTTAATTCCACATCCATTATAAGAATATAAATGTGATGGAGTAAATATGGATGTTTGGTTTAGTCCTGTTGTTGTTTGGGAAATCAAGAGTGCAGATATCCAAATTTCACCTATTTATAGTGCTTGTTCTACTATCTTATAATTAAATAATAAAGGTGTAGGATTGAGATTTCCTAGATTGATTAAAGTAAGAGAGGATAAGAAACCTAATGAAGCCACTAGTTCATAATTTTTATATGATGTATATAAATAATAGGCTGTAGTTGCCAGTAATAATACATTTGAGTAGGATGATGATTTTTATTGATTTTAAAGTGTTTGGTATTCAAATTATTAATTTTATTATATTTGGGATGAAAATATTTAACAAAGCTATTTACTTTACGTTTAGGTTATGAGTAATAGTTGGACAATTTGAATATTCTAAAAAACTATAATTGTGACTATCCCATAATAAACATTTAATCGATTTTATTGTTATTATCATCTATTTTGGTATTTCATAACTACTAATAATTTCATCATATTTTTAATTTAATTAACAACATTCTTATTTAAGTAATTTCCATTCTGTATCATCATTCTTATGTGTCATTCTAACATAATTATGAGTTATACCCAAATTGCTGAATGAACCAATCTACTACAATTTCTTTTTAATCATTTATCCATATACTATCAATAAATTCATCATTTGATTGTATTGCCATTAAATAACCATATTTATCAAAATAAAACTATCATAAATATTATTTATACTGTTTTATAATCTCTTCTAACATTAAAGTATTTTTCTATAATATCTTATTTAAATTATAATCCATTATTTTGATTCCAAATTTAATTGAAATGACAAAATTAAATTTGTAATTTTTGAATTCTTTAAGTAATAAATTCATTTATTATATTACTTGTATTATCTAATTAAGTAATTATTATGATATTTGTAGGCTCTTAGAATTCATCTTCTATAGATGCCAATTTATTTAAGATTATAAGTATTTACTTCTCAAAATCATCATATAATACAAAAATCAATGTATTAATTGTAATTTTAATGGATTCATCAAAATCCATCAATTTTTCATTAATTTGTATCTAATAATCAATACCATGATATATATATTTCTTAATTAAATTCATGCTATTACCACATAGATTCTAATTTTTAATTTATTTAAATTAAATTATATGTTATTCTTATTATTATTTTAATAATTTTAATTCATCTAAATTCTTAATTGCAATAGATTTATTATGTAATTCATACATATCCAAAAAAATAAATGAATCCTTCATTTAATTAGTCCATTCTACTTTATCTTAATCAAGAATTCTCATTATTTTGCGATCACTTTTATAATCTGTCTACCATTCAATGGTTCTTTTTTTAATTAAGAATAATTTTAATTTGAAATGAAATTATTAAGTGAAATCTTAAAGGAAATCCATTAAATCAATTTTACTGAATGTATATGTATGAGGTATAGAATATATATTTAAATCAGGGTCCTAATATATAATTCAAGAACAATACTTTCCATCTTAATCCAATTGATTCTTTTAATTCTCTACAAGTTTCTGTAAGTATTTTCTATTTTTGAATAGAAGCTGCAGGATATATAGAAGGTAACAAATATGTTTTTGTGACTTCTTTAAATTTATGTTCATCATAATCATAATTAAAATAGATCTATTTAATAAGTTCAAACTGAAATGGTTCTCCTGGATGATATTTAGATAATATTTAAGGTAAACGATTACTCTTAAACAATTATTTAAAATCTTTGTATTATACTTAACTAATAGTATCACTGGATTAGAATATTTATTATTGCATAATTTATTATTATGTTAATGTAGGTTTTAAAGTTTATGATTTATTCTTACTAATATATGATGAATAATGGATGTGCAATTCTTTTAGTAATTTCTTTTCATATTTAATTGATTTAGATTTCTAAGAACTAACATCATCAAATTCTTCACAAATTTAATCTGGTTTTTTGGACACATAAAATTCAGGTGTTTCTGCTCTAATTACTTTACCTTATGGATCAATAATAATGAATATATCTTCTTTAGTTTATTCTTCAATATGAAATACTTAGTTTGAATTGAAATCTATATAATATAATATTATACATTAATGATGTTCAGATACATTTTCACTTATATCTATGAATTTCATACGCCATCCATATTTATTTATAAATTTTAATAAATCTGCATATTTATGTGTTGAAGTCCAATGGATTAAACCATAAAATTCAAATTAAGCAAATTTAAATATTTTAGATATCTTTATAGTATAGATCTATTAAAATTTATAGAATTGTTTAAGACTTTGTAATTTGTACAATTACAATTACAAAAAAAAAGTGTATTTTCCATTATTGCTAAAATTCATTAATTGTGATTATTTGACATCTACAAATTTCACAAATATCTATTAAGGAAAGTAATCATTTTTCATAAGTGCAGTGTGAATAGTAGCTTAAGTAATAGCAGGTTTGAAATTTCGAAGAGGTCTCAATAAAATAATAGATTCTGGATGTGAATCCAAGAATGAGCGAATATAATTTCTAGATTCTAAATTGCTTTTCATCCATTTATCTACACTCTTTATGATTCTCTTCTTTTATAATATCCATTCCTTTCTTTATTTGATATAACAATAGTTATAAACAGATGTATAGATAATGATAGTCTCAACAAATTGTCCCTCTGACAATTAATCCAATAACATATACAAATTATCAGATGATGCTTTATCATCATTCAAAGGACGACTACCTAGACATCCCATTAGATAATTAATATTTAATTTTTTTACACATTCTCATATATTCATAAATAAATGAAAAAAATTATTTTTATGAATTGGAATTACCTTAAAAATGAAAAATTTAGAATGATATTACAATTTTATTAAATATATATATGTAACATATCTATAATCTTATTACTTATTGATTTGAAACAATATAGTATTATTATTTATAAAGTATAATTAAAACTATAGTCGTTTATTAAGGAAAAGAATTTGAATGTACTTTTCATATTGCATATGATATATTATTATAATGATATTATATAAATATATATATATATTATTATTATTATGTTGGAATAAACCTAAACATAAACAATTAAGGAATTCAATAAAAAATACAATATTATTACAAATCCACTTGAATTTAAATTTGAAGAGAGATATTTATAATATAAGTATAACACATTGTTACCTGAATTCTAAGATAGTCTATTGCATGATGTAAATTGATTTAATTATATGTATTTAAAGATAAAAGCTGCCATTCTTACAGCATAGAAGGGTTATATAACTAGGAAGGTATTGAGGTATCATTTAATGAATCCATGTCCTGATATTTTTACATTGTATAAAGTAGATGATAATTAAATTTAGGAATCCCTACGACCTAGGCTTCAGAATAATTTTTATTTCTCAGGAATGGGTAGTGGAATTAAAGTAGATAATATAAATTGGCCATTCCAAGAGGGTTTTGGATTCTGTATTTGGATTAATGTTGAGAATGTCATTTATGATTAATTTAATGAGTGTAATTTGGGAGTTTAAAAAATTGTGAGTGTTCATGCTTAGGGTACAACAAATGGAGGTGGAATTGAATGTTTTATAATGAGAGGATCAGTTTACTATAGAATAATTGGAAATGAATATAAAGAACCTTAAATGGGTTAGGGAACATTATTTATTGGTAATTTAAAAGATGGATAAAATTTTATTGGGATATCTCATGAACCATAGAAAACATTTTCATCTTCTCATCTTACAGTATATTAATTATAATAAATAAATAGATTCTTTTTAATAATGAATAGTAGAATACAAAATTAATTGAATTACCTCGTTTAAATTAGAATGCACGTATGACTAGATTCAATATTTGTGAGAATTTGTTTGGAACATCAACATGTATAATCATAATGAATCAATCTTCAACCAAGTTTGAAATTATTTATTATATAGAATAAAAACAATTTAATCTGTTTATGGATAATAATTGATGGATTATAATAAATTGAAAACATTATAGGCTTGTTTAGATAAATACTTTGATCGTATAATGGCAATCTATATACCAGAATTTACAAATGGAAATCGTATCTTTGATATTATAGGTAATAATGAAGCAATTTTACAAAAAAATACAGGTTATGTTGTAGCTGATAAAAATAAATTTAATTAATTTGGAGGATTCAAATTATTTTATGCTCTTCTTCATTTAGCTTGTAATAATTAAGATCATATAATAATTATGTTTGAAATTATCAATATGATATTCAAAAATAACAATTAACTTTAAGAAGAAGCATATCATTGCAAATTCATACCTACAATAGCATCTATTATTATGAGTTTTTAGAAACCTTTTATCAATATTAAATGTATTGAATTATTGAATGAAACCAAATCAATAATTACAGATAATAGATTAATGGAACATTTCTTTATTTATATTTTATGGAATTCTAAATTACATTAATAATGCATTTCAGAAAAAGCATTTAATAATTACTTATAATTATCTTGTATTAATTATATACAGAATCAATATATGAATATCATAACCTCTAGAGATTTATTAGATATTTTAATGTATTCTTATAGTGAAGATCAATGTTGTCAATAACATTATAAAAATCCCAAATCCTCTTTTTAATAATTATTCTTTGATAGAATTCTCTATTTATTAACTTAATAATCTGATGTCACTGAATAGTTAATTCTTTTTGAATCCTATTTTCTATGTAAAATGTCACCATGTCTATTATTAAAATTATTAACAATACTTAAAGTATATCTATTCTAATTTAATAGAGTCTATTAGTTGACAATCTAGATGAATCTATCAAAACTAACCAGATTTTATAAGTATGGAATCAAAATAATATTGTTTATCAATTATTATTTCTATTCAAAACTACTTCATCAAATTATATAAGAGCTATGATAATTTATTTCTTAAATTTGATCTCGTAATAACAATACAATCATTATTCATCATAATAAACAGAAGAAGCAATATAATTTATTAATTATTCAATGATTTTAGATAAGGATGATGATTAATAATAAAGTTATACTTTATCACCAATATATAATCAACTTATAGGTTGGATGATACATAAATTAAAAATAGGAAATAATGAATCTGTTATGATTGAAGAAGGTGATCAAATTAATTGTTCAGGTATTATCAATATAATTATAAAAATATTGAAATATTCTTAAGATGAAAATCTTAAAGCATAAATTCTGTAAGATTTCTTATGTTTATGTAAATCCCATTAGAATAATTGTAAGATAATGTTAGATGAAGAACATTTTCAATAATCATTATTAGGAATCATATCAATTTAAATAGAAAATAATTTAGTAAAATATAATAATCTTATTATTAGATCTATGAAATTGGAAATAGATTACATTCCACATTACTTTTAAATGTATTGAAATATGAGATTAATGGAGCAGAGTATTTTTATGATTTACTCAATTTCAATGGTGATAATGATAAATAAATCCAAGCACTTTTTGAATTACTCTAGTATATGCATTCTTCAATATTTTAGTGATTAATGCAAAAATTATTCACCTACTTATGATTCATAAATATGGAAGAATATTTTGACTATTCTTATGTATCTATTTGAAATGAAAGAACGTTATCTAAATTATCTATAGAAATTCAATATGTTAATTAATTTACTCTATAAAGATTATATATTTAATAATAATGGTATTGATATATATTTGTATTAATTATAGAACAATTTACAAAAATTTTTAATTACTAAAATAGTCCAATTAGAGATTTATCATTAAGAATGTTTAAATTTTTAAACAGTAATTTAAATCATTTTTAAGTGTTTGAAATTCTGTTAAGTGTCAGTGATTAAGAGAATCTTTATTAATTATTATTAGTACATTCACTTTGTCAAGAGATTTGTAAATCTGAAATATTTTATCCATTAAAATCAATTCTATCTGCAACACTTAAGAAAGGTTCCAAATAAAGAATTATAGAAGTCATAAAATAAATATGTTAAATGATCAATATAACTTTACAAAAGAATAACAATTCTATATTATATAGTTTCTTCTTAGAAGTCTATGAAGATTTTGATTAATTATTTGATGCTCTACTTGCCACATAATTCACTAATGATAAACTTATTGAACAATTAATCAATAAAATTAAATTAGATCAAGAATATGTAGATATCAAACCAATTCATCCTTAACGATGGTCTAAAGAATCAGGTGTTTCCTTAAATACTTTACTTAACGATGTTTAATCATTTGGTGAATCCCGTCTTATCTAAATGGAAGAAAGGAAAACATAATGGTTATATCTTGAAAGCAACAAAGAAAGAATTGGTAGACATCATTACTATAAATCTCTTAAACATATCTTTTTAGAGGGAGAGTGGATTTCAAATAAGAAAGGATTCTATTAGAGAGATTCCTTTATATAAGACTATAATATAGAATTCTAAATGGATGACATCTAATCAGTCAAGGTTTCTAAAATGCTAACTAAATCTTTAGCTCGTCCTTACTTAAAAACTGTTGTGAAAATACCAGAAGAATTTAAAAATAAAGCTGTAATTCACACTCCTTAAGAAGCTCCATTATTATTATATCCTCATTCTAAATAAAAATTCTTTGGAAATTTGTAAGCTATACAAACTGCTACCTAAATTTATAATATAAGTAAAGCCATTGGCAATAATATTAAGAATGTTGTAAAAACCATTGCAACTCAATAACCATTTACTTAATAATTGAATGTGAAATCTTTTGCAGATAACACATTTAAAGGTAAAAGAATTTTAGTGATTGATGGTTTATACATTTACCATGCCTTTTTCTCCTTTAACTATACTCATCTCTTAGTATAATATGAGAATTTAATTGAAAAAGCTAGTCATGTTTCTCTTTGTGATTTCTAATTAAGAGATGATTAATTACTTATTAAATAGTATCCAATATACAATCTTGTGTAAATTGTTAAGAAGAAATATTTACAAAAAAGAAATGCCCTTGAAATATTCTTTATTGATGGGTATATACATATGTTAAAATAATAAGTAAATCTATATTCTTCAGTGTTCCTGATCCAAATGATTTAGAAGAAATTTCAATTAAGATTTTGAGTTTTAGAAAGAGTTCCGATGCCCCATTTTTCAATTAAAGTAAGACAACAGATCCTATTAAATTGATTGATAAATAGGGATACTATTAGAAATGGGTTAAGTATACACTTATTATTATTATTATTAAATAGATCTTAAATGAGTAATTTCAAGTATTTACTTATGATTAATAATATGTCTTCAAGAAGTTATAATGATTTAACCTAATATCCAATATTTCCATGGGTATTATAAGAGAATGATCACAGTGTATAAAATTAAATATAACCAATGAAAATATATCCTGAAGGAAGATTCAGACCATTATATAAGACCATGGGAGCTATGGGAAATGAATCTAGAATTTAGAGTTATATAGAGAGATTTGAACAATCTGAATAGGGGAGTGAAATACCTCCATTTCATTATGGTTCACATTATTCATCTCCTGCCATTACTTCTTAATATATGATTAGATTGGAACCATTTACTAGTGCATCCAAAGCTATATAAGGAGATAAGTTTGATATGGCAGATAGATTATTTTATTCCTTTAATGAAAGTTATCGTTGTGCAATTGAAGATATTGCTGATGTTAGAGAACTCATTCCAGAATTCTTTTGTTTACCAGAAATGTTTCTTAATATTTCAAATCTTAATTTTGGCAAAACTCAAAATGGTATATAAGTAAATAATGTCATATTACCCAAATGGTGTGAAGGTAATCCTTGGATGTTTGTAGCTGGTTATAGAAATGCTTTGGAAAGTGAAGAAGTATCTAAACATCTACCAGAATGGATAGATCTAATCTATGGATATAAGTAAAGAGGCAAGGAAGCCTAGAAATCATTAAATGTTTTCTTCTATCTTACTTATGATAGTGCTATCACTATGTAAAAGATGGAAGAGAATAAATTAGGAATTGAATCTTAAATAGTTAATTTTGGAATCACACCTCTATAATTATTTACTAGATAACATAGTGAGAAGAATATAAATAATGAATATCAATTTGTTTCAACTTCATCCAATTTATCCAACTTTACACCTATTTAAAAGAAGAATCTTTCCAATCATTTGAAACCCATTATTGATTACCAACCTTAAAATAATTAACCTATTGTTTTGATTAAATTAATATCTAATGTTAGATTATTATGCTTAAGGAAAGAAGGTAAGATTCATTATTTCAAATACACTGCTTCTAGTGAACCTAATGAACCTCCATTTACATTTGCAGCTGAAAAGGAAAGATAAATGAATTTTGCTAAACCTTAAGGAGAAACCTTCTTCTTATGTGATCCTATTGTTTGTCTAACATCCCAACCAATTTTAATCTTAAATTAAGGAAAACTATTCCTATGTGGTGGTTACTTTCTTGGTAAATTAATTGCCATTGGAGAAAATAATCAAATTAATGATGTTTATTCAATCCATACAAGTACCATTACAAAATTGGCAACTGACAAAAAAGAATCCATTATAATATCTGGAGATAAAACAGGACATGTAATACTTTGGAAAATAGACAAAAATACTTATAAGCTTTAAGTCTATAAAATGTATTTCCAACACTAATATTAAGTATAATTGTTGTTATTAATAGATTAATTGCATTTATGTATCAAATGAGATGAAATTGTTTGCCACTGGTTGTGCAGGAGGATCCATTTATGTGTATAATCTTTATAATGGATCCCTTTTGAGATCATTTGCACATCCCAACAAACACACTATAAACTCTATCATATTGAGTAGTCGTCCCCTCTTTTGCATTGTTTTCTTCTCAGCTCAAGATCATAAGATATATAGTTATTCAATAAATGGATACTTATTAGATGTTTAATCAGAGACATGTTTTTCCATGAATGATTGTCAAATCATAAGGAATAATCTTTATTAAGATATTATGGTATTGTATGTTTATTAGAATATAGATCTATGGTACAGAAAATGGGGAGATAATTAGGAGATCATTACCATATCTATAGACATATCAAGCCAATATTAAAATCAAATTTATTCCATTATCTATTGTTCTATCAAAGGATAAAAGGTTTTTATTTTGTGGACGCAGTGATGGAGATATTACGATATTGACAGAAACATAACTTAACAAATGATATATTGTTTTTAGATTGTTTAAAAAATAAATATACAAATAAACAAAAAGTCATTCTAAAACAAAGGCTAACCAATCTTTATCAGATATTTAAAGACTAGTTTATAAGTTATTTTATAAATGAGTTGATAATTTAGCTTATAAATTAACTTATAAGTTTGATTATAGATTAGATTAAAAATTAGGTTTTTAAATTGATTTTATTCTAATTTATTTCTTCTACATAAACGATGGTCTTGAAGTAAAACATATATCTACTGAAAAATGTTTTCGTTTTTAAAATGATGACTCTGGTCTATCATTAACAATAGCCTTTTTATCTATGAGACAAATCTTATCAAGTATATTTTTAGCATGTTATTGAGTTGGCGTAACGTAATGTAAATCAAATACAGTCGGTTATTTTGCATAAAAATTCTTATGTTTAGAGAAACGTGGTTTAAATGCAAATGCTTATTAATCAGGAATTAGTAAATTTGTTAGTTCATTTGATTTATGTCTCATTAAATATTAAAATATTTATAAAAATGTCAAATGGTGGTATCAATTATTGATAATCTCAAAAAGTAAGTAATGAGTAGATAGAAGAATTGATCGATCCTCTAAATTAAGAACATTATATTGAATATGAGGGAATGGAAGATTATAAGATAGGAGATTTATTAAATATGCCTATTAAAAAGGATATCACCAGGAAGTATTGTTGAATCGTTATGTTATCATTCAAAAATTAAGTTGGTGACATAGATATACAATGTAGTTAACTAAGAATTTCATGATATACATAAGGCATGAAAAATTTAGTAGATTTCATCACATTAATTGGAAGTAGGAAGATAGAGTTTATGATTCTTGTTTAGGTGGAGATCTTATAGAAAAGTAGTATAAAATCCTGTTTGGATATAATCACTAAAGAAAATATTATGCAGAAGTAATACTTTATTTTTTTAATATAAGGAAAGACTTACATATTTCAATAAAGATGATACTCATAAACTGCAATTATTAAATTCATTTGTCTCCAAAGAACCTTATGAAAATCATTTTTGGATTGTTTTTGAGATTTTAGATGTGAATCCCTTGGATTTAATAAAATGATATAATTACGCAGGAGTATAATTATTGAATATAAAATTTGTGCCTCTTGGATAATGTTAGAAAAATGGTTGAATAGATATTAATTGATTTGGATTATTTGAATAGAATTTTTGGTGTTATTCATACTGATTTGAAACCATAAAATATATAATAATATTTATCAGATGAAAAAATTAAAGATATTGTAGAGAATGGGTAATTCATTTACATAAATTTAACTATTTTCAAATAGAATTCATATTTATAGAAACATGGCATTTATAAAGATGAAGAGGATGATTTTAATGAAGAAGAAGAGAATCAGATGATTAAGATTTAGAGAAGGAAATGCATGTTGGATTCATCATTATTTTTTTTACTTTAATTAAAGCTAGATAATACAGATTTCTTGGAGTATTATTGAGAATAAAGTATAATTCAATATTTGATATATGGAGTTTGCATACATGATTTTTGGAATGGTTACAGGAGACTATCTATTTAAACTAGACGCGTTATCAATTCACTTATGAATAAGGAGTTAGAGAAGCAAAGGGTATAGTATGAATGTAGATAAAATGAGTAATGAAGAGAATTTAACAATTGCATTTCTGGAATCTAGATATTCTACCAATTTTTATTAGATACCAGAATATCTTACGACTACTTAGGAAATATTTAAGAGAGAGCTATTTTTTAATTAGAATGATGAAAAATGTTGAAACTCATTATAGATCAGGGTGTTTAAGTCTAGAATATGAGAGAAAGTATTTCTTCTTCAGATGGTTCAAATAGAAAACAGACAAGAAGATTCGAAATAATAAGATAAATATGGAGGAATACAAGAAATAAATTGCTCATAGGAAGATTAATTAAGAGTAAGAAGAATTAGATTTATAAGGGGATTTAAGAAGAGTATTCATTATAGCATTTATCAGTAGACATCTCCTAGAATCTTATGATGGATCAAATTTATTTACTCTTGAAGTAGAAGTTCTATAGTCAATATTTAAGAATATAGGAATTATAATTATACCAAAGAAATAAGGGAAGTATGTTGATGATTGTGTGATAGATAGATTATTTTTTAGGGTATGGTGAAGGAATTAATTTGGAATAATTAGATAGTACAGGAAATTGTTAATTTAGTTGAGTATTAAAAACATATATATTGATTTGAAAGATTATTAATTATTTTAATGAGTTGTATTTCTGTTCAGAAACATGTCAATTATGGTGAAGTGATTCTAATAGTTGGAGATTGTCATAAGATATAATGGAATGTATAGAATGGAATTCAAATGCAATGGAATTAAGATGATATCTGGAGTGTGACACTGGACTCTTGTTGTTTACCAATGAATTATCGTTATGTAGTTGTTAAGTAAGACAACAGATAGATTGTAGAATGGGAAGATGGAATCAATAGAGTGTTCAATTCCCATTAAGATGTTTAAGATATTTGGGGTCATTTACGAATTACTCTTAAATTCATGAATTATCTACATTCTAACATAACACTTAATCTGTATACCTAAAATGGTAGACATAAGATTCCTTTCAATAGAATTGAGGGTGAATGCATATCTACTTTTCAAATCCCAAATAAATCTATTCATTAATTGGCTTATAAATACCAATCTAATGAAAAGTGGGAGAGAGGTGGTGTTCGTATGATTAATACCCATCCAATAATCAATAATGTGATTCATGTGATTGATTAAGGTGTTGATTTCAATCTTAATTATAATCGTATTTTTGAAAACCTATACGTTGGTTCATTTATTTATATAGAGTAATTATAATTATTAATATAATAGTGAAATCCGCATTCTATAAGATATGGGTGTAAATGCTATTCTCAACTTGTAGACTGTTGAAGATCTAATAAACAAGGATTTGTCTGAAGATTATTTCGATGAACTTCAATCTCAAAGCTAATCTCTTGGTATCATCTATATACAATGTCCAATAAAAGATTGTAATAAAAGATCCTATCTATAAAATGGAATTCATGCTTATTAGATCCTCAGGAAATTGTTGGATCAAGGTAAATGTGTGTATATTCATTGCACTGATGGGATTCAAAGGAGTGTTTAAACTATTATACTATATATGGTGTAGGATTTGAATTACTCTCTCGAATAGGCAATCGAATTAGTTCAAGTAATTAGACCAAGATCGAAACCTATTCGTGAAGTATTATAAAAGCTCCTTAATCTTTGATATCCAATTTTTATGTAATCATCATTTTATTAATAATAAATTAATTTCATTTAATAACTAATTCTCTATTTCTACTTATTTTGAATTGATCCATTATCCATTAAGATAATGAAATCTTTAAGGTCCACTAATTGGAGATGAATACCACAATTATTTATTAGGAGTCTATCTATTAATAACAAATGATTTCCCATTCTGTAAATGTATATTAAGTACATCATCTGATAATGAAGTTTCTACATTCTCAAAATTTTCAATCTTATCATTCAATTACTTTTATAATTATGATATAATTACACTTAATTAAAGATTACTTAATTTTAAGAAATGTGTAGTAGAGAATTCTGTGCAAAAATTAAATTTTCTTAACATTTTTATTATTATATATTAATTTAAATTTGAAACATGTTGCAGAGTATTTCAATCTCAGATTACAAACAATCACCTCAATCAATATTCAATTCTCTATAATCATAAGGTGTTATCAGATCAGTCAATCTAAATTCAGGAATCAAATCATCTGCCATCAAATCAAGTGGATCAAAAAGATTACACTCAGAATGCAATTCTGAATTATAATGTATTTTATTCATATTTAAATTAAGTGTCTGTAAGTAGTGAGAATTCCAAATAACGTTCTTGTTCAATGCAATCAAATAGACCTACTATTACAAGATAATTATCACACAATTAATCTATAATTGACACTGTTAATAAAAAGATTGTTTCAGAAACTAAAGAGAATAAATTTGTTTCTATTAATCAACATGAATAGGTATCTGATTTTAATTAAAAAAACTAAAAAGAACAACATACTTTAATTAATTTATAAAATAAGGTTACTATTTTGATAGATGAGAATTAAAAACTTATAATAATTAATGAATAATTAATGTAAGAGTTGGAGAAAGCTAAGATTGCTTATGAAACCAATAATTAGACTGTATTATTATAATCATTATAAAGAGAAACATAATCACTCTAATAAACTGTATTGTAATACAAAAAAATTAATAATTAATAATCTTAACAAATATTAGAATTGTAATAAATATTAAATGAAAGAGAAGAATTAAATATTGAATAGAAATCAATAACTAATTAATAATTGATTGAATCATAATAAGCAAATAAAATATTTAAAGAATAATTTCTATAATTATCATAAAAATATTTATTAAAATGTTTTGAATTAGAGAGATTACAAATTGTTGAAAAAGGATGGTCAGATAAAATTAATATGGTATTAAAGGAGAATGAAAATTTAAATTAAATGTTATAATAACGATTAAATGAATAAATATAATTACAATAATAATACAAATAATAAAATGAAATCATTATTAAATTAGAATAAGAAATAGCTATACTTTAATAATAATATAATGAATAGAATTATATCATAACTAAAAAGAATTAAGATCAATTTCAAATAATATAAGATTTAAATAAATAATAAGAATTAAGAAATGAAGAAAATAAGAAATTAAATGAATTATTATAATAATAAGAATATAAATGGAGATAATCTTGTATCGAATTTGAAAAAGAGATGAAATAATCTTATTCAAATAAATTGAATATAGAGATTAAACATTAAGTCTAAATAATTCGTGATGATTATTAAAAATCTTTAATGAATTATGCTTAAACTATTGCAGTATTATAAGGACAAATGTAAATATTATAAAAATAGAATGAATAACTTCATAAAGCAAATTCTCAAAATTCCAATTTGAAGGAATGGAAACATGAAAAATAATTGTATTTTGAAATAATTTAAGAATTGTAATAAAAAGTAACAGAATTAACAGGTTAATTGGCTACTATATTGAATTACAATTCAAATTATGTTAGTGATTATAATAGTTTAGGAATATAAGATTAATTAAAGAAATTAGATGATTGTTAAAAGTAAAATTAGAAAATGTATAAGAAATGCTAATAAATATTTAATTAAAAATTTTATATTTGATAAAATAATCTATAAATTTATATATATATATATATATAAATCAATTTAATTAAGAATAGAAATCATTTATTTTCTAGTTGAAATGAATCATCATCCATTTATGGTTCATCTTCTTCTAATTATTTACTAATTTATGGTAATTAAGTTAATTTATGTTAAGTTGATGGTGCTCCTATAATAATTATTATAATACAAATACCTTTAAGTATATAATCTTGTTAAATAAGATTGATCAGTAATTTGCCTATCTAAAAACCACAAGCAGCACAATCAATTTCACATTTTTAATTCATTGAAACCAAAGTTCCAAATCTGCTTTTATTATCCTCAATTACAAAATTATTTTTAGATAACTTTATTGTTGCATGATGTCGAGATACAGTTATATCCTATGCTTTGATATCACATTGGAATCCTCTACCCTTAAATAAAAATAGCTAATTAAATAATTACTAATTTAATATTGTCTTACAAAAGAGCATGTATCAAATAGATTTCACAACAAACATTCTTCTCTCTATTTACATTCTATATATTTAGAGATATTGGATTACTTCAACTAAAATATATTATAATTCTGGTCTTTCAAGAGTGAATAGATCGAAATATTCATTCTCAAATTGAACTCTTATTGGTAAACTCTCTTTGCAAATTGTACATTCATGTTGTTTCTTCCTATTTTAATTATTTTTATGTTTTACCATTTTAATGATAATCCAAATTGAGTCTCTTCACGAGTGATATTAGAATCAACCCAATAACGCATACATTCTAAATGTACTGCTTAACTATTTCCAACACATTTACAAATATTAGTCAAAAATAATTAATCCCTATTCTAATTGCCTTCCATGAAACAAAATCTGCATTAATATATTTTATTGATATCATTTATTTGTTAACAATCTTAATTCTTAATTGGAGCATGTATAATTTGCATCTGTTTATTTCTCTCTTCAATTACTCTGTATTCACTAACAGAAATGAGTAAACACATATACACTCTTCCTAAACGAATAATTGAATTGGCTACAATTGGATATTCAGATCCATTTACTGATTTAATGTCTTTGACAACAATAAATGTAGGTTGAGTCACAGATAACATGATTTCATATTGATTTGCTATTTGAATTCTTTATAAAACAACTTACTTTATTTATTCACCTTCAGCAATATCTTTTTATTAGTCTATGTATCATTACTCTCAAAGTAAACTTAATCTGCCATATGAAGAGATTATACTTTCTTCATAAATAATTGTCGACCCACCTCGAAATTTCCACATCTAAAAAGTGTCACTTTATTCATGATCTATTAGACCCATACCTTATTTGGAATCTTGTTTTATAAGGACTTCCAAATTATTTTTGTAGGCTGGCATTAAAATAATCATTTTTTTAATATTTATTAATGTTCATACAAATAATAATTATTAAATTATTAAATGTCTTATTATATTCTTATTTTACTTGTTAAAATATTCAGAATTTACCATAAAATTGTATCAAAATAAAATTACATTAAATCTTATAGAATTATTAAATATAAAAGAATCTAAGAATTATTATTAGTTTTTATATATAATTCCTATTAAATAGGATAATTCTGTTAAAATTATGAATAAATAATTCTTAATTATTATTTTTGTAAACGTAAACAATAAATTTATTAATCTTTTTTTTATATATATTTAGTACTAATATATATATTATATCAATCATATAAATATAGTGATCTACATTCATCATCAGTATATTATTATTTAACATTTTTAAGAAAATCAAATATTAATTGATTTTCTGATTATTCAGTATTGATTTTAGTAGGAATTTGTAGTTCATTTTTTAGTATTTCAATTTCATCCTCTTTACCTTTTAATTCTTTTTAAAGTAACATTATTTAATTGTTATAGATTTCTGCCTATTGCAATTATAGATATGCATCTTAATATTAAATTTGAAGATGTTTAAATTAATTTGATAACTCTTCAATATATTAAATCATCTTATTATTTTGTTATGTTCTATCTATTAAAGACTATTTGAGTGATTGTTATTCTAATTACATATTGACTATTTGTTAATTTAACTGCTATGTTTCATATAAAAATTATTGATTTTATTATTACAATGCAGAACGTAATTTAGTATTTTCATCCTTCATTTATTCAATAATTTAATTCAATTTTTAGATTTCTTGTTATTCATCAGTTAATGTTTTTTATTTCTCAATGGGTTCGAATGATCTCTCTATAGGTTGTTTCATAGTTGAAAAGTATGTATTTGGAATGTGATATTGAGAGCATTTACGTAAAGGAGAGGGGGTGCATTTTTTATCAGAAACAGTCTTATAAAACATAATAAAATGTATATTATTTTGATATTGTTGTATTTTGTTAAATCATAGGAAATAATTAACTTGGAGATTGATAAATCATATACATTCTATGGGTAAAACTATCAAATTATAAGAGTTTAGAGAAGTACCAAATTCATGGCTCAGTTATCCTGTCTATCACTATAAATTAGAAATTCCACAAGGAAAGGATGTTTTTGTATTATTACTAAAATACAATGATACTCGTGAAAATCATTAATTATTCATGAAAGATAATAAAATAGAGTAAGTCTTTTATGAGTATTAAAGAATGATCCATTAAGCTCATGATTGCAAGATTAATCATCTAATTATGTGCAAAATTGAATCAACAAAATAAATACAAATAATAACATATTATTTTATAGTTTTTTGCAAATATAATTGTCATTATGAACTAAAAGTAATGACAGCTAAAACAGATGTCTATTTAAATGAAGGAATAATGATCAAATAATTTGAAGTAGATAATATATAACCATTAAAAATCAATTTAACTAATATCTAATATGAAAGACTTTATATTATGATTCAACAACTTTCTTATTCTGGCTTAATTCCAATTTACATAACAATAAATGAAAACAATCCTATTAATTATGAATTTAATTTATATTCAGAAACTGAAGGAGAGGGATATGTATTTTTATAAAATAATTACACTCATCCTTAAAATGATCTTACATTATTTATTAATAAAATAGATTTCTTTCTTCTTGAATTGAAAACTTATCAAAAAATCTAAGAAATAGCTTTATATGAAAAATTATATGATCAAATAATTAAGGATAGAATAAATTATTACAAATTAATTATTGATAATTTTAATGAAAATATATTAATATTTGAAGTGATTCCTTTAACTTATAAAGTTTCCATTTATATTTAACCATGCATAGAAAATAGATGTGAAATTGATTTTACAGATTTTGAATGGCAATATTAATTTGATCAAGGATATAACTATTATGCTATTCCTCCATATAAAATGATTTACACTAAAGTTTATTTGATTGCAATAAATGCAAAAAAACATGAGATGTTAGATTATAAATTAGAAGTGAAATTAAATTAAAAAATAAGAGAGATACCTGTGTATCCAAAAGTGTATGAGGGTATCTTATTGAAGAATTAGATTGCATTATATTTACTAGATGTTTTTGGATCAATTGAATAAGTAAATATTAAAATATAAGCTAATTTTCCAAAAGGACATGGTGTTATATTAAGTAAATAATGTATAAAAGATTATGAAGAGATGGAAATTGTTGATGATATTTTTGAGTACCTCTAAAATGCTGATATCAATAATTATTATAATTGTTCAATCACCCCAGAAAATGCATCATCATCTGATACATTTCAATCTTATAATAATTTAATATTCTATGTCAATAATAATGAAAGTAAAACTAATGTAACTCAATTCTGGATTGAATAATAGTCATTTAATTTTCATAATGTGATTGCAATCTACAGTTAAGTAGATTTTATGAGATTTTCCTTAAAATTTTAATTGATGACGAGTCAATAAAATTATATAAAAATTTAAAAATATATCATCTATTACAATTAACTTTAAGAATTAACCACTTAACATTATACTAATTTCATAGATAAAAAACAAGATTTACAAATTTACTTTATTACAGCTGCATATCAAGGTGAATCAAATATATTATATTAAAAAAATAATATACATTCAACCTATTAAGAAAATAAATTAACAACTTTAAAAATTGATATTATTTAGTATACTAATGAAGAGAGTAATTCTTATAGAATTCAAATTGATGCAAGAACCTACCTAAAGTATTCTATAATTCTAATTCTAAAATGTAAATTAGATACAGAAATTTAGTATATTCCATTGAGTCTAGCAAATCCATTCAAAACAATTGATTTAGATCTTTACTTCAGTTTTGAAATTACTGAAACTAATATCCTTTATATAAATTTAAAATCATTAGAGGGTAACTTTATTTGTTACATACTTAGTAGTGATAGAAATATTGGTAAGAAATCTCCTAATGAATCTAATCTAACCCTTACTAGTATGAGTCACACCTTAATTATTGAAAATCCAAAATAGTTCTATTATCTGTATGTGAAATCAACATCTCTTTAAGAAAATGAATCATATCAAATAATGTACTATCACAAAAGCTCTTTGTTGGAACTATTCTTTGCTAATACATTTTATAGTTTACTCAACAATTAACAAACCTTATATTATTACTATTAATCTTTCTAAAATCATTAATAATTGTATATCATTTTAACTTATTAAACAGAATAAAATGATTACAATAATCTATAGATTTATATTAGTTTTATTAACAAATATCCTGATTAATTTCATTTTTAATACTAAATTTAACCAAAAACTAATTACATAGTTATTCCTAATTATAACTATGAAAGTATAATATATATTGGAGTATACAGCAAAGGATCCAATAAGTATTCTCTTTTAATTCAAGAATAGGATTTTAAGATTGAATTAAAAGATAATATCATTTAGACAAGTCCAAAAATAGAATAACAGCATTATTACTTTTATTATATCATTCCTAAGACTTTCATGTATCCCATTAAGATTTAAGCACATACTAAATTCAATTTAATTGAACTATTATGCAATATAGTTGAATATGATTCTAAAATAGATATTGAGAAACTCAAATATCCTACTAATAACAACTATGAAATCAAAGAATTATTTAGTGAAAGTCAATCCAATAAATTACTATTCATTAATCAAACTAAGTTGATAAAATGTAAAGACAATGGATGCCTCCTACTAATAAATGTTTATGTATTAGGTCATTTCAATTATTTCAACATAATGGTATCCTCCAAATACACTATAATTAGAAATCTAGAAATGATTCTTGGATATGCCAATAATAAAACCATGTCTTATTACTATTTTGAAATTTTCGAACAGATAAAAGATATCCAAATTACTGTTAGAACAATATAAGTTTGTAATTGCATTATTTATGTCTAGAAATCCAAATTACAAGGAGAAATCTTTTATCCTACTATTGATAAATACTCTTATAAATTTTCATTAGATACATTTACAATATCAGAAGAAGATAATATAGGATAATATGTGATTGGAGTATTGGCTGAAGATTGCATCTTTGAAGTGTTGTTACATCTTGGAGGATTCTAATTACGCTATATTCATAATGGATAATTAATAGAAACTTACATTAATGAAAATGTTTAATGTTATTACTTGAATAATCATTAGGAACCATTTCGAATAATGATTTACAATATAAAAAATATTATGGTTTCAATAAGAATTTAAAACAAGAGTGAAATAATTGAGTTGACTAATAATAGTGATCTTTTTGGAGGAATAATCTAAATTGATAAGGATTTATGTTCCTCTTGTACATATATTTTATCTCTTTAACCAATTAGACCAACTATATTATCTTTACTTCTAACATATAATAATATTCCATTATCAATTACTTATGGTAGAATTTATTATGATCATTGCCTAAATACTTGTGAATTCAATCTTAAACCAGGAAAGTTAAATTTATTTGTTTACTCAAAATCTATTAAATTAACCTTTCATTCTTAAATCAATCACTTAATTTAAATGGATCTAACTTACTCTAATCACATAATTCCAATAAATGAATCTTGTATATTACAAATTAGGAATGATTCATATTATTCTATCAATCTAAACAATCAAGATAATCCAATAATTTTATAATTAGGTAGAGTATTCAATGGTAGAAATACAATCAGTCATAATTCTACAGTATTTATTTTAAAAATAGATAGAATTTATTAAGAATATATAATATAAGTTTCAAGTTAATCAGATTTTTTGATTGATATTTATTATAAAACTATTGGAGATTCAAATAAATTAAAGATAATTCCAAAATCAGAATTTATACTTAATAAATCAAAGAAGACATTAATTTATTAATTTCAATAAATTGAATAATCATATTAAATTATCCTCTAATCTATTGATGATTATCATATATTTGTGGATGTCTATAATCAAAATTAAATTAAGTATATTAATTTCAATAATCATTATATTGAAATCATCTAAGAAACTTAATAATACAATATTTAAGCTATTTAAGAATAAGAATTGTAAATTGAGAAATTAGATTGTTTAGGAAAAACTCAAATGCAAAAATTATCTCTAGCTTCTTAAAAAGATATAATTATTAAGATTTAAGTAACAGAAAGACCATATTCATATCCATTTAATATCTTTAGTTTAGTACCTCATATTTAATATTCCCATGATTAATGGTATATCAAGAATTCAAGATTTGAAATTTACAAATTGTCTGATTAATAATTAGAAGTAACAATTAATACAATGAAAAGGAAAAAAACTGGTAGTTTAAGTTTAAATAAATTAATGTAAAAATATTAAGAATAATTTATAGTTATAAAATGCATTTATCAAATCAAGAAAACATTATTAGAGCACTGGGTTGTGAGATTGATATTGAATTTCTGTAAAAATATTCAGATAATAATATCTCTCTCTATTACAATACTTCTATTTTAGAAGTGAAAGAGAAACAAGAATCAATTAAATTTATAGGTATATATTAGATTAATTAGTAGTGTTGATTAATAAAGAATATATTTATGGATAACTTGTATTTTAAGCTTATTATGAGAATTACAATGTTCCTTATACATATTTTTATAATACTATTTTAATTTATAATGAAACAGATGAGAGTAAAATAAAGATGAAAGATGATTTGGAGATTGAAGAATCGAAGATGGATTATATATTTATAGTAATTGGAATTAGTGTAATATTGGGTATAGGTTTAATATGTTTATGGGTATGCATACCTAAATAGAAATAGAAAAATAGAGAATTAAATGAGGAATAATAATAATAATTTTAATAAGAATACTTATAATAATACTAATAAGAATTATAATAACTAAAAGAAAAAGAATAAGAATTAGTTAAAATTAATTGAGTAATATTTATGTAAATATGTATTATTAAAAATAAGAATTGATAGATTCATTTTTCTATTGTTACTTTTTCTAATTTTGTAATAAATTGATTAATTTCTTCTTATGCTTCATCTACTGGTTCAGCTAATTCTGGTTTATCTTCCAAATTCAAATCTTTCATTAAATCTTCTAATTTAATATCATCTTCATCCTCATCTTACCATTCATCATCATCCTTTTTCTATTATTAAACTTGTTTCATTTATTTCTTTTTCAAATCCTCTTTACTTAATTTTTTAATTTTTTCTTCATCTCTATATAAATTGATATTCTTTCTCATCTCTTTATCCTTTTCTACATCATCTAAGAATTCTTCAAATTACTCATCTTAATCATTCTATTTCTTTTCTAAATTTTTTATTATATAATTAAATACATTAATTTCTCTTTTTTTCTCTTCCTTCCTCTTCCATAACATTTTAAGCTTCCAATCTCTTCAATTTAAATATTCTTAATTTCCTTGCTTCTTTATTAATTTATCTCTTCACTAAAATGCATTCAGGATAATTGGAAATATCCTCTAAAGATTCAATAGTCAATTAAGTTAAATCATAACCAATAGCAACCTGACCTGTTTTCAGAATATCACCCAAATGACTTTTAACAGTTATAGGAACATAATTATTAGATTCTCTAATAATAGTGACCTTTGTTAATTTAGGTAGGAATGTATTTTATGAACTTGATATATAACTTTCATTCAAATTTCTATTATGAATACGTTCAACATCAACAACTGTAAATTCATGTTAATGTGTTTTTAGATTGTACACTTCAATTTCATTTTCATATAAAGAAAAAGCCTCTATTGATAGATCTGAACATTTCATTGATAATGGATCTATTAAATGTACAATTGTTGTTAATTTATAACATAATTACACTCTACCTACTCCTCCTAATTCTTTACACAATTTCTAAGGCAAAATAACCAGATCATCTTTACACACTTTAGGTAAATCTACTGCATAGACATACTTATAATTAAATAGATTGCTACTAGCATCATGTGATACTAATTATTTTGATTATTTCACTCTAATTGGCAATATAGTTGATAAATATTCTACTAATCTATTAGCATGTGATCTTGATTTGTAAAAGAAATCTAATCCATCATCAACTTATTCTATTTTCAATACTTTATCATTTGCATTATATTTCAATAATAATTGTTCCAAATAAAAGAATGTTTTTTTATGATCTACTCTTTAACGAATTTACACAGCTGCTCCCCAAGTATGAGGAGTGAATTCCTTTTTACAATCTTCACATTGTTAGTAATGTTCCAAGAATTCACATATAAATGTCTAATTAGTTAGATCCATACTTATTGCATATTGGTATTGTTGAGCACTTCCTTCTATATTGTTAATTTCACTTTAATCCTCTTGGAACTTGGTTCAGTATACACAAAGGCAGCATCTATGATTTTAACTTTATTCAATCTATTTTAATATAATTTAAATGATTTACCCTCTTAATCTCTTCAAACAAATGCTTAATAATTCTTTTGATTCTCTTTCACATAATGTCCAAGGTGGTCTCAAATAACGATGACAAAATCGACAATAATTTACAATACCCTCCTTAGTGATACCAATTGTAATGTCAGTTTAATTGATGATACAATTTGTACAAATAAGTGTCTTCTATTCACTAGGAGTGAAAGCAAGATCACAAATTGAACAAAGAATTGTAGTTTTAGGTTTAATCTAATTACCAATTTATTAGTTTTCTGTTTCCATCATTAATTAAATTTATTATTAATTAAACAATAATAAGCATGATATTTAACTATTTTTAAGAACATACTCATATACTCTAAATTAATAATATATGACAGAAAGAAGAGTTGAATTTTGTAGAGCACTTGGTAAATTGGCATTTCTAAATACACTCATCATTTACAATTAAAAAGAATACATCATTTACTTTCAACCTATGGAAAGTAAAGGACGTTGCAAAATTTAAGTTACTAATGGCTTTGATTTTTGGGTAGAAGATTTTGATCTTGAAAAATTTGAATAAAAACGCAAAAAAAGTGGATTAGAAGGGACATACAATAGTTATTTTGATATGATGCATAGATCAATAAGTCAAAGAAATTTTGAAGTTTATGTTGATCAAACATAAAACTTTGTCTTAACACTCTACTTTTAATTAAATAAAGGAGTTTCTTTAAAAGGGGATTTTGAATTGGGAAGACCTTTACATTTTGATGATATTAAAGAATTTCATTGTGTCTATAGATTATTTTTGTTTGACATTTTTAAGGCAAAAGATTAAGAAAGAATGAAAGCTGAAGTCAGTAGAAAGGGAAGAAGAATGGAAGAAAGAGAATCTAAAAAATCTATCTCTTAACCAAGATAAGATGAAGAGGAAGAATAAGATGAGGATGAAAGTGCTGCTCAAAGAAAGAAAAAAGTTTAATTATGATATTTTTATTTATGATACAATAATTACAATAAAAAAATAGTTATACTTAATTTTTTATCTTCATATTACAATAAATAAATACTTTATATTTTTATAGTTTTATTGAAAAATAAGATTTTAAAATAAGAATAGATATATAAATAGAAAACAATAAATATTAAGATTATAATTATATAATCACTAATGGATCTTTTTTTAAATTAAAAGCCAGATCTGATTTTGAAAATATTTTTCCAAAATAATAATTATAAAGATTCATAAAGTATGGGCAAATCAAATAATACTTAAGACAAACCTAAAGAAAGTAAACAATATCAAAAAATTGGATGTGATTAAAGAAAATAAGTACTTGATATGCTATTGAATTAAAAGTTATCACTATAAGAGGTATAAATCATTTTTATTCTCATCACTTGTCTTCTCTTTCTATTTATTATTGCTATTTCATTTAATATCTTTTAGGTGGCTAGCAAACTGTAATTAAAGTATTGTACAGTACGAACAATTTAAAAGACTTATGAAAAAGAAGGTCGTATAGGAAAAAAAGAAACCAGAAAGAAGAAGTTAAAAGTTGAAAGTATTCTAAAAATAAGTGTTTTAAATCCTTTCACAATGGAGATTCAACCTTTGAGTGTCCAATCTGATATTCATAAGGTATTCTTTAGTAATTCAATATTAGATATTTATTGACAAACAGCCATCGCTACTTGATCAAATTACCTTAGCAAACCAATAACAATCACTTTTTCAAACTTAATGCTCTAAATTCACTTCAGCACTCATATCTCATATGAATTAACCCAATTTGATGTATTAATCCATCATTCAAAACATGTTACTCTCATCCTAACAAGTATTTAAATCAATCCTTGATTTAAAACCTTAAGGATAAATCAAATAAGAATTTGACTCGCTTTCCTAACCCCTGCCATAATTTTCTTACACATAACAACCATATTAATATCAATGTTACCCTATACCATATACTCAGATAAGATCTTGACAAATATATATAATATTCAAAATCTCTAAAAACGAAAATTCTTAAATTTTTATTCTTGTTATTTTACATTCAATGCATTTTTAAACCGATTTTCATTTTTATGAGGTTCAATACAACTCCATTATGAAAATGGTTCAAGAAATATCATTAAAAATTTAAAGTTATGTAAATGGTATTTTTTTAATGTATTAATTTTATTCAAAAAATTTAACTATTTTTAATGTACTATTTTTTGTAATTATTTTTCATAAGAAGTACTTAGCCATTAAAAGAATGATCACTAGCAACTTCAGTATGGATAAAAATATTATACATTCATAATCTAAAATATAGTCTTAAATATTAAATAAAAGTATATAATCAACATTATGTTTTTAAGATGTCTGAAATTCGAAACTTACTAAATTTCTTTAGATTTTCTAAATTAGGAAACTATTTCTCAAATCCCTTAGCCAGTTCTAGTAATCGATTAGCACATGTGATGGAATCTTTATAATCTAATTTTAATGTAGATATAATAAGTGGAATTGTCACCTCAGATGATAAACTTTAATCAATCTATTCTATAGTTTTAGTACTAACAATTAAGGCTGCACATGCTAACTACACATATGAATATTGGTTAGTAAATTCATAATCAAATAAAGTCTATTTATATATAAATTATAAATATATACTAGTTTTGATAAAAAATTAGCTGCTTCATATAACTATTAATGAAGATTTAGAATTGATAAGACCATTGTTATTATATCTAATATTGTAGTCCCATTTAAATTGAAATCAAGAACTTATAAAATATTAGTTTCTTTGTCCTTAATTTCTTCCTTACTTAACTTTTTGTGTGCTATTTTTTCATGAACAATTTGCAATTTTACAGGATAAATTTCCTCATATTTACATGCCATAAACATTGATGTAACTCCAACTAAATGTAAGTCTTATGGCATATGTTTCTGAGTTGTTTTTGATAAATATAAATCCATTAATCTTACTGATAAATAAAATGTTTGATCTTTGCATTTATATGATGAAAGAACTTCAATTATCCAATCTATCATTTTGGCTCTCAAACTAACATTTATTGAATGGTTTTATAAACTATTTTTAGGTGTTTAAGTCTTAAAATACATTTTAATAGCATACATTCAATTCAATATAATAATCTAAAATCGGTTCAGAGTAATTCACAATTAAATTACATAATTCTTTTGATTAACTTTCATTACTCCTTTCTTATGATTATTTTTATGGTGATGGTAGAGTTTTTGTTGTTTTTACTCTCTATTCAGGTTTACAAAATACAAGTGGTCTTTGTGAGATAGATACATAATTATTCTTTATATCAATGCCTTTAAATTCGGTTTCTAAGGAATTTAATATTTTATTTAATACTTCGAGTATTGTTTATCATTGTCAATGATACCAATTAAGTCAGTGATTTGTTTAATTGTCTAGGATTATTTGAGACTTCTGCATAATTTTCTTTTTCAAAGATTCTTCTTGAGATGTCCTTCATTAACAGTTAAATTTTTATTAATAAAATTATATTAATTAATTATTCATATGATCTCATTAAACACCCACATGTTCTTCTCTCTCCTTTCATTTTTAAATTAAAAATACAATACAAAACAACTTAAATTATATAACAAAATCAACATTTTATTGTAATAGATCAAATCGTAGATTTTCTATACCTTTAAGCTCCACATTCGACACAATGAATTTTATAGTATTAATTAATCTTTTGGCATTATTAGCATTGCCATTCAAACTCAAAGAAATCATATTTTGGTTCTTCATATTTTAATTGATTATACATGTTTCTTTAGTTATCTGTTTTAAAATTGGTTCCATAGAAGGTAATTTATCAAATGAAAACTTATTGGTTCCAATATCAGTTTTCTCACCTGATGATTTATTTGACCGATCTGATATTGGAGGTATATCCCCATTACTCTCGGTTAAAAAGAGCGCAGATTTGAATCCTTTACTCTCATTATTTTTCATATTTTTCACAGTATTACATCTATTGCAAGAGTCTCTAAATGCAAAATTCATATTGTTGCAATTACTACAAATCCAATCACCCTACCTTTATCTATGATTAATCTTATTCTTTCCTTTCTACTAAGCCATTTTTATATTATTTTTAATTTATATTAAAATTCAATCCTGGCTAAACACTGCATTAAATTAAACCTATTCTAATTTCATTAACTAACTAAACTCAATCAAATTTCAAAACTTTAACTCTATAAATAGATTTAAATATACAATAAAGTAATTTCGAAAATTTAACTTCCTAAAATCTATTCGTTTTAAATAGATTCAATTATTGTTTGAATGTAAAACATTCATTCCATTCTTTTTAAATCAATTGAACAGATGAGATAAAACATAAAAAAAATAAATGAGCAGATTTAATTAATATTAAATAGATTGTCAGACTATTTATAAATAATAATATGTATTTCTATTATTACAAATTTTAATTACCATTATCGATAATACAATATTGAAATTGATAAAATTAAATTTTTAAATATTATCCATAATGACTTTATTATTATATATATATATATTCATTTACATAAGTGTTATTTATATACCTTATATAGAGTTTAATTCCAAATTGAAACTTAATCAACAAAATGACTTCTTCTGATATGAATTTTACCTTTTTAGATAAATTACTTACAAAGGATAATTAAATATCTTTATTATGTTAATAAAATTTTTTAAATAAGTTACACACACTATTATAATAATATGATATAATTAATATCTAAAAAAGAATTCAAAAATAGAAAACATTAAGCTTATTTATAATTTATTTATTTTTGCCTAAATTATTAAATTTAATTAAAAGATTTTTCATAATGATTAAAGTTTGAAAATGAATATTAATAATGAATAATACAATTTATATAGGATCAGAAATATAAATTGAATATGATTGCTAAGGTAAATAGCAAAACCGATGACTTTGTGGATACTTAGGAATTTGGGGCAACATTATTATCAGTTTTAATTTTACATTAAACACATTTAGATGTGGATGTATTCCAAATATATGTTTATGCACTATTTATGTAACATGTTTCCATGGTTAATGTTGTTGGTTAGACTTCTTAACAGATATTATTTATTTTAGCACATAAAAGGAAGGATTTTTAATCATAACTGGGAACAGGAAGACAATCCTTTTTAGAATTATAAGTGAGACAAGTATGTGGAATACATTGTTTAGTTACACCTGATGAAATCCATTAACAGTATTTTGAATTAGAGAGACAAGTATCTTTGTCACTATTTGCATCTGAACATTATGTAAAGAGTTTACAGATTCCATCATTAGACTATGATGCTATAGGTGTGAAAGCACATTATCCATCTAGACCTCCTGAAGTACATGCAATTTTAGTAGTATATGATGAACAATTATTGAAATCAACACATATGGATCCATTCGAGACACATTTTTTATATGAAGAATCAAAAGCAGACAAACATATATCCAAAGTTTTACCAACGACATCTTAACATTATTTAAGTCTGCAAGAGATTTAACCTGATTTCTTATCAAGAGGTAATTTGTAAATGCAAGGTCCATCTGTACCTATAATACAAGATTTCTCATTATAATATTAACAAGAAGATAGACTGATACATTTTGTACCATTACTAGAACAATGCATAGGACTTAATTAATTAAAACATTTATTAAATGTATCTGTATTTGTTGTCAAATCTTCACATTATTTCAATCTACATGCATTATCAATCCATATACAAACTCCATCAAGTCCCTTATTATGTTCACATAGGAATTATGAGTTATAGAATGAACAAATATTTTATTCAACACATTTCACACCATCACTTACACAAATACTTGAGTATTATTAACAAATAGGAGTTTAAGTTCCCATAACATCTGAACATTATTTAAATAGATTGCATTTGTTATTATTCCAACCACACATCCCATCAATTCCTATATTACAAGACACTTATTTAGTATAATATTGACATTTATTTAATGGTATACAATTTAATTCATTTGATGTACAAAGTTCTGAGAATTATTGACATTCATCATGAGTAGTAAATTTCATATCTTCACATTTTGAGTAAGAATAACAAGTTTATTTATAAAATATACAAGGATTACCTTAATAATCTGTTAAACAAGTTTTCTCAAGTAGATCTTAACATAAATAATTTGGTCCTACACAATTTTAACCATTTGTAATACATCCTGAAATAAATTATTTACAAGATTAATTAGTAGTTCCTTTCAAATCTTTGCATTCTCTCTATCTACATCCCTAATCTGTCCATATACATCTATTAATTGGATCAGTAGAGTATGCAGATTAACATGTAAGTTTTTCAAAATATTATACACATGATTTCATAATTTCACATCCATTACCATTAGTTGTACAATTATTACTAAATTACTAGCATATATTATTATCATTGATGCCAACATAATCATAACATTAAAATTCTCGACATTAATTTAATGATAAATCATAAACACAATTCTTTCCATTTTATAAGATTGTTGTTTAACAAATTGCTTATGATTTTACTAATGAACATGATGAAACAGATACTAAACATTAGCTAGCTAAAGTACAACCAAGTTTTAAAGAACATACATCATTACTAACAATACTATTACAATTTAAAGTTGGTTTGCCTTAATTATCATAAGATGAAAATTTCATACATCCTTATCCTGTTGTTAAACAAGTAGGATGATAATCTTAACATTATGCATCAGTATTATATGATTTTGATGCTTCATAACATACTCTAGGTTAACAATATCCCATTGAATTGTCTAAATTACCTTTACATGGTCCATCAGTTAATGCAGTGAATGTCTAACAACTAATATTATTGCCTATAAAATCACTGCATTTGGCTGGATTTTTGATACAATTGATACCATTACTAATACAAAGTAAAGTCAAATTTCCATTAATCAATACTTTTGGAAATGCTTACTCACATTATTGATCTGTAGTACCCAAAACATGATTACATAATTTATCAATACAATTATAATTACTAGGAGCATCTATATTATTCCAACAATAAACAGTTTTATTATTACCCATAAATTTACTACATTATTATTGAGTTCCCTTATAACTACTACAACTAGCATTAATATCAATACAACCTTATCCATTGGTTACACAACCAGTTTTAAAATATGAACATAGAGCATCACTATTATCTATTAAATTATCTGAACATATTCTTGATCTACATTTTGATTAATCAGTATTTGTAAAGTCACCTGAACAGATTTCAGTAATAGTTGAAGACACATATCCAGTAAATTTAGCACATTGATCTCTAGTTCCTCTATATTCATCACATTTAGCTGTATTAGGTATACATCCAACTCCTCTAGTTAAACATCCATTTTGATATGATTAACATTCTGAATCAGAATTTGCTGTTGTATTTTGATAACAGGATAAAGATAAACAAGGTCCTACATCTTATTCTGAACCATTTATAACTTTACAAAAATTGAGATTATCAGAATCTAAATATTTGCTACATGAATCTTAATTACCAGTAAATTATGAACAAGTTTTGATTGATTCTATACATTTTGCTCCATCTGATTTACAAGAGGATTTCCATTCTTTACAATCTGAATTTAAATAGAATAATTTATCACTGCATAATCTTTCTCTACATAAAATACTAGTAGCATCATCAGCAGTGCAATTATTACCATTCTTATCAATGAGAGTCGAACAATGTTAGATTGGATCAGCATTAACTGGCCAATCACTCTTTTTATATGTGGAACAATCAGAGATATTTATGCATTTAGAATTAGTAGAATTAAAAAAGCATAAACCTTTCAATTATGTATCACAATCACTTTAAGAAGTGGGATTACTTATATTATCACAAGTAAATGTAAGACATGAAGTATTACCCTAAATACAATTTCTTTTATTAGTATCAAATAAAATAGTGCAATCACTCATATTAGATAATCCAGTATAAGTTTCACATTTATCAACTTAATTACAAGTAGTACCTTTAACATATATACATTGAATTCCTGTTGGATTATACATTCCTAAACATGCATTAACCTTATCACTTACATTTTAGACATTATAAGTAGTACATTGATCTCTAACTCGACATTTATAATCATCTGATAAATAGGTACATTTTTGATTGGATATGGTTGGAATTCCATTGCAAAAGTATTACTTTAATTAATTATCAGTACCTAAAGCATAATAATTATCACAATTATTTTCAATTGTGAAACAAGAATTAATATAAAAACTACATCCAAATATTTTAGAATCACAATCAGATTAACTTTGAGCTAAATCAACATCTTAACATTTGAATTTTCTACATAATGAAGATGTATCTCCATTTCTCCATGAACAATTGTATCCCTATTTAGATTAACAGAAAGTTCTTTTATCAGATTATCCAGTTGCATCAAAATCTATGCATTATTTTGTATCTAATTCACAATGATCTGTTGCAGTACTCCAATTACAAATGTTTCCATAAGGATTATATGATTAACAATAACTTATTCTATTAGCATTAGATAATCCAGAATCAAATAACATTGTTGGACAATCTGATACCAAATATTTTTCAATACATTTTCCACTCTTTTAAATATAAACACAATTATCTATTCTCTAATCACAATATTCTTAACTAGTGGCACTAATAAACACACTACAATAATAATGTTCTATTTCACAATTCAATCCAGATGAATATCCACACATCTATCCATCAGATGATTTGAAATCTCTGCAATAAATTCTTTTTTAAGAATCATCACTACCATTTGCTACTATATTTGTACAATCAGTTGTTGGTAATCCACAATTTGTAGACCCACCTATACAATATTTCTATGAGCTATCAAACATATTCTTGCAAAATAGTTATTTATTTGTTATACTTAATGGAATTATATATGATGAACAACTACTTTATTTTGTATAGCATTTTGTATTATAATAAATACATTCATTTTCTAGAATCTTATCACAATCAGATTAACTGTTTGCTGTGATTGTTTCACATGTATAAATTTTAGTGCTACAACTTGATGCATCATTAATATTTGTACATATTTATCCATCACTTTAAATTAATTATTCACACCAAACTATTTTATCTGTTAAAGCAGACACATCATATGATGAACAATTGCTTGATTAATTGAAACATACTCCTACACCTGGTATGAAAGTACATAAAGTATTATCTGATGATTTTAGACCTTCACAATAATTTTTCTTAGTTTAATCATCAGATCCATATGTTATATATAAATTACAATTATTTTAAATTTAAACACAAGAATTTCTATAATAAGTACATCCAGACATACGTTTATTACAATCCATTTATGAATTTGGAAGTTCAATATCACTACATTTAATTTAACTACAATAACTTTCATTTTATTCATCATAAGCGCAATTACCATTTGAACTATTTCTAGCTGCACAATAACTCTTTTTATCATTAACACTTGTTATTAAAAATTAACCACATGATGTTACTTAATTTGAACATTTTGTATCACCAAATTAATAATTACAAGTTCCTGATAACACTGATCTACAATAACTTAACTTTGTATCCTCATCTATTGTACTACTAAATAAATATTTATCACATGTATTTAAATTTGAATTCAAATCACAAGTCTTTGTTGAATCCAAATAAGAACAATTTGCTGAAATAGACTAACAACTATCTTAATTTGTTATTGTTCCTGTGATATATGTACAACTTAAACTTGCATCCACTTATGAACAATAAGTTCCACTTATATAAGTACAAACATATCCATCCTAAGATTTTCTTGCTTAACAATACTACTATTTTAAAGTTGTTGTTACTCCAACTGCAGTTATTACAGTACAACTACTTTATGCTGCACATGTACTTCCACTAACATATCCACAGTATTAATTAGATGTGTTTTTGAAGTTAGTACAAAATGATACATTATCTGTAATTGTAGAAGGTATTGAATATGAACCACAATTTGTTGGCTTAGTGTAACAATAACCTTTGTAAAATTGACATCCTGATAAATATGAATTGCAATCATTTTATGATTAAGGACTTATAATCAATTCACAAGTTATTTATTTACAAGCACTATCTCCACTTGAATAAGCACAAATATTTGATGATAAATCTTTTAATAAATAACACCAAGTTAATTTATCAGCATTACTTAATGCACTTACAGTATAAGATGCACATGTAGTAGTTTTAACTGTGCAAAATGAACTTCCTTTTATATAAGTACATTGTAAATTACTCGTTGTTTAAGATAATCCTGAACAATAATACAATTTCTTATCATCATCTTCACCATCTGCATAATATGTATTACAATTAGCTTATGATGTAATACATTATTTTTAATAATAAGTACAACCACTCATTACACTATCACAAGTGGCTTAGTTTACAGGATTCATGATGTCAAAACAAGAAAAAGATCTACAAGCACTGCTGGTGTCTCCTTTTCTCCAAGCACAACTCCCTGCTTTACTCATTCTACTTAAACAATATGTTTTTTTATCATCATCATTTGAAATTGAACTTATGTTAATTGATGTACATGCTGATGTAAGATCATCACAATATCCACTGGCTGACATCCAAGTACAATATCCATAATAATTTTTTACTTATTTACAATAATTTAATTTATCAGCATCAGTTGTTAATATTTGATCATCAAATGTAATATCATTACAAGTGGTTAATCTTGATGTAGTAGCACAAGTAGATACTGATTAAATATAAGTACATCCAATTGCTTACAGATCACAACTTAATTAGGATGAGGGAGATTAAATTAATTCACAATAATTTGTTTCTAAAGTACAATAAGAATCACCATAAATATATCCACATAATCTACCTGAAGATGATCTTCTTTATTAACAATATGTTCTTTTGCTTGAGTTTGTTGATGGAATAGGTGATGGAGCAGGATTGCTATTATAACTAGCCCATCGATATAATTAGCAATCAGAAGAAGAATTTATACAATTATTCATACCATCAATGTATCCACAATGTTCTCCTGAAGAATTCTTCATATATGAACAAAATATTGGTTTATTTGAAGATACTGAAGATGTACTGTATGAAGTACATGCATTTTATTTAGTATAACATTTACTTTGAAAATAGACACAATTTAGGGCCTATTTATCACAATCTATTTAGTTATTAGCAACTGAAACACTCTCGCAAGTTGCTGATGAACAATTAGAATCTCCATTTACAAATTAACATTAAATAACCTTTGTATTATCTGTACCAATTGAAGTATTTAATTTCATAGCTTAACAAAATGCTGATTTTTCTGTATTATTATTACCAATAGCAAAATAATCTGAACATAATGGTTTTAGTGTATAACATTGATTACTATAATACAAACAACCTTTATTTTTAGTATCAGGATCTTGATAGAGTAATCTATTACAATCAGCAGAATTTGTGGCTGAAACTACTTGTTCACATAAAATAAAATTTGAACATTTAGAGGAACTTAAAGTAGAATGATATGAGCATTATTTATTATTGATATCTTTGTATTAATTACACCAAGTTAATTTAGTTGAATTTGTAGTAGGTTTATTGGCAGATGTATTGTCTATGGTTATTGTAGAACAATCTTTAGTAGAAACACACATATTATTGATATAATAACACAATTTAGTACTTGTGTAAGATTCACACTCTAACTTGGTCATTATTTGTTCACAAATATAATTGCTACAATTAATATCTCCTGTTTAATAACTGCAAATAAAATTAGAATCATCTTTAAGGGCTCTACAATAAGCAGTTTTTTCAGTATTAGTATTTCCTTAAGCAACATAATTATTACATATAGTTTGATCAATACAGGAAGTTTATGTATTCACGAATCGACACTTAGAATGATAATTATAACAATCTTCATGTTTGGTAGGATTAGTATAATCTGAACATAATCTTGTAGTACAATTACTCATTCTAGTACATTTCTAACCATTTCCTAAGAATTTAGAACAAGTATCAGATGTACCAGAAAATTAATCACATGTTGTTTCTTTTGGTGTGCAACCAATTCCATTGGAAACACAACCTTCTAGAAAATCATTACATTATTTATCAGTAAGTCCAGGGGTATTGTTATCAACACATTGTTTAATCTTGCATTGAGAATAGGCATTGTTTGTGTTTAAACCATAACATTTTTGCTTATTGCCAATAAATGTATTGCACAATTATTAAGTGCCATAAAAGGCTGTGCAATCAGAAGTCTCTTTCACACAAGAACTCAAACCATTCCATATGCAGCCTTTTAAAAATTTGGTACAATCTGTATTATTAGTTAATCCAACTGCCATATCACAAGTTTTGACAATACAATTAGTAGTAATTGTGGCTCCAATTGTGTTGTAACACTATTATCTATCTGAACTATTTGAAATGAATCCTGTAAATTTATTGCACTATGCTTATGTTCCCTAATAGTCAGAGCATAATTTTGTATCTTCAATGCATCCTTTACCATTAGTTCTACATCCTTTTTAAAAGTAGGCACATTCTTCATCTGTTGTGAATATAATGTTATCAGAACACAATCTACTCCTGCAAGGGGATGTCTCTGTTGCATATTAATCATTCCAGCATTTATTGGCATATAATGCACATCTATTCTAACTCCCTTTGAATAAAGAACAATCGCTCTATCTGTCTACACATCCATAACCACTGTAGACACAATTTGACATTACTTGTTAACATGCTGAATCAGAGTCATACTTATCTCCATTTAAATCAGAACATGATAAATTTTAACAATAATTATTCTTCCATGAACATTTTGTGTAATAATAAGTAGTAATCCCATCTGCAGATGAGTAATTGATGGCTGAATTGTTTTCACATATAACTTGAGTATTAAAATTAGAGCATTTTGTTGAATCTACACAAGATGAATTCCATTAACATCCAGCAGTGCCTAAACAACTGACCTCTTTGAGAGTTAATTAACAACTTGTTTAATTTATACATCCATTACTATTTGTTACACAGCCTGATTAAAAATTCTTACATTCATAATCCGTGTTATATGTACTAGGAGCATCCTAACAAGATCTCCTTTAACATTTTCCATCTGTGCCCCCTTTGCATTTTCCATCAGATCCAATCATTTAAAAACATGTCTCAGCGCTACCATCATATTCATTACATAATTTCAAATTATACACACATCCCATTCCATTTGTCTTACATATTTTCTATATTTTTTAGCATTATTCATCTGTCACATATTTACTATCACTATCTTCAACACAATCCATCACAGAACATGACTGTTCATTATCATCTATTCCTTTGCACATCCCCTCTAAACCTATAAATCCCAAACAAGTATTTTTATTTCCCTTGTAACTTGAACAATTTTGCAAAGTAGTTACACATGATTTTCCATTAGTAACACAACCAATTTTATATTGATTGCAATCCTCATCTGAATTAAATAATCCATTTTCACAAATTCTACTTCTACAATTCTCTGACTTCTCCTCATTTTCACATATTCCATCTGACCCTACATAACTTGTACAATCTTTATTATAAGTATTACATGGCCATAACTTTTCTACACATCCCCTTCCTGTACTGACACATCCCTTCAAATACTAATCACATTGCTTATCTTTTGTATGAGTAATCGGAGCAGTTTCACATTTTTTTTGTTAACAAAATTAACTACCTTACAAAAATTCACATGGTCCATCTAATCCAATTAATTTGCTACAATCTTGCCCTGAACTTTCATATGTCTTACATTCCTTTAAAGGACTCTCTGTACATCCTTATCCTTTTGTGATGCAACCAAACCTAAATTTAGAACATTCCTAATCAGTAGTCAACCCTATTCCTGCTTCACTACACAATTCATCCCTACATTTCAAATTTCCAGAATCCCATTTGCAATGACCAGATCCTATTTTTAGTTAATTCACATCATTTACCACTCGAACTTCCTGAATTTTCACAAATATCCTAAGTCAAATATTCTTCACATTTTTTTGCATCTATACATCCATCTCCTTCAGATATACAGTATAACGATATTTATTGACAATCGAAGGTTGTGTGGAAAAAATATGCAGAGCAACCTGTAAAAAATGTGCAGCTTGAATTAAAGTAAGCACAACCTTTTACTTTGGAACAATTTTGTGCTGGATTCAATATACTCTTGCAATAATCAGCTTATCCACTAGAATTTCCTTAATCCACATTCGAACCGTTATCAATACATATCCCCTCGATACTCTCATTATTCGTACTCCAAATACAATTTCCATATTCACAATCCTATTTTCTAATAAGTTTAGAGCATTCAGAACATTAATCCATTTTCAAAACACTAAAGCCAAAACTAATCTCAATTACTAAAAAAGCCAAGAGTGTCATTTATAATTTTTATAAATTTTTTAATTATATAAGATATTTTTCAATAATTTTTCTAGATATTTAATATTTAATCATCTTCAATAAGACGATTTTTAAGGTATCCACTTACTATAAATTTTATATCTTCAATATATGCTATGAAAAATTTTAATTAAGAGAGGACATCACATAAATTGGAATATACAACAAAAATGATTCATAAATTATTTAATTATACACAATTAATACTATTTTCTTTAAATAACTAATGTGATAAGTATTTTTTAATTAAAATAATAATTTAACTTAGTGAAAATATAAACTTAAATATAGTTAAAGTATTTATGATTAATTACTTTAGACAAGATTGAAGAATAAAAACTTTAGGTTGATGCTGAATTGAAGAGTGAAGTAAGTTTCTGATTACATTTTATAGTCTTAGGTGTAGTATATAAGTGGATACTCTCAATTATTTGTACTTAATTACATATTTAGGAAGAAATAACCAACTTTATGCCAAAAGGATTCTTCTGCAGTAAGTTAATTAAGCCTTGTTTAATCCCTTGTAAAATACCAAATGGCAAGAGTCCCTAAGACTTTCAGTCATTATATTTTTTGGAATTTTTAAGGATATTGCATTCATAATAGAACCAATCTGTAAACTGGCAAATTCAATCATAGAAGGAAATATGGACATAACCAATAAAATGTTCTATGTTTTGGGATTGGAGCTTACATAGGAAGAATAAAAATTGAGTGGTATATATCTCTTAAAAGCTGTCATGTCAAAGTGGATTAATGCGGTTGATATTTTGATTGAAATGATTATATGCATTTACCTTCATCTATGGAGGTATAAAAGAATAGAACATCCTATTTTTTTTGAATGTCCTTTAAATAATACCATACCTTTATCTATGAAAGAATGTGATTTTAAGGAACCCTTAATATGTATCATTCAGCTAAATTATATTCAAAAAAACTGAAATGTTAGTATTAAATTAAATTTGAAATTATAAGTGTTGTAAGGAGTTTTTTAACAAATTTCTTAATCGTATCTAAGACCAAATACTGAAAAAAGTGGATTTTTTTCTTTTGGTAGAATATTTTCAGGTACTATAAGAACAAGTATAATTGGTTAAAGAATATTCAAAAAAAATACTGATGATGGCCAAATAAGCAAAATACATATCAGATGTTCCTTGTGGTTATATTGTATGATTAGGATGTTGTCTTATTAAGGAGGGGTACAATATCGGATCAACCAGAATCTAATCTAATCAGATCAACGAATTATTTAGTTTCACCATTAATAAAAGTGCCTGCTTGACCTCAAAATCCAAAAAATCAACCTATATTATAAGAGTGTTTGAAGAGATTATTCTAATCCGATCAATTAACGCATTGTAAAGCTGAAATGACAGGAGAGCTTATATTAGCAGGTTGTGGAGAATTACATTTAGATATTTGCTTGAATTATTTAGAGATGGATTTTGCGAAATTTAAATAATTTGATATAATCCAATTTTATCTTATAAAGAAACTGAGTTTATTGCTTAATCTCTCAATAATATCATACAACATATGCCTATTTGGAGAACAAATTGACTCAAAAATATGCATTTGATCAGATGACCATCGATTAACTTGTATCTCTATTGAGAAACAATCCATATTCAACTATAGATCAGATGAGCATCGGAGTATTTTTTTATTTTAATTATTAGATTATATTTGACTATGTTCCTCCTGAATGCATAAGCTTATATATCACTAATTAAGGTTAATATACTCCATAGAGTATTTATTAATTGTTCTATGACCTTTATAATGACAAAGATGAAGAAATTTGAATTTTTGAATAAAATTATTATATTAAAATAGAATAAGTAAAATATCAATTTTTGATATATTATGTTATTCAAAACCCAGAACGATTAGAGTTTTTTTTTTAATTAAGAATCGCTTTTGCAGGACAAATCTAAAGAGATTTATCACCAAAATCCAATTTTGTTATTGTTGAAAATTAACCATCAAATGTTGGTACACTTTAGATTTAAGTGGTAGATTTTGTAGGTCTAGTTTTCTTTGCCTTAAAAGGCTTAAAGGCTCTAGATGAAGTAGTCGATCCAAAAAAGGGCAATCCTGGATTTATGGGATTTCTTGACCATCTTATTAATTTAATTACCCAAAACTGCTATGAGCTCCAAATATAAGGTTTCTTTCTTTAGTAATTGGTGTTCCGCTAAAATTTCTTTTATATTCACTTGATCCTAAGAATTTAAGATCTTTCATAACTGTTGGATGATTTTAAGGTATTATATTCACCTTCTCATCTAATTATAAACAAATTCATTCACTTTCAGGCATTTTAGTATGAGTCAATTAATAAGTAGAACCAGCATGAAAAGTTTATACAAATCTAGGTTGTTCTGGTTTATAGGAAGTTTATGGTCTCTGTTTTGGATCTTTGAAATCAAGCTAAGATAACTGTTTTTAATTACTCTTTAAGTAGTTTCGAATTTCATAGTATAATCATCTTTATAAGTTGGTAATTATGAAATTGATTTATTTCTTAATGGTTATTTTTCAACATAGTCTTGTTGATACTATGATTTCATAGCCATTCCTTATTATTCTTTTAATCTTTCTAATCCACATTTGCATCCACCACATATACATAATCCACAAATACATTGATCTATAAATTATGAATAGACTTAACCTTGAACATGATCAAAGTAGGCAGCATTTTTATCTAACAATTTATTAATGAGTTAGTGATCATTCTATGAAAATTTACCAGACATTAGCTAAAAATTACTAAGATTAGAATACATCTTTTTATGACATTGAATAAGTAGTCTATGGTCTAAGTCTATTGCTTATATTAAAGTTCATGTAAAATAATTATTATATAAATATTACTTATTTTATTTTAATATGTAAAAAAAATTAATGATTTTCATTTTGCAACGCTTGGTTAATAGGTGAAATTCGAAAAATTTTAGTTTGGCATTAAAGTTCCATTTACGGGAGTGTCTTTTGCAATTTATTTTGTTAATCCCTCATCAAAATATTTCAATTCTTTCTTATCAAATTCATAAGGAGGTTTTATCTATTTCATAACTTTAATCTACTTTTTAAATAGCCATTTCTTGGAAATTGATTGATTCAAAGAAGCTATGTTACATGATTTCATATCCATCCTATTCAAATCCTAATCTCTTTTTAGGCTAATATAATTGTGTTTTTCAGATACATCAATAACCAACAATTATTGCAATAATTATTTGGCTGATTCAGATAGAAATGATGGATATGGTATAGGTTGAGTCAATATTTTTCTTATCATTTCCTTCTTATTATCCCTATAATGAGGAGGAGATCCTACTAACATTTCATAAAGTAAGGCACCAAAACTCCACCAATCACATGTCTTATCATATCCAGTTTCTAATCATTATGTATAATTACTTGCAGTTAATATTTCAGGTGCTAAATATTCAGGAGTTCCACATAGACTAAAAGCTGTTTTATCATTATCTAACATAATTTTAGATAATCCAAAATCAGTCAATCGAATATGACCTTTATCATCTAATAAAATATTTTCTGGCTTTAGATCTCTATAAATGATATTAATTTCATGCAAATATTGTAAGCCTAAAAGAATTTCAGCAGCATAAAATTTAGCTATTATTTCATCAAATCTGACCACTTTTCTTAAATGGAAGAAGAGTTCACCCCCTGGTAAGTAATCAACAACCAAATACAATTTGTAGGGTGATTAAAATGCATATCTCAATTTTACTATGAAGGGACTAGAACAATTGGCTAAAATGATTCTCTCTGTTTCAGTATGTCTCTTTTATCGTTCATTTTATATATTTTTTTTTTAAAGAACTTTCATTGCGTAATACCTACCTAGAAATTACTTCAAAGATACCATTAGATTTGTATTAAACAAGCATTACTTTACCAAAAGATCCTTTACCCAAAACTTTCAGCAATCTAAAACTATCAATGTTAACTTTCTATGAAGGAGCAGAGTTTGGGTCTTTTTCATTTATTTTACCTCCAATATCCATTTCTTGTGTATTTTTCTGGGTTTATATGAAAATATGGAATACATTTGAAAGTCGGAGAAATTCATCATTTTCCATTTAAAATTCAGGATCATCCTATATATCTAAAACATTTTGGGTTTGTATACAATCTCCGCTAGCTCTTATTTGATTATGGAATTACGATTAGATTTGATCATAGATCCTTGAATAGATTCAGGTTTTTTGGCATCTGTGGAATTGAGTAATTGTGATTCATTATAATCTCTATAGCAGACTTGTCCCATAAATAATAATTAATAATTATATATGAAGTCAACAAATAAATCAAATGATTAACTAACCTAATATCATTATAACAATGGTATTCATCTTGTCTAATTCTATATAATTAGAAATATGAATACACTCCTCTGATTCTTCGAACTCTTCTAGATTTAGTTTCTCTAAGACTAATCCATAATAATCCGATCTAGTATTAGTATTAGCACTTTCGAATTTAGATGAAAATTTTGATGTTTTCTTTTAATTTGGTGTACAAATAATTTTTTCGACTTCGTCAAGAACATAATTTTCACAATTCACACATTTACAACCAGAACCACAACTTTTGCCAGAATTGAAGCATTCACAATATTTTTTCAAACACATTGACTTTTAGCATGTACATCCCTAAAATAAATGAAATGAATTACATCCTTAAATCTTCTAGATCTAAATCGTTTTCTATTTCTATTTTGATCTAGTTCTTCAATGACATTTAAAACTAGTTTGTTTGAAGTCTTGTTATGGCAATTTTAGCATCTGCCTATTAAATAGAAATATGAAAACTACAAAATGAAGAACATAGTCTTCCCTTGGCAAGACATTCGCAATACATTTTTCTACACCCAGATCTGCTACAATTGCAAGGATCATCAGAAGGTAAAAGAATGGAACCCTTCTTTTTTGATGGTTCAGGAGAGATTAAAATATTGTCATGAATAGTGTGTTACAACTTAATTAACTAACTCATGTCTAAAGAAGAGTCTTTATGTTCATCCAATTCTGGACTTGATGAAGATTGTTGTTCTAACAATTATCTTGCAAATTAGATGAACTAGTTGTTTTATTACAACTACATTAAATTAATTAAAATCACTTCTGTCTTCTAAATTAAATACAGAAAATAATAATAAAATAATAGATGTTAAATTCTCTATGTAGTAAAATTTAGCTAAAGAGAAGGACATTCTTCTAATGATTCCTTTATTTTTTCTTATCATTTACTTATTAAGCAAATGATTTAATGGGATGATTGTTTACTAATGCATCCAATTCAATTTGTTCTGCTTTTGAAATCACTATAAAATATAAAAAAAGGAGACATTATATTCAATATCTCCTTGTTTGATTTAGATACTTCAACTAGTTTCATAGTATCCTATCAATCAGCTTAAACAGAGCAAGTGTTATCTTTTACTAAGAGTGAATGTAATTTATCATTTTGTATTATTAAATTAATTTATTAATATAATAATCATCATCTTGTTATATTCAAGTCATTTTTGGTTTCATGAAAGAAAGCTTAAGAGAAAATTCAATTCGCTAAAGTCATCGAAAGCATTACTACTTGGTTCTTAAAAAATAAATCAAAAATTGAAATTAAAAAATGCATAAAATAAGTTAAAGCTTTTAATGTAGTTGAAAATCTAGGATAATGGTAGGATGATAATAATTCATTTTGATACGAAAATATAAGCATATAAAATCTTCATAATCAACTATTTAAATATTATCTTATATTCAAAAAAGAGCTTCAGTGTTTTTGAATCTAATTATATATATTTTTATGATTCTATTATTAAATGAACATATATACTTTAAAATACTTAAGATTATATAGCTACATTTATCATTATGAATATAATCTGATCAATAATGTTGAGAATCTTCTGAGGATTCTACAAAAAAGTGTTAATTTTATGGTAAAAAGAATAAAATTTAGTTTACATAGAATATAAACTTAAATCATGAGAGGATTTTACACTACTATAGATAACGAAAATTTCAATAAGTATAATAAATTTGAAAAATCCAAGATAAAATTGCTTTTGTGAGAGAATTTAAGTGATATTTGTATTACTAATCAATTTTTTATTTATTCTCTAATGTATAAAAAATTCATCTACAGTTAAAGAATATTAGTTAAAATAACTCCTTTAATTGTACAACCAAAAATTATATGAATTAATTAAATGTATAACAATATATGTGTTACATATAATGACTATATTTATGTATATAAAATTAAGTAGCAAAAAAAGAAATGAAGTCGTTTTTTAATTAATATAATAAATGAGAATAGCAATTTTATTGGTATTGATTGCAATATCAGCTACTACAGAAACTCATCTTACAGCGATAAAGCAATTAAGAGAAGTAATAAATATATACTATGTTTCAGAAAACAAGAATCACTCCTTTTAGCGATTATTTTTATGGGATGCTTGAATTACATTAATCAAGTAAATTGGGTGAAGTTGTCACAATTGTTTAATCAATGTTAGATAAGCTCATAGCTGCATCTGGGGCTAATGAAGCTGAACATTCTGCTGTAAAACTATTTCTAAATTATTTAGTAACAAGCTAATTATGAATAATAAATTTCTAAATTGGAAAATACCTTAGAAACAACTGAAAGCGAATTGAGTTCAGTTAATCAATAAATAAATGATTTGACTTCTGATCTATCTTCACTTACTCAATCTTTAAGTTTCTAAGGTTAATAACTTTTATTGCTATCCAATTAAATTACATAATTAAGTGATAATCATTAAGAAGAAGTAAGAGCAGCAGAAGAGAAATTAAACAATAATTCTAGATATTTGACAGCAGTTTAGGAAGTATTAAGATTTTTAAGTGACACTCTTTTGGGAAATACTAGTTTAATTGAAAGAGAAAGAGCAATAGAAGCAGCAAAACAATCTTTGGGAGATAAACATCCAATTTCTATAATGATTTAAATGACATCATAATATGATGATAACACTATAAGAAGAGTTATAACTAAATTAGAAGGAATTGCATAAAATGTATAAGAAAGATTAGATTCTATAAATACTTCTTCAAATAATTCAGAACAATAATACCAAACCTTAAGAAGTCAATTTGAAACCACTTACAGTAATTTAGATAAGGACAAATAATTCAATTAAAGACAAGCAACTGCTAAAGACAATGACCTAGTAAAATTAATTGGTAATTATATAATAGGCATCTGCTAAGAGGAGATAATAAGAATTATAAGAACTTATTGAAACTTCAAAGGAATTGCTTGATTAAACAAGAATTGCTCAAGACAATGAAAATACAAGTTATACAAGCAAAAGATCACATATTTCTGAAGAAATTAGCATCGTATAAAGTGCTTTGGATTTATTATCACAATTACCAGCTTAATGATATGAATGAGAATAATCAAATAAAATAAAATTTTATTATATTTTATTATGTTTATTGTGTACCAGCAACCCTAAGTTTATATAGTTTAGTAAACACTCCCTGTTTATTAGAGCCTACCTTTCATTAGAGTAAGACATACTTTTGATATAGCCACCTACATCAGTTTAACCTCAAATTAGATCATAAATTCCAGTTTAAGTTCCTAGTCCAGATAAATCAAGAGTAACAGATAATATGATTGAAACAATTAACAAAAAAATTGAAATGATTGATAGCAGAATTAGCTAGATTTAGAAGTCATTACCACCAAAATAGAATCAAAATGGAAATAATACAAAGAAATAGCATACCAATACTTCGTAAGATGAATCTAATTGTCCAGTTACACCAAAACGAAATGGAAATTATAAAAGTTATTTCTTGAACAAATATGATAATTCTTAAGAGAGAATTCTAATTAGTAAAAAGATTTTGGAAGAACATGAAAGAAATACTAAAGCAAGCAAAAATACTTAATCCTCAAATAAAAGAGATTAGAGTTTCTAATCATAAATTAATAACAAATAAACTACATATGACATTAATAAAAAAACAACGATTACCAAAAAAATCACATATATGGGTGAAGAAGCCTTATATGAAGGATAGACAGATGAAAGAGGTAGAAAATAAGGAATTGGGACATTATTTGATAAAGATGGAAAAATAATATACACAGGCTAATGGAAAGATGATGTTTTTTGGGGAAAAGGTAAACTCATGTTTAGAGAATCTAAATCATAGAAATTGCAATTAAAGAACTTTATGAATTTTTCAAATGTAGCTAGAAATAGAGAAACATATAGTGGCAATTTTGTAAATGGAGAAATTGAAGGAATTGGTTAAATGCAATTTATAGATTGTTATGATTCATATTTTGTATTTTATGGTACTTTTAGGAAGGGAGTATTTCATGGAAAAGGATGTGTTTTATCAAATTAAGGTAGAGAAAGTTTAGAAGGAGAATGGGTTAATGGTAGACATACTTGATTCATAATTCATATTTTCATTAGAAATATTATTATATATTCATAAATATGTATATTTCTAATACTTTTTAATTTTAGTTAACATATTTAATATAATATAAATTTAATATTTTAATTTTATAGATTAAAATAAAAAAATTATTTTAAACTAATAAATTCTATTTTGTTTTATATTAGAAATTCTTTAATTTATTACAATTTTTAAACAATTTAAATTTGTTTAAAATAAAATGAGTCTTGATCCAGCAGAACCACCTATTCCTGAAGATCCAGAAGAGGAAATTATTCCCTATGTTGGTCCACCAAAATTATTACCTGTTGCAATCAAAACAGGAGAAGAAGATTTCGAATTATTGATGACCTTCAAATGTAAGCTTTATCGTTTTAGGAATGAGGAATGGAAAGTAAAAATTAATCATATAATTTAAAGTAAAGAGGTTAAGGTATCTTAAAATTCTTAAAACATTAAGAAACTAAGAAGTGTAGAATATTAATGAGATAAGATGCTACTTATTTTATTAGAGCTAATCATTTAGTTTCAGAAACTATTGTTAAGAGCATGTTTCATCAATTTGGATATGAATGGATAGGATAGGATCATAGTGATGGGGAAACTAAGTTAGAATAATTTAGTGTTAAATTGGAAAGTGAAGAAGATTTTGATAAATTCTATCAATAATATGAGGAATGTCGTATTTTAAATAAAGATGAAGATTGAAGTCTTATTTTTTTTTTTATTATTCAAATTATTTAAATAATTTAAATTATAATGGACCCTCACGCAGAAGATGATGATTAATAAGTAGGAGAAGACTATGATCCAGAACAACCAGGAGATAATGACTTTCAAGGATAAGCAACTCTTCCTTAAGTACCTGTAAAAACAGGTGAGGAGGATGATGAAGAAGTAGCAAAATTCAGAGCAAAGATGTACAGATTTGCAGATGGTTAATGGAAGGTTTTTTAATTTTAATAACATCTCTTAGGAAAGAGGAGTAGGTGATTTGAAATTCTTGAAAAATAAGCAAACTTAGAAAATAAGATTATTGATGAGATAAGATAAAACTGGCAAAGTGATTGCAAATCATATGATTATAGTTTAAGAAGGATTCTGTAAATTATCATAACTCAAAACTGCTGAAAAATCATGGATTTGGACATGTTATGATGCATCAGACGAATAGCCTAAAGTTTGGCAATTGTGTGTGAGATTTACAAGTGCAGATGAAGTTGAAAGATTTAAAACTGAATTTGAGAAGGCTTATGAAAATAATAAAGTTGAAGCAGAACCTGAAAAAAAATAAGAATGAATGTATATTTGGTTATAAATAATTAAAATTTATATTATTAATGAATTCTCTGACTTTTGGCTCAAATGTAGAAATTCCATAATTCATAATTATAGAATTAAACAAAATAAATAAGGAATTTGTTGTACATTCAATTGTAGCTAAAACAAATACAAGTGTATAGTTTATTGAAACATTTCAATTATGTCGAAAAAACATTTTAAATTAGGTGGAAAACTAAAAATGATTGTTAGAGGGAAATGACAGGCATTATGCTCTTAAATCTAATGTTGAATTTTTGCAAGTATGCGAATTCAAATTGAAAAATAAGATAGTGCAGCATATTTAGAAATTAAATTAACAAGTTGAAAGAGAGAAACAGAAAAAATTACAAGATTGAAGGAATTAGCAGAAGAATTAAGTTAAAATTAATCTCAAGAATAGAATCTCAAATTAAATAAATCTAAAGAGAAGTATAAGGAATAATTAGAGAAGTTGTATTAAGTGTTGAAAAATCATAAATGAACGATAGAGATAATGTCTATACAATTATCCAATTTATAATTTCAAAGAAGGAATACCATAATAATATTGAGAGTATGATATTTATATATATCTATTTTAGGAAGCATTGAAGTTTTAATTGAAAAAAAAGAATACTTCAATTTAAATATTAAAATTAATGCAAAGAGAATAATCCTAAGAAATAAAAGATGTACTCCATTTTGTTGGTTTGAAATTATGATTTTATCAATATATAATGAAAATCTTAATGCTTAAGTAATTTCTCCAAGAGAATCTACTATTATTCTTAGATTTTGATATTTCTTATTAAGTATTTTTAAAGATTAATGACCCATCAACAGAAATTGATAAATTAAAATGAAGACTTAATTTGATAAAAGTAGAATTGTTAATGTCTACTCTCCAAATCTCCCTCCATTTAAATTGACACTAACTTTTAAAACTACTTTTAATGATGTTCGCAACCAAATTATTTAAGGATGGAGTATCATCCCTAAGCGAATCAGAATCTTTAATTAAAATGGTCATGAATTGAAAGAGCAAGATTTACAATTTGTTCTAGATGGAAATAAATTATATATCACTCTCTTCGGTTAGGACTTGGATGCAAGTATCATATTTTAAGAGTACGAGATTGTTTCAGAAATTGGTAAGGGAGGTCAAGGAACTGTCTTATTGGCTAAACATAAGTTTATTGGATCGTTTGTTGCTGTAAAAATAACAAGAGATACTGAAGAAGAAGACGCCATTATAAAAAGGGAATCTAAGATCTTGAAAGACTTACAACATCGAAATATCGTAAAAGTCTTTTAAACTCTTTATTTTTCTAAGACTAAAGAGTCTATAATAATTATGGAATATTTAGATGGTGGATCACTATTACAATTAATTAGAAGTAATTATCATCTTTTATTATAATAGACAAAGGAACAATACCTGAAGAGGAAGTGAAGATATATATCAAACAAATTGTAGAAGCTTTACTCTTTTGTCATTCAAAAACATTTATTCATAGAGATTTAAAATTAGAAAATATTATGTTAGTTAATTAAGGAAATACTTTGGTATTAATAATTTTTAATTAAGGTTAAATTAATAGATTTTGGATTGGCAGGAGTAGCTGGAACTTAAAGGGAAACTGAAACAATGAATGTAGGAACTCTCCCATATATGCCTCCTGAGGTACTTAATGGAAAACTCAAGTTTGTTTGTCCTTGTGTAGATGTATGGGGATTAGGAGTAATTATGTATAGTCTGTTATATGGTAAATTACCTTTTAAAGGAAGAACAAATGAAGAAAAAATCAACAATATTCTTTAATGTAATTTTTAACATGAATTAAATGTCTCAGATGATGCTAAAGATCTAATAAATAGAATATTTGTACCTAAACATAATTAAAGGATATCAATGTAGGAGATATTGGCTCATAAATGGATAGGTGGAAATGGTTTCTTACAATTTCGTCGATTACTTAAAAAATCAGAAAATCCATATTTGAAAAATGTAAAGAGGAAGTATGATTTTGAAATTCGAAAAAAAAGTGTTTGTGATGAATAAAAAGTTAGAATTTCTCTTCCATTAATCAGATATAGAGCTAGCTCTTAAGATAAAATTATTGATATATCTAAATGATGCTAATTATTTGTAATTTTCACACAAATCATGGAAATAATTAATAATAACTAACAAATGATTCTCAATCCTAAAGAGTTATTCTATGATTAGTTATGAATTACATATTATTATAATATATTTTATTTTTTGGAAATATTATTGAGTTGAATATATTTTTATCAATAATAAACTTAAGACTCAACCTAATAAATATGATATCATTTGATATTGCTGTAATAGGAGGAGGTGTAGTAGGAGGAATGCTAACAAGATCATTATCAGCAAGATATCCAAATCATAAAATAGGACTCTTTGAAAAAGAATCAGGTTTAGGATTACATACATCAACAAGAAATAGTGCTGTTTTACATGCTGGATTTTACTATGCATCTAATACTGTTAAAGCATCACTATGTAAAGAAGGAAATAAGACTTTAACTTAATATTGTTTAGATCATAAAGTAAATATTAGAAAGACAGGAAAATTCTTAGTAGCAAGAAATTCTGCTGAGAATGAGAGATTAGCTTAAATTAAAAAACAAGGTGATATTAATGGTGTAGAATTAGAACTTATGGAAGTTGATAGAGCATTAAAAATAGAAAAGTATCTAAAAGTTAATGATAAAAATTTTTAATTTTTATATTCACCAACAACAAGTGTTGCTGATAATAAAGGTTTAATGAAAAGTATTCATGAAGATCTAAATTAATGTAAAAATGTTCAAGTATTTACAAATCATAAATATACTGATTTAATTGAAAATAAAGATTAATAAACAACGTTTAATGTATTGAAAATGTCTAATGAAAAATAATTGGTTTAAGCTAAATATTTTGTAAATGCAGGTGGATTATATGCAGATGTAATAGCTAAATAATTTAATTTCTGTAAAAAATATGTTATTTGGCCATTTAAAGGGAGTTATCTTATAAATAATAGACCTATACCAGAAGCAAATGCTATTATATATCCTGTTCCACCTTTAGCTGGAAATTATTTTTTAGGAATTCATACAACAATAACAACAGATGGTCATTTAAAAATTGGGCCTTCTATATTTCCTGCATTATGGAGAGAATAATATAATTGGAAAGATAATTTTGTTTTTTCAGAGTTTTCTGAAATCTTGAGTTTAAATGTGAAAAATGTTATTTCCAAAGATATGAAATTCTATGCTTAAAGTCTTTTAAATGAATTAAAAAAGATTAATAAAAGTATTATCTAATTGTAAATTTTAGCATATATGATTAAAGAAGCCAAAAAACTCACAACATAACTAGATTAAATTCCAGAAAATTAATTACATGAATATTTTGACAGAGGAAAACCAGGTATTAGATCTTAATTATTTGATACTGAAAAAAGAAAAATGGAATAAGATTTCATTTTTGAACATGATAAAAATTCTTTTCATTTATTGAATGTTGCATCCCCTGGATGGACATGTTCAATTCCAATGTCAGAATATATATGTGATATTATCTAAAAAAATAATTATATTTGAAATATAAAGAATATCAAAAATATAACATATTTATTTAAACAAAATTTGAATATATATCAAATATTAATCCCAATAACTGATCCATTTCTTATTTTTGTATCAATTACTATATTAGTCTAAGCTAATATTATTTTTATTATTTATGAATGAGAGACAATTCCAATTTTTTTTGTATTTATCTAATTTTATTTTAATTTCTCTAAAAATATTTTCACTCTATTTTCAGCATGATTTGTATTTTCTAATGTAATATTTTATCCTTTTTTGACAAATTTATTAACTAAATATTGTTCTTAATCCTCTTTGCATGGTTTTAAACTTTAGACTTTTTCTTATTTTCCAATTAAGATAAATTACCAAAACTCTAATTCTTATGGTAATTCGCTTATATCAAATTTAATTGGATTATTATTCTATTGATAATAATTAAATAAAATAATACATCTTAAAGAATATTTGTTATATTTCCCCATTTATAGATTGAATACTAACTACTGATTTTTTCACTTATATGAGGACATAAGATAAATTATATTTAATCTTTCTAAGGATGATCTTAAAATAATAATTAGGCTGTTTGTATAGTTCTAATATAAAGTAATTATAAAATTAATTACCTTAATAGAGGTGAAATATAAACCTTATCAAATTCCATCAAATTGATTTCAGGTCTCATTTTTTCGCATTACTTTTTACCTAAATAATGAAGAGGAGGATCCATTAATTCATAACTATAAATATTTCTATTCTTGAATTCTGTGGCTCTCTTAAAATAATTATGCCAAGCCAAAGCATGTCTAACTAAATTGATTTTTCAATTAAATACCAATGATATAATTGCTATTCTTTATATTATGGGGTGTGCAATCCAATTCTATTTACAATTTCTCCCATTCATGATCTTCATCATTCATATGATGCAATTTATCTTCAAAGTCTTTTGCTTCTTAAAGTTTCTATCCTAGTAAATTGTAGCTTTCCCTCTATTCTTCTGGACATCTCAATAAGGATCAACATTTACATCTGAGATAAAGTGTGGGTATCAAATACAATTTTTTATTACATGAATTTTTCAATATTTCAATAAATATTAGAATTATGAAGAATAAGAACTTAATATAGACTTTAATTAGATAGTAATAAATGTTAATTTTTTAATTGCTTAAACAAACCATTTATACATATTCATAATTAATATTAATATAAAATGTCTTTGAATGCATAGTTTCCAAAACAAGTGCCATTTCTTCCTGGACATGTATTTTCAGACCCATACAAAGAAAATCATCATAAAACTCAATAATTTTCAAATGTCAATGGAACTGTGCAAGAAAAAACAAATTTCATTCATGAAGAATTTGATCCAAATTTATTAGACTCAATGAAAATGGGAACACCTCCAAATCTTACTTATGGTAGTAGATAACCACCTGAAAATGATTATATTCCAAGAATTTAACCACCATGGTTGAAATATGATCGAGCTGTTTTACGATTTTATTCATACTTCTAAGAATCAGTAGTTGAAAATCCCAATGAAAACTATAGAATTAGATAAGTTATTATCTATTATTACCTTTCTGATGGAACAATCCATGTTACCGAAGTAATAATTTAAATAACTGTAGCCTCGTGTATAAAATTCAGGCATTCCTTAAGGACTCTTTATTAAAAGATAGAAGATACCAAAGAAACTTGGAAAATAAGATTTTTATACATGGGAAGATCTCTAATTATGTTCAAACATCAATTTCTATGATAGAGTATGATTTCAAAATAAATTAAATTAGGTGTATCGAATTTGTGATTGTGATACATATACAAGAGAGTTTTATGAATATATGGGTAAACCCTTATAATTACCTGAGTAATTGCCTAGAGATAATTTTCAAGCTCAAAAAGAAACAAAAGACTTGAAAATCAATCCACCTGATACTAAAGAGTATAAGGAATATTTTGAAGTTAAATTAGGAGGAGGACATCCAAATGGAGGATTGAATAAATATCTCAGTAATGATAGAAAAGTATTATCCTTTGACATTATTTGGGATGATGCTTCAATAGAAGGCTAATTAAATTATTATACACTCAATTATTATTTAGCAGATGAAACATGTGAAGTAAAGGAAGTTAGAAAACCAAATTCAGGTAAAGATCCTTATCCACTTATGTTGAGAAGATAAAAAATACCAAAATAACCTATTCTTACTCATTATCCAGGAATGACATTAAAAAAGGAAGAGTTTTATGGTCCATTAGATCTTATTTGTGGAAATTAAGTTAAAATTTATGGAAGAGATTGTTTTATTTATGGATGTGATGATTTCACTAAAGAATACTATTTAAAAGTTTTAGGAATTTAATAAAAGTAATAATAATATAAAAGTAAATAGACCAGCCACATTAAAATAGGAGAGAGGAAAGAAGTTTTATTAGCCAGTACCTCCTTATAATGGATATGGATATGAAGAAGACTCTTTGGGTTCAGTTTATTCTCTTTAACCTAAACCTCCAAAGAAGGATGTAAGGAAGAATTTTACTTAAGATTAATTTATTTTAAGATTTGAATCAAGATTAATTAGTGAAGTTAGAGAAGAGAATTAAAGAAGATTTATAATATCATTTTATTGTGGAGATGATACAATTTAAGTTTATTTAACATCAGAGAGAAATAGTGGAATTTGGGTAATTTTATTATATAATTTTAAGGGAGGCAAATTCTAGGAAAGATCTAGATAGAAAAATCCATTGACTAATGATTATTACACTGAAAAAGTATTATTTTATACTGATTAATTAAGGATTTCTAATTAGGAGCTATTGTGCAATTTAATGTTTATAAGTTTTAATTGATGAGAGCTGATGAGTTTACAATTAATTATATGAAGTAGAAGCCTGATGTATTTAAAGAAGCAGATATAAAATAAATAATTGCAAAGTTGAGGATGTTTGCAGATAATTATCCTAATTTTGATTCTTTCTTATTAGATATAATGAAGTAAATTTTATGTGTTGATTAATTCTATTAGGAAACTAGATAAACAATTGAAAGGACAGATTGAGTTTGAAGAACTAGCTGCTGGATTGTAAGAATTAGGCTTTAATTTGACATTATAAGAATAATATTATTTGATGAGAGAATTTGATATCAGTGGTGAATGGAAATTGAATATGTAGGCATTATGGGAAGGAATCGGAGGCAAAAGATCTTGAAAATAAATTTATTAGAAAATAATATAACATTAACTTATGCAAATTAAAAAAAGACATTCAGTAAACCCTGAATTATAACTCAAAAATCTAAATGGTTAGTACAAATCAGTTTGCAAATCATAGCATATGATAGTTACTAAAGATTTATAGCCATCTCCTATTAAATTGATTAGAAAGTAAGGGAGACATACCTAAAGTTTTATTAATACTCATTAATCTCTGCACATTTGTAATAATCCTACTTATTAACTTATTCAATAATGTATTACTGCTGCGGAAATGATTAAAGAGAAACATAAAACTAAAACTACTCATAAATTTTTTCATATTCGATCATGCTCTGTTCCTTGTCCTAAGATGTAGACTATTAATAATCTAGTTGACTCTTTATTAGATGATGCTGATGCTTAAAACATTAAGGAATAAAAGAATCTAGAGTAAATTAATATATTCTTATATTAAGAGTAGAAATTTAAACTGTTATGAATTAATTAATTGAAGAAAAAAAATAGAAATAAAAAGCAATATCTTAAGGAGAAAGCCTATTTAAATAGCAAGATCTTTCAATACAATATTTAGTATAAATATAAATATCATTATAGAAATCTAGAATCGAACAGTATAAATAATTAGTTTGAATGACAAAAGCTTAATAAATATATTATATAAACTTATTTTAATCTTTTATTTTTCATCTCATTAATATTTTATTTGATTTACTATGAATAATAATAGTAATCTTGAAAATAATTATACTAGATCATACTGATATTTAAATATTTATAAAATATATTAAGAATATTTAATTTAAGAATGATTAAAAGAATATCAAAGTAGATGATGAAAATGCCTTAATTATACTTTACTACAAGAATGTTAGCTCCATTTTCTTAGCATAATCATAATCATAATCATAATCATAATCATGATCATAATCATTCTCATCCAGATTTCTAAGCTTAACAAAAGGCTTAACCATAATATACATAAGAATAGATCTAATAAAAACATAAAGAAATTGATAATGTAAATTTATAGGAGTATTTTGTAGATCATAAAATCTAATTAAGTTGTGTTATTCATGAAGGGAACTCCAACTTAACCAATGTGTGGATATTCCAATTATGCTGTTTAAGTACTTTAATTTTACAAAGTATAAAATTATCATTCTGTTGATATTCTATCTGATCCTTTGATGAGAGAAGAGATAAAGAAATATTCAAACTGGCCTACATTCCCATAATTAGTATTAATTTAATAATATAAAAAATATAGTATGTAAAATAAGAATTAGTTGGTGGATGTGATATAATGATGGAAATGCATAAAGAAGGTACATTAAAAGAATTATTTAAAAAAATATGATTATTAATAATATAATATATATATTATATGTTAAAAATAGAGGAATAAAATTACTCAAGACAATTAATTAAGTAAGACAAAGAACTATCATAATTTATAAAATATCTAGAATTACAAAATGAAGTAAATGAAAAAAACAAAGAGAAAGAATTTAGAATGAAACAGAAAGAATCAATTATACTTGGTTAAAGGTAGTAAAAGAAATAAGAACATGAATTTTAAGCTAGATTAAAGTAATTAGAATTATCATCAATAAGAGAAAAATATGATGAATCATTAACAATGAAGAATAAAGTAATTAAGAAATTTATATTCAGAGTCTTGAATAGAGATTATAGAATTAAGAGTAAAGACATTAATAGATATTACAGGATGCTAAAATTAAAAGAGAAGAGTAAGCTAATTTAAGAAGTCTTCATTTAAGAGATTCTGTTGATTAAGCTATAGCAAAGGCAAATTTAATTCATTAAGATAAGATAGATTATTTTAACTATTAATAAACACGTAAAGAANTAAAATATATTAAGAATATTTAATTTAAGAATGATTAAAAGAATATCAAAGTAGATGATGAAAATGCCTTAATTATACTTTACTACAAGAATGTTAGCTCCATTTTCTTAGCATAATCATAATCATAATCATAATCATAATCATGATCATAATCATTCTCATCCAGATTTCTAAGCTTAACAAAAGGCTTAACCATAATATACATAAGAATAGATCTAATAAAAACATAAAGAAATTGATAATGTAAATTTATAGGAGTATTTTGTAGATCATAAAATCTAATTAAGTTGTGTTATTCATGAAGGGAACTCCAACTTAACCAATGTGTGGATATTCCAATTATGCTGTTTAAGTACTTTAATTTTACAAAGTATAAAATTATCATTCTGTTGATATTCTATCTGATCCTTTGATGAGAGAAGAGATAAAGAAATATTCAAACTGGCCTACATTCCCATAATTAGTATTAATTTAATAATATAAAAAATATAGTATGTAAAATAAGAATTAGTTGGTGGATGTGATATAATGATGGAAATGCATAAAGAAGGTACATTAAAAGAATTATTTAAAAAAATATGATTATTAATAATATAATATATATATTATATGTTAAAAATAGAGGAATAAAATTACTCAAGACAATTAATTAAGTAAGACAAAGAACTATCATAATTTATAAAATATCTAGAATTACAAAATGAAGTAAATGAAAAAAACAAAGAGAAAGAATTTAGAATGAAACAGAAAGAATCAATTATACTTGGTTAAAGGTAGTAAAAGAAATAAGAACATGAATTTTAAGCTAGATTAAAGTAATTAGAATTATCATCAATAAGAGAAAAATATGATGAATCATTAACAATGAAGAATAAAGTAATTAAGAAATTTATATTCAGAGTCTTGAATAGAGATTATAGAATTAAGAGTAAAGACATTAATAGATATTACAGGATGCTAAAATTAAAAGAGAAGAGTAAGCTAATTTAAGAAGTCTTCATTTAAGAGATTCTGTTGATTAAGCTATAGCAAAGGCAAATTTAATTCATTAAGATAAGATAGATTATTTTAACTATTAATAAACACGTAAAGAATAATATTTATCATAATTATAAAGTGAAAAGAATATAAAATAACTTGAAAAATCAATGAATTTTTAAATTAAATAAGAATTGAATGATTCAAATTATAAAAAAGCTTAAGATATATTAAATGAAAGAATTTATAAAACTATGAATAAATTGAATTAAAAGGATTCATTATCTTAATAAATATAAATAGAAAATGAGAGGAAATTAAATAATAAATTATTTTCTTAAAAAGCATTATTAGAAAATGGATTATCAAATGCTGATTATGCAAAAGCAAGGTTTGAATAGAATTTGAATATGAAAAAATCAATGACAGAATATAAAATGAATAAATTAGATTAAATGATGTAAAATTATTTTATTTATGTTATATTAGAAGGGAGAAATAATTATTGTAATAATAAGAAAGAGAAATAAGAGTAATGGTAGAAAAAAAGAAGAATTAATTGAAAGAAGAATTTGATAAAAAAATGAACTTGTTACAAAAATAAAAATATTGAGAACTTTTTAGAATTTACTATATGTGTTATATTATTAATATAATCAAGTTTCAATGATATTTTGAACCAAACTTGTACTTTTTGTAATCTTGAATATAGTTTTCAGTCCATTAGCTTAAGAAATCATAAGGTTTTTTCTAAGGAAGTTCTTGTTATTAAACATTACTTTAAAGAGACGGTTACTCTACTTCAGCAATTTCACATTCAGTAGATATCGTTGATGAAAGTGGATTTAATGGGTTTAATGTAATTGTATAAATTGCAGTTACTTTTTTCAGTTTTCTAATTCTTCTCTCTTTTTTTCCAATTCTACCTTCTTTAATATATGTATTAATAATAGATTTACAGGTTGAGGGTAATACTTTGAATTCTCTTGCCACCTATAATATATAAATAGAATTACTTCTAGTATTAATCTCTTATTTACAAGAACTTCGTGTATAATTTATCTTCTATCTTATTTTGAGATTTTACAATATTATTTATGTTGTTCCATTTACAAAATAAATATGATAATAATATTGATTTATATTTAAATATCATTAAAATTATTATTATTATTATTTATTATAACTATTGCTTCTATAAGAATTTTTATTTAGATTATTAGTAGGTTTATTACAATAACCAATATTAAAATTCTTTTTATCTCCTATATCAATCACATTTTTCCAATTGGCAAATGTTATATCAGAATTACTAGGTTAAAATGCTTTTTCTGCAATTTTAGTTGGTGTTTAATATTTTTGTTTTTAAATTGGAGTTGAACTTTTACTAATTTAATTACTTAAATAAGCTTAGCTCTCAATTTAATTATTAATATCTCTATGAATATTGGATAATTCTTTGAGAACATTCTCAAAAGATTTAAGTAATTAAATTTCGTTTCGATTATTTTACTATAAAAACATATTTTAGGAATAAAGATGATCAAAATGCTGTTTTCCTTTACAAATTAGTTCCCAAACCATATCATTAATTGAATTTTAATTTTAAGTTGTTTAGTTTGCAAATTATTAATTTTTTATTAATTTATTCTATTTAATTTCTAAACTTTAATTTTAATTTAATTCTATTGAAAAATGTATTGGGATTGATTATTTATTTTGTTTTCTACAGATTGGACATTCAAGTTTTGAATAATTTTTTATACATTTTTGATGAAAAATATGACCACAAGGCACTAATGCTGATAAATCTTGAATCATTTATTCACAACAAATTGCACATTCAGGTATTTCAAAAGTCTATTAATTTTACTAAAAAGAATCATGTTTATCTTCTTATCTCGTATGTTTCTCTACAAATTTTCTAAATTTATAATCCTTTCCGATATCAATTATTTTATTCATTGAATATTATATACTAGTTATTTATTATTTAAAATATTAAATTATATTAAACATTATTAATAAAATATTAATTTATTAGAAGCACTTTTTAAATAAAATAAATAATTTTTATTCCTTGTCAACTTAAACTTCAAGTTACCCAAAAATTCAACCCTAATAATGATATTAAAATATACTTATTATCATTTTGAGAGGGACTTCCATATTATAGTTTTAAAAATCTATTAATAAAAACGATAAAGACTATAATTTTACAATCTAAAAGAGACTAAATTGTGATTGACTCAACCCACAAATGCATATTTTAAACTGATTATATTTTGCTAATATACAAAATATCAAATTTAATAATATTACATAAATTCCTTTTCTCTTAATTCAATACAATCAATTTAATATTTAGTAATTTTTTATAAATTTTATCTTTATTTTAAATTAGATTTATTTAAGATGAGTGGTTAAAGTTTCAATTACTTTTGAATATTAAAATTAAGAATTTAAAATATATTTATTCCCTCATTTATTATTAATAAATATTTTTAACTAGCTGAGACCTAAATCCTTAATATCCTAAAAATCAAGTATATATGATCATCATTACAATATCATTGGGAATATATTAAAAAATATTTTAGTGTTCAAATAAAATACTATAAAAAATCCACACCATATTTATACTCATATGTAATTTTTAAGTCATGGATAATAAAATTATAATCCAAGTCTAAAGTAATTAGTTTGTTTCTATCAAAAATGTTTAATTATTTTTATTATTTAGTTGTAAATCATTTTAAACCTATCATCCACATAGATATATTTTTGATCTTAAAAATGACCTCATTTATTATTTTTTAAATACACACCATACTTATTCTATGTTTTTCCTATTTATCCATAATACAGTATGTCATAATTAAAGTAGATTTTGAAAATTATTAATTCTGTCATAATTATTAATTAAACCTGAATTTTTAATTTATGAATAGATAAACTAACTATTATACTATTTCCTATTATTAAGGATTAAAATTATAATAAATATTTATATCAAATAGATTAGGATGTAATATTTGTTAATTTTAGTATTTTAATAAATTATAGATATAGAGTTACTTAACAATATTTAGGAATGATTTCTTCCATATTATGATTATATTTGGTAAAATCTTATAATTATTAATAAATTTAATTAAAATATTTAGAGATGGGTTAAGAATGTTGTAGTTAGAGAAGACATGAATAATCATCTCTTGGATTAATGAATGGAGTTCCATATAGAAAAAGCATATAAGAAATAAACTCAAGAATAAGCAAAATTTATGAAGAGGAAATAATAGAAAATGTTAGAGATCATGCTGAAGATAACAGTAAAATCAATAAGGATGAATAAAGTGATAATTTAAATAAAACTCCTTTATTTCAAGTTGTGAATTCAGAAGTAAATCTACCAACTATTGACTAATAAATAATAGAATAAGAGAAAAGTTTTGAAAACAGTTGTCCTATCCCTGAATAAGAGGGAAATTAAACATAAAAAGAAGATTAATTTATTGACATGAAACAAGAAAGCATAGATAAGAATAATAATACACCAATATATTAAGTTTTTGTTCATTAACCTGCTGTTCCATCTAAATAAATAGAAAATGATCTTATAGATTAAATTCTTACAAGAGATAAATTAGAATCTGAATAATTATCGTTTTCCAATAATTTCGACACAGTGTCTTAATCAAAAATATCATAAATTGAATAAAGTTTAAAAATAAAGTAGGCTCCAGGAAAATTAAGTTCATTATTTCTGAGAGCTCTAGAAAGAAAAATTTTAGGAATATAAAGTAAAATGGAACTAAAAGAAGAGCAAGAAGTTAAGGTAATAGAGAGACCAGTTCCAAAAGCAAGACCTAGAAAGATATAATAACTTGGTGAATTATGATTTTTCTTATATTAATCTTATATATATATATAATAATTAATTTAATGAAGAATATGTAAAATAGTACATTTTTAAAAGATAATTATGATTATGTTTATATTTGGAAAAATATATTGACAGAAGTTCTTTTGAAGAAATTACCTATATTTAAACAAAATTAATATTGTGATATCTGAAATATCAAACTAATTTAAGATAGATATTATATAACTAATTATTAATATTAAATTATGATATGCAATAAAATTAATCAGAATCCTATTCATTTATTTGGTCTTATTAAAACTTTTCCTATTGAACCATTTTATTTTTAATCTTCTAATGCTTCATTAATTTAATTCAACGAATATTATTTATGATAATGAGTCTATAATTGACTTTATAATAGTTCATGAAGTCTTGACAATGCCTCTTGATGTGAAAAAGGATTAAATGGATGTTTAGTTGATAAAAGACTAAAATTTTTTATGATCTTTCCTCTTGTAAGTATTTCTTTTCCATCAATTTCAAAATTAGTACCAGAGAGCATTCCATAAATATATGTGATTGATCCACTTGGAAGTAATTTAAAGATTTTCCCTGTGATTTCTCCTCCAATGGCATCAAAAAATAAGGTGACTCTAAAATTGATATCTTTATTTAATACTTCAATTCAGTTATCAATTATTCAAGATCTTTTAAAAAATTTGGATCTGATGAATTGAGAATATATTTAGCTCCATCTTATTTTAATGTATTTTCTTATTCTTTTCTTCTAATGATATTTATTACTTCAATTCCATTACTCTAAAAGTATCTAACAAACTATCTTCCTAAAGCTGAAGCTGCAGCTGTATTTATAACAGCTTTGGCTTTCTATTCTTTTGCTTCTTCTAACATTAACATCACTGTGACTGGATTTCCAATTGCAGAAGCTCCTTGTTCAAAACTTAGATTTTCAGGTAGTGGTAAAACAAATGAAATATTAGCTACTGAATATTATCCATAGGCTCCAAATTTAGAAAGAGTTAGAAATGATGCCTTCTATCCTATTTCTAGATTCTATACAGATTCACTTGTATTAATAATATGATATACTGTTTAGCTACAATTATACCTGAACCTTCTGCTCCCAATACAAAAGGAACTTGTTTATTTAAGTAATTTTCAGCTCCTGCACTTACAAGATCAAGTTAATCTATTGGTGCTGCCTCTACTCTTATTAATACTTCTCCCTATTATAATTCAGGAATTTGTATTTCATTGATTTATAATGGTTTTCCTGATTCAATAACTTAAGCTCCTAAATAAGATTTTGGTAATTCAGCCATATTTATATTATTGATTATAAGTTTGGAGATTGTTTATTAAATAAGGAATGGAAATTTCTGAGTTCCTAAAAGATTCATTTTAACATTAATTAGAACCATATATAATTTGTAAAAATTGATTATTAGTTGAATTTATTTATTATATATTTTATATAAACATCTTATTTATTATAATAAATTAAATGTAAGGAAAAGCAAAAAAAGGATAACGGAAAGCAAAAGCAGGTCATTCATTCCGTTAAGAACTTAGTGAAAAGTAAAAGAAGGATATTAAAGAAGCTTTTGACTTATTTGATGTAGATGGATCAGGTTGTTATAATTATTTTATTCCTTTTAGGTACTATTGATGAGAAAGAATTAAAAGTTGCACTAAGAGCTTTAGGCTTTGAACCTGGCAAAGAAGAAATTTAAAACCTTAAATAAAACCTCAATAATAACAATGATTCAAAGGAAAATAAAAATACTATTGATTTTAATGAGTTTCTTTAAATTATGACAGAGAAAATGGTATACATTAAATTTTAATCAATCAACTTTAGAATGCGAAGGAATCTCAAGAAGAAATAGAAAGAGCTTTTCATTTATTTTCTTAGGGTAATGATAATTTCATTACTTTTGAAAATTTAAAAAAAGTAGCTCTAGAATTAGGAGAGACAATGTCAGATGATGAATTAAAATTAATGATTTAAGAAGCAAATAGCAAAAATCCAAGGTAGAAATATATATAAATAGTGATATTAGTTAAGGATATGTGACTAAGGATTAATTTTACGATGTATTATCTAGAGCAACTAATTAATGAATAAAAAAAATAATTAGAAATTCAATAATCTTATATCATCTACGTTATTATATATATTCTTGCTGAAAGAATTCTTTTACTTCTTCATTAGGTGGACTGAAATTTGAGAAAGTGTCACTTCCTTCATCATCTTCATTTCTTCCATCATCATTCATTTCCTAAACTGGAGAAAATTAGTATTTTTTCTAATCCTAAATATATTATTGAATATCAAAAAATGTATCTGTTTCAGCACTATTTTATTATTGTATTGAATTATTATTAATTTTTTTTATAGTTCCATCTTATTTATTATTATTATTATTATTATTATTATTATTATTTTCACGATCTTTTTATATCTCTCTATATTAGAGTTTATCTTAATCAACCAAAGGTTTAATTTTAGATTCCACATTCTGTAAATAAGCAGGCAATTTCTTAGGTGAAATATTCTATTTATGTTTGTCCACTTAATGATGAATTACTTACCCAGGATATTATCTATATGATAGACCTCCACTAGTTTGAGAGGAATAAACTAATTATTAAGGTGAAGGACTTTTACCAAAATATCTACCTCTGTCTTAATTTTAGGAATCTCCATACATTAATTTTTTACTAGAAAATGATTGAAATATTACATTTATCTATCATCAAATTAAGGTTTGATATCAAATTTGTTATGCATTTTGTTAATGTAAACAATTTAAGGGGGAGGAGGTGATTCAGTAATTTTAGGAGTTAGATTTCTTTATGATTATGATCTTGAATGTTTTAATTTATGAGGAGTACGATCACTAAAGTGGATTGGAGATTTCGATTGTGATCTCTAAGTGTTGTATGTTTAATGAGTGTTTTAATAATCATGTGAATGAATATGATGATTGTTTTAATAATCATGTGGATGAATATGATTATTTTCATATTATTCATATCGATTCGAGTTACTTTCATTAGTTTATTTATATTTTTTATGAGTTCCTTATACATTTCTATTTTCTCTTTAAGAGATTTAAATTAGATCATTTAAGTCTCTTAATTATTTTTAAATTGTTTTTATTTCATTTTTAATATCTCCTTAAGTTTGTTCTTTAATGTTTTCTGTGATTTTATAAAGTAATATTAATACTTGAAAGTTGTTTTAATAAATGGTATAATTCTTTTGTGTTTCTTGTACCTGTTTTGTTTGCCAAATCTATTCCCATAATGATTAAGTATTCAATAACTTAATTTTACTTATCTGGACCAAATTGAGTTAGAAAGCCCTCTATGAAAGAGGAATGCCGTAAATGAAATTGCATAATAATTGTTTATAAATGTTTAATTTTAACAATAAAAATTATTTTCTTAAGCAAAATTTTTTATTGAATATAGATTAATTAATCTTAATTATTTAATTTTATTATCAATATATTAGAATAAGAGATTTTTACAAATTAATTATTACATATTCAGACAGAATATCTAATAAAAGTAACATAAAGGATATATTCTTTTAAATATATTGTAAAAAATATAAAATAAATAAACAAATATTCTCTATTAAAAAGTGACTAAAATTCATATAATAATATAAAGGAAGAGAGATTAAATAATTTTAAATCTTATGAATTTATATTTTATTTAAAAGAATTTAGTGTATATCTTTATGTATGTGATTTAATATAATGAATATTTAGATGTAGATGTAATTATATAAGAATTTAAGAATTTTAATAGATTGACTTATATTTTTATTATTATTTATTTAATTTCTAATTGGAAAGTTCTTTTCATTCACTAAAAGCCTTAAAATAATATGATTTCTCCTATTATTAATAAAATTTATATAGTATTATTTAATATACAGATATATTCTTAATATTCCAATATATATACTTTAGAAATAAATAGATAATATTAATTAATAATTTTAATGGGATAATCTTCATCATAGTAGCAATAATAATAATCATAGTCATTAGAACAGTCAGAAGCTCAATACTTTTGGGCTAAAAAATAGGAATAAGCTTAGAAAAAAATAGAGTCTGAAAGAATTGAAGATGAAATAATTAATGAAAAAGAAGCATTCTCTAAATAATAAGCTTAATAGTAATAACAACAATACTAGGAAGTAAACTAAATAGATGATAAAGAAGAATTAGTGAAGATTGATTAAAATAGTTATTAATAATTGATAAAATAAGAAATAATATAATAATAGGTTGTGGATGAATAAATTGAATAATATTTTGAAAATTAGGTGAAAGAGCCTTAAAATGAAATAATTTAGTTTACTCCAGAAGAAGTAGAACATATTTGGTTTTCAAAGATATTTAAAATTGATACATATAATTAGTTTATGAATGAGAAAAAAGTTGAGTTTGTTCCAAGAGATAAAGTTATAACTATATAATATCTTATTGATGAATTATGCTATTAATTTTTGACATGTACATAATTTAATGAGGAAGAGAAGTTTGATTATATAATAGAAGTTTTAACAAATATTACAGATGTTTAAATTTAAGATTAAGTTATTCTATTTTGTGAAGGAACAATAGAGAAAAGTAAATATTATGATATACTGAATTATGTGTAAGGATAATTAATAACTTGTATTCTCTATCCAGAAGGATTGGAATGGGAAAAGTTTGATGAGGATATAAATAAATATGATGATAAAAAAAATAAAAGAGCAACTATTTTTTATAATCGTATATTTACATCAAATCAATTATTATTTTGTTAATAAGTTGTAATTAATTTATTAGAATATTTAAATACAAAAGTTAGTGCTGATGATGTTCAAAAGTTTATGGATTTGATGTTTAAAAGAGAATTAGAAATTAATGCTGATTGGAATCTTGATTCATTAGATTAACCATAATAGACTTTAAAATTATTATAAATAATAGCAGATTATCCAAATATTATGGAAAACATTTTAATGAATAGTTGGGCATATGGTAAATTCAAGTTAATATAAATTGGTAAATAATTCTAATTTTACAGTATTATTGGTAGAATTTTAAGTGGTAGTTGTTTTTATACTGATTCTTTGACAGCAACTGATAAATTTATTGGAGATTACAATAGTATGAAAATAGCAAGAGATAGATTCAGAACAAGAATATTCAATTTGAATGATGAAATTTGTAATATATTTAGTAAAATATTGAAACACAAATCAAATGTAATGAAAATGAATTTTTACAATTTCATTTCAACTATTATTGCTTTGAATCTCAATTTAGAAAAGTAATTTAATTAAGCATTATAATAATAATGTTGTTCTCCTGGAATGGTATTTAATTTACATTATATATTACTTAAAATATTTAATCCTTGGATTGATGATCAAGAAAAAATAGATTTAAGAATTAAAAATATTTAAAAATAAATGATCATTGTATTAAAAGAACATCCTCTATTTTCAACTATCTATTAAAATATAGATTTACTTGCACCTGATTTAACACCACTATAAGAATTATCAGAACTTGAAACTAGAGTAGATACCTTTACAACAATGTTTTTGTTGACATAAAGAATAAATCACATTGTTGCTACAAATATTGATTAATTTTATTATAATAGAATCTTAAGCAATTTAAGAGATGCTGCATAATAGCATGGCCAAGAGTCTCCTTAATTTAAAAAAATCTTAAAATTAAAAATGTCATTTGATGCATAAATTCTACATCCTAAGACTATTTAATATACAATGTAATTCTTAAATTTTTCAAGTCAACTTACTATGAGTTTTATAGATGAAAATAACAAACCAAAATATCCTTATGGATTATTACCATCTAGTTTTGTTTATGATACTCATTCATTTTTTGTTGTTTACAATTATAATGATGAAATACTTAAACATTCTAATTAATTAGTAGGATGTTGTGAATTCGCCATTTTTGCTATGAATTCTAGATATATGGCTAATCCTCATTTAAGAATTAAAGGAATTGAACTTTTCCATATTTTTGATTAAGGTAGAATGAATAGAAGAGGCATAGTGCAACCATAATCATGTGATTTTATTTTTAGAAATAATGAGAAAATAGAAAAACATATGATTGGTGGATTACTTAAAGTATTTATAGATTGTGAAAGAACAGGTGAAGGTAATTAATTTTATGAGAAATTTAATTTCAGATATTAATTTTGTAAATTAATTAGATTTTTACTTGAAAAACATAAGGATATTTATAAACCATTATTAAATTAAACTGTTGAAAAAGAAAAAGAAATGTTTTTAGCATTTGCTAATTATTATTTAAATGATATGATATTTTTATTAGATGAATGTTTATCAAGAATGAAGAAAATGAAAAATTTAGAATCATAATAATAAAATATGGAATAATAATAAGAATACTTTAAATTATAATAAGAATTGAAAACCTTCACTACTTTCTTATAAGAATACTATAAAAATATTTAAGTTTTTAGTGAAGTTTAACCTGAGGCATTTTTGACTGATGAAATTAGAGATAAATTAGCTAATAATTTAAATTACACCTTAGAGTAATTAAATGGTAAATAAGCTATTTAATATAAAATATAATCCTTAGAATCTGTTAAATTTGATCCTAAATTAATTATGGGAAATGTAATAGAATTGTATATCAATTTCAGTTAAAATGAAAAATTTTTAATGCAAGTTGTTAAAGATGATAGGTTAAAAATTTATATTTAATGTAAGGTGTTTTTCCATAGAATTATTCTAAGTGACTATAAATTTATTAGACAAACATAAAATTATACCATATGAAAGAATATAGTAGTTTAGAGATTTGATCTTTAAGCTCCTAGAATATGAGGAGAAATAGAAGATAATCAATTAATTACCAGATGATGTACCTGAAGAATTTTTAGATCCTCTTTGTTATTCCTTAATGACTGATCCAGTTAAATTACCTCATTCTAATGTAAATATAAAATATTATTAAATTAGGTAATTGTTGATAGATTGACAATAAAAAAATAGTTATTAAATTAATAAATAGACCCATTTGATAGGACTCCATTAACAATAGAGATGGTTATAGAATAACCTGAACTAAAATAGAGAATTGCAAAATTTATTGAAAATTTAGAGAAAAAGAAAAATAAATAACAAATTAAAATAGTGTAAGAAGAAAATTGAAAATATTGAATAAATTAATTTTATCCAAATTATCAAAGCATATTATAATATAATTAAACATTTTATTAACAAAAATAATTTAAATAAAATAATTTTATGAAAAAGGTTAATTGGGAATATGATATTATGGATTTAGATATATTATTTAACTATTTTTTACATCAGGCCAGGAATGATCGACCATTTGAGGTAGAGTTCATGATCATTGAAGAAAGATCCTTATGAAAAGTGTCAATTATTGATTTTTTTTTTTATTCTGGAGAACGAGATGATACCTTCTTTTCTATAGGTGGATATCTTATCCTATTCTCCTAAGAATTTTAATCTTAAGTAAAATATTCAGACATTTTCTTTTGAACTGTTTAATTCAATCTCTAAATTGATTTATTGACTTGGATATAGTTCTAATTAGAATTCACTCTAGATACTATAATATTTAAAATAAATTACAATGTGAAATTTTAGATAATAAACTAACTTATTTCATTATAGATCTTGATGAGATGAGATCCTTTTCTTCTGATTTTGATATATATTATTATTATTATTAAATCTTTTTATTTAACATTCCTTTTAGATTTCTACGTTCTTAATTAAGATAATCATTATCTGAAGCAGCTTAATCTGAAGTTTAATAATTATCATCAAGTTCTTTCTTGCGCATTTAATCAATGGTTTATAATGTTTATGATATGAGTTTTTCATGTAATAATGGAGATTTACGTTAGATTATACTAGATTATTAAATAAAAAATTAATGGAATTTAGTTTCATCACTAGTTTTTTATATTTTTTTAACATTATCTTATGTATAAATAATTTCATCTTCTTCAAATTAAGGATTTGTTAATCTTTTCAATTAACCCTTATAAATTGTTTCAATATATTTATTAGGTGTGTAACTACTACTCAAATGGGTAGAATCACATAATTTATGACTATTATTAAAGATATTGGTTTTAATCTTATTTTTAGATTAATTTATTAATTTTACAATGTCTCTGAAATATGCAAATTAATATTCATAATGTTGAAAGTAATTGATCTTAGATATCAATTCTGCATAAACAATATGCAATTATAATATAATATCTTAAATAGGCTAATTAATTTCAATCTAATCAAAGTTAAAATCCTTAACAAATTTATAAGTTAATAAATCATTTTTAACTAATGACAACCAAGTAAGTAAAATTTATTCATATCCATTTTTTAATTGTTTAAATCTATTCAAACTCTAAATCAACTATTCATTTTCAAAAGATTTATCAAAATTATTCATTGTTGTTGTATTAATATTAGTACTACTTCCTTTTGGACTAGTTTCATTCTTATTTCTATTGATAATTGATATAAATGATCCATATTTCTATGGTTTTGGATTACCCATATATTTCTTAGGTATAAATAATTTAATTTCTGCTTTTGAGTGTCCCTTTAAATAATTGGAACATAAATTATCCAAAGTTTTAGGTACCATTTTAGATGTTTCACTTAACCAAATTAAACCAAAACAAATTCTTGAAATCATATCAATAGCTTTCATATGAATAGTTAATAAACACATTTAGTTCTATTTTACATAATTACTTAATTAATTATTATCATGAATCACTTAAGGTACTTCCATATTGATTGCAGTAATTGATCCATCCTAATTAATCATACTTATATCTTATTGAGATGAATTACAATTAAATTCTTTCAATCTATTGATCTCTTCAATTACTTCTTCTAATTATATTTTCCTTAAAGCTTTCTCTTCAATTAAAGCATTATATGTTTAAGTTTAAACCTTTAATTATTCCACCATTGATCTATAAAATTCAGTAATTTCTTCACTTAATTGATGTATGTTTTAATTATTATAAAATTCATCCATCATTGTTACTATCTCATGTCTTGTTGATTATTTATCTCTACCTATTTATCTAGATTAATCATTAGAATTTGTAGAAACTTCCTTATCTTATTATAACATTTGAACTTCTGTAAAAAACTCAATATATTCACTTGTTTAGAAACATTCATGTAATTTTCTTCTCTTTTCTTATTCCTCTAAATCTAATAATTATATTTTATCCAATAACTTTTAATTTTCCATTTTCAATTCTAATATATGTTGCTATTATTTTCTTAGTTACTCTTATTCATGTTCTAACTCCTTTTATTACATTTCTTAACGTTTCTATTAATTTTTTCTGAATTTCTCTGATAATTACTAAAATTCCAACATTCTCTTATTTGCTTAATGTAATTCCTTTATTACTGAATCATCATTCACTTCGAAATCCTTCACTCGAATATTCATCAAAGTTTCTCTTAATTAATTTACCCTTTTTTCAAACAACAATTTAGTTCTCTTAATCAAAGTATACTTACTCTATAGATTCTTTTGCATTGTTTGCATCTACTCTGTCATCCCTCTAATAGAATCTAGGTCTTATAAAACAGGAACCTTTTCCTCCACCTCAATCTCAAATGACTCAAAAAGCTCTTTTCTTTTAGTCATATTATGAGCTATACAACCATTTAAAAGGTCTTGAAACTAGCTAAATGTTATATATCTACTTGAACTGCATTCTTTGTTTCTATTTCCAACTCTTTTAACTCAAATTCCCTTTCATAATTATCATCCTTTATCATCAAAATATAAATTATTATAAATTACATCTTCTAATACTTATTGTGCTACTTCCTAACTTCATCCATACTTAATACCTTCTTCATTTTAACTATACTTAAATAACATAACAACAAAACTATTTATACTAATTTATTATTTCTTTAATAGGATAATGAGGAGTTGCGCCAGTGGTGGCAATTATTAGTCCAAAGAATAAAATTGAAAGTTCAACTCTTTCCGACTCCTTTTTATTGTGTAGCTATTCATAATTAACCTCAAATGATCTTTTTATATCTTAATTAGATATTTAAGATATTTGAATACTTATGCAATAAATTGAATTATATTCTTAAACAATACAAATTTTTATAAATCAAGCTCTCACCATCCTATCTTTACTTTTACAATAATCATTTATGTTTTCTTCATGATAATATATGATAACATATCCTATTAATTTAGATGTCCAAATTCTTAAGATATAAACATTATTGAATTTTCTGATTGCTCTAAAAAAATATAGAACCACAAGCAATACAATCCCATCATTACTTCTTTCCTTAGTTAATTCATTCAACCTTGATTTTCTCCTCCAATATCATTCATTTGATATATATTAATTATTTTCCCTGATCAGAAGAAACCAGAAAATTAAATATTTCCTATTTTTTTATTTCCTAGTTGATTTAAACAGTTCTCTCATCTAAATTAATTATGAAACCTTTAAAAGCACAAATAGTGTAGGTTGATAACTAAAAATGATATAAATAATGCAGATTAGTAATAAATGTTATGATTGATATTATCTAAAGATCGATACAAAAACTAATTTACATACATCAAACAATGTTAGTGAGTTATTTAATGAATAAAAGATAAAGCATTTTATTGATAGACATAACTATTTATTGTTTAATATTGTTAGAATGTACAATATAAGAAAAAAGAAAATTCTTTACAAAAATGTATTTAAATGATTGCAAAAAGATTTAGATTAGAACAAAGGGATTGTGCCAAGGTGGCATTCATTAGTCCTCATAAAGAATAAGAAAGTTCGACTCTTTCCAATCCCTTTTTATTATTTGATAATTATTAATATTTACATATTGTAGATAATCAATTTTTAGATCTAATCAATTAATAATGTTTGATTAGTAAATAAAATTTCTTTTATTGTTTTATCATTTAAAATTATTACTACAATTTATAATATATTTTAAAGAAATATCTCTTATATTGAATAAAATCTGTATATTAACTAATGTATTTCACATTTGATATTAAAGAAACTTCAAACAATAATATTAAATTTTTATATGTATATGTAATTTATTTTATAAATTTATTAAAATAATATAAATATAAGGATTTCTATTTTAAAGTAAATTAAGAAATCCAATCTAAAATACTCTATATCCAGTTAATTAATATCCAAATGAATTCAATTTTTAAATAAGCAATAACACTAATAAATTTCAATGCTGACCTTTTAAATATAAATATTGATAACAATAAATGATGATAAAAACAAAGAATTCTTCATTTAATTGAGCTCTCAGAGGTAAAATAAAATCTATCCATATCATTTTGCAATAAATAAAATTTAAGTTATTCTAAAATTAATATGCATATTACATTTCTCAACAATCAAAGAGCTTATTTAACATTATGGACAATCTAATGGAAATATTACACAACAAGATCCAAGAATATGAATTTAACAAGGTATATCTTATTATAAATTGTAATCTGTAAAAGGAGAATTACAAAAAGTACAAGAAGAAACTTACAGATTATTTTCAATAAATTCCTAAGATTCAATTTATTAAATTTCTTAAGAAGCTTATGGTAAATAATAATCATCCAAATCATTTAAATTTATTGAAGATTTACATAATTTGCAAACAGGATTAAGACCTTCTGTATAAATCTATTTGACACAACTATAGCAAATTAGATGTGAACATTTGTTTTGAAATGACTCAAAAATCTTACATTCCTATTTACAATTTGCACAATCACGAAATGTCATGCTTTTAATCTTTTTATAAAAGTATTTCTAAATATCTTCAACTTTTAATTTATATCCACAATTTACTTTATAACATTAAAAACAACTTATATTTTTGGATATCTCTTTATCACAACAAATTTTACAAAATTTGTGTTAGCATTCAGCTGTATAAATTGATGATTATTAATAATAGTTAAAACAGCCTTCACATTAATAAGTTATTTCTTAATTACCTAATGGAGTTGTAAATGAAATAAGACTTTATTATTCATTTTTTTATATTGATGAAGATTATTATTATTATTATTTGTAATTCAAATCTTTTATAAATTAATCTAAATCTTTTTAAATGAATTTTCCATTGCAATATTTCATAATACATATATTATTTCCACTTGGAATCAAACTGAAGCACCTTTAAAGGCAACTTTTGCAAAAATTATGAGAGCAACCTTAAGGCTATAGTAAACTATCCAGACTCATTCTATTTTTACATTAATGACAAAATGTATTATAGTGTTTTTAACTTTCCTCAGCCTTTTATATGATTATTGAATTTAATTATCCTGTTTTTTCCATCTCTTTTTGTTTATTCAAAATATTTTAATAATCCTTCAAAGATATTGATTAAGTGCACTTTTTCTCATTACATTATACAACATTAACTCCTTTTTCAAAAAATCTCTTTAAACATTAATAACAAATAATTTGATTACATTTCATTTTATAATAATCGTCTGAGAATTGTTTTGTACAATATATACATTTATACAACTAAGGGCCAGGTTCTTTTTGTATTATATAGTACTATTTATCAAAATTGTATATAATTATTTGATCTCTATCTTTTGAATCTAATGTTGTAAGGGCCTTTCTATCATAATCATCATTAATTATGATTATCTTAACCGAAAAAATATTTTTTAAAACTGGCAAGATTTCTTCATTAGAAATATGTCCTTTTACTCTTTTAATATATTCTTAAAAGAATTTACTAGGGAAAATATTAAATGGATCTAATGATTTTAGCTAATCTATTAAATAGTCTAATTATTATTGTCCTTTCTTATAATACAATGAATTTGTTATAATATTTCTCATTTTTATGACCTATTCATCTGAAGCACTTTACAAATACGATATCATTTATTATATTTTATCAAACTAATTGGTTATTTGAAGATATTCCAATAAACCAATCATGATGGCTCCATTCAAATTTTCACCAGTTCTTCTCCACTTCTTAAAACCTTATAAGATTGTAATATGATCTGGAATGGTAACAACCTAAAAATATACATTTTAGGGATTATTATTCATTGTATATAAAATAATTAATTAACTTTAATTCAAAAAGTTTGACATGTTGATATTGCTCCTGCTAAAAATCCTCCACATCCAACCAATGCATCATTTGGTTTATAAGAAAATATCTTATAGAAAAAATCACTGCCTGTTCCTGCTGGAATTAAGTCACATAAATTTTTTATAAGATTTAAGCAATTTGTATTAATTCTTTTTTTTATTTCCTTAGAGTCAGCTGATTTTTAAATTTTTTTCATTGAAGATAAATTTCCAATTAGCTCTCTAAAAGTCTCAAATAAATTAGTAATTAATCCAATTGTCCAAAAAGTCATTGCAATTTTATGTAATACCTTTGGATTTTATTTTATTATCTAAATTTATGACAATATACTAAGATTATCAAAAAACCTAGTATATTATTATATGATACCAAAATAGTGCATACCATATTCTTGTAAATATTTTTAATGCTCGTATTATTTCATTTAGATTTTCTGAATTTTCTTTTATCATTTCTATGATTTATTAAATTTCATTTAAAGTTTTAGCTAATCTAAAAATTTTTCTAGCTTCTCTCATAGCCACTTATTATTTGATATTTATTCATACTAAATAAATTATTTAATTTTGTTGCTTTATCAAGTTGATTATATTTTTAGTAATACCATGCTAAAAATCTTGATCCATATTAAAGCATTTTAGAAATTTTATCCCTTCCTTCAGTTTTGTTTAATCCTTTAATAATTTAATCAAGTTTTTTCATATAGTATTATAATTATAATTTTATATTTTAAAATATAATGAATAAAAAGGTTATCAAATAAATAGAGTTAGGAATTAAATAAAAAATAATTCAAAAATTCTTTTAAAATGTGATCACATTTAAAAAAATCAATATTTGAATTTCTATGTCAATTATATTATGATATGAATTATATAATATAAAAAATTCTAGATTTCTAATAAAAATGAAGAAAATATTTTGCTTTTAAAGAGATGAACACATTTAATTGAATATAATATTAATTGATCAGAATCTTTCTCCTCTGATTCTTCTGGCCAATTAGATATCTCTTGACATAATTGTGACTCTTCTTGCATGAATAGCACACAAGTTGGTGTCTTCAAATAATCCAACAAGGTAAGCTTCAGCAGCTTCTTAAAGTGCTAAGACAGCTGAGCTTTAGAATCTGAGTTCCTTTTAGAATTCATGTGCAATTTCTCTGACTAATCTTTAGAATGGGAGTTTTCTGATCAACAATTCAGTTGACTTTTAGTATTTTCTGATTTCTCTAAGGGCAACAGTTCCTGGTCTGAATTTATGGGGTTTCTTTAAACCTCCAGTAGCTCCAACAGCTGGTGCAGTTTTTCTTGCAGCCTTGGTAGCCAAATGTTTAGTTGGTTTTTTATTACCAGCAGTGCTCTTTCTTGCAGTTTATTTAGTTCTAGCCATTTTATTGATTGTTTAATTTAATTTTTGAAATTATATCGAGGGGGTTTTAAGTTTATTAAAATAATTAATTCTGTATTATGATTGGTTGACTAAGAATATTTGTTTGTAATATAGTATATTTTGAAAGTTTAAGAAATCTAATCTAAAATTCGAATGATTAAATCATTCTGACTAAGGATCAACCAATAAAAACTAAAGTTAAAGGAAAGAGATGTTTACTATTATCAGAAACCATCAGTATAATATTATTAATAATAAACAATATAAATATTAATCAACCTTCAAATATAATAAATTGATATATAAAAATATATATCAATTTAATTTCCAAAGATCAACATAATCATTGTAATTATCTGTTAAAGCTAAATATTGTCCATTTTAAGACACACAAATAGCTTCATAAAATTGATCTTCTTCCTAAAAAATATCTGATTTTTCAACTTGAATTGTTTATTAATTTATAATATTAGCATTATCATCTACCTTCCATATTTATACAAACTTTTTATTAGCAACAACTATCAATAGTGAATTATAGTCATTATATTCCATAAGTGAGACATTACCTAAAGGAGTAATAATTTGAGTTAATCTATATTATTGATTTTCTATAGACTTCTTCCATAATTTTATATCATTTGCTCCTGAAGCTATTTATAAACCATTCTAAATGAAACAAACTGATTCTATTAATTATGTATGAGCTGAAACTATTGCTTAATACTTTTTCCACTTATTCTAATAAGAATTGTACCAAATTAATAAATTATTTTTGCATCCAAAAGAGAAAATATTTTCTTATGGACTTATACATAATGAATCTACAATTCCAGAAGTGGCTTGTATTGATTAAGTACATTTCCATATTTCATCTTATTTTTACCATATTTTAATAGTTTTATCTCTACTTCTGGAGAATAACTACTTTTCATCACTTGTCATTTACAAAACTATAACAGAATCCTTATGTCCATTCAGTACTTAAATACATTTCCATTAATTATCTTCTTTTTACCATAATTTTATAATCTTTTCATATCCTGCAGTAAGAAACCACTAACCACATTTGCTAAAACACACAGCATATATTAAATATGTATGTAAATTTTCAATTAATTCTTTTTAAAGATGATTTTATTAATCAAGATGATATATTGCAAGATCCATATCATGTGCTGTAATTAATTTTTAATCATTAAATGCTAAATCACATATTTTTGCTTCAGTTTCTATCTTTCTATATCTAGAGTATACTTTTTCTTTATTTCTCTTCTCAAGAATATGTTTAAATCTATATTCTTTTTAGAGCATCTTTAAATTATATTAATAAACAAATTCTTTTTACTCATTTCAAACATGATCAAATTTTCTTTTATAAAAATAGAAGATTTATTATATTACTTTTTTTGAATTTTATTTGATATAAAATTAAATATATACAATATTCATAACACCAAAGTTCTGCCTAAAGCTGAAGCTATCAATTCTATACCCAAAGCAACTGTTTAAGTACCTTAAATTCTTCCAATCTCAATTAAAATTAATTGTCATACTTATTAAAAATCTCCAAAAAATTCTTCTCTAAGTTCAGGAGTCTTTTCTAATTAAGGATTGATTTCTACTAAATCCATTCCTACTAACTATCGAGATGCAGCCAATTTTCTTAATATATAATGAACTTCTCTAGAAGTAATCCCTCCATCTACCAAAGTTCCAGTCCCATGAGCAAACTCTGGATCAATTGAATCTACATCAAAACTCACATGAATAGGTTTTCCTTCAAATTATTTAAGTATCCGAGTCATCACTTATCCTATACCCAACTCAATGATCTCATCCATACCATAATATACTATCTTATTATCTTTAATAAATTCTCTTTCCATAGGATCAATATCTCTAATTCCAACATATATTATATTTTTAGTATCTAATCTATGTCTTAACCATTCAAATCCTTTAATCTATTCTGTTATTGCTCCATAAAGATGTCCTAAAGGCATCCCATGATAATTTCTATTTGAATCTAATTAATAATTGCAATCTGCATGAGCATCCACCCAAACAACTCTTAATTCATCTCCATAATGTTCTAGTAATCCATGTATAGATCCACAAGCTACACTATGATCACCTCCTATATTTAGCATGAATTTTTGTTTAGATGCTATATCAAAAGCTCTTTTACTTATTTCTCCATTTATAATACCTAATTGCTAACTGTTCTTAAAAAACTTACTCTTAACATTATTTATCCTATAATTTTTTCCTTGAATATCTCCCATGTCATTAATTTCCCATCCTAAATTATAGAGAGCAGATATCAATCCCCCTTCTCTAAGTGCTCTAGGTGCTAATTCTGTTCCAGTCTTTGTTTATCCTTCATGAACAGCAGAACCAAAAAGTCCAATTGAATTTCTAATGAATTTCCATGAATTCATTAAATCCTGAATTTATTAATTGAATGAGCTAATTTTATTGTTAATAATTTAATAGTACGTATAATTCAACTAAAATATATTGAAAAACATACATACTAAAAGAAAATAAAACGGTATCATTTATAATAATAACTTTATTGTTCTAATAATTAAATTTGTTGTCTTCATTTTTTATAAAAATTGTAAATAAAGATATGTAAAACAATTTTGAAGAAGTTTTTTTGTGATTGTGTTTATTATTTAAGACTTTAGTTTTATATAATTAAGTGGATCAAGTAAATTAAAATAATTATGGATATATGACATCTGTCAAATTGAAATATCGTTTATGTTATTCAAAAAATGATAGGAGTTGATTATAACGTATTATGAAATTGAATAGAGAAGATATTATGGTTAATGACTTATTAATTTTACATAAATCTTTATAAGCTCAGAACCTACTATTATACTCATTAGAAAATGATTATATTAATTAATTGATATAGTTTCAGATATGTTATTTTACCATTCTTTTATTATAATTTTGAAAACTTCTTTTTTGGTCCATTTTATTGAAAAAATCTTTATGATTTCTTAAAAAAATAAACAAATCTTAAATTTAAGAAAATTCTTTTCTCATTAGAATTATACTTTAACAGAACTGTTAAAAAGAATTATAAATATTAATGAAATACATAAATTATGACTTCATTTCATCTGATCATTTAAAATACCTTCATACTTATCGTTATAAAGGATCAGATCTATCATTGCTTTATAATTACATTCTTTCACCAATTGCAGAATATTGTTTAAAATTTGTTCCTTTGAATGTTGCGTACTATTTTAGGATAACTATACATTTAGACCTAATGTGCTCACATTACTTGGATTAATATGCATAATAATTCCACACATCGTTTTCTATTTTATCATGGGTGATACCTTTAATGGATTCATCCCAAATTGGTTGTTGTGGTTAACAGCCATCCTTCATATGCTTTATATGGTAATAATAATCAGTATCCCAGAATTTCGATAATTTAGATGGAAAGTAAGCTAGAAGAACAAGTATAATTGCATATAAAAATATTAAGGAAACTCTTCACCACTTGGAATGATCTTAGACCATAATTTTGATTCTATGATCATTTTATTATAGGGTATTATTATATATATATAAATATTTAGGTACAAACCTAACTACAGCGATGTAAATTGGAAATAATATTTTTTCAGTTGTTCTTTACATCATTCCATCTATTCCATTTTATTTGATTGCACATGAAGAATATTATACACATGAAATGAATCTACCAATTTTAAATGCTGCAGCAGAAGGCACTATTAGTGTAGCCATTTTCTTTGCTATTACTGCTTATTTTGGTATTTTGTAATTACCCATAAATAAATAGGATGTGATTGGTGGTTAATTAAATTACCTACTTTTTATGAACTATAAATCAACCATTTTGTTCTGGTTGCATTTGCTTCATCTGTCATAATCACTATGCCTTCAGTGTAATAATTTCTATTATTTATCATTTTAGTATATTCAAAATAAGTAAATTCACATCAGTATCATCTTTATTTAAATAACTTCGTTATTTTTTATTCTGCAATGCTGTTATCCTATATAATATATATTTCTCAAAAACTAATGTAATTGAACAACATGTAAGAGCTTATATGTACACAGTTGGTTTTACAATGTCAAAGTCAGTGGGTATTGTAGCTTTGAATCATGTATGTAATACCCCATTACCAGCATATTTGAATTCTATTTATTTCTTTATTCTTCTTTTAATAAATACTATTTCAGGTTAAATATTAGGATAGTCAATATTAAATGAAGGAATATTAATTTAACTAATTGCTTTATTAAGTATTTTTATTCATATTCATTTCCTATACAATATTGGAAGATAGATATCAAATGAATTAAACATTAAAATTTTTGAAATCAATAAGCCTATTAAATGATAATATTATTTAAAAATTAAACAAAATATTATTAAATTGTAAAATTTAATTGTAAGCTCTAAAATTTACATCGATATTTCTACCATATTGGTCCGTCAAGCTCAGTTGGTTAGAATGTTGGCCTTTTAAACTGAATGTCAGGGGTTCGATTCATTTGTAGGACAACTTTTTTAATTTTTAATTTAAATTAAAAAAATAATAAACAATTAATAAATTTAGAATAAAAAATAATATTATCAAGAAAATAACTCTAAATTATGGAGATCTGGATATTTGCATTTAAAAGTATTTATCAAATCACTAATCTATTTCTAGCATTCATTAAATGTATTAAAATCTATTTTAGCAATCTTTACTATAGAATCTTACTAAGACTATTTAATATATTTACAGATTATTTATTAAGTTTTAAATTATCAGCCTTTTTATTTTCTTATTTTGTGTCAATATACTCTCTTACTGCATATCCTACAATAGCTGCTGATAAAAGATTTGGTGTAAAATTGAGCATATTTAGATCATGCATACACATTTTCAAAATATATACACATGTTTCATAGATATTTTATAATGTATAACTATTTAGATTAAGTTAATTTATTACTTATCATTTAGACTGAAACATTTATAAAATAGATTTTATAAATAATCTAAAGGAGTAGGAAAATAGACATTAAATGATAATGTCTCTAAAATAGTTTATTCCATAGATTTAATTTTAGAACTATTAAATTTATTATGTCCTACTCTAATTACAATATCATTTAATGGAATATGATATATATCTTCAAGTTTAGTTGCAATAAAAATACAACTGATACCCATTAGATGTACATCTGCATCTTAATAATATATAGATGTTTTCTTCAGAAAAGCATCTAATAAACCAACAGCTCTAAAGTAGGTTTATGTTGTTGTAGTAGTAGGATAGTTTCCAAATACTTCAATTATCCAATCTACCATCTTGGCTCTCAACATTTCTTTGATTCCATGTTTTTTAATTGAGAAACTAAAAGATATTGTATCCTAACATAGATATTATTAATGGTCATTATGATAATGCCAATTATAAGTGATATTTCTTCTTAATTATGGATTGTTCACATCATCTGATAAAGCATCTATAATTATAAGATTTATAAGATATACATCTTTGTTAAACAGATTCTTCATTATGAATTTGAAAAGAACTCATTTAGAGATGATATATTTAAGATTTCTATTAACTTTCATTTTCTGATAATAAATCTAATAGTTTTCCATCTTCTGGATAAGTCTTATCTTCAAATTACTTAAAAAATAAAAAAAACTATTTTTTACAAAGAATTTAGAAGAATTACTAGTATTTAAACTAGAAATAGAGGATTTATTTGTTGAGCAAGTTCTCTATTAATTTATTTTTGAAATAGATTACTTTAATCAAAAAGTTCTTTGATGTCTCATTCAATTTTAATCTGGAACCATTACGACGAGTATACATTTTTTATTAATTATAATGAAATATTGTTTAATCTTAAATTTTTGAAGTTTGATGTCAGATGATAGTCAATTTTATTCTTTTTTCACTCCAATATATTTAAATATTTATATTATAATAAATTCAAATTTAAAAGAAGTCATTAATCTCTAAAGATTATTAAATTTCTTCAATTGTTTTTATACTCTGTTGTATGATAGATTATTCATTAAGTGCTTTTTATAATATATCTAAAAATTCTTATTTATCATGTAAATCTTAAAATAATAGAAATAATAATTACTTTATTCTAATTATTGTTCTTCTCCATCAGTATCAATTTCCTCCTATATATCTGACATTTATAAATTTTAACATGCCATAACAATCTAAATATCTTAATTAATTCCAATATCATTAAGTCTTCTATTTCCTCTAAAAGGTACTTTTTTATTGTTAAAATAAATGAAAGCCTCATTAGTAAATTTAATGGCATCAATTCCAAAATCATACATAGCAAATAGAAAAGCACGTAATTTTAATAAATCCATCCAAATACTTATTGGTGTTATTATGGCTTGTAATACATTAATGTTTCTTGGAAATACAATTACAAAGAGAATATTAATGACATCTCTACAAACACATAATCCATCATCCAAATTATCACAATGAAAATAGTTATTCATTTGAGGATGATATTTAGTAACAAAAACAATTACATCATAATCTATAATCCATTAAAATTAATAAACATACCTGAACCATAATATTATTTAAAAAAGTGCCATACATCTATTGATACAACATAGAAATCAACTTATATCTAAACATCTTTTTTTAACCCATAAACATGTGAATAATTTATTTGCTAATAGGGAGGAATAGAATATTATTTTAATGAGACTAACTTATCCATAGTTCCTTCTACTATACAAGCATTCTAAATTTTATTAAATCTTGAAACATCTATTCCTGATGGGTTTTATAAGAATCTCTCAAATTATCTATACCTAATATTAATATTTATTAATACCATTTTGCTGAAATAGCATATGCATAACCTTCAGTAATCCTATGATTTTTAGAATTATATCCATTTAAAAAGTCATCCTCAGTCATTACTTTTTGATAATAATTATTTTAATTATATCTCTAAACAAATTACTAATATTTACAAACTAAAACTATTTACTTATAGATATATGATTTTTTTATTATAATCATTATATTCATTACTTGCAATCATATTATTTTATTATTATTGATTCATGCTTTTTAAAATTGTTCGAAATGCTGTAATTACAATGTAAAAATCCAATCCCAGATTTTATTTCAATTAAACAATTGAGCCTACACATACATAATAAGATGAAATGTTTTCAACTGTATTGGCTACAGAATAATACAAGTACAAATTTAATTATATTTGTGGTTGATATGGCCTTGAATAAATGCAACATGGTAAATATCGTGTAGCTCTTTAATTTTTTGGAAGATTTAAGAATTTCTTAGAAACTAACAACTTAAAAGATAAGGAATGGGTTGATGTTTCAAGAAGGTAAATCTTGTCATAATTAATAGAATTGTCTATTCCAATTTATAACTTAGAAGATATGAGGATGCAGAAGCTCAACTAGAAGAAATAATAAGATAATTTTTAAGATAAAAAGCTAATTATGCCCTTGTGTATTCTGCATATAGTGATCTATTAACTCATTGTTTGAAATACAATTTAAATAAGGCAATATTATTGGGAAAAGCATTATTAAGTGAAATGTAGAGAGAAAATGTACCTTTAGGATATTAGAAACAATTCTTATATTTCTTGGGAGTATTAAATTTAATCATTATTAAAAGACAGCATATTTATTAAAGGAAAATTATACTGATGCAAAATCAAGATTGAGAGAATGTTTAGCTTCAGATCCATCTAATCAATTAAAAGGATGGGCTTATAATAGTTTAGCTGTTGCTTCATGGTGGCATAAATTTCCAAGTCTTAGAGAATTTGTTAGTGATGATGAGGAAGAGACAGGTCCTTAATAAAGTGATATTCCAGCTGAAAATATAGATGCTGATTTTGAAAATGTGATACCTCTATTTAAAAAGTCAATTTATTACATAGAACATTCAAATAATCAAATTAAAACAGGATTGGAATGGTTATTAAATGAAGATCTATTACCATAAGATAGAACTAATCTAACAAAAACATAATTTAAAAGTTTGCATGTTGGAAAACCATTACTTAATTTAAGTGAATTTGTATTAAATAAAGCACCATCTAAACGTGCTGAATTATAATTTTGGTTAAAAACTACAATCAATTTTTATGAGGAATAAGATCCAACAAATATGGATAGATCTCTTTTATTTTTAGCTTGGATGTGTAGTACTAATAAATATGTATAAAAATTATGATAAATGTTTTTAGTTTGATAGAGCAGAAAGTATGTATAGAATAGTATTATAAATGCTTGAGAATTCAGATTCTTACAATAAAGTATTATGTATGTAATTGCTTGGAAGTATGTTAAAGAAGATGCCAAATAGAAGTAATGAAGGAGAATGTAAATAATCATATATATATATAATATAGAATTGATAATCAAGGCTTAATAGATTGCTGAAGAATTACCCTATTGGTCCAATAGATAAGTACATGTTATTATTCCTGATTTTGAAATCTGATTAATAAATTAACTGATTTATAATTCAAAATGGAAGATCTCCTTGATATCTGTGTTGAACGATAATTTCATGATGTCAATTACATTATCAACATTAATGCAAATATTGAAACTCTCAATATTGAAATTGAATCTAAACAATCTGGTGACTCTTGGATAGCCAATTATCATGCTCAATATATTGAAGAAATTGCATCAAAAACTGGAAATTATAAAAAATACACTACTTTTATAAAGATGCTCTAATCAGCATTGAATAATTAAACTGAAACTGTATACATTGACATTCTTACTTATTAAGATTTGGAGTAAATCAAAAATAAGAGATCTAATAAATTATAAACTTAAAATATAGCTCCTAATAATAAACGCTATCTTATTCTTAGTTATATAGTTGAATTTGATAAAGTGCATTATCCATTACCATTAAATTATAATGAATAACCAAATTTATAATAAATGAAGAATACAATTATTAGATTAAGAAAAGAAAATGAATCATTACATAAAAATCTCTAATTCTTTAAGGATTAAAAAAGAAATGAATCTAATCCATAAATTTTATTAAATGAATAAATAAAAGAATTAGAAATACTTAAAAATATTATTGATTAAAAAGAAAGTGAAATTTTAGAATTAAAAAATACAAATCATCAATATTCAAATACAATGGTTAATAAATAAGAATATAATGAATTAAGATCAAAATATTTATTAAGTGAAAATACTAATTAAGAATTATCAAAAAAAATCATTGAATTAGAAGATTATTTATAATAATTGATTGATGAAAATGTAATACTTAAAAATTAAGATAAAAAGAATAAATCAAGAATTAATTCATTAGAATCTGAATTATAACAAACTCTTAATAAATCAAAATCAAAATATAATTCAAATCTATCTCGATCTCCATCTGTTTCTAAATCTAACAATAAATAAAAAAGCTCGCTTAATACTAGTAATAATATTCCTTCTAAAAGAAAAAGTCTTGATAAAACAACACCAATAAGGGTAATTTTTATATTAATATAATTAGTTGAGAAAAGATAGTTTGGATAGTGATACAGAGTCCTCTTACAGACGTAAATCAAATTCTAAAAGAACTGAATAAAGTCCTTCAGCTAGATCAAGTTCATCTAAAAAAAAAACATTACAATAAAAACAATCAAATTCCAAGCAGTTTAAAAATAAAAATGTTACTAAACCATCAGATTCAACTAAGTTTGAGGATCCAGAAGAATAGCGTTTAATAAAAAGATTAAAAGATTTAAGAGAAAAGAACAAAGAAAATACAATTATAACCACTCCTTCAAGTAAAATTGATGCTACGACTGAAGATTTATAGAGTATAGATGTAAGACTAAATAAATTAAATACATTACTATAATTAGCTAAAAATTAATGAATAAGCTTATATTTTGTATAAAAAATAAATTTCTAATATATTTATATATAAATTATTTCTAAAATTATATGCTTTAATTTAATAATTTATCTAGTTTTTTATTTTATGTGGGCATTTAAATAGTTTATTTGTCTACTTATTCTTAGTATCTTCTTTGATCTCTATTTTTTTTTTTTGGTTTAATGAACAAATATTAAATTGTGAATACATAATATCAAAATGGAATCAATATTTTATGGATTCTAATATTTTGTTTTAAATTTTGTTTAATTTGTAAAAATTTTCACTATGATTCTGAAATTTATTAAATGTTTAAATAAAAAATACTTCGATAAGAATATTTATGGTTTATTCATATTAGATTTCTTATTGTTATTATTTAAGTTCTTTTTTTATTCTTATTCTTAATTTAATGAAGCTAAATTGTGATTTGATATTATTGCATAAAAATTTTAATAGAGATTTTTGTGTGATTAAAATAAATTCCATTTATTATTTTGATGCAAAGAGACTTGACTCCATAAGATGTGTTACCTTTGATAGTAGAATACTTGAAATCTATTGGATTAAAGAAATCTGCAAAGTAAATTGATTCTTTATATGAACATGATGAAACTCCAATGGCCAATAAGGATTTATAAAAAATAATAAAATATTATGTTGAAGGACATTCGTAATTAATAATTATATATTGCTTAGTAAACTTGCTGCAAAATTTGTTGCTGAGGCTGAAAATGATGAATAAGAGGAACAAGAAGAGGAAACTGAATAATAAAAATAAGAGGAGAAGAATAACAAATAAGTAACAAAAGTATTGTCAGATAAAAGAACATTTACTTAAATGAATAGTAATATGACATATTAATTTTAAGAAATACCAATAAATGAGGAAGTTGTAGATCAAAAGGAAAAGAAGAGATTTTTCCAAAAATGTGATGAAGCAGTATTTGATAAATTGCCTGATCATTTGAGAGATAATACTTTTGAAGCCAAAAAGAAATTTGGAGAAGGTGATTAATATGGTGAGTTTGGAAATGATAAATTGAAATTTACAAGGGGGGATAATTTCAAGAAGGAGAAAGGAAAATTAAAGAATAGATAATTTTAAGGTATGGGTAGCATAAATTTGAATTCAATAAACTCAATTAAATTATGAAATAAAATAAATATTTAAATATTTGTTCTTTAAATAGGATTATCTAAATATTCAAATTATGTTATAACTAACTTTTTTATAAATTTTATGATGATAATGAGTTGATTAAATAGTTATTATAAAAAATAGTTTATTAACGAATGCTAGGAAGTCGAAGAGTTCGTTCTCACGAATCATCACTTACTAATTTAGATATTTACAATCCTAATTCACCAGTTAGAATTCAACAACATATAGACCATCATCTATTTAAAACTTAAAAATGTTAGATTCAACATCAAATTAACTAAAAAAAGTATTGTCCATATTTTCATGATGAAACTGATCGTAGAAGAGATCTCAAATAATATTCTTATAAGTAATTGAAATCTCAAATATTAATTTTTAGATGTTAATTATGCCCGCAAGCTGATAATTGTCCATAAGGTGATGAATGTCAATTTGCTCATAATAAAGTAGAGCAAGTATACCATCCAAATAGATACAAGACTAAATATTGTACTCATATAAAGGATTGTGATTATGGAGTTTATTGTTCATTTGCTCATAATGATCAAGAATTGATTATTCCAATTAAGTTAGATGGTATGGTTCAAGATAAAAACTTCTGGATGTTTTAATATAAAACAGTTTGGTGTCCTCTTACAATCAAGTATGATTTTTAATCTTAAAAAACATATTTAGTCATGATAGAGCATCATGTGTTTATGCTCATAATGCATAAGACTTTAGAAGAGATCCAAAGAAATTATAACCAAAGGAATGTCCACATTGGAATAAAACAAATTAGATTTTAAATTATGATAAAGGAGGATGTCCAGATTAAGAAGAATGTAAATATTGTCATGGTTGGAAAGAGTTTGAATATCATCCTCTTATATATAAAACAAAACCATGTACTTAATCTAATTGTACTAAGAAGTTAGGTGAATGTGCATTCTATCATTCAGATTAAGAGAGAAGGTACAATTTTCAGTTAATATTTTATAAGAATTCGTAAATAATTAGCTGATAATTAATGGATAATAGAGGAACCTAATATTCATGTTGAGGCAAAAAGACAACCATATAAACCTACATCAAATTATCTTGGTCCAATAATTCCTAATTATATTCCTTAAGATTATATGAGCAAAGAGAAATTGGAAATAGGATAACCATTTTGTTAATAATCCATTACAAATACAAAGACATCTGATTCAAATTCAAGAAGAGGTTCTGATTTTTCAGATGGAGCTAAAATGCAAAAAAAAAAACATAACATTCAATAACAGTTTTAATCTTAAAAAAAACATCGAACAGCACCTACAACACCAGATTAAAAATAATTACATATAATGGGCAATAATTACACTATGAAAGTATAATAAACTGTTTAAAATAATTCATATCTTACTTACTCAAAAAAACTTTATGAAGAAATACTTAAATTAAATGAGGTAATTCAAATATAGTTATTTTAGGGTGAATATATATATAAAATTTTGTAAGGATTAAAAATATAAGAATAGATATTAATGTAAATGAGTGATCACTAGATTAAATAACTTAATCTTAGTGAATAATAGATTACATAACTTACCTCAGCATTAGCTGCTATTAAAATAGAGAAAAAATACGATGAGCACTGTGGTGATGAACTTCTTAGTTTGATATCAAATTAAGGCAAATTTTGAAATTTTCAATACGCAAAAAAATATCATTAATATAAATTTTCCTTTTACTTAGAAATTTTAATAATAATATATATTTTGAAATTGTTAATTTAATTTATTCACAACTCTCCACTATCTTGAATAATAATTATTTATTTTCTTGCATTATATTTTTTTTAGAATAGGATTTCCTTTCCTTTAGAAATTATTTACATTTTATTCTAGATATTTCTTTTTAATTTTTCAATAATAAATTATTATGGCATTCATCTCCAATAATGGATTGGAAAACTTGAAAAAATATAAATATGTATCAGGAGGATACTCTTATCTAGATAATAAGATTAATCCATTCTGGATATTTATAAGTGAACTTTACCCTACTGTAAATATTAGATAATCATTATTATAGTGGCTTGCTCCAAATTTGATTACATTCATTGGATTCATAACAATGATCCTAGCTTGTGTATTTTAGGTTTTTGCTGATATGACATTAACCCAAGAAATACCATCATGGACATTTTACTTTATGGCATTTGCTATATTTGCATATTAAACTCTTGATGCAACAGATGGAAAATAAGCCAGAAGAACATAATCTTCATCACCTTTAGGTTAGTTATTTGATCATGGTTGTGATTCATTCATAATGCAATTTTTTATTATTGGAGCTGCATAAGCAACCTAGATGGACAGAGACACATTATTTTATTTTTAATTCTTTTGTTAAATAGGACTTTGGGCTATTAATTAAAAAGAATATTATACTGGTGTTTTACATACTCATTTAGCTAATTTTGGAGTAACAGAATTAGAATTAGTAGCTATTTCAGTATAATTGGTATAATTACATTATATAAATTAGTTTTCTGCAATCTTTGGATAAAGTGCATGGCATAATAAAATATTTGGATTCAATTTATATAAAATAGTTACAACAACTATATTAATAGCAGCAATCATATCTGACATTTTTTTATTTTTCTCAAATATATTCAAATCTTAAAAATCATTTAGAGTATTCATTGAATGGGTACCTTTGTTTGTGTTTTGGACATTATGTAATAATCAATCATATGAATTAGAATTTGTTTGGTTTTCATCTCCTATATATAGTCAACTTGCTGGACCACTCTTGATTAATTTTGGAATTATTCTATCATCAATTGTATGTAAAACAATTGTTTGTTCAACAACAAAAGTAAATTATTTTTGTTATAATTTAGGATTAAACTCCATTATTCCATTTAGAAATGTTGCCTTTCATTATAATTAGTTTATTAACTTATTTTGTTCCATTAAGTTTGGAAAATTTGAAAATATTGTTCTGGATTTAATTTATTTCTACGATTGTCCTATCTCTCTTATTTATTAAGAATGTTATAAATTAAATAACTACATATCTTAATATTAGTTGTTTTACAATCAAAAAGAAAGAAAATTGAGTAATTATCAAATTTTACAAATATATTTCACAATATGTTTCCTAAAAATAATTTAGATTATTTTGCAAATATAATTTAATATTTATAAGAAATTCTAAAATCTTTTTTTTATTTTTTATAAATAGTTCCTTTAAATCTAAATATATTATTTATCTATAAAATTAATAACCTTATATATTTGCTGATTTATTCCATTATTTTCTAATTTCTAAATAATTCTTAGATATGCTATTTAACCGATCTAATATGTATTTTTAATTTTTAATAATTATAAATCCAGATGAATACCTTTAATATTGATAAGAATAGATTTATGAAAAAGGCAAATGAGAAGAAATCATAAAAAATGATATCTACAAATCCACTTTTAATATTAAAAATTAGGGAAGAAGATTTTGACGATCTAAACTCTCCAACCTCACCTCATTTATCAATACCTATTTTTAGTCCAACCAAATTCATATTTCCAACACCAGGCACCTCTTAAAAAGTTAAATGATCTTATACATTTACATACTTATATTAACTAAAAATATTGATCTAAGAAGTTTTTAATTCTTGATTTTATTACCAATTCAAAGCCATATTATAGAGTTTGAATAAAAACATTATTAAGAACTCACATTTTTTATACCTTGCTATTCTTGATTTAGATATTTTTCTCTTCACATTTTCAAAATTATTTCAATATATTATACATCAAAGATAATAAGGACATTATATGATAAACAATTAGATCAGAATTTAGAGTCCAAAAAAATAATTTTAATATGATAAGAGGTGAAATTTAATCTTAGATTAGAAATTAGAATATGTAATTATTTTTATAAAAGTATTAAAAATTCTCAATTCAATTCTTGAGAAAATTATTTTAAAATCAGTTCAAGTTTGACTCGGTTATAATAAAATAGATTTTACAGTCTTATTTAAATTGAATAACAAGATTATCCAACTCTTTATAATACTTTTAAAATTTTGTTTAAGCTTTATCATGATATTGTCAAATCAACAATAATATACTTTCTTAAAACAAAATTAAATTAATTATATCATATAATTTATGAGGATTATAAAAAAATATTATAGATATAAGCAGTGTTGCAAAAATGCTAGAATTTTATTAATGAAGGATTCACCATTTTGAGATAAGTAATAATTTAAGTAGTTAGCTAATTATCCTACTATGAAATTCTAATAAATTCTATAGCTGTTTTTCCTGGTTTAAGATTTCAAAGTGCCAAAATCTTAATAAACAAACTATAAAAAAGGAACATAGAATTTAGTTAATTAGTTGAAGGTTATAAATTAAGATTTTATGATAGTAGTTGAATTATTCATGTTATTATTTTAATCAATAAATATTTGTTCTTTACTTGTAAAAATAAAATTGGTTGACATTTTGAAGTGAATTTATTTACTTATTTTAAAAATATTTTAGATTCGTTAGGATTATTCTAATAATAGGTTTCTCTTATTTTTAAATTTAATGCTAATATATTTACATTCAATCTATTTAAAGTTAATACCTTATATTACTAATAAGTTGATTTTTTTATTAATTAAAATTCAATTATAAAAATATATATATATGTAACTTTGATTAAATATATTATTAACAGAATTTCATTCCTCTATTATCAATTTTATCTTAATTCTATACAAAATTTTAAATTAATATTTGAAATTGAAAATCATTCACTAAGGATGTAACTTAGAAGTGGAAAACTTAAGAAACCTCCTGCTAGAATATGCATGTCTTCATATCAAGTATTTTATGCTGAAAAGGCTGCCTAAATGAAAGAAGATGGGAAGATGAAAGGCAAAGAAATTCAAATTAAAATCAGGGACATGTGGAGATAAATGGATGAAGAGGAGAAAAATAAATATGATGATGAATTTGAAAAAATGGAGGCAAAGTATAAAGAAGATTTACTTTTGTACTATGGTGGGACTGCATAAGATTTGAAAAAATACAAAGCATTACTGGAAATTCCTGAAAAACCTAAGAAACCAGTATCTGGTTGTTTAGTTTATATAGCAGAGAACAGAAGGTAATATTCAGAAGAAAATCCTGATTTATCCTTTGGTTAAGTAGCAAAGGGATTAGTTGATCAATATAATCTACTTTCAAATAAGGAAAGAAAGAATTATGATGATGAATTTGATAAAAAGCTAGAAAATTATCATAAAGAATTGGATGAATGGTCAAAGTATTATATATGTAAATACTTAATTAGAAAGTATTCAGAAAAGAGAGATAAATTTGATTAATTGATAGAGGAGAAGTTTAAAAGATCTGCTACAAGACAAGATTTGTAATATTAGGAATTGCCACCTTATAAAAGAGGTCCAAGAAAAATGAAAGACGATGATGAGACTGTATAATAGAAATAAGAGATGGGACATTAAAAGAAAAAGGATGACAAAAAGAAGGAAGAAAAGAATAAGTATATTAATTAATAATATAATAAAATAGTAAAGAATAAAATAGTAAAATAGGAACCAAAAATGGAAAAGATGAAGGAAAAGGTGAATCAAAGAAAATGAATGAAAAAGATACTTAAGATAATAAGGAAATAAATAGAAAAAAATCAGTAGGTAGAAAATGTTGATCTAATTTTGTCATTTAACTATAATTATTTTCATAATATTATTTTCTATTAATATATTTAACGAATGTAAATAATGTAATTATATTTCATATACTCAAATTTCCTTTAATAGATTTCACCTCCGACAAACAGTTGATTAAATTTAATTCATTAAAATCATTTTCTTCTTCTTCTGCAAAGCGTGTTAATTAATTTAGCTAAAAGGTATTCAAATTATGCAAGTGTAAATAATTATTTGAAAGAGCTCTATAAGAAGCAATACAGGGTCTTATTTGATATTTCATACTCTGAATTCCAACCTTGAAAACAAATTTGAAAATCATTATGGTCAAATTTTTTATTATTTTATTTATGAAAAATAATAATATTCTAATAATATTTATTTATTAACATACTTTCTTAGTTATATCCTAACTTATAGAATAGAATTTTTAGATCAAGGATTATGAAATTAAGAAACTATTTGATTTTTAATCTTTATGATTAACAATTAGAAACAGTATCAGTAAATGAATAGATTTGTTATTAATTCATTCATATATAAAATCATTATTTTTCAGCAAATATTTTCATTAATTGATTCCTATATTGTAAATGACCTTCTGGGTTTTTAATTTTGGAATTGAATATATATGGTACATACTATTTTTTTAGAAAATTCCAACTATTAATATATATACATTATATTAAATACCATATCTATCTAAACTATTTTTATAATTTGTCTAGTCTCTATAATTTATGAGGTCTTGTTATTTTTATGAGATAAGCAAGATTTTAAATTTTTCTGTGTTTATCAATGAATTTAAAAAACTCCTCTTATTCTTCAATCTGGTCCATAACATTATGATTTAGAATTTATTGTATAATGGCTTTTGCTACATTCTTGGGTATATTTTTTGATTTGATCGATTCTGGTAACCTTGGGGTAGTTTTTTGAAGAGGGCGTTTAGTCTAATTTTTTTTTCTAAGTATTGCTTTCCAACTCAAACCTATAGTCATAGATGCTTCTTTCATTTGAGGTGCATGACATAAGGATGATGTTGGAGAGTTTTCTATTGATTGTGTTACACTTGTCATATAATAAGTAGAAACCAATATGTTAAATTAATTTTATATGATAGTTAAGTCAATCAATCTTTATAATTATCGTACTAAGTTATCTACTTTTGCGATATTAATACTAGATATCTAAAATGATATCAATCATATTTGAATTTCAATACAAATGAAATTATAGAAACAAGTAGGCATGTTATTTTCAAATAATGCTTGCAAATCAAATGGCTACTAGTATTAGATAGAAGAATTTTTATTAAACTTCTCTAAAGATAGACAGGAACTAAAAATTCTTAGAAAATTTGAGGGTCTACTTAAAGTCTTATTGGTAGAGATTAAATTTTTAAGTAGAAGAGAAAACTTCCAAATTCAGAATATTTGTTATATTAAGTTATTCTTATAAGTTTCCCAAATGCTTCTTTAGTATTATATACACAAAAATTATTATATCCAAACTTTCATATTTACAATCTCAAGAATTTCTGATTAATAATGAATTCTTTGTAATAGCTGAAGAATAAACTTCTTCTAAATATTAAGCTAATTGATATTATATTATTATATTTATACTCAGAAAACAAGTGAGATTTATTAGATCATCCTAAAAATTGTTAACTCAATGAAGTAATGTATGCTGATAATTACTCTACTACTGTTTCTAAATTTCATCCATCATAACCTATCAGTATCATAGATAATCCTTTTTATGAAAATTGAATATACTTTCTACTCCTTTTACAATCAGATAATTCTATTATTATAATTCAAATATACAACTGTGTGTTCTGAGTTGTAAATATTGTAGGACTTGAATTTATCAATCTCCAAATTACTGTTATTGTATTGAATAAATTAAGTAACCCTTTTTTCTAAACCCTTAAAAATGATTGAAATTAAGGAGTGACATTTATTTATTCAAAAATCATTAATTATGTTTTATTTGAGGAATAATTTGATTTTATTTTATCGTTTTGCAAATTAACCAAAGATGTATCTTTGATATTCTAATTTATAGAGCATTCATTTCCCAAGAGCAATTCTTAGGAGAAATAGGTTATGTTTTACATAAAATTGAATAATCATTTAATAAACTTAGAGAATATGAAAATAGAATTGAGATTAAAACAGATGCTCTGAATCTTTGTGTGGCTGTCAAAGATTTAGGAGAATATAATTTTACAACTAATGTGAAAGAAAGGAGATTATATCTCTAAACACCATTTAATTTATTCTAGTATTATTATGATGAATAAGCAGATTAATGGAGAAATGTTAAAGATTAACATAATATGATTGAAAATTTGACTAGAGAAACAGGAAAATACTTAAAAGGATACTTGGAATTTTGATGAATGATTCTAAATTTCATTATAAAAATATTGTTTATTCATTATTATAAGATTTCTTTTTATTAAATCAATCATCTTATCTAATATTATATTGATTATAGATAATTATCTATGTAATGACACATATAAATTTAGTTGAATTTAATGATTTTATTATGAATAAAACTTAAAAAAATTATATTTGGAATATTTCTTAATTCTTATTTCCTATAATATTTGTATTAAATTTGTTAATGTATGTAATAAATCAGAATCCCCATCTAAATCTTCCAGGTGGATAGAAGGGACCAGCTAAAAATCTTCCTGAAGCCATGTATTCCTTAATTTAAGGAAGATTTGAAAATTCTTAATGGTGTTTTTAGAGGTTAGCAAACTTTGCCCATGATTCAGCATTGAATGATTTCAATGTTTCTTCTAATTCAAAGAGAGCAAAGTCAATATATGTAAGATTAGCTCCAGCTGCCCAAGTCTTTCCACCAATAAATTTATCTAATCTTTCAATTAACCAAGCAACTTCATTGGCATAGATTTCCTCTTTTTAGGCTGCATATTGATCTTCAGGGAGTGTAATAAGATGGAAGAAACCTTTTAAGGCATCTTAGATAACACCTCTCACTTAAGCTACAGCTACTTATTCATCTGGTGTGGATCCCAAGAGATCAGCTCTATTTGCTTTATGTGCCAAGTAGACATAAAGAGCAGCACTCTCATAGACGTACTTATCACCATCCTTAATATATGGAAGGTTGACAAGAACGTGGGTGTTGAATGGAGCTTAAGCGAGTCCTCCAAACCATTCTTCTGGTTTAAGGTATCTTTTATCTTCATATGGTAATCCCAAGTACTCTAAAAGATATCTCACTAAAGGAATGATATTAATTCATACATGGTTGAGCCAATCCTCTGATTCCCCAATATCCTAAAACAAGTTGATCTGCCATATTAATTTATTACTCGATGACGAATTTAATTTGGATATAAATTGTGTAATATATATCTAGAAACTTCTATGTGGAATAAAAATATTATATTATTTTACACAAAATCATAATTCAGCTTTTGGATCCACAACTTAATTAGCTGCATTATCTACAATCCATTTAACAAATCTTTCTTCTTAGATTTTGTTTGCTCTAATTACAAACTTAATTGGTTAGTTATTTTTATATAATCTGATTTTAACAATTTCAACAGATTCACCCAAATCGCTAACTTCATTTTAAGATAAATCAATTTTATTAAAAGTTAATTATTTATTTTATTGGAGTCTTTCAGCCACCTTCAAAAATTGTTCTTGAACTGCATTGCTAAATAATTAAATTTAATATAATACTGTTCTTCATTTTAAGAATCATAATATAAGATTACTGAATCATTAACAGATCTTGCAGTATCATAAGTATCTCCAATTAAGATTTTTACTAATCCTTATTATTATGGAGCAGCTTATGATTTAAGATATTTATGTGCTTTTCCTGATTAAAATGCTTCCAAGAATTCACCAACACTTTATCCTTCAACTCTCTTAAATCTTTGATCTCCCTTAATGATAAAAACTCCTTTTTAATCTTGAGATCTGACTTAAATTTTTCTAGTGAATTCTTCATCAACATTTTTAATGAAAAGTAATTCATCTTAGAATGACCAAGCTTAGGCAGCTACTTAAACTTCTTGTTCATCAGAGAAAACAACAACAAATGGTTTACTTTTTGTTATTCTTTCATCTAATTGTTCCTTCTTTTCAGAATACTCTTAAACTCTTTCATTTGCCACATTCTCTACAAAGGTTCTCATAATTGGGAATGAAAGTTTTCCTTAATAATAATAAGGCTTTTGATTTCTAAATCCTACAAAATAGGTTCCTTTGGGAATGTTTAGACCTTCTCTGATTGTTTTGCTTGTTGTATGAGCAAAATGTTATTTCATAGTGAATGAGAATTCTTTGTATTTTCTTAATTCTCTATCTTTTTCACTTTGTTCTTCTGCAAAATAGACAAATTAAACATGATTTTGAGCAATAGCCTCATTAACTTATTCAAAAGTTTCAAGTTATTCACTTTCAGGATTAAGATTGCTGTAAATCCAATTCTTAATACCATCAGCAGTTCTACCACCTTCAAAATCCTTAACAGCTTATTTGACACTGAATTTTATTGTTGGATATCCTTTGACTCCATATTTTTCAGCCAACTTCTTTTAGACTGTGGCATCAATCTTAGCCAAAACAATTCCTTCAGGTCTAAGAGCAGTGGCTGCCTCAGCATATTTAGGTGCAAGTTCTTTGCAATGTCCACACCAAGGAGCATAGAATTCAAACATCAAATAATCGAATTCATTGAAGGCTTAATCAAAAGTTTCTTCTGTGAGTACCATAACATCTCCATCATATTCATACTCAGCAACGACAGCAAAAGCAAGTAAAGAGAGCAAGAGAAGCGATTTCATAATTTTTATTATTACGTGTATTTGGCTAAAAATTCTAGAATTTATATAAGAATTATATATGAAAATTATTATTAAATTTATAAATCGAATTCTTATGATTATTCTATTTCCTTAATTTAAATAGGTATATGATTAAATTAATAAGTTTTAAGAGAGATTTTAAATTCTTATTGAATATTGACCATTATAACAAAAGTTTAGTTTATCTCACCTATTTAAAATCTACTAATTTGATCTTTATATTTATCTAAAACTTATAAGTAAAAAATATAGTATAAGTATTTGAAATTTTAATATAAATCTATAGGTCTCATTTAATCTGAAAATTGATTTATCAGATTTTCTGATTAATATTAATCCAAAAAATTATATTGCTATTCAAATTGGACTAATTCAATAATGATTAATTAGGTATTACAGATATCTTTATTAAATATAATTTGTCATTAACTAATTATTTAAAATTGATTTCATTAATCATTTATTCTATTCTCATCAATTCATAATTTAAATCTTAAATATATGATAATTTTGAGTCTGCAATTTTTTTTTATTTTTAAATATGAGAGGGTTAAATGTAAGTATTAAAATAAAGCAAATCCACTTATAAACTTTCAAATATTTCAAGAATATTTTGAATTGAAAAACTATTAAAAATTATGATTTACAAAACAAAAAAATCAAGCAGAGAAACATATTAGAATTATATAATTTTAATTGTTATTCAATCTGTCTTATTATATAGATTTATTAATAATTGCTGATATTAAGAAAATATAAATTTTTATTATTAAATTCAAAGAGTTTAAATAACAAATGATGGCATTTTTTGGGCTGTTATGTAAACATCAAATACTTTATTATCAACAAAATGAAATAAAAATTTCATTAATTTAGAGAGAGTAAAAAATTGAAAGAAGTAAAAGTTTTGAAGAAACTAATCTCTCTTTATCTATATCATAGTTCTTCTTGACTATGTCAATCTTAATCTTATTTATGAATCTGTAGATAAGATAATTAATTAAATATATTCTGAAAATAGAGAATAAGTAGATATAATCTAAATAATATAATAAAATTTGAGATAATCAACACAATCAATTATCTATTCAGTTATATGGCTTAGATTACATGATATTTTCAAAGAAATCTCATAAAAGATAATATGCACATGACACAAAATGAAATAGTGAAAATATTAAGATTACCACTACAATAAATGATCCTAAATAGTAAATATCTCTTAAATATTTAAGGTCCAAATATATTATTGAACATATTCTGTTGATTTATTTACCATGAGTTGTATATTTTAAAATGGTATACTTAGTTAGAATAAATTAATATGTTTCAGTCTTTTGTTTATAAGATATTGAATTTTTGGTTCTATTGGAACTTTTATTATAGATTTTAGAAGTAAGCAACAACATTTCTAATAATTAAAAAAAATAAACTTTTCTATTATAACAATTAATAACTAATAAACCTAAAGAACTTCTTAAAAAATTATTTCAAATGGCAAAATTGGATCAGAAAAAGACTAATGATTGTCTAATATGATTAATTTTATCATAAAGGAATGCTAAATAGGATATATATAATAATAGAAAATTTGAAAAAATCAGACAACATGAGATAATAGATTTTATTAAAATTGAAAAAACTGATTTTTAAGAAATAAAGAATGTAAAGTGTAAGACATTTAAGTTTATGATATTTTAATCATCTTCCCAATCTAATTATAAATTGACTTGAATATAATTTAATAACTGTCATTTCTGGTAAGAATTAAAAAAAAAAGATAATAGTTCTATAAATGATATTAAGATTAAGTTATTGTATAAAGCAAAGTTGTTAATTTTCAAAAACATTAAAGACTTATTCTTACTTCAATATATATTTAAAGCTTGAATAAAATATCTAAAATTAATAACCATATAAAATAATAAATAAATTGAAGTATATTTCTATAGTAGCTATGATTATAGAATTGAATATGAATGTTATATTATAAATATATATATTTCTTAAATCCTTTAAGTTACATAATTAATAATTCAGATGAATTAGGAGTAGTTTTAAGATAACATTATTATTATTATATATTATGGGTAATAATTGTTGTTCTATATCTATTTCAACAGCACAAACTGAGGAAGAGATAGTCTCTTCAAATTAATAAGAAAGCATTACAAAATCATTGGGAGACTCATTGTAAATAGCTAACTTTAAAGAATTGATATAAGATCATTGTCAATTTTACACATATTAAGATGGAGACATTTTATTAACTTCTCGTCCAATATCTCCTCGCTAATAACATGTTATTATATACTTAGAACCAAAAATAGTGGCAGAAGAAGAAATTAAATTTTAGTAAGAAGGTATGAAAGGAATACTAAGTGCAAGAACTTATGATCAAAATCCTGAATCATCGTGTAGTTCTATAAATTGTAAAGAAAAACTTTAAAAAAAAGTACAATTTAGAGAATGAATATAATCAAGATGTGATACCTTATTTTTTTTGTTTTTTTAACATTTGACTAAGTATATTATTCACTAACATATGTTGAATGATTATTTTGAATCATTATAGTTTGATTCAAAAGAGTTAAAGCAAAATTCAGTTAATATAATTAGTGGAAAAAGGTATAAATTGTAATAAAGAAATCAATTAGTAAGGTAGCTCACTTTTTCCAGTAAAAAAATATTGATTGTAACTTTGATTTTAATCATTATATATATATAATCACATTAAAAAGAACAAGGAATTTCAATTGTACATATGATTGATTTAAAAATTTCTTAATTAGAGTGAAATAGTTAATAGTTAAAATATATTATTAATTAAATTCTTTTATGTCTTATTAACAAGATCAGAAATTTAAATAACTAAAGCATGATCAACATTTCAATATTAGAATAATATTTTAGGTATTGATTCATAATTTAAAAAGATGATAAAAACTAAAGAAATGTGACTAAAGGTATTATAATCATTTAGTTCAGTTAATTCTTCCTTTAATGTATGAGGAGGCACCTTCCAACTTGGTGGCGAGGATTTATTCGACTTATCTGATGATACCGATTTCAACGGTTCTTTATTCGGTGTCTCTAGCATATTAAGTTCTCCATGCTTCACATTCAGCTTCTTTGGCAACCTTTCCTTTGGTGGCTGAGTCGAGTTCTCTTCCAGCATCATACTTTCTCTTCTTAGCAGCAGCTAATTAGATTTAAGCTTATCCTAATTTGGTTTCGGAGTCAGCCTTTTCAGATTAGAGGGCAGCTCTTTATTCATTGATTTCAACGATTTAAGCTTCGAAGTTAAGTTATGATTAGATTTCTTCTTCTTAGTCGTCAATGATGGATTATTCTAATGAAGCTCTCAATTCAGCGATCTTGTCTTAGACATTTTATAATTTTTCAGCTGAGAATGTTGAGGCCAATTGAACGAGGGCAAGAATGGGGTTGTTTCCACCAACTCTTTCTAATTCAGCAAGGACTGCTTCAGCATCGGCTTCTGGTTGAATAGCACTCAATTTAGCGGCAATGACGTCGAGGGCTTCAACGACCTTTGGGGTTGTGATTTATCTTTCTTCGAATGAAGCATGATCTTCAGCTCTCTTTTATCTGAGTTATTCCTCTTAGTTAGCTAAGATTAATAATTATTATTCCTTGTTGGAGATATCTGTTTCCAAAAGTTCAATATCAGCAGTGTACTTGTTGATATCAATGGTGGCTTCAGTGATTTCGTTGGAAGCGAAGTCAATTCTTCTGTTATATCCATAGATTTCAGCTTCACAGTCAGCTTCTTAAGCGACGTGGACTAATTCAGCATCTTATTATTAGAGGACTAAGTTTTCTCTCAAATCTTAGAGCATTTTAGCAATGTCAGAGAGTGGTGACTTGTTCTTCATTTACAAAGCGATTGTGTCTAAAATTTTCTTTCCCAATGGATGGTCTTCAAGTGCTTCGAGTTAAGCGAAGACTGCAGCATGTGGTTCAGAAGCATGCTTGACAAAGACGGCTTGTGTGAAGATCACTAATCCTAAGATGAATAAAGCTTTCATTATTATTATTAATGCTTTCTTCACCACCCTTATTTGGCTTAAAATTACACAAAACTATGCGTTTTTGATCTTTTTTGCTTTTTATTAAAATTAATTATTCTGTCATTTGCACATCATGTATTAATTATTATTTTTCATTAATTATTTTATCTTTAATTTATTATCACTTCACCTCTTTAAATTTTCTAAGTGCTCTTTGAAATTTGAGACATGAAAACTGTGATGAAAAATTTTTAAATCAGAAATTTAACATAAAACATTTTGTATTTTCAAATGATTTCATATATATACCAAAATGTGATTACAATCACAAAAGGCAAATCTAATAAACCATATAGAAATGCATCTAATTGACAATTGAATGAATAACTATTCAATTTTAATTATTCAAATATATGCAAAACTTTAGAGTTCATTAGAGATACTATTGTTGAATTATATTCTTATTTTGTTATTGCTGTTGTTAAAATTGTAATATTTAAGTTAATAAAATTATCATCAAGATAAATTTGTGAGGAAATGAAAATTCAATAACTCTATAGATAAAATAATAATCTTAATTTAATTCGTTTTTGAAAAATAGGATTTTGAATTAAATGTCTTTAGCATAAAATGAGTTTCCTTGAGATAATTAAATGTCTATGATTAAGTAGCACAATCATTATACTTGATTCAATATATATTTTTAATGAGAACCATTGCAAATTTTATATTTATCCAATAAAAACAAAGCAGTATCAATTTTGATAAATTAAATAATTTTAAGTGGAATGTATTGTAATTTATTCAAAGCATTGTTATTAAATATTCATGAATAGTTCTTCTTTTTTTGAGGTACAAATAGCTAAGCATTAATGAAACATTAGTTTGGTACATAAATCAGAATAAATTATATGAAAATTTCAATTTTAAGCACACTTAATTGACTTTTCTTATTTATAGATTAGAGTAAATTAAAGATATTAATATAATGATAGGAGTCTAGAATGTTATTGATTGTATTTAATTTTAATTTAACAATTATTTTATTAAGATTCAAAACTTTGATAAATTGATTTAGGTTTTAGATTTCTTATATTTAGTCAAATATGTACAAAGAAAGTTTCTGGTGTAAATTTGCTTCATGCTTTTAAGAGTTTGAGGTAGTTTAATTTTAGAGTGCTCTGAAGGTTGGGTTTTGATAATTCGTTATGATTTTGGAATTTATAAAGTTATCTTTGTTATTTCTGGTTTGTTAGTATTTTATAATAAATGACTTTTACAAGATTTAGGAGGTTCAAATATGCGAACTTGGGTATCTTCAATAAGTTTTTCAGTGGTTCTTGCTGAAGCTCTTCGGAGAGAGGTAAGCATTAATTGAGAAGAGGATGTACAAATCAAAGTATCTTGTTTGGAAGCAGAGAATTTGCGAAATAGTTTTTCTATTTATAAAATATGTACATGTTTATACTTGTATTTTATGCAGTCAATAATCGATTAGTTTTTAGAGATGGTTGTCTTCTGATTCTAGAGGGTTTAAGAATGAATGGGACATTCATATTTCTATATTAAAAGTTAGTCATTGGCCCACATTCTTTACAATCACAACTTTTTCTTCTCATTTTTTGAGGGATACTATGGAATTGCTTCATAGGATGAAAGACAAAGAATTTAGGTAAACTGAAACTTCGTTGTAATTTAGGTTTAGGTGTATGATAGATTGGATGAGAGAGATGCCTATGTTGATGCAATGCTTTAAATCTTATGCACAAACTTTATTAATTCATTTTTAATTCAAACTTTACTATAATGCCTTTTGAAGCTCTTCATCTTCATCATCATCTAAGAAAGGTTTGTAGATTTGTGTCTTTTAATCTTTCTGTTCTTTTTTTTATTTGAGAGCATAACTTTTAGGCTCTTTCTTAGGAAGACGCTTATTTTAAGGATTCTATTTGATTTCTTAAACTGAATGATCATCTGAGCTATCACAAAGTATTTATTAAAGTCTTGTTCTTTTAGGGGAAGGTGGAGATGGTAATTAACAAATAGATATATGAATATCAAATTCTAAAAGCCTCTAATTATTTATACCTTTCTTTTAAATGTGCTTTTTACAAAGAGTACATTATTCAGTTCTAGAACCACATTTGACTTGATGTTACACCATATCTAATTGATTTATCATCAAATCACAATAGATGCACAATAATGGCTTATTTGGACAATTATTCTAATGCTTCTCTAAAATATTTTATTCATAGTTTTCTTGACAATATGGACATGCTTTCTAAGAGATAAAATAGTTTATAGATATACTTTTTAATGTAATATCATATGGTCATCTTTTTCATTTAGATCTATGCGTTGATCACATAATTCGCATTGGACTATGTTTCTTTCACAATAAAGTGAATGGAGCAAAAAATTAGTTGACAAAACTTATTCCAAACTCAATTATAAGCTAAATCTTACCAAGAAGGACAGCTCTTGTAAGCACTCATTTTTAAAATTAAACTAATAAAGAAGTCATTAAATTTTTTTTACTACTTTTTACTACTATTGTTTTGGATAACATTTAATAATAATAAATTACAAAAAATTACATTATATGTATAATTATTAGATTATTTTATTTCATTCATCATCTTTCTTTGATTAATCTTCATCTTCTGAATCACTGTCTTCAACCTTATTTTACATTGGAAATAACATAGATTGAATAAATGGAAGTGATTTATCTAATTCTTAATCTTCTTTATGATATTCAACAGCCTTAATATATATATTATATCAATATACTCTGCTTATTTGATTAGCTTTTTTAGCTTTAAATTTAATTGGTATTTCAGCATCTAATCCTCTATAACAATCAGAAATGACAAATAAAATGAATTCAAATTCTACTACATCACCAAAATACATTTTAGGTTAAAATTTAAATTCTGTTGTTTATACTCTATTAGCTCCATTTAATTAAGCATAATAAAACACTTCATTTTAATAAGTAATCAAAACATGCCATCCCTCCTCCTTAACATAAGTAAATCTATTTGAATGTGCAAATGGAATGTCTTCACCTTCAGGAGTATTCAATCTTGTTAATGTGATTTTAATCTATATATTAAATAATGAATACACTAAATATATCTTCATTACATTATTCAACAATTGATTCATCATCAACAGTTACTTCATGTTTAATATCTAATTAAGGAAACATATTAATTTCATTCATTATTTATTCTTTGAATTCTTCTGGTACCCAATTAGGTAACTATGAATTTATTAATATAAATATATTACCACTCTTTAATCAATTTATTTTTGAACTAATTCTTAGAATATTGGCATTTTCCCTTTTTTTATATAATCTTTAGCTTTAGTAGCAAAAAAATCAATTTAATTTATTGGATTATCTGTTTCATATATTCCTTATACAATGCATTGAGAGAATTATAAAATGTTATTAATACATCTGGCACCCATAAATTTAGTTTAAAATCTTCCTCTTTATCTCCATTACATTACTTTATATTTCATTGAAAATTCAAATGCTAATCTTACCATTGAATTTACTAATTTGGGAATTATTTTAATAGTAGATCTATATAAATATTTAACACTATTAGGAATTGGTTTACCAAATAAATGAGCATATATTAAAATCATGGCAATAGAAATAGTTACTCTTTTTTTCTTCTTTTATTTTTTCGATTATTCAAGTGCTTCTGTTATTTCAAATTTTTATATCTTTCTTAATTCTGCTTCTTCTTTTAATTCATTAACTAATTTTTCTAAATCTATAGCTTATTATTCAGTTTTCAATCTTATTCTACATAATTCATCACTACAACTAGATAATTCTACTCCTTTCTTAATTAATAAGTTTTCTTCTAATCCTCTTTCAAATTTTTCTTAATTACTAAGCATTATTCCATTTTAATCATATTTTCCTATTGATCTTAATTCATACAAAACAATTATAGGTACAACAACCAAAAGTAATAAAAATATTACTGCTAAGAAAGCAGCTCTATTTTCTTTTTTTAATAGAAATGATGGCATAGCTATTCCAACAGATAAACTTTATTGTCCATCTGGATTTCCATATTTCATACATAATGATTTTTTGTCTTCATCTGTTAAACATTCATAAGCTTTAGTCAATAGTATAAATTTTTGATTTGCTTAAGGATCATCAGGATTTTTATCTGGATGCAATTTTAATGAAATCTTTCTATATGCTTTACGAATTTCTTATTCTGTTGCACTTGGATCTATTTCTAAAATCTCATAAGGATCAAACCCTTTAATTTTATCAGCCTTTGGTAATGATTAAATTGATGCATTAAGCAATAATAAAAGAGCCACAAGTATTATGATCTTAGATAAGAATCATTATTTTACCTTAACCACATAACCTGTTGTAAGCCATTTAAGTCTTAATTCTTATTTAGCTAATTGTAGATTTTATTGATCATTGGAGCTTTAGGGAACACGTGCGAATTTTCTTCTGTTTTCTCCTAACACGTATGTTGTGAACAATGGCTTGATAACTGAGTAAACCAGAGGAAGAATAACTAAAGTAAGAATAGAAATGGCGAAATAGATGAATGCATCATCATCGAAGAGCAGATTCTCTCCATCGCCTTATCTTGTGAATGCTTCTTTAAATCCCATTATTTAATAATTTATCTTAATTTCAACAGCAGCCTCCTTCCTTTTTTGTAGGTTATGGATTCTTCAAACCACCAGTTGGTGTCTTTCCTCCTGGAGTTGGTTTGTCCTCAGATTTGCCAATCTTAGCCTTGATATTATTAGCCAATGTCATAAAGGCTTAGTCAACATTAGTGTTTGCTTTGGCTGAAGCCTCTATAAACTTGATTCCCAAACTATCAGCCAACTCTTTACCTTCTTCAAAGGTAACTTATCTCTTGCTTTCTAAATCAGCCTTATTTCCAACCAATAATCTAACCACATTCTCAGAAGCATGTTTTTCAACCTCTTTTAATTTTAAATATAGAGTTTACCTGCCAACCAATTCTCTATGTCCTTAAAACTTTATTTATCTGTAATATCATATGTCAGAATAATTCCATGTGCTCCCTTATAATAGGATGCTGTAATAGTTTTGAATCTCTCTTGACCAGCAGTGTCCCAAATTTACATCTTTACTGATTTTCCTTACATATCAAAAGTACGAATTTTGAAATCTACACCAATTGTAGGAAGGAAAGACTCACTAAAAATCTAATCGGAAAATCGCAACAATAGTGAGCTCTAATTAATTATATTTAAGGTCTTACCTTGCCAACAGCTGAATTACCTATCAGAAGGATCTTGAACAAATAGTCATAGTCTTATTGGAATGCCATGTGTGATGATTTATTTAATATTTTTATTAAATCAGAATTCATTACACTCAATCAACTTTAAATCCCATAAAAATATACTATACAATTATAATTAATATGATCAAATCTGAATCACAAACCTATTCTTTATTAGTACTTAACATGTATTCCACAGAAATTATAAGAAAATTAACATTTTAAATTTATATAATTCATACTCGTTATTATTATTATTCTTTCACTTGTTAGAAATGGACTATCATTTCAAAAAACTCTACTTTTATTTATAACTTAAAATTTCAATGTTAAATATCTATATTTGTTCTTTAGACTTCAAACAAGATCTAAACTTTATATTGTAAAAGGTTACATAAAATATTAGAAAATAAAATGATTTAAAAATAAGATAATATAATATCATTATCTATATAGAAAAGTTTAATCATTAAAAATAAAATAATTTTTGTTTCATAATATAAATTTTCTGTTTTCTTAAAATTCACTTCAAAATACTAATTCAAACTGTTATAACTTTATATATAAAATTACATGTTTAATATAATCTTAGATGATTATACTCAAATCACAAACTTATATTAATATCTAATTCAATTAAAAATAGATACTGATGATAGTATTTATTATTATATGAATTATAAAAATTAATAAATCAAATGATTCAAAAAATAATAAAAATAATTTTTCTATTAAATAATTCTACAAATTAGAAACTAAGATAATAATAATATATTATTTTGAATCTAATAAATATTATAATTAACATTTAAAGAAATATTTTTTAATGGAAAATAAAATATTAATAAAATATTTTAATTTATACTAATAGGATTACTATTCCTATAAGATGCTTTTGAAATAATCGTATATAATTTATTTTGAACTAAATATTAATATATTTCATAACATAAAGTAAATTCAAGAATTTAAAATATTTATAATTCATCTATTAGATAATATTTTGAAATTGACTGGTATAGCTAATTTATTTTCATCAGATATTATAGATTCTATTATTTAAAATAAGATAAATTAATGATACATATAGATTAATTATATAGATATTTAATAAATGAAGATAACATTTAAAGAAAATGAATCTAAATTATTATTTTCAATATAATTGATATGAATTAATTAAATAATAAAAAGTATTAAAATTAATCATATATTTAATGATTAATATGTAATCTTAATTTTGATACAATTAAATAAACATTTAAATATAAAAATCAATTAAATAAAGGAGTGCCACATATGGTAATTTGAATTTTTTTCTCAACTTTTTAATTCTTTCTTATGATATTGATGGTTTGATTGAAAAAAGAGTCTTGATAGTAATTAAATATACTATCTTTTATCTTTTCATTATTATTGTTAATATTATTATTTAAGTTATTCATATTAATAATTAATTGAATTATTTAATTAATATTCAAATAATCAAAGTTAAAACATAGAATAATATATATATTATATATGCTATTTTAATATGTAATTTCAAGAGGTACAGTTCTTAAGAAAAGTTGCTCCTGAACACTGGATAATTCCAACAATAACTCCAAATAATCCTAGGGCTGATCCAAAGATTTCAACAACAAGAATTTTAACAAAAGTTTCTGGAGTTTAAGCATCAGAAATTGCACAACCAGATCCAGTAACACCAACTGCAATACTATAAAATATATTATTTATTAAGTTTACCCACAAATTAAGTTTGATAATCCTACAGAAACTCCTGTCCAAAATAAAGAATAACCATTAAAAAGAGCAGTTGTATAACACTCATCTTCTTGACCATCTGGATAACTTTCAATAGTTTGAACTTTTCCAATCATAATAATAGCCATAATGACACCATAAATAGCTACAGCTTCACAAAAAATGACAGAAATCAAATTCTTAGATCTAATACGTGGTGCTTTGACTGTTGAACCCAATAATGTAACACCAGTGACAAAAATACCCCAAGAAGCTCCAATAATAGATGTAGCCAAAGCCAAACCTACACCAAAATAACTAAAAAATTGAGAAATGAATCCATTTAATACCTCCAAAAATAGGGATCAATGAACATGAATCTTTCACCCCATGTGGCCTATTACCAATCTGCAGCATCCCAGTTGTATGGATTACCCCAATTCATTTATTATATTTTATATTTAATTATTAAGTATCATTCACAATTATTGAAGTATTGCAATAATTCATTTCCTATTTATTTCGCCAAATCTGGAGTCTTTTTTAATTATTAATTAATTAATTTACTTGCATCATCTATTAACAAAGTTGTTCTAATTGATCATCTAAAGGTTGTTTTGCCTTAACTAATGTTCTATACAGCTTCTATAAATTCTCTATATACTCTAATCCAACTTCATCTGGCTATTTATTCAATTTCTTAAACCTTAATAAATATATCATTTATACCACAATAATTTATCGAATTTATAGATTGCATCCAAAAGAATGGTCACAGTATCAACAATTCTCTCTTCTATTCCACTTACACATTATTATTTCTAATAATCAGTAAGATCTTCCATTTCTGACAGCATTTCTTCAATAAAATCAGATAATTTTTATTCCAATTTTTCATTTATTAATTTTTACACATTATTAACAGCACTAGGCATTTGATGAAATTTTATTTACACTTTCCATTTTTATTTCTTTTGACTATTAACACTTTAAATAACAGAAGAAAAGAATGTTTCATTTTATTATCTATTATTCTCTACTGTTGTTTCTGATTACATAAATAAAGGAGAATCAGGTTATCTTTATTCTAAAGTATCATTATAATTTGTAAATTGAAGAGGAGATAATGATCTAGGTTATTATTAAAATGGTCTTTGTTTAATTGTTTAATGTTAGGCTTCATAAATTAAAATTGCTGCAAATGAAAATTCACTTACTGATATATTATTTCCAGGAAAGAATTTCTTAAATTCTTAATATTTCTCTGGTGATCCATATAAAAGTAACGAAATTTATTGAACTTATTTTTAATTCAATTGTAATTGATTACTATCTATCCCTTGTTTTCTAAGTGCTTTAATAATTATATAACAAAAATAACTTACGATGATAGAATGACAATTTCAATTCTTTTTATATAACTGCTCTTGTGAACAAGTAAAATGTCAATACTTCTTTCTTATTGAATTTCAGAAATTATTAGAAAATATTAACATCTTTTCTTTTTAAGGCATGTAAATCTACAGATGCTAAGAAATTGATTATTTACTAATATAATTCTATCCTTACTTAATTTTTTGAATGCTTAAATTTATTTAATAGGAATTCATAAACATAATCAACAAAAGCTATTTCTTAAACTTTTTAATTCTTGGCAATTTGATTAGAATCTTCAATAAACTTTTTTTAATATATTTCTTCTATTAAGAGACTAAGCTCATTAAAACTTAATTTCAAAGGTCTTGATAATAGATCTTTATTTGATATTTTGCTCATTATTTTTGGATAAGTCTCATCCAAATAACTGAATTTGGCTCCAACTGAATGATCTGTCTTAATGTGCTGAGAAACCTATTTCTACGACTCTTCCTATATAAATAAAGACAATTACTTGCAGGAGTGAATGCCTTGCTATTTGCTATATCACTCAATGTACTATATTATCTAGCACGATGTTATTAAGGCAATTAAGATTTCTTTAATGATTGATTTTCTACACTTATATGATTTTCTGCCAAAAATTTAATGTACTTTTTCTTGTCTTCATCATTTAGATCAGAGAAATTTATCACAATTTGTTTCATCGTTAATAAATTAATGTTATATTACTTTCTATAATTAATTAATTACTTCATTAGTTATGTTATTGATGTAAATATCAAATACTAACTTTAATAAAATGTATTTTGCGATCAAAATTCATATTCGATAATCAAACATAATATAATCCATAGTAAAAAATGAAATAATATATAATAAATCAAATAATCAAGTAATATCCATATCATATAATAATTCTAATTGTTAATATGATATAATTAAATATTTATTTATTTATTATTATTATTATTTAATAATGTAAGAAGATTATTAGAGAGAATTAGAAAATTATACTTAATTATGGAAAGTCTATACTAGAAATTCTTTAGAATAGGATTTTAGAAATTCACTCTATTCAACACTAGCTTTGGTGTTTGTACCTTCTCTAGTGAATGTTTACTATATTTTTAGATAAAGTGTATTGAAAAATGCTGTACTTTGAATATTTTTAATATTAAAGGTTAGATTTAGTAGCATAATCTCTTGTCTAATGATTTTTCATTATAACCTCAACAAAGACTTTGAGAGATTTGTTCGGAAGGATACAAAGGATAGCAATCTTGCTAGACTCTATATGTAAAATATTAGTAAAACCAATATAATTTTTCCTTATTTTGAAAAAGAAACTATAGAGATTGTTAAATAGAGAGAACAGGGTAAAAATTAGTAATGAATATGATATGTGTATAATAATTAATATTAATAATAATAATAAAATAATCTAACAAATATCAGATTTTTATTAATTAAGAAAATAAATTGAATAACTTAATATTTTATATATATATATAATATAATATCTTGAGGATGGATAGACAATTTCAATTTTTAATATTTTATTTATTTCTTAATTGATTAAACGTGTTATTTTTATATTGTTATATAATGTTATTGTGACAGTTAATGTAAGAATGAATGATATAAAAATTATTATTATTATAATATATTATTCTTCTTAAAAACATCATATTATAAGATTTGAAATTAATATAAAAAGATCAATTTAATATATCCATAGTGAAATTTTATTTATTGATGTGAGATATAGCATAAATAATAATAATATATGGGGTGCGTTTCCTCTGATGAGAATAAGGCTTTGGCATTTGATGAATTTTAATTTTTGAAAACAGGAACTTTATCAATTGAGCTCACTTAATTGATATTTGTTGTGAACAATTTAATAAAGGAAGTTCACTAATTATATAAATAAGTTGATAGTGATAGGATCATCCTATTTCGTATCACAAAGGTTATAAACTATTATAGTTTAGGTTTCTCTAACAGCAAATTAAACTTTAATTGATGCATTTGGATTTTGGACAAGATTTGTATCAATATGTAATTTAGGTCAAGGTAAACTCAATGGAGTATATTATAAACTTGAAGAAGATGGTATTTGATAAAAAAATGTGAATTTTAGGTAGAAGTCTTAGTTACAATTTGGGTCTAAATGGTGATTTAAAATTACAATGGTTTGGGGAAGTTTTAAATGACTATTTTAAAGCAATAATTGATATTACTGTTTGTATACCACTAATACTAGAATAGCTTAAATTTTTATAAGATAAAATCAATCATCTAGGATCTAATTTAAAAGAGAAGAATTAGCTATTCAAATACAATATGCTGTTATTAAAATTTAACGTAGCCTTTACTAAAATTGCTAATATTCGAATTATAAAGTACAATGAAGAAATTGAAATTTTTTAATAGAAATATTTACAAATTGCTGATACAGCAGATGAATAAGGTTTAAAGCTTTATTAAAAATTTGGAGCAAAACAATTAAATGATAGATAAAAGTATCGCATGAAAGTAAAAATAAATATAATTATGGAATAATGTTTTCATGGTGAAATGAGGTCTGAGATAGAATAAGACTTATAAAATAAATAGAAAGAAAAAAGAAAAGCTCTTAAACCAGCTTGGACTTTTGGAGATGACATTGGAATAGGAGTTAAGAAATTTCCATTCCGTGTCAGATGGACAGGCTGTAACTGTGTAGATCATTCATTTTTTATCATCTCTAATTATCTAGAAAATCATAGTAAACATCTGTTACTTATCAGAAAATTATCTGTTGTTTTAAGATATCTAACTCAATCCTACAAGACAGAAGAAGATACTCTATCTAGAGCATGGTTTATTTTTTGTACACATCTCACTCCTAAAGAGAGAACTATAATTTAATCAAATTCATCAATTTTAAATGGATTAAAGAAGTTCAAACTCAAAAATCCTTAGGCTGAAAAATGCAGACAATACTTTATTGAATACATTTCATTATTAGATCAAGATTATTTGTCTCAATTATAATAACAATGGTAAAATTATATGGATGGTTAAAGCAAAGTATTATCTTTATGGTCAAACAATTAAATTTTCTCAACGGATGAATTTAAAGCTTTAAAAGTAAATGATAAATATTATGCACTTACAAGTATGTCAAAAAACGTTTATGCTTTATAATCTTATTATCCAATAGCAACATAGATATATAATTCAGGTAATTTAATCAAATAAAATTAGTGTATTAAAAAAAGTTATAAAAAGGATAGGCTTTTCTCAATCAACTATCACATATTTATAATTCTTCTGGATATAATCCTCTTCCTTTCGATAATTTGTATACTACAAATACGACTGAGGATGATGAAGCCAAAGTAAAAACCAAAGAGATTAAATTTAAATATGCTTTCACAAAATTTGCATAAAACTAATGAGACATATACATTTTTCGTATTATTTACAAAATTTCCATTTTTAAGAATTACTTATATAATATTAAATCATCATTTTAGAATTAATGATTAATAATTAAAATTTATCATTAATATATTTGAAATTAACAGTATATAAACATGTAAATAATTTCATATTCAGTAAGATTCATTAATTTATTAAGAGAAGGATTTAATCATGATTTTAAGTGATCATATGAAACTATTGGATATTAAACTAATATGATTATAATTATTTTTAATACTTTCCATTATAATTATAATCCTATAATAATATAAAATAATTCTAATATTAATTAAGAATGTGGATAAATAAATTTATATTGATTTTTTTGCTTTGCTTTAAAATTCATAAACTTCAACATAAATATTTACATAATAGAGTATCTATCTAATATTTTTGTAATTTTTCACTTATTCTAATATTGATTCTTATGTTTAAATTATTATTGCAAAAAATAAATATAGTTTTTCAAGATTTATAAAATTTTTCAATCATTCTCAAAATCATTTTAATCATATGTAAACATTTAAAATAATAATATTAATATCAAATGAATGATAACTTAGGAATATTGAATAATAGATTTCATATGAAAGCTATACAGAATAGAAAGAGATTTCATTCTGTTGATTAATATTCAAATTCAGAAGCAAAAGAAGGCAAGAAAAAAAATGAATATTATTAGAGATGGTTAACAAATTAAAAAGAATGTCATTAGAAAATACCTTCTGAATCAAATATTGAATCTTTTACACCTTCAACTCCTTAAGCTCAGATTCCAATATAATTAGAACCAAAACTTCTTAAAGACATTATGAATAAATATTTCAAAGCAGAGTAATGAATCTGACATTATATTTTATACTCAATTTTCATCAAATCCAGATAAATCTCCGCATGTAATAAATTTGTAATATTTTGATTATTCCTTCTCTGTTTCTTAATCAATAATTTCTTATTATTTCTATTTTTCAGCTTATTCAATTTCCTTTAAAAATGTATAGAGATGGAAATTAAGAGTTGATATTTTTGGAGTGTATTGCAAACATCTAAATTTATTATAAATAAATTACATTATAAAATATTCAACACTTGAAGCTCTACTTGATTTAGGTTTCATAAAATAAACTTAATTGAAGAATAATTTAAATTATGAATACAACAATTTGATATCTGAACCTTTGAATATTTTAGCTACAAAAATTCCATTATCTCTTAATGTCATCAAACATATGTTTAATGCAGCCACTATCAATTATGATTAAATGTAATAATCTATATCATGAAAACCTGTCACATCAGGTGCTCCATCACAAACTATTATATCTGCTCTTTAATAATTGAATTTTTTTAAGATCTCATCCACTGTTGTTTTTTTAGTTATATCTCCTTAGATTTATGTTACATGATCTAATGGAGCCATCTCTTATAAATCCACAGAAACTATTCTACAACTCTCAGATGGAAGATAATTCTTTTCTGTCAACTTTTTGACCAAGACTTATGACCAACTACCAGGAGCAGCACATAAATCTATTGCTCTTTCAACTTATCTAAATATTTAAAATGAATCATCTATTTGTAAAAGTTTATAAGCTGATCTTGCTCTAAATTAATCTTCTTTTGCTTTCCTATAATAAATATCCTAAATATGGTGAAAAATGCTTTTATAGTAATATATGTATGGGTAGTAAGTATATTATAAAATACTTATTTAGAATATGATGAATTTCTTTATACTCTTTTGTCTTTTGTGAATTTGCCCATATATTAATAATACTTATTTAATTATATAAAAACATAAACTTACTTGTAAAATTAACAAATAAAAATTGTCAAAGTTTTATCAATGAGTTTCTATAGAATTTTTGAAATATAATCAATTTTTATTATATCTCATTTAAAATAATGATTATATTATTCCTAAAATTAAGATTTTTCAAAAAACTAAATTTAAAGTAATAGAGATTTGTAATTTAATTTATAAATTAATGAAACCCTCATAAACATTCCGTATAAAATCCATAAAAACTACTATAAATAATAACCATCAATAAAAATCCTTATAAATGAGTCTAAAGTGTTAATCTTTAACAAATAAAACTATTAAATAAAAAGATTAAATATATAAGAGATTTAGCTAAATCTAACCTTTACATGATCTACAAAAATCAATTAACATACCTTGTAGATAATCCATAGCATCTGTGACTGATAGTTAAATAAGCGCAGATGAAGAATTTGAGATATGGGATGATAATTAAGATTTAAGAGTCAAAAAAATAATATTAGATGATAAACAATCTTCTATCAGCCAGTTCTTGTAATTGTACAAAGCTCGATATGGGTATTAAATATGTCTATTAAAGGGGATTTCCAGGATAAAGACAGGCTATTTAGAATGAAGAGGTGATAAAAACTGCCATTTCTTATGCATCGTCAAGTAAAAAACTATTTAAAAAATATTTCCCTTCTAAATTTGTTGTATTTGAAGATCAAAACGATTATTCATAGCCTTATGATATAGAGGATGATTAGCACTTTCAAACTTTTAATAAATTCTTTAGAAATAAGAAACTATTATCAACTCACAAAGTATCTTATTAAAGTTTGAAGAAAACTCAAAATTTTTGAAAAAATCTTATTTATATAATTTTATTCTATAGGTTATTGTAGTATAAATTTTAAATAAATGTATTTCTACATTTATACTCTTTTTCATCAAAAATTTATCAAAACAATTTTTTAAAATTGAATGACATCAATAATTAATTTTATTATTTTTATGTAAATCTCAATTATCACTAGAATAGTAAACTGTTTTAATATTGTTTTTAATTAATTCTATTACAACTTTACGAAGTAAACTTTAGTTAACTATTTAAAGAAAATTTTGGATGTATGATTGCTTTATTCAATATTAAATTTTCATCAATATATATGATTGTTAGGAAATAAGACATTATTATGAATTATATTATATGAATAAAATATTTTAGTTTAAAGTAATTAGTTAATGTTGGAAATAGTAGTATTATTTAAATTCCCTTTATATTAATAAACTATATAATCTTCATTTATTATAATTGAAAAATATATTTTATAATAAAATTTATAGCAATAACTAATATACAAATTGTTTCATTTATGTAAATTGTGATTACATTTAATGTAATCGTTTGCACCTTATCGGTCATATAATTCTATCTAAATTGTAGAATGATAGATTCCAAATTGTCTGCATAATTTAGTAGCTTTTCTTAATACATATTCTGGATTTTCGATACAGACTATATGTGCAGACATGGCTGGCTTTCCTACTGAAAGTGACCATATATGTAGATCATGAACTTCTTTAACTCTGTGAATGGCCTTTAATTAATCATTAAATTCTTCAATTATTAAATCTAAATAATATTAAAAATAATATTACTTTGTGGAGTACCTTCCATTAAAACTCTTAAGCATTCTTTTGCAACTCCAAATGTTGTAAAGAGTACAAGAATACTAAAAAGATATGTGCATAAGGGATCAGCATATTACCAATAAGTAAAAACAATTTGATTATTTTCATCTTTTTATTATCCAAAAATATATATCAAAATGGCAGCAATAAGTACTCCAATGGATTATAAAATATCACCAATAACATGTATCATAGCAGCTTTAAGATTATAGTTATCATGTTCATTAATTTCAGTTAAATTTTTACTTTTTAATTTACTTTTTTTAGATTTTTTGTTATGATCATGACTATGTTCATGTTCATGACTATGTTCATGTTCATTACTATGTTCATGATCATGACTATGTTCATGATTATGTTCTTTTCCTTGACAACTACTATGATCATCTTCTGAACTATCTTATTTTGCAACTTTCTTATTTTTAGAATTCTTAACTTTTTAATTTTCAATATCATTTGGAATATAAATTTATTGATGATCATGGCCACAATTTTCTGAATGATTATGTTCACGAGATTATTATTTTTACTTTTATCCAAAATCTTATTATTAATTGCTTTTACAAGAGGAAGAACTTTCACTTTCTTCTTTGATTGTTAATATCTTTTCACTTGATTCTGATTCAATACTTTACTCTACAACTAACATACTAATTCCATTCTCACTAACTTATTGTCTCTTTTATTTTATATTAATCTTTTTCTTTTTCTTCTGTTATTATTATTACTATTTCCCTTTTGAATGACTATCATCAGTCCCATGACTATGACTATGATCATGATTGTGATTATGATTATGATCATTACCTTTACCATGACCATGACTATGTCCATGATCATGACCACTACATTAATGCATAATGTTTCCATGATCATGTCCTCCTGTAGGAGAAGAATGCAATACTTTGGCCATAACTAAATTACAAAATAATCCAAATCCTGCTGTAATCAACATTATTAATGGGTCAGTGACTATAGCCTCTTCTATGACTCTAACTGTGGCTTCATAGAATAAAAGGATTGTCAATCCCCATATCAATATAATACTACCTAAAGCACCGATTACTTCTGCTCGATGATATCCAAAAGACATGTTTTAAGAGGCTGGTCTTTATCCAAGCCAGATGGAGAAAATTGAAATGAAGAAGCCACTCATATCTGAAAACATATGAGCTGCATCAGATAAGATTGCCAACGATTAAGCCCATAAACCTCCAATAACCTTTTTAGGATTAATATATTCTTTACTTCAGCCACCAGAAATATGATACAAACTACTGAAACAATGATCAAACGACAAAGTACTTTTTATGTTATCTAAGTTAGATCTGGGATTTCATATAAATGAGGGTCCATTTTTGAATGGTCAGTCAAAATTGATAATTATGACTTTTTTCTTGATTGTTTTGATTTGATACTAAACTATTAACTAACTTCATTTATCAAAGGTTATTTGAATGTCTCTGCTTCTGCTTTATCCATATTTTAAATTTATTTATATTTTCTTAAATTCATATGCCTTCATGAATCAGTTAATTGATTCATGAATAATATAAATAAATGAAAAACATATTACTAATATCTCTGTTAATTTGTTTTTCCTAAGGTTGTTCATTACTAATCCAAAAATTCGAAGTACCAAAAGAGGTTATTCTAATTCAATCAGAATGCCATTTAAAAGAGATAATTGAAGTGGCCACAGATAGAATTATAGACATGACACATATTTCTGAGTCTTAAGTAATGATAGATGCCTCTTAAATAAATGAGGAGAATGATTACTTACTAAAATTGAGAGATAAAAATCATAAATATAAAGAGATGAAGGTAAGGATAGTATAAAATACTGACAAATTGTAATAAATATAAGAAAAATTAAATTAAAAGGAAATAAAGCATGATTATTAAATAGCAGTTGATAATTTGATGTCAGATGTATTTTGGGGTATAATCAAAGGTATTGTATTATTATTATTTTGAATGATCAAATATTAATTTATGTATGGATATATATATATAATCTATTCTTGATTATAAATATATACAATATTGATTCTAAGTTTAAATAGCCATAAATATTGTAATCAATTGATTGATGCTTTAAATTAATAATAATTTAAAAAATTATGTTATTTATATTTTTGATCGTAACTTAAGTGTATTGTTAAGATATATGTAGATAACTTAACACTTATGAAACATGTATAGGATCTAAAACTGAATATTGTATAATAATTAGATTTAGTTAATTTAGGTTAATGGTATCCACATTAGCGATATTGTAGAAAATCAGATGATTTAATGTAGGGATGTGATTAAAATCTTAGTGTTAAATTATGTACTAGATAGATAAGTACATAAATGGCTACATAGGCATTATGTATATTTGATTCTATATGTCATAAAATCAATGATATTACTAAAGCAAAATGCAATCAAAGTTTAAACAAATATGGTTGCATAGGTATTACAAATCCACAATAACTTTGTAAATGGGAGGATAGAAAGTGTAAGTATTTATCAGATGAAGAAATTGCAAATTTGAATACAAATTTTCCAAATTTAATTTTAAGTATGTCTGTATGTCCTCTAATTACTGGGCATTTGATAGCTCATAGTAATGTTTTAGATAGTTTATCATCTAGTGATATAACAGATTATGGTTTATTGGCATAATTGGATGATATGTTAGATGAGTAAAAAAGTTATGATGAAGGGAATTTATAAAATAATTACTTAAATTCATAAGGATAATTCATTTGGTATGTTCCATAGAAACAATCTTAATTTAATTTATTGAATTTATAAATAAATGATTAGAGTAGAGTAGGATGTATAGGTTTAGATATATCTGATGATTAAATGTTTAAAACACTCTTTAATATAGATGATTAAAAAGTAATTAATGGTGTTAATTAAATATTTTGTTAATATATTAATATAAATCCATTTAATGATAAAATGAGTGTTTTTGTTAATAATAAATGTGAAATAATTAATTTTGAAGAAGTGGAATAAAGAACAGATTTAAAATGTGAGAATTTAGGAAGATATGCTTGTTAAACTAGTCCTAAGAATATGGATTGTTAAGTAGTATAACCAATAAATCATTATGAGAAATCATGTATATAAGTTTAGACTCAATCAGTAAATGTAGATTGTGAACCTCTTAATGGAATTGCAACACATAATTAATGTAGTTAAAGTTCAAAATATTGTTTTCTGTATTTTAATGGTAAAGAAGGATATTGTGATGGAGGTTGTTATAATTTAATAACAAAAAATGATTGTTTTAAGAAATCAAATTGTTATTGGATTGATGAAGAATAGAATTTTCTTGTATAATGTAGTCCATTATAAGGATGTACTTAAATGGGATTGAGTAGAATCTATTGTGAGAATTTAGCACTTCCTTGTATTTGGGTGGATAATCAATGCAAAAATGGAGATTTAAGAATATTGACTTGTTCAGAAGCCAATACAAAATATAGTTGTACTCATGTATAAAGATAAGATTAACTATGTATTTGGTATAATAATATGTGTATAAATACTATAACACATTTAATTTTCAAAAATTATTCATAATTACCTGAAAATTTAATTAGAAATAGAAATCAATGTCTTATGCAAGATAAAGGATCATATAGATTTGATGAAATTACAAAATAATGTTATAGAGATTACATTTTAGATACATAAGATCTATCAAACATTAACAAATATTTTTGTTTATCTTTATAATTAAATTCTTAATGGAATTATGAACAATAGAAATGTTAAATAATATAACCACTTGAATATTGTGATAATAGAATGAATATTAATCCTAAATTATGTTCATATTCACCAAATTGTATCTATGATGAAATCAAATAGAGTTGTACTTAATTAAGTGGTTCAATATCCTGTAATACTATAGGTCTAACTAAAACTCTTTGTATATCTAATCTAAATGAATTTTGTGCATGGATCAATAATTCTTGTCAAACTATTAAAATATTTGATAATTGTGTATAATTAGTAAATGTATCACCTTATTCATGTTCTATGATAGATATTGAACCATGTTCTTATCATAATGGATACTGTATTGCCACTATTAACAACAATAATTAATGTTAATAATTTATGAATAAAGTTTAATGTTAAAAATAATAGAGTGAATGTTATTATGATTTAATGGATTGCAAATAAATTGATAATCCTACTTTATATTCAACATTAAATTGTAATGGATTAACATAAACTGTGTGTATAAAGAATCAAAAATAACCATGTATTTGGTATGAAAATTAATGTTAATTGTATAAACTTTAATATTTTGATGTTTGTGATAACTCAGTTAATGAAAAAGCTTGTTAATAAAAAATACATAATGGTAAATTAAGTAGTTAACATTTTTGTGAATATGATACAGTTTTAAAAAAGTGTTTAAAAAACACTAATACCATTGTTGACTGTGGATCAAACTTAAAAATCAATCTACATAGATGTGTCTCCTTTACTCAATCAGATTGTTATTTTTATAATCATCAGTGTAAGTAATTATCTACTGATTCTAATTATAAAGATTTATAGTTAAGTACACTTAAATGTTCATAAGTTAATACTAATATTTGTTAAAAAATTAAAACTCCAGATTAAATATGCATTATTCTTAATCAAGGAACATTTAGTACTTGTATAGATATTTCTCTTACTTAATAATATGCTAATTTATATACATGTTTAGAAATTAATACTAATTTGAATGGAAGTCCTAGTATTTGCAGTTTAGCAACTGATAATTGTTATTATGATTCTGTTGATAATATATGCAAAATTTAAACTGATACAAATATTATTTATAAATGTGATGATTTGATTAGTAAATCCTTATGTTTAACATAGACTAAATATTAATGTATCTTTACAAAAAATAAATGCAAATATTATAATAATTCATATAATAATATTGATTGTTAATTCAGAAATATATACAGTTGTGAAACCAGTGGAAAGAATTGTCGTTGGAACTCAATTGATAAAATATGTGAAGATTCACCAAATTATTGTCCTCTTACTTATATTTAAAGTCATAAAGTATGTCAAAATGGAAGGGGATATTGTTTTAATGGGGTTAATGGATGTATCTTATAAGAATTACATAAAGAGTTACCTTGTAACATTGCCTTAAGTTAATAATTATGTGTTAGTTAAAATCATTTATGTTTATGGATAAATAATAAATGTTCTTTTTATCCTTCTCATATTAAGTATTGTTATTAATTGTAGACTTAATAAGAGTGTCTCTCAATTCAACATCTTAGTTGTGTTTTTTATAAATCTTAATGTTTAGAAGATAGTACTTTAAATTAGATATCTGATTATTATGATGCTGAATCATATTAATATTGTTTTAATATGTAAATGAATTTATATTCTAATTCTTAATAATGTATTTAAGTATTAGGGAATTTAGAGCATCAATAAAATGATATTGAAAATACTTTTAATATGTAATGTTAGTAAACATCTAGTATGATTACTTGTATTCATTAAAGATCTTCAAAATGTACTTTTAATCAATAGAAATGTATAACAAGTACTTTAACATCTTGTATCTAAGAAGAGGGTATATTCCATTCTCCATAAACTTGTTTATCAATACCTAACTGTTTTTGGTATTCTAATAAAGTCGGATAAGGATTTTGTTATTAAAATCAATTAAGTTGTGATAATATCTAATTAAAATCATTATGTCTGAGTGATTTTGGACACAATTGTAAATATGAGAGTAATAAATGTTAAAATGCTATTTTTACAGATTGTGATTAAATTCAAAATATTTAGGTAAATTATAAAGTCTGTTAATAATTGCAACCTAATTGTTTTTACGATTTTGAAAATAATTTATGTAAAAAAGTTAATAGAAAGATAGTAGAATGTACAGATGCATTGAATTTTTATGATTGTGTATATGCTTATAAAAAGAATTGTTTAGTACAATATGATATTGATAATAAATATGTATCATGTCAAAGCATAAGTCCTAACTCATTTAATGCAAATAATAACCTAAATTCTTGTATGGAATTAACTGTTAATCCATATAAATATAATTTAAAAACTTATACTTGTGTTATTGTGAATAATGAATAGGAAATTGAAGGTTGTTCAAATATTAATCAAATTTCCTGTCTAAAATTAACTAAATAATTTTAATGTATTTGGTATAATAGTATTTGTTAATAATATTAATTACAAGATGACTTAGAATGTAACCAATTAAACTATTAAGTTTGTTTAATTTAAAGCTTGAAATAATGCATATGGTTAAATGATGAATGTGTAGTATTTAACAATCAAAGTGATCCTGGTATACTATATTCATAAGGTTATTGTTAAGGAAAGAGTGAATATTGGAATAGTTTGAGTAATAGCTGTTTTCCAAAGAATAGTGATTTAGTGATAATTTAATGTGATAATTTTGGATTGGATAAATAATCTTGTCTAAATTAAAATTATATTGAATGCTATTGGAATCTTTAAAAATGTACATCAATAATCAATAAAGTCAATCTTACATGTGATAATATTTCAAATTATAATTGTGATACTGATTTTAATTGTAGATGGAATACAGGTGCAAATGAATGTTAGGATTATTCTGATACTAATTTAGAGTGTTCTGATTATACATATCATAGTTGTATAGAAATAAGTAATAAAAATTGTTTGTTTAATTATTCATAAAATAAATGTTAGGAAATATAGATAAATTCAATAGTCTTATAAAATTGTAATGAATACTTAAGTTTTCAATTATGTAGACTTGTAAAAAACAAGATTTGTACTATTTATGATAAAGTGTGTTAAGAATGGACTCCACGATTATTTGATTGTATGTATATCTAAAATCAATATGGTTGTATGTATGCTCCAATGGCATGTTAATGGTTAAATAATTAATGTTAATATATTGATCTAGAAAATAAGGTTTTATGTAAAGATTTACCAAAATCCTATAATAAAAGGAGTTGTCAATAATAAAGTATTGATGATTGTGAATTTGATGATATTTAATTATAATGTTCTTAGAAGATAATAAGAATGGAAGATATTAATAATGTTCATTTAGGAAATATGTTGGATACTAATCTTTATTTATGTGAAGATTAATTGAATTATAATGATTGTATAAGCAATTTTAAATAATAATGTTAATGGTTAAATGATGAATGTGTTTAAAGTGATTTAAATTAATGTATGAATCAAAGTTACTTGAGTTGTTTGAATAATAAATCAAATTGTAAATGGAGAAATAAGAGATGTTATTAATTTGATAATAATGAGAATATAGAAGAAATTCCAATACTTATTAGTCCAACAGTTTGTAGTATATTCATAAGTGATAAAAAACTCAAATATTCTGAAACTGTATTTTCATGTATTTTAAGTGATTCTGAAATTGATGATTGTGATACTATTGGTCTTAATGATAATGCTTGTTATAATATTAAGAAATCTAAATGTAAATTTACAAACAATATTTGTTCATTTTATTAATTAGATGTTTAATATTCAAATTGTTCATAATATAAGAATATTAATTCAAAAGTATGTTCAAGTTTATAGATTTCATGTAAATATGATGAATCATTATATTAATGTGTATCTGCAACTAATACAGATTTCTGTACTACCAAAGGTCTATCTAAGAAAGCTTGTTTATCAATAACAACAGAACCTTGTTATTGGAATAATGATATATGTTCTCTATTTATTGCTGATTAAAATATTAATTAATGTGATAACTACACATAAACAAATAGTCTAGCTTGTTAATATATAGATTATTAATAATAGACTTGTACTTATGATATTATAAATCATGTTTGTACTAATATTTACAATAGATTTTAAAAATGTACATAACCAGGATTAAATAAATATGCATGTGTTGGACTTTTGTATGAGCCATGTTAATTTGTGAATAATTAATGTACTCCTTTTACTAATAAAACTTCAATTTGTTATGGAATTGAAAATGTTAATTCATTGGCTTGTTCAATTTAAGTTTTAGAAAAATGTAATTATTAAAAAGCCATATTCAGTTGTTATGGAGTACCTTTAAAAATACCCTGTAATTCATTAGGAATAAATTAAGTTGCATGTGGATTATAAGCAAATTGTGTATGGGATCATGATACTACATCCTGTTTGTATAAGACTACTCCAAATATTAATATGTGTTTTTCATTAATAGAGGATAGTTGTATTTAAAATCGTAGTTGTTATTATGAAAATAATTAATGTAGATTAAAGAGATGTTTAGATTTAAATGAAGAAGAATGTATAAGTATAGGATCTTTAAATAATGAGATTTGTTATTTAGATGTATTTAATAAATGCTAGATTGCAAAAGAATGTGAGGATATTGTATTACTTAATGAAAAATTAAAATGTGATACTATCTACTTTAATTAATCTTCATGTTATCAAATAAATAATAATTGTGTTTCATCATAAGCACTTGATAAGATCTGTCCATAAACAGATTGTTCAAAATCTTTTTGTGTTAAAGATAATCATATATGTAGAGCTCCTATTTGTTCTGATTTTGATTCAAATAATTGTCCCAATAATAATTGTGCTTACATGAATGGATAATGTACATAAATTACTACATGTTCTGATATTCATGAACTCTAAATATGTAATTTAAGTACTATTAATAATCAATAATGCTCATGGTAACCATCAGCATTAAGAGTTGGACCATATCATTGTACAAATAAACCCTGTTAGTAAGTTTATTAATTATTATTATTAGTTTATTTGGATCATCATGGTAATTTTGCTAAGGGAATGAGATGAATGATTAGACTTGTTTTGTTACAAAATATGCTTAATGTGAATCATGTGAAGAATAGATAGATCAAGCTACTTGTTTAGAATAGAAACTTTGTACTTTTACCAATAATAAATGTAAATCAATTTTGTGTAAGTATTTTACTAATGAACAAATGTGTGTAGCTGCATAAAGATGTTATTGGAGTTAAATAGATTAAGTTTGTAGAAAGAATTGTGAAAAAATAGTTGAATAAGAATAATGTGATATCCTTGATTATGAATGTACTTGGAATCGATTCAGTTATATATGTGAAAATGGGCCTTAATAAAATCCAGATCTTAGTTACTTTATAAATGAATCAGATACTAGTGCCAGCATCATTAAATTAGTTTTGATCATTTGTCTATTTTATTATTGAAATCTTTTTAGTTTTCGTATATTATATTGAAATTTTATATACTTTTATATAATAATGAAACAATCTAATAATCATCTATACTAACCATAACAATCTTTATATGTATCAATCAAATTAAATCATATAGTTACCAAGAACATAAAAAGATAAAATAAAACATTAACCAAAACTTTAATTACTCAAATCATTATTAAAAGATTAGAGTATAAGTTAACTAACATAGAAATCTCAAATTTCAAATAGTAAACTACACAGAAGAATCCAAAAAATTTAAGTGGAACCTGAACTTAAAGTAGATGAATTGAAAGAACATAAATGGTAAATACTTTCATAAAATTGTTAATACTTATTAGAACTAAGTAGATAGATTCTTGACAAACCTAATTAGTATCAAAATATCATTTATTAATAGTGAATTATTGTATAGATCTACTTCCAACCCAAGACTAAATTCTATACTTCTAGAACATGATTAAGTACTCAAATCCAATATTAATTCTAATTAAAAAAAGAACATCAATAATTAATAAATCAATCCTTTATAAACTAAATTTGCATTAATTTAGAACTCTAAAAAAAGATCTTCAAATAAATCCTTTATTTATAACAATAATGTAAATGTTATTGTAGCTGATAAACCATTTCTCAAAAAACATTAAAGTTTGCATGTCTCACCAACTCATTAATCCATTAATATGTCTCAACCTTCGTAAACATCAACCTAATTCTTTTTTGCAAAGCTCAATCAAGTCTCATCTAATGCATTTAATCTATAAAGAAGATTAAAAAAAGAATAATTTGATGAGATAAAACAGACAAATGAAAAAGTTATATGTATAAGATCAGACTTTGATAAATTCTCCAAAATGTTAAATGAACCTGAATAAAATTGATATATATCTTTTAGTAATTTAAATTCACTATATATTTCTATAAATATAAATTGATTATCTTTATAAGAATTAGCATATCAAAATTCAAATATTATTATTATTTAAATCAATAGTTGAATATATTTCATTATTATTTTAGAAAGATAATTATTTAGTTTAATTTTGATAAGATTAAATATTCTCAAATTTTGGGTATCATTATAATAAAGAACATCTATAGTTTTTAAAAAATTAATTAAGAAATTAATCTCTTTTAAATTTTGTTAGATAATGAAATTAATTAAGTGATTTATATAGTTGTTTTAATTTATTTAAATATTTTACTAAGAAACTTTGATTTATACATATATAAAAATTATCATTCCCAATTACTTGGTGGGATTGTATTTAATTTAATTTACAATTTTTCAACTTTTCCATATTTCAGTTCAATATCATCTCTTGTTGCATTTGTAAGAGCAGTATTTAATAATTCTACTTCCAATTAATCAACTTTTGGGAGAGATTATTCTAAAAGTAAAAATATATCTTTGATTCCCTTATCAGTAATTTAATTTTAACTTACTCTTAAGTCGACTATCTAAATATAATAAAATATATATATATACTTTTGGTGATTTAGCATTTTTGACAGCTCTAGCTAATTCAAGAGCACCTCTATCAGATAATGAATTGAAATTCATATTGACACTTAATTATTATAAATTTTTTTAATATTGAATTCCTTCAGCAATAAATGTTGCTCCTGCATCACCTATATAATTTTCAAGGAAATTAATTTTCAATGATTTTAATTTATCATGTTTAAATAAAGTTTATTTTAATAATTCTGCTCCTGGTAATCCACATTTATTGACTCCAATTATCAATTCTAAATTTTCCAAAGGTGGTAATTTTTCAATTGCACTTACAACTGATTCATAACCATCCCAACCAAAATTCTTGGAAGCAACATTTACAGATAAATCTTTAAGTTTCTTTAATTATTCTAATGCTTTTCCAACTTATCTACCTCCATCATTAGTTATATAATTAAATTCCAAACCTAAATTTAAAGATGTCAAATTTTCCATAGTACCTACAACTCCCATTAAACTTTCTGTTCCATTTGCTGTAATATTATTAAAATATAGATCAATTCCAAATTCTTTCAATTATCTTTATTAAAATAATCCTCCACTCAAAGTAACTGCTCCATCAATTTATATTTTATTTGCATATAGATTAAGATTTAATTTGTTTAATTTTGGTAATTTATGCAAAATTGTTTATAAATGTTTCATTTCTTCTTCTTTTAATTTACTACCAACTAATAAAAGTTCTAAAAACTTTAAATTTCTTAATTCTGTCAATGGATAAAGTGATTTCAATCCATCTCCAGATAAATCACAATTAATTAGAGATACATGTAATGAAGTCAATCCAGAAATATTAGTTAATCCCTTAAAAATTATTTCTCTACTTTAATAATTGAATAAAGATTCTAATCCTAAATTTAATGTATTTAATTTTGTGAGTTTAGCTAATGCTTAATTCAATGATTAAGCCTATTATTATTCATTTAAAATTGGATTGTGGCCAATAAAAAGTGATACTATAATAAATATTTAATTATTCTTACATTCATTTAGATTATTTAGATTCTCTAAACTAGCAAAGAAATCTCTAAAATCAGTAATTTAATTAATTGATAATTATGCATCTAATTTAGTTGTCTATGGATTTTAAGAAAGGACTTTTGAAAGTGAGGAAAGTTATAAGTTTTACAAATTTAAGCCATTATTTTGCATAATGATTTCTGATTATGAATACATAAATAATACCATTTCCTTTAATTTCATATTAGACCTAAGAAGTACGATCAAAATATAATTTAATATTGTAGGCTAATAGAACTCCTACTAAAATCCACATTATGTTGTTGAAAATAGATGATGATCTCTTTTATGTTTACTCTTCTTTTTTTTGCATATATTTTAATTTTTTAATGAATTCATCTAAATTCATTTTAATGTCATTTAATAAACCTATGACATCACAGTATAAAAAAATTTATTTAATTATATATAAATAAATTACTTATTCTAGAATTTATTGAATAAAAATAAAATTATTAATATAAAATTCTATTTATATAAGTAATATTTTAGAAATATTTAAAATATTTTCAAATATATATATATTAAGTCATATTATTTTTATTCAACATCTTATTTCTATTTATGATTCAATTGGAGAAATATTTGAAATATCTAATGAACTGAACCATGAGTGATTTTTTAATTAATCGAAATTAGAACCTATTCTTTAATACACATTCTTATTGATCAATTATTTCATTAAACTTTTACCTTATTCATCTTTATAACTATCAGGAAACTCTAATTCAGATGAACCTATAATTTCTTCATAAATCTAATATGGATCATCTAATGCTTAACCATAAGGTACTGATTCAAATAATAATTCATATAAACAAACACCTAAACTCCAGACATCACTATTACAATCATATCCTCTTCCTTCAAGTATTTCTGGAGCCATATAATGTGGAGAACCAATAATTGTATATGTTCTTGAGGCTTGTTTAGCATTTAAAAGATTTATCAAATAGACATTTGCTTAATAATCAATCAAAAAATTATCTAATTTAATGGATCTACAAATAATAGAATTTTTATAGCAAGCATCTAAGATTGATATCATTTATAGTATTGATGATTAAATTTAAGGTAATGTTAATCTTCTTTCTGATAAAAGTGTACCATCAATAAATTAAAATAAAAAATAATAGGATGTATTATCTTCATAGAATTGATAATATTTAGATACATTAGGACATTTTAAAATTTCGAATATTTTTTTTTATGATTTCATTCTTCTTTCCTATTATGTTTTTTGTTGAGATTATTTATTGATCTATCTGAGAATATAATTTTATTATTTAAATTGAACCAAATTAATTATATTATTAGAATTTCTTCTTATGATTTATAGTTATTTTAATTCTATGAATCTAGGTTTACATTTTATAGATTCATCATCTGAACTTTCTTCTATAATATAATCTTCTATGTAAAGAGAATCTCTTTAAATTATTGCTATAGTACCATTAGCAACATAAAGTGAATTATCAAATTAATCAGAAATGAATTCTCCTAATTTTAAAGTTTCACCTTCACAATCAACAGATCCATCAACTATTATACTTAAATCTTCATGAATTTATCTTTATTTTATTGATTCATTGTTATATATTTTTAATTTATATTATTCTTTTTCTAAAATCTTCTCTATTTCTAATCCAGGTATTTCTATTTCAATCAATACATGTCTTATAATTGCTTAATAAATTTATTTTTGAATATTGAATCCAATTACTTCAATTAATTTAGGTTATGTAAGTATAAGACATTGTGTTTCTATTATAGCTCTGACTTTTGTATTTTTAGGTTTATTCAATTTATATAAAGTACCATATGTATCTCTTCGAGAAAGAGTCTTTGAAAATTTATTGCCTTTAAATAATGAAGCTTCTCCATTTTTAATAATTACAAAGGCATCATCTGAAAACATTACTTAATTTTTTTGATATTGAACTGGTAATATATTTGCAGCAATTCCATCTAATTAATTTTAGCTGAAATATTAGAATAAATATTATTATTATAAGAATGCTCTATTAGTAACAAAGGATTGAGTTGTAATATATTAAATTGCTTTATTGAATTGTATTCTATCTAAACACCACATATATGTGTCTTCAATAGCTTCAATAAATTTAATTGATCCTAATAACAAATTATCTTCACCAACAATAGAACCTGGTTGAAATAGTGTGAAATTCTATGTTTTTAATTAACCTTTATCAATAAGGAACATACAAGATGGAGCATTAATATTCTAGTATAAATGATGATTTTATTTGATCAAACAATAGAACATATGTTTAATAATGTTCTAGATAGATTCTTCATTCAATTAATAAAATATATAGTGTTTCTTCAACACTTGAGTGATGAATTAACAATCAAGCTATGATTTGCCTTAATTAAGTATTGTCACATTTTCTCTTATTTTAGAATTCCTATAGCAAACAATAGAGCTTGTTGACATTGATTTAGTCAATTTAGGTTTTCCAGCCTTACTAGAGATGATAGTAGTTTATTCAATTGAAGATGTACATCCCATTAATCCGTTAATAAATAATCAAATTGCATAAATTTTAACAAGATAATAGATTTAATCATCATAATTTAACTAAGTGAATTCAATTAATTATTATAATAAGTATATATTATAATATACTTATTTAAATAATCGTTAGATTAAATATATATATATTTTGTAGTCAAATATATTTGATAATCAAGCAGGTTTATTGCATAATGGACATTTATGAACAGCATTGATCCATCTTTCAATACATTCTGTATGAAATTTATGAGTTTAATGACATCCTAATCTTGTTATATTTTATTTCATATCCAAATATTATAAACATATTGCACATTCTATTTTTTCCATAGATTATTTTTATTTTTCTTTGTTTTCTCTTTTAGATCCAATACTTTATTTGATGAATGATTTAAGATTTACAAAATATTCATCATCAAAATTTCTACCTTAAAGTTATAATTAAAATTTCTTATCTTCAATCCATTAAGTTAAATTAATTAATTGACCATTTCTTGGTCTAATCTTTAATTCTAATTAAGAAGATTAATAAATTAAATTGTCATAGATTTCTTATAATGCTTCTAAATCATGTATAAAATATAAAAAATCTGTTTCTTAATTATCATAAATTGGATAATCTTATTAATTTTGTATCCATTATAAACGATTATCTTATGTTTAAACTTAATTGAAATCAAAAATCTATATTTATTCTTCCTCTTTATTAACACAATAACTTCGAAATAAGAGGAAATAGATAAGTTATAGAAATGTAAATAGATATATAAAATGTTCATAAGAACAAAATTATTATATTCCAAATAAATCAGTGTTTATTATTGTTAAATAGGGTTTCTCAAGAAAGAATGCTATATATGTACACAATAGGGAAAAGAAGTAAAGTCCCTTAAGTATACAATTTTATGTTGTATAACTTAGGTAAAGTGACTAAAATAAAGTCATATAACATTTAAAATATTTCTTTGATTATTAAGTAATAAGTGTTCTTTTTATTAAATATGAAACATAGGTGAATTAAACAATCATTATAAATGCATAGAATAAACTAGTTAAATAAGTATATTAAAATCTTTCTTCATCTAAACAAAGAAATATAACATAGAGTATTAATTTACAAACATAATATGTAATTAATACAATAGCAAATGCAAATGCTGATTCCTTTACTTAATTAGGTGCTTAAATAATATATATATATATATTAATACATGGATAACGGTAAAAGTGATATCGTTTTGGATTTTTTGTTACTAGTTTTATATTACAACATCCTAACCAACACTTTCTGCAAACATATATTATAATTGTTGCTGCTACTATATAATTAACAATAGCTAATAATGATCCAATCACAATTTTTGAATTTATTAAGAAAGCACTAATAATCAAAGAAATGATGAAAAATTAAACATTTAATAATCTAAAAAGGTTATATTTTTCTGTATTTGTAATTGCATTAATTGTATTCATACTAGATGCAAATGCATTTGGATTCATTACTATTGATTCATCTTAATGCTTTTCTAACTCAGTTGAAATTCTTCTGAGATCCTATAATATTAAAATAAAGTAAGGAATAAAGAGAACATAAGTGAAAGTCAAAACTACTAACATCCAAATATATTCTACTTCTTCATCAATATTTGTAAATATTCCTACCATTCCAATTATTGCAAATATTATCATAAATAGTACTCCCATCATTATACCACAAATACTACTCTTTACAACATCTTTTGGATCTTCATCTCTTACATGTATTGAAGGAGTCCTAAGAGAAAAAGAACGATGCTCTCTTATGTGCATTGAAGCTGCTATAAGAATCATATTATTTATCTATAAAATATATATATCAACAAATTAGATTTTCTAATTCCTATTTCATTAGAAGGTGAATGGATTATTTAAGAGCTTTTTAAATCTTGATAAATGGCTAAATTTAAACTCTAATCTTACATTAAATTATGTTTTCAAATCTTTCCAACCGCTTATTAACTTATCAAATAAAATATCTTATTTCATATTTGGATTCCAATAATGAACATCATAATTAACACTTAATGCTGCTTATTATATACCTACATCCTATATATATAAATATAATTAAATATATTTACATCATTAATCATTTCTAATAATCCTATTAAATTTGGATCTTATACATTATTTTCTAATTTTGTAATTATAACCTATACTTATGGTTCATAATGATTTTCATGAACTGCATTCATCATAATTGAAATTTAAGTTTCCCAAAAATTCTAATTATCATCTTAAAAATGTTAAAATGTTAGATATGCTTATAGTAATTCTAATTCTTATAAATTTACATCTGCTTATATTGGTATCATTTTACAAATTATTATAATTGGAATTAATTTTTAAAAATTACTTGCCATTTTATAAAAATAATTATGCATATCCAATTATTTTGCAATTTTTGAAAAATGATGTAACACTGATAATACATTTGAAAAATTTCTTTTTAATATTAAATCCAATAATATTGAAGCCAAAGAAGCCATTGCAACGTATTATATATATTCTTAAGATAATCTATGAAGTTCATTTTATTCTTCCAAACTCAAAAATTCTGTTGGTCTCTTAAATTCATTAAATTATGCCTTAAATCTATTCATTATTTAATTTTAAAACTATCTCATAATTCTTATATTTTACTTTTTCGCTAATATATCCACCAAAAAAACCTTATTTATCTTAATTTACATCTCTCAATGCTGAATCTAATATTGCCCATTTTAATATATTATCATAACAATCTTTACCCAACACAACCATTTTACTTTTAATAAACATTGGAAAATTCAATGTTATCAATGGCTTATATACTTCTTATTGTACAGAATTAGAAATAATTCGATATTGCTCATTAATAAATTAAAATCTTATTTAATAAGACTCAATTAATTTCTCTATAATCCTTGAAAATTTATAATCCTCTATTTCATTTTAGAATAATTAATTCTCTTTAGCTAATTATTCTCTTTATATGTAATTTAAGAAACTTCCATATTTATCATTTAAATATCCCTATTCTGAACTTATTCTGTATTTTCTCATTGGAGACTCTAATTCTTATTTTACAATATCTATTCTAGTATATATTAATAAATATGCATTAACACCTGTTTTCATACCAAAAGCATCTTAAAATACTTTCTCTTTTGTCTCTACACATACATGAATATCATTGAATTTAAACCATGTTTCTAAACGAAAATCTTTAATGTAGGTGTAATAATGTCCAGAATCTAATAATATAGAATATAAAATTACTTGCTTAACCATCATGTATTAAAATAGATTGAAGTAGATATTTATGTTTTTTTAAATCATTGTAGCTAGCTTATATTTTCTTTTCAAGATCATCATATTGATTTTATAATAATTGCTTTTTCCTTTATACTTTTTAATTATATTATTGTAACTAATCAATAACTGGTTATTAATCTGATTATCCAAAATTAGCAGCATGATCAATATTTTATTAGTTTTACATTTCCAAAAATTTTATTGCATTAGTTAATACATCTTATAAATCATGTTGTTCATTAAATTTAGTTAATTATTATTAACTTAATTTAATTTACTTTTATTTTGATTTAAATTCTTTATTTTATATTCTAGTTTCCAAATATTTCTAACTATTTTCCATTAAAAATCGATCCAAATATATTTCTTCATCAAATATAAACTCATCATTTTATTTAATTAAATCATCTAAATATAATATTCTTTAACAATTTTACTTTTATCTTTGCAATAAATAACTCTCTAAATTTGAAATGATAATTTTTAAGGTGGTTAATGTATCCAATTATATTTAACTGCTTAAACTGTTTCATTTAAATCATTTTTAAAATCATCAATATTATTAACAACAAAATTATCAAAACTATCATATAAATTTCCATCTTTCAAATCAAGTGGTATATAATTAAAAAGTTCTGTACTTTCTCTAATTTATTGATTACCACCTTATTCAAATTGAAATTGATGAAAAACTTTACACATAAATAATTTTGAAACAATATCTTCATCATGAATAATAGATGACTTTTACTTTAAAATAGATGGAGAAGATTCAATATATATATCTTCCACTTTATTGCTTTCTTATTTAGTTTATGTAAGTGCTTCTCCAATTCTACTTAAGAAATAATGATTAAATTCACCAACATCTTTCTAATCCCCTATTGGAAGAACATTTCCAAATTCATCACAGATACTTTTAACAACATCTGATGGATCTACATACTTTTTATCACTCCCAATCATATTTATGAAGAGATTTTATAGATTTTATACTAATTATATTGATTTACTTTATTTCCCTTATTCAATTTAGAAATTTATGATAGTCTTCACAAATTGACTATCAAAAAAATATGTTTAGAGCAAACCATTAAAATAACAAGTATTCCCAACATTCTTTAAACCACATGGTATTCCATCAACTCTCTTCCTTTATTCAGGTGAAATGATTTCAAATTGTTAAGATCCTGTCTATTGATTTGTTTTATATGAATCAAGTAATGCTTATGTTAATTGTATTTCTTCATCTTATTTCTATACACAATATTAAAAAAAATCATACATTTGATGTTTATTGCATTTACTAATTTTAATTTGATAAAGAAATGAGTGTGTCCATCATTTCTGATTCTGTATTAATTACTTCCCATGCCATATGAATTAATTCAACTGAAAAACCCATTTAAACATATTGATCTATTAATTCCTTTTAAATTTATGTTTTCATTTTATTAATAATAAATATGTTAATTAACAATCAAAACAAATTTTTATAATGATTTAGATTATATATTGAAAATTAGATAGAATATAAAGATCATGATATAAATGAATTAATGGAATATAATAAATAATCTAAAAAGGAATTAATATTTATTAATGAATTATTTACTGTGTTTCATAGAGTTAAATCATTAAATATACTATAATTCATATAGTTAAAAATAATTAGATTAAGTCATTAATGTAATTAGTGATATAGTGTAAATATAAATTTAGACAATTTAATTTGTATATGATTAGTTTTTGATGATGATTAAAGTTTGGATTAGAATAATGAATTGAAAATATGAGTTATAAATTAATAGTATTCCTATTATTAAGTATCGTTATTTTAATTAAAATGGAAGAGCTTATTTGTCCGTAATGCCGTAATATATTCAATGAATTCGAGAATATTCCTTTAATGTTACCTGATTGTGGACATACGATCTGTTAAAAATGCATAAAATAGATGTTGATGAGTGCTGATGGTTAGCAGATATGTTGTCCTGAGGATAAGTAATTCTGACAATGAGATATATAAAGTATTCTTGCAAAGGGGAAGACACATATAACAGAGTTTCCAAAGAATTGCTAACTTTTAAAAATGGTTGTGAAGTAAAGACCATCAATAGATCATCCAGAATATTAGTTACATTTGAATAATTTGGCTTAAGAGAAGATTGAATTATGTGCAGAACATTTGGAGAAGTTAGAGATAGTATGTTTGACTGATAAGATTCGAATATGTACTAAATGTGCTTTATTTGGTAATCACAGACATCACGAGGTTCGTTCAGTTGATGATGTAGTTAGAGAGATTGCTTCGAAAGCTGAGAATATCATGTAGACTTATTAGAAAATCTTGGATAAATAATAAGAGTTGACAGAATCTAAGTTTTATGAGTCATTGAATGAAAAATATTAGATTATGTTGTAAGAAAGTCAAATGGCAGTAAGAGAGAAATTTAAAGAATTGCATAATCAGTTGGATATTAAAGAGAATAAATTATTGGAATAATTGAATGGTTTAACATAAACTTTGGAATAACAAACTAAAAGATAGATCAAGGATTAAATTTAATAAAGTTTATAATAAGCAGAATTATGGAAGATAGGAGCAAAAGATAGATTACTTTATTTTTCTACTAAGACTGAAAATGGTGAATTACCATTAGATTTACTATATAATTAAGAATTTAAAGGGAATGCTATATTAGATGAAATGGATAGAACTAATAAAATGTTGGAATAAAGAATTAATAATGTGAAAATTAAGAAAATTAGAGTAGATTTTAAGAAAAATGAGATAGAAAAGTGTTTCGAATCTATGTGTGCATTAACATTGTAAACTAATCATAATGAAACAAATCATGTAGAAAATAGTTTTAGTAAATTTGATTAAGAAGAACCTTTACTTTTAAGAGATAATTCTGTAGCTGATTGGACAGATAATGAAGATAATTTGATTTCTTAAGTTAATCATGTAGTATCAAATTCAATGCATGAATTAAAATAGACATCATAATTATAATAAGCTAAAAGTCCTGTTAGAACAGAACCATCTATTCATAGTTTGTAATCAACAACTCCTTTGAAATAGTTAAAATAAAAGAGTCCTAGTAAAGATGCTACTTATAATTCATCTTTATAACCACCTCCTCCTGTTTCTTTGTTGAGATAAGGGATATCTCCTACACCTAAATTACAAGATAAAAGAAAGAAGACTTTTAAAATTAATGATAAATTTGAACCTATCATGCAGGCTTTTCGAAATGATAATTTAGAAATTGTAGATTTATCTAATGCAGGTAAGATATAATTTTTTATTATTTAAGAATTGGGAGATGAGGGTTGTAATATTATTGCAGAATAATTGAAAATATGTAAAAAAGTTAAATAATTGAAATTAGCAAGAAATAAGATTAGTGATGATGGTGCTAATATTATATTATAGGCTTTAACTTAGAATGCAAATATAACATCTTTACATCTTTCTTCAAATTTGATTTCAGAAAGAATACTTGATATCATTCTTAATATAATTAAGATTGGACAACTACCAAAAAATATTTATTTATCACAGACTCTAATTAATGCTACAAAAGCTAAAAAAAGAATTGAAGAATTAAAGAAATTAGGATATATAGTGAATATTTGATTGTTGTTTGAATATAAATTATAATTAATATATATATATAAATGATGAAGCTTCCTTAAAGTTATAGAGATCCAAAGATCTTCAATAATAAATATATTATTAAACAATAGATATCCTCTGGATCATTTGGTATAGTGTATTTAGCATTCGATAAACATACAAGAGAAGAAGTTGCTGTAAAAGTAGAAAAGGAAGAAAATGAAGATGCAAGTTCTTTAGACAGGGAAATTGCTATTCTAAATCGTCTTATTGGTGTGCCTGGAGTTCCTAAATTATATTGGAGTGGTTTTGAATAAGATTATAATGTTATTGTCATTCAACTACTAGGAAAGGATCTTAGTCATTATATTAAACAATATAAGAAATTGAGTCTCAAAACTGTATTGCAAATTACTCACTAATTATTGATTACTTTACAATAAGTTCATGAAAAAGGGGTTATTCATAGAGATTTCAAACCTGAAAACATACTTACAGGATATCAATTAGATAATGGAATAATTTATTTGGTTGATTATGGAGTATCTAAAGTCTATATAGATAATTAAGGAAAACATATGTATAATTTAAAAATCTATTTATATATTTTAGTCCATCTAAAGATAAAAAGTCTTTTATAGGTACAACCAGATATGCTTCAATTGCTGCCCATCGAGGTCATGAGTTAGGTAGAAAGGATGATGTTGAGTCCATGTTCTATGTGATGATTTATCTCTTAAAAGGGTAGAGTGAACTTTTCATATTATAGCAAATTGCCTTGGTAAAATTTACAAAATATTGGACATAGAGACAGAACTTCATTAGTTGGAGAAGTTAAAATGAAAACTGATATTGCAGAACTTTGTAAAGAAATTCCTTCTGAATTTGCTGAAATTCTGAAGTAACAGCCTACTAAAACATAGTTATCTAAAAAAATTAGAATTTAAATCAGAGCCCGACTATAAGTATATGAAATCTCTCATTCTTAAAGCTGCATCCAATAACCAAATTATTATGGATAAGGTTTTTGAATGGTCTGATCGTTCTACCAAAATTAAAGATTAAATTATATGGGCTGTCTCTGAAGATAAACATAAACAATCTTCTTAAGCTATCTTAGGTTCAAATCATTTGTTAAAGCCTCCTGAAGTAAATAGATAAAATGGTGGAAGTCCTGTTAGAGCTGAATCTAAAAGAATGACTAGTACATCAATTTAGGGATCTATGTCATCTATGATTATTAAATATGTGCCTTCTTAGGTTGAGAATACAAGTATTAAAGATGAGAAAAGGTCTAGGAGTAAAAAAAGTAGGAAAAGCAAGAAAAGTGCCAAATCTTCAAAAAGATAATCAGTAGGTTTTCATAGTGGAATATAAATAATTGAGCCTAAGGATTAATATAGAGTAACATTAATGAACCTTATTCTCAGCGCTATAAAACCATTGATTCTACTTGGGGGTTTCATTAATATATGGATGAATTTAGTGGAGATGAAGATTCTTAGAAATTGTCTACAAAGTATCAATAATTGTAAGGAATGCCAGTCCATTTTAAAAATATTCATAAACCTACTTCAAAATCATGAAATTATAATAAGTAATTATTATTATTTATAAATTCTTAAGAATAATTTATTTTATGTATATAAATATTTCTTATTAACTAAATACTAAATTAATGTATGCTAAATGGCGTAGGACTAGTTAACAAAAATATCCAGATCTTTCTTAACATTATAAAAACTAAATTATAACAAGAAGACGTTCATGTTATTGTGATAATTGTGGTAAACTAAGTTAATTTTAACAAATTCATTAAAATAACGGATGGGTGCCATTGTAAATTTAAATTGATGAATCTAAGAAAGAAATAGAATAATAGAAAACATAGAGTGATGAAAAATAATAAATCAGTAAGAATTCAAGAACTATGTCTACATCAATTAGTCAAGCACCTTCATTTTATAAAAATTAAGACTAAAAGCCTAGACGTAATAGTTGTAATTGTTAAGAATGTGGGTCAATGTCATAATTTCAAATTCAACATAAAGATGTCCCATTTAAAAAATAGAAAAAATCTAGAAAACTTTTTGTAATAAAAAGGAAAAATTTAACACATAGTCGAACAATCCAACTAGAATAAATGTAAAGTAGAAGTAGGATTGATCCAAAATAATTGATTTAATAAAAAAATTAAATGATGAGTTTAAGACATATAGATATTTAACATAGAAGACTTAGAACTGAATGCATGAGTTTAAGTTAGATTGTTCTTCCTGCAATCAAAGACTTCTCATGCAGATAGATTAAAAAGTAATTGTGAAACGATTAAATATATATTATAAAACTATTTTTTAATGCTGATCATAAAATAATAACGAAATCTTCTACGTAAAACAACTCTAAAATAATAATTCATTCCATCATCCCCATAAACATAAAGAAGAGCAAGTTGTTATTGTGATTAATGTGGCAAACTTACACATCTCTAATCACTATTCTTCAACACACCATTAACAGTTCAGTAACATCTTAAGTCTGATCAATAAACATCTCTTAAGTTAACATAAATCAGAAAATAAATATCAACTAGTTTTCATTTATATAATCCATAAAAGATGGAAATGCAAAAAAGAATAAAAAGAAGAAAGAGTTGTAATTGTAATCTATGTGGAAATCAAACAACCTTTCATTAAACAACAAATTATAAGATACCTAAAAGATAGGCAATACATTAAGACTCATATAGAAATTTCATCATTAAAAAATAACTTGGCAGAGTCTTTAAAGAAATATCAGACCATAATTTAATTGAATAATCAACAATAACTTCTCGTTCTAATAGAGATGCAAAACTTAAATGTAATTGTAAATCCCCTTTGCTAATTAAACATGAGATGTCAAGAAAAGGAAGAGCAATATAAAAATTTTATGAATCAAAAGCTTTCTTGTAATCAATAGACCTTAGAAGATAAAAAACAGAAAAGTCTCCTCCAGAAGGAAAGCTAATCAAACCTTATCATAAACTATCAAAGTATTCTAAGACTTCAGATAAATTAATGCCTTTAATAAGATTTAAATCAACTTTGAATTGATTATATATTATTAGTTTAATAAATTATTTTATATTAATTAATATATAAGGTTAGCTTTTATATTAAACTAACAACATATTTCATATTTACTATTATTATTAATCAATAAAGCAAACTATACAGTTATGATGAATCAGGAATCTATAATATAGTCTAAAATAGTATTCTCTTATATCATGCAAATTTAAAAATTATGTATAAAGATAAATAGATTCGTTATATATTTTTAATTATAGTCTAATTTAATTATATAGATTAATATTGTATAATAGAATGAATTCATATTTAATATTATATTTATTTATTATATGGTAAATATAAAAGATTTAGAAAGTGAACATTATGTATGGTGTGAATATTTTAGCAAATTTTAGAAAAATAACTTGCAAAAATTATTTAATAATTATTAATAATACCAAATAAATAAAATAAATAAATAGATATTCATTAAAAATTATATTCACTTCAATAATTGATTATAATTAATAAAAATGAGATATTTAATGGATTTCTGGAGAGAGATTAATATTAATATTACAAAATATTAATAATTTTTATCATCTTTGCATAACTCTAAATAACCTAACTCTTTTACATTTATTGATTAAAATATAAAAGACTATATGTATGTACTTTATATAATTAATTATTTTTTTAATTAATGAAAGAAACATAAATACAATGTTAATAAAATGAAATTTAACAACCATTAGCATTTACTTTTGATGAGTTATCAAAAGTCTTGTATGTTATTGATAAGGAATCCAATATTATCAAATATGAATACAATAATAAATAACTTAATGTATTTAATAAAATTATTATTAGATTTAAACTACTTACTTACAAATTAGAATCATAAATTCAGAATAATTCGTAAATTTTGTCTTTCCAATATTTAATGGAGAATGATCAATTAATTATAGTTTATAGATGGAGCTAAAATTAAAGTATATAAAGAGGATGCAGAAGTAATTGGATAATTTGAATGTGAATTATTGGGAGCAGCATGGAATCCTAATCAAGAATAATTGGTAGTTGTTTGTGGAGATGGGAAAATGGTTAGTTTTGATATACAATTAGAACCAACTAAGGAAATAAATATAGAAGGAATTTTTGATCAATTAGTTTGAATCTCATTTAAAAATGATGGAAAAGTATAAGTTTATATTATTATATATTAGTATTTTTCATTAAATTATGCAATTAAGGATTGTAGAATATGTGAAACTTATGATGTATAATTAGAGAAATTCAGAAGTCCAAGTTAATCAGATCCTGAAGGAGGATTAGTATAAGCAATATTTGAAAAGCCTAGAAATCTTGTAAATACAGTTTCATGGTAACCTAATAGTTAATTTATTGCTGGTATTTAAGAGAAATAAGTGATATTTTGGGAGAAGAATGGATTGAGACATTTAGAATTCAATATATATTCGAAGAGTCTAAAAATGTAAAATGGAGTCCAGATGGAATAATTTTGGCAATTTAACAAGACAATAAAATAACAGTTTATTTAAGATAGAATTATAAATGGTATTCAAAAAGATCATTTAAATTTGAGAAATTAATTGATTATACATTTATTGAGAATAATACTTTAGTAGTATTTAATGATAACAATATGAATATCTTTTGGTTAAATTATCATATTAATAATACATCAATTGGTTTATCAACTGACTATGATACTCTATTAGTAAGTGATTATAAAAAGGGAATTATTTCACCACCTTTATCTTATTATTAATTAAAAGTGGTGGAACTTTGAGTATTTTTGATATTGTTAATTAATTGGGTAAAGTCAAATTAAATATTGATTGTGCTCATAAATTGATTTGTTATACAGATTAATAAAAGGATGTTATTTTTTGTCATACAATTTTTATAGTACATGAGACAGAAAGTGATAAAATAGTTGATGTTACTATTTCACCAACTTTTGAGATTATAAATAAATAGAGAAAAGAGTTCTCTTAATCAACATAATTTCAGCATTGACTAAAAAGGGAGATTAAATAATATTACATTCAAGATTTGGAGAAAAGTTTATTTATGATTAATCATAAGAAGAAAGTTTAAATGAATTTGATTTGGCAAATAAAGAATAAAATGTATATGATATCAAAATCTAATAACATAATGAATGGCTTGCTTGTTTGAAATCAAATAGTAGATTAACATTAAACAATTTATTAGTTTCTAATGAATGTACATCATTTGCATTTTTTGATCATTTTCTAGCGTTTACTATTAACGCAACTGATCAATTCCATAATCTATATATACTAGATCTTCATAAGCCTATAACAATTGATAAAAAAAGTTTGAGTAATAGTAATATTGAGAGAGGTGCTAAAAATTTTAGCCATTGTTTCCTAGATAGACTTATTGTTTTAAATTCCAAGAGGCAATTTAGAAACAACAGCTCCAAGAGTTATGGCATTACATTTATGCAAATAATTATATGATAATAAACAATATAAAACTTGTTTTGAAAATATTAGAAAAAATAAACTAGATATGAATCTAATGTTTGATTTCTCTGGAGAAATCATATTTAAATCATAGAATAATTATCAGAATAATATCTATAACTCTTTATTCAATCTCTAAATAATGAAATAAGTTTTGAACTTCCATATGTATTGACAGCTTAACAGTACAAACATCAAAAAGTGTTAATAGTTGATAAAACTTTGGGAACATCCAAATTATGTCTGTTAAAAATTGATTGACAATATGAACGAATAATTTATATCTTTGAATTTAGGGAAACTCATATTCTGACTATAGTAACAGCTATGTTAAAGAAAGAGCCTAGTGAAGTAGAAGAAGCTTTATTGAAGACTTTGAAACTGAAACAAATGGAACAGTATCATGAAGATGAACCTCCTCATTTGAACCCAGAAACTCATAAACCTTATAAGTATTGAATTCATTATTATAATAATAGAAAGCATCATAAAATTAAGTCTGAGTAAGTCTTGGAATATATTTGTTGGTTAGCAAATACTAATAAAATGTTTGAGGTTGCTTTAGGAACTTATGATTTTGATTTGGTCAAATAAGTAACATAATTCACATTGAAGGATCCTAAAGAATATTTACCAATTTTGGAACGATATTCATAAATAAAAGATCCTATTGATATGAAATCCACTATCCATATTGAATTAAAGAATTATGATAAGGCTATTAAAGTATTATCAGAAGGAAATGAGGAATAGAAATAAAAATCTATTGAATTAATAAGAAAATAAAACAGATTTAGAATAGCATTGGAAGTATATAGAAATGATTAAGAAATGATGAAAAAAGTAAAGGAAGGTTTAGGAGTTTATTTAAATAATTAAAAGTAATATCATTAAGCATCTTTGGCTTATGAAAGTGCTGGATTGTATGTAAAAGTAGTTTAAGCATCTTCTGAAATATTAGATACTAAAAGAATATTAACTTTTGATCCAAAAGAAGATTATTTAAAAAATTATAATTAGATTTTATTAGCAGCTGGAAGTTGGAAGGATTGTGGATAAATTTAAGAATATTTAAAGAATTATGAATAAGCTATTCATTATTATTGTAAAGCAGAGGAATGAGAATGTGTAGCTTAATGTTTAAGACATTAATAAATAAATATGATGATCATTTATAATTAGCATTCTCTTTAAAAGTGAATCATCTATTAAATTAACAAAATTTATTCATTTAAAAATTAGAGAAATTTAAGAATTGTTTAAGAATAGAATAAAGAACATGGAATATTAGCACCATCTTAAATAAATGCTGATTTTGATTAGATGAGTGATGTAAGTTGGAAATCAGGAATGTCAAAGTCTTCTTACACTATGTCTGTGACTACAGGAGTTAGAAAGAGAAAACCTAAGGAGAAATCATTTTTGAATAGAAATAGCAAAGAAGGTTCTCTTGTAGAAGAAGAATATTTAATTGAATTTCTAAAGGATATATAAACAAAAAGTACAGATTTAATTAGTATATTATTATATTTATTTAGATTCAATCAAAAAATTTTTAAATTATTTGATTTTCTTTAATCAACCTAAGTTATCTCTAGAATTGTCAACAAAAAGTAAAGAATATTTAAATACAATTAAACCTGAAATTAAGAATTTATTATAATAAAAATTTGAAGAATAGAATTAATAAGCAATTGATTTGTATCCATACAAATCTGTTGTGCCTAATGAATTTAATCAAGCTTTAGATGATTTAATTAAATGATGATATTTATTGATCATTTCATAAAGGAAACATGATTTTCATATTTTATTGTCTATGTATTAGGAGGTGCAAGTGATGAATCTGTACTAAAAACCCATTTAATCATATTGTTTTATCTTAATTCCATCATATCTCCTAAATTGATTCCTATTGTCCATGTAGAATAACCACAAGTCTCAAAATTATTAAGGTATGTTCTTGCTGGGATTATGACATCAACCTATTATTCAAAATTAGGAACTGTATCAGAATCATAACCACTACTATTAACAACTTATTGATTCATGATTTTTTCAAGGGATTCTATACGTTTTTATGATAAGGCTTAAAATTTATTTAATTTTTCAGTTATATCCTAAGCTAATACATTCATTTGTCTCTTTTTAAAGACTTTCCACTTTAAAATAATTATTTATCATATATACCCTTTATTATGAGAAATTCTAAAATGGATTTTATGATTCTTTTAACCATTAATACATTAATTTCAAAACACCTTTATTTCTATTCAACACATCAACGAAAGCTTTTTGAAAAGCCAATTTAGTACATATCTATATAATGTATTATAATAAACTATACCTTAATTATATAATCAAACATAATTGATGTATAATACCAATAACCTAAGTTATCTTTCATAGCAGAAATAAATGCTTCAGCTACCAAAGTTAACTAAATTAAAATTTATATATACTCTTTATTCTATATATGCATCATCAATTTCACCTATACCTCTAAGTACAATTAATGTTGTTTTTAAATCTTTTTCATCACAATCCTTCATATGTTCATAAAGTGTTTATACAACAGATAGACTTTGATCCCATGGATTATTATTTAGTTTTATATATTTTTATATTGCTTCTTTTAATGCCAATCTTGGTTATCTTGCAAATGTAGAACTTAATAGTCTTTTAAAAAGTTAAGGATCATCTAACATGCATAATTCGTCATCATCTTAATAAATTAATTAATTAAGAGCCATAACTATGTAAGAATAATCTATAAATAGATTATCAAATTTTAGATTATCTTACTATTGTAAAATTTATGGATTTTATTATATTTATTCATTTCTAATATATTATTTGTTAATCTTAAGTAATTTTTATTCTACATTAGGATCTGTAATTTCAATATATCCAGCTCCAACAGGAGGTTCATCTAAAAAGTATAGAAAGATTCTTCCTACACCTTTTAATTCTCTTAAATAAGTTTTACTGAAATCATGTAATGATAATTAATAGATTATCCTTTAGATTTAATCTGAATTTTTTCTATTTTAAATATAATGAATCATAGATTATGTAAGTTAAATTAAGTTACTTTTTTATTTAAATTCTTTATATGAAGTATATTTTTCATTGTCTATAAGACATTTGATGGCATCATTAATTAATCCACCAATAATGACTCTCATATCTTGAATAGGATTTTGTAGAATTAATTCATTGAGAACATCAATATTTTATATAGAAATCAAAAATTCATTTGCTAATTGAACTGAATTTCTAGTTATTTATTTTAATTTTTCTAAATATCTTGGTACAAATTATCCTCTCTCTTGAAAACGTATAACAACAGTAAGAAAATATTATAAACAAAATCTACCAATATGAATTTAAGAACCTTCATCTAATAAAGCACAACTAAATTCAAAAAATGCTTCATCAAACATAACCTAACTAATTTAAAATTTAATATTGTCTATTAATATTTCATCATTTTATTTTTCATTTTTATTATTATTAAAAAACCATCTTAATTCCTAATCATTTTTTAATGGTTTACCATTTTCATCAAAATAAGTCTTACGTTCATAAAATAACATATAAGCATTTTTAGATCTACTTAATAATTAATTAGTTCTGCCTTTATCATCATTACCAAATGCTTCAGTTGCCAAATCTCCAAATTCAAAAGGTTTAACAAGAATATCATTAAATTCATACCATTTATTAGTTTATGCATCTTTGATTAATGAATAGTAATGTCCATGATCAGCTGTACCTACATGAATAATTACTCCTCTTAAATGATAATCATAATATTCATCTGAATATTCAGTTACAATAGGTCTATCAGCATCTTCAGTATCTTGATAATCTTATTTTTATAAGTATTCTTTAGTAAATTATTTCATATTCAATTAAGTTGGAAATTCATAATAATCATTTAATTTGAATTTCTATTATGTTTCATAATTAAATTCAAAACGTTTTAATACCATAATCAATACATTTGGTAATTATTTAATACAAACTCTCATTAAAGCAGGAACTTTTTTTTCACATTTTTCACACATATATGCATTATCACCTTCAAGCATTTCACCATCAGTCATCATTTTCATAGATTCATAAATATTCTTTTTATTTTTTACTTACAATGAAAGAGCTAAGAATAATTCTTCTCTTGAAGATTAATGTTAACATCCTTTACTTATAAATTCTGTACTCATAAATCCACCAAAACTTTTAGGTACAATCATATCTCTTTTTAATGGTTTAAGTTCTAATTCTAATTTATCCATAAGTTATAAAAAGAATTCATCTACATCCATTTATTCATAAAAATTAATTGGTTTATAATTTGGACCTAGTACACTACAAAAATTAGTAGGATCATAGAATTATTTTTATGAATTTTTTAATGCAGAAAGTAATAATTAAAATTGATATGCAATTGTCTATTATCCTTATTCAAGATTTAGAGATAAAATACTTTCTCTGAAATTAGGTAAAGTAAATAATTATTACATTAATGAATTCATATAACAAATACATCCTAAATTACGTAAACCAACAAAACCAGTTTAACTCTTACTCTATTATGTTTATACTATATTCCAATTTGTATTTGAACTTGTTCTCCAAAAAGCACAAGAAAAATACTATTCAAAAATTAACATCAATTTCTAATTTGCAAATAATTTTTAAACTATTTCATAACCTGCTTTTCTTGTATCTTAACTTTATAAAGTTTTTTTATTTAATTAAAATAGACTATTAATTATAGAATCAGCTAATGATTCATTTGTTGTAATCATTAATAATGATTCTTAACATTTTGTTACTAATATACAAATCAATCTGAAAGCCTATAATAATATTTTCTCTGTTTCCTCCTCTTATAAAAAACTAATCACTATTTCTGGTAATCTTTAAGTAATTCTTGTTAAATCATTATTATTAGTCTATTCTAAAACTCCAGCATATAATTCCAAATATTATTCAGCTTAATTTTTTAATTTCATAACATCTTATAAATTCTCACCTAAATTCTAAAAATGTTTATGTAAAGGCTTTAAATCAATTAATTATTAACACAAAGTTTTTCTAATTTAAGGATCAATCAATTATATTAAACTTTTTATCATTTATTAAATATCTCCTACATTCTCAGTCGAAGCTATTTTAAAATTATTTTAAAGAAAACTCTATATTGAAGATGGATCTTAGTATACTTTATTTTCAATTTTTTACAATGCATATATTATATATTTCACACATTTCCTATTGATTTCTTAATCCTTAATGTTGCATATCCCTATAATTTTTGCTATCTATGCATAACATTTCAAATTGAATAAATTAGTAAACTCATTTTCTTACCTTTTCAGATAATAATTAATAATACTCTAACAACCTTTTGTCTTTAAAAAATTTTAACCTACATTCCTATCTTATTATATCATTGTCTCATAGATTTATAAACAATATAATAATTTTTTATTACAATTAAAATACAATATTTTACTCCATGAATCCTCATCAGATCCTCCTTTATCCAATCTATCTTTTATTTATTTATTTTAAGGCATTAATGTTAATACTTCCCATATATCTTCATAATTCTCTGATTATAATAAATCAAATAATATTTCTGATAATTCTGTATTACTACTTAAATTTGCCTTAAATTTACGAATACTTAAACATAATGAATTCATATTCTAACTAATATTTTATAAAATAATATCTGGTTTATCTCTAGATTTAGATTCCTCAAATAAACTAATTGTTAAATCTTCTTCATTATCTTAATTAACCTTCATATCATGATTAGCCAAAAACATATCAAAATCTTATTGATTGAAATTATATAATTAATTCAAATGTTTTCTTACTGCTAATAAAGTAGAATTAGAAGGTAAGGATACTTCTTTCAATGTTTTATCATCCTTACCTATTTAAACTTAGAATTTTGTAAAAGTAATTGCAGGACTACTTGTATTAAAATATTATTTCCCTTCTATTCCAGTTACTAGATCTTTAAGACATTTAATCACATTTTAAATTTAAACTTAATTATTTGATTATTTCAATGCTTCTTTACATTTCATAAGTAGTGAGTTCCACATTTACAATTTCTATTCTACTTAATTAGCTTTCTCTGTTCTCATATGTAATTATAAAAGTGTTTATATAGCTTAATCTGAATCTGGATAATTAAAGGCTACATCAAAAAAGAAATTGATTCCAACAATTTAATCATATTTTAAAATTCTTATTTAAGATTTTTAACAATTTATTGATCCATTTTTTTAATTTAATTACATAAAGTACTTTTCTATACTTTTATAACATAATTTTATTGGATAATTAATATTACAGAATATATTTTTGAATAAATCTTCTTTTACTCTAAATCCACCTTTTACTAAGAAATCTAACATAGGATTACGATCTGTTTCATGAATAGGATTAATTATTAATATATTCCATAATTTCTTAAAATTTTCAAGTGAAAATTCATACTTTTTTGGACTTGCAGCTATATACTCAAGAAAATCCATTTTATATTGTATACGTTAAGCATGTGCCACTTTACCACTTAATATAGTGAAACAATCTTAACAATTACTTACATTAGCTCTATAAACTTCAAGATTTCTAATAATTAGATCTATCATTTAATGTTCTTTCATAATTTTATTAAGATTATCTTCTGAAGAAGAACCTCCCAAATAAACTTATACTTATCCATAACTTTCAATTATTTTTTAAAGAATATGTAAACATTATGGGAATGAAATACTTCTTCTTAAATTTTCCAAACATAATTATTAATATTAATATTACTCACGATCTTATTTTAAACATTATATAAATCCACTCATTAAAGGTTCAAGCAAATTAGAATTCAATTCACTTTTATCTTATAATAAATCCCACATCAAATTTAAAGATTAAATCCCTTTTTTACTCTTAGGTATATTTTTAAAAGCACTTAAAGTGAAATCTTTCATAAAATTAATCAAATTTAGATCAATTTCTTTTTAATTCAAATTTACCAATTTTTAAAAAATCATATCCATTTATTCATGATTCATTACTCTTGCAATATCACTTATTACTTCATATACACTCTAAGCTTCTGTTTCATGTCTCATTTAACTTGCTTCCCATAATTATTCTATATCTTTTATACTTGAATTCACTTGTTCAACCATAAATCTCAAAATTGGTGCAGCTCTCTTAAATACTTCTGCATGTCCAGCTTCTTATAGAAGGATATCAAAAACTTTCTCCTCTTAAAGGAATTTACCTAATCTATCTGGATTGAAATAATTGCTCATTACATTTTGATACATCATTGAAGATTTAGAAGTTGTTACTTTGTCTATTATTTCTGTTAATTCTTTAACACCTTTTATTTTCTTCTCTAATATAGATGATTTTATTAAAGTGATAGCTAATTTAATCTCTGTACCTTCACATTCTTAAGATATATTAAGAATAGATGAGAATTGTTATGGAATCAATTTAAAAATCTAAAATACAGGATTTAGATTAGATTCCTTAAGATCATTATTTGTCAATTGATGTAATCTATTGATTATCATATCTTTCATTTTTAATAACCATTCTTATTTAATTTAGTTCGTAGGAAAGCTCCTATATATACCTTCCACTAAGGGTAATATATTCTTAATTATTCCAAAAGGCACTTTTTATTTGGCCTCACCTTCTCCATGTTACCAAGTGATCAAATTCTCTATTACTTATAAACCATTGCTATCTTAAAAATATTTAAAGAATCCCTATTAGAAATTTTAGGTGTGTCTATCAGAAATGGAATACATCTTTAATAGTTATTATTCATTATTCATAAAATATCTTTTACATCTTGATCCTCCTCCATTGAATATTTTAGTAAGGGTATCAAACATCTCAGGATGACATGATACTAAACAAGTGTCTAAATGAAAATAATAAATGAGAGGATGTGCTTGAATGCCTTGAATATATATATTGATTTTTTCCAAAATCCTATTTGCCCAAAAGATGAAGAATCGTATGAAAGCCTCTATTAGATCTGTAGTCATTTTAAATTCTCCCTGAGTATATTATTACTATTCTTGCATCACACTATCAATAAGTAAATAGAGTTCTCCTCTCACAAATTGACAGACATCCTATGCTTCAACATTGGCAAAATCGCTTACTATTAACTTCTGCATTTTCTCAATGACTTATTGAATGTGATCCACCTCTTTAGCTATATAGAATTCTCTAACAGCACTCTTCTAAGCACCTGTATAAAGTTCAGTATGTGATCTAAAATACACGACCCTTCCTACTTTCAGTTTATGAGTCTCATCATATTTCTAGCTCCATCCATCGTATTAAACAGTGATCAAATCAGATGTTAGATTGATCACTTTACACATACGCCAACTACTATAATTATCATAAGCGTCTGCATATTGTCCTATTGTAAATTATGGACTTGTATTTTTTATATGCTGAATTAGTTCTGCAAACATGTTTAAATATAATATATAGATTATACTTTATAAATAAAAAATTAGGATCCTAATAACTAATTATAAGTTATGTTACTATATTGATAATTTTTCTTAGAGTAGCTACAAATATAACTTAAATTACTCTAGAATATATAAGGATTTTTGGAATATAAAATAATTTTCATAATAACTATTCTAAATGGGCATTTGCAAGAGCTTACCAGCATCTACTGAAGATCTCCCCACAATGGATTCAAGTGGACATAAACAAACAGAAATAGTAATCAAAGAGGATACTTCTCCAATTTATGATGAGAATAAAATCATAGTCATATAAGCACTCTACAGAGGTCATAAAGTTCGTAAATCACTTATGACAACTCTGCACTCTCCAGAGACATCAGCACCAACTCAAGTGGAGCAATCAAAATTCTGCTTTGATCCAAACTAACTAAATACTTACGATTAATCTTCAATATTGATGAAGAACGGAGCCATCTATAAAGGAGAATGGAAGGATGGTAAAGCAAATGGAAAAGGTTAATATTAATTCCAAGATAGGTTGTATCTTATATATATATTATTCATAGCTATGTCGAAGGAACTGTAATATTTTAATAATATTTCTTAGTGGGCTTCAAATGAACTTCAAGGGGAAGCAGTCTATGTGAATGGCACAGAGAAGTATAAGGGACAATGGCTTGACAGTATGTTCCATGGAATAGGCGAGTATGTCTATTCTGATGGTCGCATTTATTAAGGTATCATGTATCAATATTTCTTAGGTGAATGGAGAAAGGGATTATAACATGGCATGGGTAAAGAAATATACAAGGACAAATCAACCTATGAAGGGAAATTCAAGGAGGGAATGAAATTTGGACTTGGAATCATCAGATTAGCTGATGGTTGTGTTTATTAGGGAGAATTTGAAAATGATTAATTTCATGGTTACGGATCATTTGTAAATCTTATTACTTAAGGTAGATTTGGCCAGACAGAAAAAAGATTTTCGAAGGTTATTGGAAAAATGGAACAAAACATGGAAATGGTACTATGAAATGGGGCGATGGTATGCGATAAATTTTGATTAAACTTATTTTAAGGTCGAATCTATACTGGTCAATATTTAGAAGGACTTAAACATGGATATGGAGAAATGCAATATAGTGATGGTCGCTGTTATAAGGGACAATGGAAGAACGGGTTGTAAGATGGAATGGGAATATTTGTAGACAAGGAAGGGAATGAAAGAAAAGGATTCTGGATTAAAGGAAAACTAAAGAAATGGTTTTGAACTTTTACAAAGTTTTGATTTTCAATCTCTTCTATTATTATTATATTTTGATTGATAGAATTGAAATTTAATATAAAATATTAATAAAGAACGAACAATATGAATATTCAAATCAAAATTATTATTCTTAATAACAAAAATTCTCTTCTGATTCTTCATTCTCATTATCCATCAAATAATCAGGAAGTATCTTTTGTTATTATTATTATTATTATTATTATTATTATTCAACTAATTTTTAATGTTTAAAACTACACATTTAATATATATAAATATTTACACTGACTATGCCAATTGTACATCCATCATATTAATCTTTAATTTCTCTTTTGAAATTGTCTGAATTCTGCTTCTCTTATTTTAAACTTAAGTAAGTTATTCAGCATTATTAAAATAATAACTAATCTCAGTTGCCTGCTCTTTTCCCATATAACCAAAACTACTTTCCTCTGAATCATTCACTCCTAATAATATGTGAATAAAATTATTACTAGAATCATCTGCTAATAAAGAGTCACATAAATTCAATTAAAATTTATAATTCTCTTCATATTAAGAAATAATCTTTTCTGGTAAGCTCATATGATCCAATAATATTGCTTATTTTTTTTGTGAAATTAATTTATTAGATGGTAAAACATCTATATTTAGATTCCCTTCTGTATCATCCATATTGGTTTATTCAGCATTTGAGATAAATTAATCAAATATCCTGAATTATATTATTAAAAATACTCTAAAATAGAATTATCTCCTACTCTCTTTAAAAATATTTTTGTCAACTATTCTCTTTGTAATAACTTTTAGATTGCTTCAAATTACCCTTAAACAAGATACTTCAATTCCAAAAATTCTATCAATAATGATTACATATATACCTTACTCATTTTTTATTTCCATTTGTTATGTATATATTTTAGATTGTAACCCTTAGATTTGAGATTCCAAATTTTTCACTTTATCTTCCTCAGATTTCCTCTATTCTAATAATTAGTTGTACTCTATAAGAACATTTTCATGTTTTCTTTTTATTGAAGTAAGAATATTTTCTAATTTTTTCTTCTCCATTTATTAATTGTAAGATTATTATAGAATTGTAATTTATCTCTTAAAAAAATGATCTAATTGAACACCAGAATTCGTATCTTAAGTAGAAGTCGCTTAAGTATTTTGTTAGTCTTAAAAAACTATTGAAAGTAATTGGTTTAAAGATTAATTTAATTTTATCATGAAAGTCATCTCCTTTTAGTCTTGTTACCAATTATTGTCTCTCTATTATAATAGTTATTTGATGTTATCTTTAATCTTCTATAATTACGATTATTCATAAGATAGACTATTAATATTCTTTATTTTGACACTTGAATTAGGTCGATGAAACGAAGAATTGTTTGTTAATTATGGTGATTATCGATCAATTTAGATCATAGATTAATTCTTACTTAATTTATGAGTAATCTTCACTGTATCCATTACTTCATTTTTAAATAAACTCTAAATTTTAGGTTTAGTCTGTTAGCCTGCAATAACATTTAAAATGCTACTCAATTTTTGTTGAGATACCTGAAGAGTTGGATTTATGAATGTTCCATTCACCTTCTATAAATTTTCAAATGACTATTAACGTCCCATTACAGGACTGTTGTTATTAGAGATATTTTATGATTGGCTCTCAAATTTTTATTTTGAACATACTTTAGAGAGTTTCTTTTCTAATATCTTACCTTACAATTTCTATATCTAAGAAGCATATATTTTTTAAGCTATTCTTTCATTCTCATTTGACTTTTTCATTATATTTTAGTTTGTTGAGAATATTTTTATAAAATACTAAATTGTACACCTTTTTTGTATAAAAATTAAAAAAAAATATACAACAAAATTTATAATTATAAACCAATAGACTTATTAACTTATTGATTACTATAAATCCATTCTTCCATATTTAACTAAATTTATAAAGATAGTCAAATTATTTTTCGAGAGGCAAATAGTTACTTTAATTAATTTAAATTATCTTCCTACTTTGTCTGGATATCAATCATATAATCTAATTTTTTAATCATCTAACTCCTTTCCTTAATTAATCATACTTATTTCTTACTTGCAATTAATGTTTATTCTCGAGATTTAGCTTCTTAACATTTCTACTTAATTAATAATGTTGACTCTCCAATTATTCTTAATTTATTTACATATTCTTTATTTAATGTGACAATAATTCTATCTTCTCCTCCATACCCTCCTTCCCTTCTTCTTAATCCTACATCTTCCCAATTGACTATTTCACTATACAATCAAAAGTTTGTTTTGCCTCTTTTTTCACAGTCTAAACACAAGTTTAGCACCTTGTCTATGGACTCATTGAATTAGTTTTCCCAATATAACTTTTAAAAGACCTCAAAATATATATTATTTATTCAGGAGTCTATGGTTATTTTTTTTATTTCATTCTTTTAATTATTTTATTGTTAAATAATTAAATGAACAAAAAGATCACTAACATCTATCCACTTTTAAAATGTAAAAAAAACACATGATATATTGACAATTTAGTTCAAAAGAAAATTCTGAATGGTATTTAAGACTATAAATGAATTAAATTGTTTACTTCAAATATTAAATTTAAAACAAATCGTTTTCTCACAGTCAGTTTAATAGAATGTATACTATCACAGAAAATGTTAAATTTGTATAGTAGAATTTTTTATCTCTCATTCTAAAGTAGTACTCTTTTTAAGAATATTTTGGATTAAATGAAAAATTTAAGAAAAATTTTAGATTATTTCTCTGAGACTTGACATTACTTTTAATTAAAGTTTTTATTTTTTAATAATTAATTCAAAGTAACATCAACACCAATAGAGAAGAAGAGGTTATTTATTAGAAAAGTAATTATATTAAATGATAACATGACTCAAAATTAATACATTGTTTTATGATTACTTTTTGAGTTAAGATTATACTTCTATTCTAAACTTAAATAACTTAATACTAATCGATATCTTTATTTTAATTTCATAGTAATATATCGAATGTTAAATTAATTTTTATTTTTTATAATTATGTTAATGAATAAAATATATTGCAATTTGGATACATTGTAATTAATACCTGAATATTTAACATCATATAATGAACTTATTTTATTGTAAAATAAAAATATAAAAGAATAATATTGTTTGTTTTCTCTAGATTAATTTATTGATTTTTGGATGGATTCATTTTGAAAGATATTTTGATTAAATTTCTAGACTTATTGGTGATACTTTTACAATTATTGATCATATTAATTTAATAGATTTATGAACTAGAATAGAATAATTTTAGATTATAAAATGTTTTCTTAAAATTTAGAATTCCAATCATGTTTTTAATTTAAAAATAAATAAATTTCAAAAAGTCTTTTGAAAGTTCATTCAAATTATTATTTAAATTTTTGTAATGTTTGGATTAAGAAATTTGACATAGATTATAAACTAAAGTCAAAGAGTATTATAGATGGAATAATAAAATGAATGAGTTTTTAATTAAACAAAAACGTATTAATGAGGGTGAAGAAATAAATTAAAAAACGGGTAATTTTTAATGTCTTGGAGAGTGATTGTGATTTCATTTCATTAATATTAATAACATGAGAATCGTCCCTGTATTGACTCTTATCCTTGCAGTTGCAACTGCTAGAGTAGCAAAGACAGAAAGCCCAAAAGAAGTGTTAGCTTAAATTAACAAAGATTCATTTGGAAATTCAGTGTTGTCAGTCCTTTAACTTTAATTGGCCACAGGAGGACCTGTTGGTGAAATTCAAATTCTCTTAAACAATATTGCTTCCCAACTCAACGGAGATTAAAAGAAAGCTGATAAAGTTCATGAGAGTGATACAGTTGCTTTCGAAAAGGTAAGCATAATAATATTGTTTAGATAATTGCTGACTTAGAACAAGAAATTGCTTATCACTAATCCCAAATTGTTGCTCTTTCAAATTTGAGAGATTCCACAACCGAAGCTTTGGGTGAAGCAGAAGCTGAAGTCAGAGTTGTTACCTCAGATATTGCCAATAATGAAAGAAGCTTTGCTGATGAATCTGCTACAAGATAATCATAACATGAAACATGGGTTAGAAAAGATGCAGAACACGTTGATTAAATGGATGCCATTGATGAAGCCTCAAAGATCGTTTAACACTTATAAGCTGGTGTTGCCTTTGCTTAACTCAAAAGCAGATTTGAAAAAGTCTAAGCCAAATTGATGGAATCCAAACATGCTCTTTTCAAGGTTTTATATATATTTTTATATGTTTAGCCACTCATCAATGCCTTGACATAATTAGCCTCAAAGGTTGATAACAAGAGCATCATCAAGATCTTAGAACTCTTAGCTTAAATCAGATAATAATTAGTTGCCAGCAGAGCATCTCTTCTTGCTACAGAAGAAAGATAAGCTGCAAACTGGGAAGTCTAAAGTGGTCACTTATAAGAAGAACACAAGAGATTAGTTGAAAGAAAGGCATTCTTAGAGAATTCAATTGTCTAATTCAAAGTAACAATCTAAGAAGCTGTTGAAGACTTAGAAGATTAAACTGTATTAATTAAATTTCTAATTTTATTAGTTATTCCTTGAAGATGCTGAAGACTCATTGGCTATTTAAGAGAGATGGGCTGCAGAATAAGAATCCTAATATGAAGCCTAAACCTTTGAAAGAGAATAACAATTGGAAGTCGTTGAAAGATTATAAGAAGTTCTCACCTAAAAGATGAGCGCTGCATCAGAATTCCTCCAAATTAGAGAAGAGGTCTTTTGATAATGAAGTTCAATATATCAATATCCAAATCTTCATAAAAATCCTTTTACATTTTTACTTGTTTAACATTTTCATTTGAATTCTGTTCTTAATTATTTATATAATCATTCCTCATTGAGAGGACTTATCTTTTCATCCTAAATATTAAATAAATATAGTATCTTACTAATATATTAAAAGTTGTATAAATAATTCAATGGAAACTAATTATGCAATACATTATTTATTAAAGTTATATTTAATAATATTTTTACAAGTTTATTTTATTTATCATCAAATTAAAACACTTCATTCTCTATATCTTTTTTTATTTGTTTCAATAAAATTTAGAAATATACATTTAAGATATGCAATTAGAGAATAAAATAAAGTATGTCGTTACTAATAGAAAATATATATTATTAAAAGACTGTTCAACATAAATCAATATTAATAAGTTCTTCTAATAAAAAACGCTGAAATTATAATTTTCTTAATGAAATAAATCGACAGATACCAATATAATCCAAAAGACATGCTTGGCATGGGTACTACAGGAACAGTAATGAAAAATATTCAAAAAATAGGTTGTAAAAGCTATTGATGCTAAAAAGAACCAATATGCAATAAGGATAATAAAAAAAAATAGTATAACAGACGATGAAGGTCTCTAAAGTGCATTGCTTGATGAAATGAAATTAATGCAATAATTAAAGCATCCATAAATAGTTTAGTTAGTAGAAGTAATACAAACAGACAATAATTATTATGTTGTCATGGAACTTTGTAAATAAGATTTATAAACTTATTTGTAATAAGTTCATAAATTACCTGAATCTGAATGTATTAAGTTATTGATAGATATACTTCGAGGGTTCACTGAATTAATAAGCCATGGAATAATTCATAGAGGATTAAAATTAACAAATATTATGTTAACAGATAAAGGTTATAAATTAGCTGGTATAAATTATTATTATATTGAGATTGTGGATTAACAAAATGTATGGAGAATTTTAAAAAGGACTAATTACTTAAAGATTAAGATTTTAAGTTCCATTCTCCTTAGGTGTTATAAAACAGTAAATATACAAGCAAATGTGATATATGGTCAATAGGAATGATATTATATAATGCATTGTATGGTTATACACCATGGAGTGGTGCTAAGATAGAATAATTGTTACATAATATTGAGCATAAATGGTTAGATTTCCCTGATGACTAAACATCAGTAAGTGATGAGATGAAATAATTTATAGAAGGTTGTCTAACAATAGAAGAAGCAAACAGAATGAATTGGGATGAAATTTTCAAGAACAAATTGGTTAAAGATTATTTTAAGAACTATCAAACACATATAAAGGAAGAATAAATCAAGTTTTTAATGAATGAATTAAGATAGAAAATTGTAAAGCAAAATTTGAATATAAGTTATTTATTTTAAGAATTTGATCAAAATGGTGATCAAACATTATAGTTTTCTGAATTAGTGTAATTACTGCATACTATTGATAAAAATCTAAGTCGTTAAGATTGCTAAGTGATATTTAAGAAATTGGATTTAGATGGAGATAAATCTGTATCATTGGAGGAATTTGAAAAATGGATCACAGATAATAATACAAAGATGGCAGTAATATCAAAAGTTAAAGGTCGTCAAAATCAACGGAATTCAGCCACTAAATAAATAACATCTTTAAAAAACATTTAAAATAATCCAGTAAAACATAAAGATATTAATCCTCAAGGCTTAACAATTACATAATAATCAATTTTAAACCAATCTTAATCAACACCTCATTTGAATTAAATGCCAATTCAAGCATATATGTTCGATCCTGATAAAATTATTTAAAAATTACAATTAACTATTTAAAGATACAATATCAATGTTCATGATTTATTCTCAAAATTCGATTAAGACTTTGATAGTCTTTTGAGCTTTTAAGAATTTGCTTAATTATTGATGTAATTTAATAAATTATGATTTTAGAAAGATTTAAAGAAATGCATAACCTTAAGAATTTCAAGCAGTATTTAAGATATTCGATTTGAATGATGATAATTTTATCTCGTTTATAGAATTTAGATAAATATTAAACTTATACTAATAGAATAACTAAAAATTAGATAGCTACTTTTTTAATACTGGCTATTAATATTCTTAATACAATAATCAAATAAGTCCATTTTAGTAAATGGGAACTATGTCTTATAATATATACTAAAAACAAAATAAAACTTATCCAGATATGCTTTGATAAGATTAATATATATATATATATAAACTGAAGATTGATATTAAGAGTTATTATTAATAGTCATTAAATTTCATGTATGATGTCTAATTTTTCCATTTATAATCTCTACCTAATTCTAAGTAATCCTTATCCATTAGATTCATTCTTTTTAATGATATTGATTTCTTTATTCATTTGATTTTAAATTTTTTTCAATTTGATTAAAGGAGACTATTGAATTTCTTCATCGAGATCTTATTTTAATAAATTAAGGGGAGATTTGGAATTTGAATTTTGATTTTATTCCTATTGCATGACTGGACTCTTGGTCATTGTATTGCTTCTCATATGGAGATTCCTGCTGTAATATGTATTCTTTTCTCCTCCATAAGAGATATCACAAATATCATCACTTGCTCGGTAATTGGATTTGTTGAGAATTTCAGTACTATTTGGTGATATGGGATCAATCTAGTTATGATAGAGCCAAGGATGTTGTAGAGCCACTATAATGTGAATCTCTAAAATATACATTACGCAGATAATCTTTGAGATGGATTAGGATCCAAAAGCCGTTTGATCAAATCTCTAGCAAGTAAGGAAATATTCTCATTGAGTTCAAATGTTCCTTTTAATATTTTTTCAATGGTTCCTAAAACACTATCTTCAAAAAAAGGGAAATGACCACTCAATATACGAAATAAACAGACACCTAGAGACCAGAGATCTACTCTTTCATCATAACCTCCGCCAGTCAAGATTTCTGGAGCAGCATAATAAACATTTCCTGTTCTAGTCCACATGTTAACATCCACAAATTCTCTTCCATTATATTTTTTGAATCTTCTGCTGACTCCAAAGTCTATGATTTTGATATCAAGGGACTTTTTGTTGATTAATACATTATCTGGCTTTAAGTCTCTATGAGCTATTCCTCTTTCATGAATATGCCATAGAGCCAATAGTATATGTCTAATCAATATCTTAGATTATTCTTCCCTAATTGAAGGATGTACAATTACGTTAATTTCTTGTGTTTTTTAATAACATCCTCCAAACTGGGTAAATTTGAGAATTCCATTACTAAATATAATGTTTCAGATTATTCATCTATGTAGCATTCATATACTTTTATTATGTATTCATGATCTAGTATTCTAGTATTTTTGTAAGCTTCAGTAAATGTTTTTACAAGTTCAGGGTCTCCACTTCTTGAAATTTTGACTGCTACTTATTCATTAGTTTCTAATTTGATAGCTTTTTTCACTAATCCATGAGCACCTTCTCCAATCATATTACCTAATTGATACTTTGTATTAAAATTGATAGCAATAGTATCTATATGTGGTAATGTTATTGATAATTTATTTTCATCCTCTATCCTTATAGCTCTGAAGTAAATAAATATCATTATAGTATACCTTTTAGGTTATGCCTTAGGCTACTCAATTTTCTTTTGCATTTTAGGGAATAATTGTTATTGCAAAGCGTTCCTTATTTTTGCTTAATTTTGTTTTTATTACATTTTTAATTATATATATTATATGGGTTGTTGTTTGACTAAAGAAACTAAAGATGCAAAATATGCCAATGCAGGTTGTGATGAACATCCTGTTCCAATTTAATAGCCTGAAGAATCACATTATTAGGAGGTTTGTGCTGAAGTTATTCCTCCTAAGGAATCAAATATATAAAAATAGGATTAAGAAAAATAGATAACTTGGACAGAAGGAGAAATGCTTGGATAAGGAGCATTTGGTAGGGTAGTATTAGGGATGAATAGAATTAGTGGATAAATTATGGCTGTTAAATAAGTATTTATAAAGAATGGAGATGAGAATGTAAATTCTAATTAATTTATTATTAGAAAGTATAATCAATTCAAAGAGAAATTGAAATTTTGAGTAAATTACAACATCCATATATAGTGCGTTATTATGGATCAGAAAGAAAAAAAGATTAATTAAATATTTTTTTAGAGTTTGTAAGTGGTGGTTCTGTTCTTACAATGATAAAAAGATTTGGAAAGTTTAAGGAGTCTTTGATTAAAGTTTATTTGAAGTAGATTCTATTAGGATTATAATATCTACACTCATAAGGTGTGATTCATAGAGACATTAAAGGAGCCAATATCTTAATTAATTAAAATGGATAAGTGAAATTAGCAGGTATTTATTGTAGTATTTATTATTTTCAAGATTTTGGAAGTGGCAAATAATTATCTGAAATTAAATAAGAAATTGTTGGTTCTTTGTGTGGAACCCCAAATTTTATGGCTCCAGAAGTTATTAATTAACAACAATATGGAAAGTAGATCAAATTATTTATACTAATATTAGGAAGGCTGATATATGGAGTCTTGGTTGCACAATGATTGAAATGGCTACTGGACACCCTCCTTTTTTTGAAGTTAAGAATATTTATACTATTATGGTTAAAATAAGTAAGTTAACTGAAATGATTCCTATTCCAGAAGAATTGAAATCAGAATAAGCAAAGGATTTTCTAAAGAGATGTCTTCAATTAAATCCAGAAGATCGATGGGAAACAGAAGATTTGCTTTAACATCCATTTTTAGTTTCAAAAGAATAAAGATATAGTGGAATTAATTCAGCTTAAGAAAAAAAGAATAGTTTTATTACTGATGATCAATTATTTTAATTACATTCAGAATTAATACCAAAATAGAATTAAAAGTTATAATTTTCTTTTTAATTGGATGATGAATCATAAACTCAAAATGAAAATTAAATTGAAGAACAAGAAATACCTTAATATTAAGAATAATAAGGTTAAGGTTCATAAAGAGATGAACCTATCACAAATATTATTAAAATAACAAATAATAATAATCTATAATCAGAACCAGATGAAAAAGCTTATAAAGTAATCATTGAATAGAATTTTGATGATAGAATTGACTTATAATAATTTGATTCTAATTAGTCATGTTAAAAAGGTAAAAAACTAATAATAAATCGTTAATGTTCACTAAATTAAGCATTAGATTAGGTTTTAAATGATGTATATCAACAATAATAATCTAAATCACTTAATCCACTAATAAACTGATATTAACACTATTGATTTTTTTATTTATATTATTAAATTATTCACTTAAGAGTTGATAACTTTATTGATTTAAATTTCAATTTTTGTTAGATTTTTAATATAACTTAAATAAGATTATTTGTATATCTTTTCAATATTATGTTTATGATTTCATTATTATAAAATCATAAAATATAATTTGTATTGCAAAGTAAAGACTAAGAAAATAGGTATCTTTTATTAAAATTTAAACTTTATGTTAAAGTTAATTTAAAAAACAAGACATTTGAAGGGATGTTGGCATGATTTAAAACTTGTCTAGAAATAATTTAATCCATTTTATTAAAATAAAATAAATGTAAGGTTTCTTAGTAGAAGGTAAGGAAATCAGTAAGGATTATTCTTATGACTGGGTTTAAGGCAATGCTGATTTAGTAGCAATAGAAAAAGGAATTTCCGTTTTACACTTCAGTTAAGAATTATTAAAAAGAGATTTAGAGATGGAATTCAGAGTATTGTTTAGTTTCTATTTAGTTATTACGTAGATTAACAGAAACTTAATATCATAATGATAATTTATTTGACTTTCATCCTGATGTTCAGAAGCTTAATAGATATAATAATATCATACCATGTATATAAATTGGTGATAAATTAGTCAAGCATTCAATTGTGAAATTAAAGAGTGAAGGTGACGATGAAGAAAACATAAAGGAAAGCTATATTAATGCAAATTTTATCAATGTAATTGATAAGTTTGGTAACATAGTTAATAAATGGAAAGGAGAGGATGATTGTAGCAACGTAGGGTCCTTTAAATCAAACTTTTAGTCATTTTTGGAAGATGATTGTATAAGAAAATATGAGTATGATAATCATGTTGTGCAATCTAAAAGAGAACCAACGAGTAAATATACTCATATTATTTAGACATAATGTGAATAATATTGGCCTAAAAATGTTGGTGAAACTATGATTTGTGGAAATGTTCATGTAAACTTATAGAGTCAAGAAGATCTTGGGAATAATATTACTAAACGAATATTGAAAGTTAATTAGGAAGGAGATGAAAGAAATGTTATTTAAATTTAATGGTGTGGATGGCCAGATTAAGGAGTTCCTTCTCCAAGTGATTTTGATGTGATCAAGGAATTATTAAATATTATTAATGAAAAGTTGTTAGCAGATTAAAAAGTAGTTTTTCATTGCAGGTATTAAAAGAATAGGATTATATTAATTTAGTGCTGGAGTTGGAAGAACTGGGACTTTGATTGCATTATCTAATTTAATGATTTTACTTAAAGCATATAAACAACATATTGGTGATGATTATTAGAGTATTTACTCAACTTTATTTAAAGAATTGGAAGAAATTCCAGAACTTTATAGAATTTCCATTTTCGGGATAGTTCGTAGATTGAGAGAACAAAGATGGGGCATGGTTCATACTTCAGAATAATATTCATATATATATAAATTTATTGATGAAGCTATAAGATGTTTGTTTAACATTTGATTATGATCATTAATAAAATAGTATTATAACATTATAAATATTGTGTTTGACAAACATTCATCAACTGAATATTTTAGTTCTAAATTTAGACTCAACTTTATGAATTTATTCATATTTTTTATCCAAATCACTATTTTTAATATATGAATTGGGATGAACAATATTATCAGATAAATATGTATAATTATTTGTAGTAGTAAAATTACTATTTCTACTAGAATATTTGTTTTAATTGATTTAATGTGGTTTTGTGATTTCACCCTTTGATGATAATTGCATTGTTGATTAAGATTGAAATAAAGGAACTTTTAAATGTGCTTTAGCAGTTGTATTATATTGTAATATGATATCACCTGTTGATGATTTATTTGATTCAAATAAATATTGTCTATTTTTCATATAAGAATTTTTGTTTTAAGTAGATGAATTTTAATTATTACTTAAATATGAACTAGATTAAGTACTAATAAGAGGTTTATTTACAGCTTTAGGAGTAAGAGTCATAATCTAAGATACAGTAGCTGATATTTTTTATGCTGATTCTCCAGTCAAAGCTTAGAGTTATTAAGACCATATATTTAATAATCCAGCCTTTTTTCTTAGAAAGGCTACACAAGACAAGGCTAATATAGTTTGATCATTTGAAAAATAAATTTAATCATCTACTTATTTAACTGATTTTACCTCTTATCACAGAATAAGCAGTTTCAATATATTTGTTTTCGACTTCATTTACATAGTTATTAATTTACTAATCATTTAGATCTCTCAATTTTATATGATTTAGTTTTTGTTCCTTGTTTTCCTTTTATTATGGTGGTTGAGAGAGACTGTCATCATCATCAATAACACCAAAGGAAAGTAGAGATTCAATTCTATCAAGGAGAGTTATTCTTTATAATTTCCAATTTAAGGATTCAATTAAAGCTTTTTCAGCATTGCAAAATTCTTAGGTTGTGAAGTTATTGATTTCAGGATGAGAAATCATGGAAGTATAGCGTTTGAGTTTACTAATAAAAGGTATTCTCTCATCAAGTTCTTAAGCTTTTGCTGCCAACATAAGAGCAGCAGCAGCATATAAGAATATCTATTTTTCATTCACATTAATTTTATTTAAAAAGTGATCAATATATGTAATTGCTAAAAAGGTAGTGTTTGTACTTAAGTTTAATCTTTCAGATGCTTATTCTAAAAAATCAATTATTGGCAACCTGGCAATTTAATGTTAAGTTATTTTCAAAGGAGCCAAGATGTTGCCCAATATCTTTAAGGGATTGAAAAAGGTATTATACTTCATTTTGATTGTTTTGAAGACTCTTGTGGTTGACTTTAATTTAAAACAACTCCATTACACTATTGATAAATATGCCACATTATTGACAAATCAATTTTTCAGAATGCATCTATCTAGTAGTATGATTGCAACCAAATATTTCCAAATATTATGCATCATAATTATACTCTTGTTGTTCTGTCTAATTCATATACGTTAAATTTTATTTTTAATTAAATGGAAAATGCTAACTTAAAACAACATACATTACTACCTTTAAATTAGGAAAACCAAAATTAGATCAAAAATCTATGATAAAAGAATACTATTCAAATACTAAATAGAAAAAAAATTTATCCTAAGACAAGTAATATATAGAAATATAAAACTAATCTTTGATGTAAGAAAAAGGAAAGAAATTTGCTGTGAATGCTTTATTATTATTCTAATCTATAAAATGGATTCAATTTATAAATATATTGATATGATAGTCTTATAAATAGTATTTTTCTTATTAGAGGTTCTTTAATATTACAACCTTTTAATAAAGAAATTTATGGATGAATTTTATAGATCATGATTTTCGACTTGATCGTGTAAATAATATGAAATTAATTACAATGTTTTTAAAAAAGATTCATTGAGAAAGGAGATATAAAAAGAGAAAATTTTTATTTTTTATTTTTTAAATAAAAATATTGGGTTAATATATTATATTGACTCACCCATTGCTTTTTTAAAAAATCTTACTCAGTTTATGAAATTTTATCTTTACAAAGCTACTTAGATTTGAATAATATATTTTTTATTAAATTAATTGATTGTAATTATTAAAAAATTATTTGACTTTATTATGTAAATTTTATTGAACAAAAAATATATTATTTGCTTATTATAATTTCTTTCTTTTCTAATGTATTTTAATTAAATTTTTTTTTAATATAAATAAAATTTAAATAGAAAGTCTATTTTAAACAATTTAACTAATATGCAAAAGATTTATAAAATAAGTTCTTTTATATTATCATGACAGTTTTCTAATTAACTGGTTAATAAAAAAGAGTAGAGAGTCGAATTGATTTAAACATTTGATATTATTTTATCAATTTACTACAATAAAAATGATGGCATAATGATGATCATTTTATTGAAAATTAACTTAAACGAAGAAACGAAACTGAAATTGTGTAAATAGTGGATATATATAATAATTTGTATTGCATGATGACTTAATAAATTTAAATGACATATTATTGTATTCATTTTTATATAACTTAAAGAAATAGTTATCATAAAAGTTCAGAATACATATAGATGTTAAATAATTTAAATTATTGTTTATCATACAATTAATTCAGTTTCCTTAAGCAAAGGTTTCTTTTAAGTTTTTAATGTAAATTTGAATTCACTCTCGTTTGTCTCTATACTAGTGGAACTCTTTATTTGCTTTAATTATTATTCTTCACTAGCTTTTCTAGACTGATTTCTATTTATTCCTTGTTTTTCTAAATATCTTTCGTAAGTGGTTTGCCCTTTGATTAAATTATATATTTAAACTGTAAATAAAAACCTAAATCAAATAATTAATACATCACAGGCAATATAAATAAGCAACCAAATATCATTGTATAGAAAAATGTTATCCATTAAAGTACATAATTTAATTCAACATCATTTTACTACTCTTTCAAGTTTAAAACTAATATTATTGATATTATTGTACTTTAACATTGTACTACTATTTATAAAACAATGCTTAGTATTAAAGTAAATAGGAATGTTATGAATACATACTAATTCTTTTCACCAACACAATTAGAGAGCCAAGGACAATGATGATCATATTTATTAACACACTTTTAACAAATTTCACAATGTCTTGATCTAGGTGGTTTCACATCTGAACAATCTGGGCAGATTTAATCAACTTAGTAACCATCTAATAGATCCTTATAAATGTTAAATCACCCTACCATTAAGGTTTTATTTGAGCATGGTACGAATCCTGGATTTCTTTTAACTAGAATCCAAGTCAAAAGAAGAGTTATACTAAATGAACTGATGTACCAAGCCTAAAAAGATTCTAATTCTTGTTAAAATTATTAGATATATGATACTTGGCAAAGTGAATAAAATAGTAATAAGAAATGAACTGCAATATAGAGAGAGATAAATAATCATTGATTTATAGTTTTTTTCTACTTTTGAATCTGGTTATCTTAAACCAAATCTCTCTGCTATTCCCATTTTATTTTCCTAATATTTTAATATAATCATGTACTATCATTGTTTATATAGATTCAAATCTAGATTCAATTGCTAAATCAAGTGCAGTTTTTCCACTTTTATCTTTAATTTTTCTATCTATTCCTTTGATAAGTAATTTTCTCACAATACGAGAATGACCTTATTAGGTTGCCATATGCAATGCAGTTTGTCCTTTGTCTTTTGTTTAAACATTCAATTTAGCACCCCAAGGAATTAGAAAATTCACCATTAATTAAGAGCCTAAAAAAGAAGCACAAATCAAAGGGGTTTAATGATTATTATCTAAAATGTCAATTGGAATATTTTAATTAATCCAAAATAACTAAATATTAATATTAATTACACAAGTCTTAATATGATCACCCTAAACAGACATATGTAAAACAGATAATCCAGTAATATTTTTAATATCTGAATTAGCTCCAAATTATAGCAATAACTTTATGATTTCCTAAATAAATTCTCTATATATATATATACTAGATTTCCTTTAAAGGATGCCATATGTAATGGAGTTAATCCATCCTTATTCTATAAATTAATGAATTCAATCATTTGATTTTAATTTAATAAGTTAGAATCTCTACAATATGTTAGTGTAATTTCAATTAGTTTTGTATTGTTATGGAGACATGCAAAATGTAGAACTTTTAGATTTCTTATCACTAAATTACCAATTACCTGTAAATTACTTTTAGGTTTGAAATTTATGTATAGGTATGTTTAAATCAACCTAAAAAACTTCTTCTATTTACTTATCATGATTATCATGATATAATTTAAGAATTTCTTTCTGTTTCTCCATTTAATTAACAAAGTTCAGAATAATTTAATTATTGATTTTATTTAAAATTATTTTACTACCAACTTTCAATTGCTTATTCTCTGAAATGTAATAAACATCATTAAGAATTTGAAATTGTATAAAAAACTATTGTAAAGAATAATATCTAATTTAGTAATGTATTATATTTTTATTCAGAAATGTAAAGTTTTAAATATGTTTCTTATAATATTATTGAATAAGAATTTATTTTTATAATTTAATGATTCAATATTCATTACTATGCTTCAATTTATATTTTATCAAATTTCTGATAAACTATATATTTTTAATTTATATTTAAGATGGATTAGTGAATATAATTATTTGTAATTGTATTATTTTGATGCGATTAAGAAGTTTCCAATTTAAACTATTAATTAAAACTTAAATTATAAATAAATATATGATGAAAATATTCAAAATACCATTTGAAGGAATTATAGCTATAGTACTTACTCCTTTGTTGGATTTTGAAATAAGAGAGATGACAATTTTATTAAGCATAATGAGTTTTGTTTAAGTGGCTGTGCTTTTCTCTTATAAATTAAATGAAAAAAGGTATTTACAAATGAATCTAAGTTATACTATATGTTTAGCCATATTTTTTGTGGAATGTGCTGTGAAACTTTAAAATTTCAGTATTTTTATACTCTATTTCATCTGTATTGAGATAGGACAAGAAAGATCAAATAAAGGATTGTTGTAAAAACTAACTATTTTTATGAATTTTTATGCTTTAATAAGAGTGTGTAATTGGAAATCATATGATTTATATTCATTTATTGGAGGAATTTTAATGCTCTTATTACATTTATATATATTGTGGTCTAATCAATAAAAATATGACATAGATCCTTAAGCATCATATATTAAATCATATGAGAAATCAATTTTGAATATTGTACAAACTCCTGAAAATAAAAAATAATAATTCCATTCATCAGCAACAAGTTTGTAATAAGAATTGTAAGAATGTTTCCATTTCTTTAATTTAATACCAGATTCTTTGGTCTTATTAACAGCTTAAAATTTAGCTATTCATTTTTGTAATTCAGCAACATTGGAATTATTTAAGATCAGTGATAAATCTAATTTTAAAACTTGTTTAGAATAATTATCTGATGTTGTATCTACTTAGGCTAAACCAGATATTAGAGATCCAAGAGATTCATTTCCATCTTTTTAGAGTTTTTAATAAACTTTCCAGTAAGGCAAATTTTCTAATAATCGTTATTCTAAAGAAGAAATAGAATTAAATGTAATTGATTTTCATTTAAATAGTAAATTCTTTGTGATTTGAGGAATATTAAACCAAATAAAAGATTTTTTTAGATCTTAAAGAATAGTCCTCATAATACAGTTTTTATTGGAAGTTATTTAGGAAATTGGTATGAAAAAGAAGGTTGTTTAGATTTGGAATAGCCAAGAAAAAGATTATTAGAAATCAATGCTCATGCAATTTTGGTTGATGAGAAATTAATGATTTTACTATAAATAAGAGATGTAACCCATAGAGATTATATAAAATTGATGAAAAAATAATATCAAGTTAAATCAAATATAATCTCATTTGTTAGTCATGAATATAGAACTCCTCTTAATTCTATTATTTAATTTATCTCTGCTTTATAAGATGAAAGAGACCCTAATGTTTAAAGTAAGTACATCAAAATTTCTTTATTAAATTGTAAGTATTTACTTAACCTATCAAATGATTTATTAGATTTTGCATAATTGAAAGTAGGTAAATTTTCAATAAATCCTGTATAAATGGATCTAAAAAAATTGATTGAAGAATGCATGGAATTATTTAAATTAGAAGCTAATTTAAAAAAGATTAATTTGACATTAAATTATCGAAATAGTACTCCAAGATTATTAAATAATGATCCAAATAGAATTCGATAAATTATAATCAATCTTCTTGGAAATGCTTTCAAATACACTTTATAAGGATATATAGAAATTCGAGTGTCTAATTATCATAACAGTTCTTTAAAAATAGAGGTTCATGACACAGGATTAGGAATTAAAGAAGAACATAAGGAAAGACTCATATAAGCATTTGCTAAAGTTGAAGATTCAGAAAGTAAAAAGTTAAATCCATAAGGAGTTGGATTAGGGTTAATGATTAGTAATATGATTGCTAGAAATTTGAGTTTTAATGAAAAAGGATTACAATTTCAATCATAATATTAAATTGGTTCTTCCTTCTGGTTTTATATTGCAAAGAATATATAAGAATCAGATATTTTAGAAGAATCAGAAGATATAGATGAAGAAAGCCCAGAAAGAAGATAATCATTATGGAGATACAATAATATCAAGACTTAACATATAAATAAATGTTAATGTGCTAATATTTTAATTGTTGATGATAATGCTTTCAATATAGAAGTTCTTAAATTCTTAATTTTAAAGATTGATTAATCTCTTAAATTAGAATACTCTTTAGATGGCCATACTGCTATCTAAATGGTAAAATCTAATAGATGTAATAAATGCAATGGTTATAAATTAATATTTATGGACATTGATATGCCTACAATGAATGGCATATAAGCCACTTCTATAATTAAGAAATAATATCCAAAAATTCAAATTATTGGTTGTTCAGCCTATGCAAAATAAGAGGAAGAAAATTTAGCAATTTAAAATGGAATGGATGGATATTTAGTTAAACCAGTATAAATTGAATAGCTTAAAAATTATTTAAAACTAGAACTTTGATAATTATTATTATTTTCGTTAAACATTCATGTATAAACTTTGCAAAATCTCCTTCTGAAATTAAGCTAGATTTATTATTTAAATAGAATAATAAGAGTTATTGAAATTAAGATACAAAATTATTATTGATTATAATTAAGTAATTGAGTAATTGAGAATTTAAATTAAAACTTATATTTAAATATGATCAAAATATGGGATTATTAGTTTCACAATTCATTCGTTTAATACTTTTGTTTACTATTTCTTCAAGTTTATTACGAAATTCATTATATTTGATAACTTCCTTATCTTAAGGTGAAAATTTGGTGATACGATGTGTCATTATACTACATCTTTGTTTTATTTTCTTGGTACTTTGTTAATCAATATCATTTAAACTTGAGAGAACAGATTCATTTGGTGTTTGCTATTTAAATCCCTTAACATAATGACTATTATTAAAATCTAATTTGTAAGAAAATCTAATAGCCAAAATTATAAAAATTAAGATACTTTTTTAATCTCTTCAGCAGGTTCTGTGATTGTAATATTACCAGTATAAGCTCTTGTTAATTCTTTCAATAATTTAGATCTCTTTTCACAATTTTATTTAGGATAGAAGGGAGTTGCCTTTTCTATATATTTAGGCTAAATATCAAAATATTCCTGTCTAACTAAGGGAATAGTATCATCAAAGACATTCAATTCTTAAATGAGTGTATTGGGTGGTTTTTTTAATTGTAAAATATATTCTGCCATTTCGTAGTACATCATTTTATTTTTGACATCTTTCAATTAATATTATGGAACTCTGCTTCTATACTGTTGTTCTGTTGAAAGAGAACGCAATTTAGTTAAAGTTTCTTATGAGTCCATTTCATTAAATGAATACTTTAGATCTAAGTCAGTATAAAATTATTTTAATTATTCCATTTTCTCTTGCTCTTCTTTATTTTAATCTTATATTTACCATTCAGAATCATTGCTATATTCTTCTCGCATAGATTATTCATAATTCAATCTTCCTACCATCTACCAACTATTCTTATTTATTATTATTACCCATTTAATTGTTTAAGTTTGTCTATTTTTGTGTTGAAAATCTTGAACCCAGGTGGTCCATGTTTTTGTTATGTAGAATCAATTTTGCAATGTTAACCTTTACAAAATTTTAATGCTTAATTTCTTTTCATTCCTGCTTATCTGAGTCTGTCATAGATGATGGCATCTTGAGTTGAGAATTCACTAGCTCTTTCTGTAGGAAGAAAACGAGAACATTATTTGTAATATCCAAATTCACTGATTGTAAATTTATTATTTGATGATCCATTTGATTTTGGCGATTTCATTATTTAATTTAATAAAATTTATAAGTCATATCAATTAAATTTGTTTTTATTTTCTTAAGCATAATCCCAAATCTCTTATTACTAACTAATATAATAATAAGTAAATTCTTTTTATTAAATCCCCATATATTTTGATATAATACCATCTTTTTTATTACAAAATTAATCTTTAGCTTTACTCAAATATTTATTGATCATATCCTTAATTGTTTAATGACTAATAATTATATATTGAAATACGTTTATTAATTTGGAACAACTTAGTGTAATTATTCATTAAGTTCTTCTATGAATTAAATTAAATGCTTAAAATAAATATCAGCATAATCAATAAATTCAATTATATTCATTAATAACCAAATTTACTATTGATAATATTAATCCTAATTATAAATAAGATTAATTACAAATTTATCTTCTAAAGTATTAGTTTAGAAATCCAAATTTTTAGCATAATCGAAAATACAATCATGAAGTTTTCTTTCAATTAATAAATAGGTTTTTTAACTTTCTTATTGTGCAATTATATCCTTAATTTTTTGTTATTTTTTTTGTTAAGCCTATAGACCTAAAAGTAATTTCTAACATTTAGCTTATTAATCATATAATTTTAGCATGTCTAACTATATTAATTCCAATTCCTCACATCTTTTGTTTGAATTAGTACCATTCCACCAATTCTTTAATTATCCAAATGATTAAATACTTTTATCTATTACTATTTATAGATTTTATGCCAAACCTCCTTTCATATTGAATTAACCTTACATTCTTTTATTCTCAAATTCCTATTAATCTCCTTCTTCGAAAAACTAATGTTAGATAAAATTTAATATTACATTTCTGACAGAACTTGAAAGTATCAATTCTTAATGCATAGTTATAATATTTATAACATTCTACAACAATCTTTTTCTCTCTTCTACATCTTGGTTACTAAGTTTTCCCACTCTAATTCCAATAGGTAGTTGTGGTAATATGAGCCAAGGAAATCGAATTGTTAGTTCCTTCAACAAAAACTTGAAGTCATTATATCTTCTCTTTACTTTGACAGTGTACCCTAATTAAGAAGATTTGGTTTCTATCTAATAATATAAAACATCATTATTTATTTCTATATGGTTGATTTCAGCCCTTAGATTCTACACTCAATTAAATTACTTAAATACTTTTTCTGATTCTAAAGTAGGAAATCGTTATAGACTTAAATTAGAAATGTTGATTGACATTAAGAATGGTTTCGAATGATTTATTTCCTTTCCATTTTCTTCTAAGATACCTTCTTTATTTTCATCTTCAAATATGGTATTATTATGTTGGCTTTTTCTATTTGTGAAAGTAAATGTACTATTTAGAAAGTAAGAGATTTTGATTTTGGGTTTCTTAAATGAACTTTTCTGGTTCTGAATCAGATTCATCAATTTATTCATCAGTTAAAATATTCATTAAAGTTGATTACTCGAAAACTGTAATGTTTGGTTTTTGCATTTGATAAGATTCATATTTCTATAAATTTATATGACTTTGCATTTTAAATTTAATATATAAAATATATTAGTCAATATTATTAAAATTCTAGATTCATAGAGTACATATTGAGTTATTAAAATAAACATTAAATTATTAATACTAATTGAATAATTGATAGTATTTTTAAAATAAATTAAGTATAAAGATTATTGATATTAAATGAATAAAAGTATTAGTTTTATAGTATTTTTAAAAGGATAATATTAAAATATAATCACTTTCTTTTCAAAGTATCAAATTTAATTGATAATAGTATTTTTTTAATTATATTGTGTTAACTATAGTCATTATTAATTTATTTTGATTTGAAATGAGGTAAAGTGATATATATATTAAAAAAGAGTATCATTTATTTCATTTTTTTAATAAATTAAATTAGTCAATTTATGAATCAAGCAAAGCTAAGGCAATTTTAGAATTTTAATTTTGAAAACAATGTTGTTTGGAAGGATTTTATTAAAGAATTAGATCCTAAAATGTATATTGTAAATTCTAATAATAAGACCTAAAGAAAGATTTGAGAAGCTTAAGAAAATTTGGTATAGGGATAATATTGATCCAGAGTTTGATCCTGAATTTATTAGTAATACAAACTCACAATATACTCATCAGAATCATACTCATACTGAAAAAGAAATTACTTCTGACTTATATTAATAAAGTAAACATGCTTTTCATATTAGCCCTTGTTTTTAAAATTCTTTTTGGTATAGAGAATTTTCTAAAATTGGCATTTATTGTAACTTCTTTCATCCCAATCGGCCCTAATACATAATTTGCTATGTTAGCCTGTATTTTGGGTTTGTATAGATAATGCAAATTTCCAACATGGACTACTGATTATGGAAAGTTAGTGCTAAAAAATGAATTTACTCAAAATCTATTGTTTCTATTTGGATATTTCTTTGTTTACTCTTTCAAGACAGTATTTAATGTTCCATTGATTTTACACTTTGTTCTTGGTTTAGCTAGTTATGTGTTGAAAGTGCAAGGTCCAATTTATCAAAGTATAAATAAATATTTATTTTTAGAATTTAAAAGTTAAGTTGATTAGATAATTTCATTGTAAGAACAAATTTATAAACTAAAATACAGAATTGAAATAGCATTAGTTCCAGCAAGTTTTGTATTCCTATTATTAGGAAGGTCATCTCTATTTACCTTCATTTACTTTGCAAATTTTATTCGAATGAAATACTTATTAATTGATAAATTTTAAGTAGAATGCAAATATGTAAATTAAAAGTATTTGGAACCATACAAATCAAATCCAATATTAGATTTCATAATTTCAAAGGTCTAATAAATTCATTCATATTTGGTAAATTTTATATGAGTATACAATTTCATGTTAAAAAAATTAATATACATAAAAATTCTAAATATTATAATCAATTTTAAAATATTATGTTGAAACTCAGAATATTTCTTTGGAGATATAAGTAAAATAAATTACAAAAACAAACATTTATTGGATCTCTTAAACTTGCTAAATAGGAATCCAATATTTTACATAATCATTTCTTATAATTACAGTAAGTACCTGATGAATAGAAAGCTAAATGGAAATAAATTAATTTGAAGAAGGAAATGGAAGAATTAGTATTTAACATTAAAGCTAAAGCAAAATTGATTAAAATGCCCAATTTAAATAAATAACAAATTTTAGAAGCACTAAAATTATATAATCTTTCAATCTAAGCATTATTAGAAGGAAAAAGAGAAGTTGTATAAAATGATAAATTTGTATTTAAAGATGGACAATCCTTATAATAGAAAGTGGATAAAATTAAGGATTTTTTGATGAGAATTACAAATTAATGAGTGTGTTTAATTATAACAATTATATTATTATTAAAATATAATCAATATTATTATTTTTAATTATCCTATAAGAAGAATTTAGTTTCAATATTTCCTTATACTTTATTTGTTTATTTTATATTAATAATCAAGAGTAGATATAAGTTCTTAATTAAACTAAGGATTATAGTTTTTTTATTGTTAATATTGTTAATATTGATAAAATTAAATTAAAATTAAGAATACTCTTTTATGTATTAAGATAGAATCTCTAAAATAGTAATAGTTATTATTTAATATATTTTTCATTATTAATATTATAATAGAATAAAGGTAAATAAAATCATTATAACTCTAATTATAGGCATATTTATCAAACAAATTAGAACACTATATTGAAAGTTATTAAATAGAATTGATTAATTATAACAATATAATAATATAAATTTATAATGCTAATCAATTGATTTAAGGGTTAAAAACTTGTTTTTATCCCATCAGACTCTATGTTTAAATTTAAAGTAAATACCTAATAGGAGGCTTATTGCTATTATTATTAAGGTTGAAAAGCATTGTAATTCATATCGTTTTCAATTTCTGCCATTTCTCTATCTAATTCACTTTCATCTATATCACATCCATAATTTCTATTCATCATCTCATTCATATAGTCTGTTTCAAACTTCATATCTTCCATGTCATCCATGATGTCTATTGATATTTATTATATATAATACCATCTAGTTTATCCATATCGATTTCTTTGAATGCTTCTTTCTGAACAGCAACAACCTATTACATTGCTTAAGCCTTATGTAAGAAATCAATTAAGTACCATTTCAAGAGTATTTTAAATGTTTTCTTTAGTGAAAGCAACTTAATCTAATGTCATTTAATTATTAAGCATTTATCCTAATTATTGTTCCAACCTAATCTTAGTTTAAGTAGATACATCTTCTTTCTCTTGAGAAGCATAACGGCTCTTGACTTAGCTGTGGTTTATTGAACACCCTTAGAGTTTTTGGCTTTGTAATATTGCTCACTTATCTGTTTATCCAATTCTTATATTTATTCAGTCAATTCTTTAACTTTTGCTTCAGACTACTTTAGTAAATGAAATATACTCTTTTTTATTATTCTGTCAAGTCTATAACCTTAGGTTATTGTGGATTTTATGGAGGAGGTGGCTATTATTTGGGAGGTTCTTATTTAGAAGTACCAAAAAGACGATTCATTATGGAATATTATTTAATTAAATAAATTTAAAGATTATGATAATGACTTATAAATTAATATTATATAGAATAAAATGAAACCTTATAAACAAAAATATAAATATTTTCAAATGACCATCTATTATATAATTTTCATTATAAATATGAATCATTGAATCTAATCACTGTTTTTATCAGAATATTACTAAATAAATTAAAATAGAAAAAAAGATTAAAGAATTAGATTTTTAATAATTAAAGAATCTCGATAAGTTGAAGTTATCAATTATCTTTGTAATAAATAATATTTTGATTATAAAAAACATAAAATTTTTATAATTTATTTTTTTATATGTTTGATTTGATATCATATTGTTTAATTGTTAATGCCAAGATAATTAATGATATCTTGTGGTTAGACTTACATATTTTATTTTCCAAGGTCTTTAAATACTTCCTAAAATACATCAGGTTAAAAAAATGAACAAATTTATAAGCAAAAATAAATTAATTGCTTTAATTAAGCTAATTCCTTATCTTAACTATTTTGGATTATTTCTTTATTTAATACTTAGAGCAATATTTCAAGTTCCACTTTATAACCATCATCATAGAATTCCTATGAGTTTAAAACCAAATTGTGATTTTAGACAGTAACACTTATCAATGATTATTTTGTAGTATTGTGGATTGGAGAATCAACCTATAAGAAATTCGAACAATGTTATTCAAATATATCTATTGTTTCGTGTGTTAATTCATTCAAATATGAATTCATTTAATCAGATGTAGGTAAATTTTTTTCATATTACTCCAAAAAATTTTTCCAATTTTAATCATAATTATTTTTAAAAAAACAATCTTATTTTAAATAATTGCTCATTTCCCTTAAAATAATAAGATGCATTTTTTTAACAATATATACTAGTACTTATATATAGGGATGTTTATATTTGGGTAAAACAGTATTAATTTTCTCTGCTGTATATTTCAATAAATAACATTTGAGACAATCTAATTAAATTTATAGCCAATAAGTATAAAAGCTTTAATGTGAAAAATAAGGTGTATTCATTATAATACTTAAATAATCAGGAAAATTTTGTATTTTATTGATATCAATTTTATGTTGAGATAAAATTCTAATTTTTGGATTTTAATTTCTAGGAGAGGCACTTTTTTGATTTTTAATAATTAATGATTCTGCTGGGATTATTTATGGAGTTTTTCTTTGAGAGGATAAATATGAACGAACTATAGGTAAATAAAAAGAATCGATAATTCCTTCTTGATAATTTTGAATTTATTCTCGATTTTTATAAAATTCAATATATTCTTATTGTTTTTCAAGTTTAAGATCTTAAATGTATTAATGTTGATAAATTTAATAAAATGATAATCGTTTCTCTCGATTACATGTAAGCAAAGCTTCGACAAAAGAAAGTAGATTTTCTTTGTATCTGATAGTTTTACAAGGAATAAATTCAATGCTATTTAAATATTCATAATATTATTCTATTCTATCATATTTATATAGTTCAAATTGATTATTACCTATTTCAACATGATTTATTGATCTAAATTTGATTAAGTGATACAAAATTGTACCAATTAACCAAGAATCAAATTTTAAATCAAAATCCTTTTAGTTTTCATCTAAAACAAGTTTAAAAAAATAATACTTTTATCAATTATTTATTTTAAATATTCAGGTGGTGCCAATATATCAAAATTATCTTACTTAATATCTGGCCCAAATCCAAAATCCATTAAAACAAGCCTATCATTTGGTTTAACAAATAAAACATTATTACAAGAGAAGAGTCTTCCAGGTATTTATCTTGAATGTAATTCATATAAGGCTATTAGTAAGTTTTTAAGAAATAATTTTATTTCAGCATAAGAAAAAGATTCTTTAATTTTACCTTTATCCATCACCTTTTGATCTAAAAATTGACTATTTTCATAATAATCAAATAAATAAAATTATTTTTCTTAATATAGTAGCATTCCCTAAAACTATCTAAATAAATCATAGTGTAATGATTTTTATAGAGAGTCGAACTATTAGATTATATATTGACTAGAAATCTCTTACTTAGAATATTCAAGTGCATAATGTTAAGTTAAAGTATTCTGGACAATCTTTTCAATTTTAAATACTTTTCCTGAATTAGTTTATAAAATGGGAAATAGAAATGCAATTGACTCGTTCATTTAATTATTTATTAAATTTACAATTATAAATATAGTACATATTTTTCACACAATATTCATTTTAAATCCATTAATCTTCTAAAATTGATTGGGAATCTTATCATTCATTTGAGAGCAGATGAAAAAGAAAAGAATTAAATTTTATTTATATTTATAATGATATAAATAACTAATATTTTTTGAAGTATTGAAAAATATAATTTAAAACAGAAAAATCTAATAGCTTAAATTAATATTTATGTACTATATATCTCTTTTACTAATTGTTAAAAATAAAACTAATTAATATTTAATTGTTAGATTAAATTCAGAAAATACTACTCTTTTTATAAAATTATGAATGGATCTCATTATTATTAATTAAAATAATTATTTTTCTGATTAATATCTTATAGAATCAGAATTAGTTATTTATTATATTAAAATTATTATACTATTTAAGTAGGAACATTAATTTTATTCGAGTTTAATCAAATGAAAGATTTTATTTAAAACAATTTAATGATGTTATTACAAAATTCATTTTGAAAGAGAGATGCTATCATATTATTTGTCAATTTTAAATACAAAAATTATAGATAATATTATTAGAATTCTTTTGTTATGTTATTTGATTAAAAAAATAAACATTATTTATTAATATAATTGGTTTTATTATAAATAAATATATAAAATCAAATGAAGAGAATGTTAGTAAGAGATTTTATTTATGATCGTCTATATCATCCAGTTGAAGGATATTTTGTTAAGAATATTCAACTAGGAGCACTCAAAAATCCTATTGAATTTAAATAATTATTAGGTTATGAGGATTATACAAAAAAGTTAGCAGAAAATTATCCTGAAAATTAATGGTTAACTCCTTCTGAAGTTTTTAGACCTTATTATGGAATAACATTAGGAAATTATATAAATTAATAATTTCGATTCACTCGTAAAGAGAAATTGAGAATTGTAGAAATTGGTGCAGGATATGGTGCAGCATGCGAAGGTGTCTTATATTATATGAGAAATCATTAACCTCAAACATTTTCAAATTTGGAATATCATTTAGTTGATATTTCACCAGAAGCATGTGTTTAAGCAGAAAAAAGATTATCTCAAGATTTCAAATAATAAATCAAAAAAGGAAATTTACGAATCTTTAATTAAGATTTTTTGAATTACAAATAGCATACTTAAAACAATGAAATGTGGTTTTTTGTATTTCTTGAAGTTTTTGATAATCTTGCCCATGATAAAGTAATTGATGGGAAATAAGTTTATGTCGAAAACATGAAAGAATATACTGAAACAATCACTGATCCATTAATTAATGAAGTATATGCTATGTATTAGTAATTTAAATAATAAAACAAAAATTAAGATGAAAATATTGAAGATAGATTCTTATTTAATACATTAAGAAAATTGATTAGTAAATATTATGGAAATTAGAAAGTAATATAAAAAATAATTAAGAGTCTAATAGTATATTTCTACCAACTGGAGCATTATAAGTATTGAAACATATCAAATCTAATTTTCATAATCCCTCTTTAGTAATTGCTGATTTTGATTTACTCAAAAATAACTTTACCCAAGAATCTATTAATGCTCCAATAGTATCTAAAAAATTGACTAAACCTCATGAAAGATTAGATTATGAATCATATTTAGTAGAAAGAGGAGCTGCAGATATCTTCTTTCCAACAGATTTCAATTTTGTTTAATATATGGTTAAACAAATTTTAGGTTTGGATTCTTAAATCTTCAAGGCATATTAATTTGCAGATTAATTTTCTTAGAGTTCTTGGACAACAACTAAATCGGGTTATAATCCTTTGAAAGAGGATTTTGGTAATACAAGCTTTTTAGTCACTGATCATAGTTGAATTATTTAATACATAATATAATAAATTGATGTTAATAGGTGAAAATTATATGATTATTCTTCTTAAATATGTTTATTAAATTTGGAATATAAATGATATTGATATAAATATAATATATATTAACAGTCATTATGGATGAAGAATTTATTAAAGTGATGCTTTCTATTGAAGAAACCTATTAAAATCTAAATAAACATTAGAAAATTAGGGTTGAAGCTTGGACTAAGAAATTATGTTAAGTGACTACTAATGAAGTTTGGAAAAAGAATCGAAATTTATATGCTCGCATCTTATTAAATTAAGTTTAAAAGGGAATACTTTCTGAACCATTTGATAAAAGACCTCCTGAAGGTCCCTTACCTAAATTAAATAGATATCTAGTTTTAAGTGATTAAAAAGAGAATGCTCGTCCTTATACTAATAAAAAAGACAGTCTCTGTTTTGAATAACAACAATAATAATAGTAATCTGTAGAATGTCCTAATCTTTAAGAAAAAATGCTAAAATTATTAATTGATTGCAGATAATATTTAGAGAAAAAGACCGATCATGAAGTATAATTCAAATTTGATTTAAAATTAGGCAATATTATTAAAGGAATAATAAGATTAATTCTTTATATATCTTCAAGAGGTTAATCAACCTTATATACTTGAATAAATAGATGAAAAAACAGAAGAGAATGAAGATTAACAAAAAGATACTATGCAATTTTTGTAATATTTAGATAATTTTGAGAAGAAAACTGAGAAATTAAGAGTGGAAACATAAAAATTACTTCATGGAAACAATATTTAATATAATGTTTGATTTTATTTTAATTATTTGGATATATCACCTACTTTATTTAGTTTATAATTATCCATTTCCAAACACTGATCTTTCAATATTGCTTTTATGGCCACTATATTATTTGATATCCTTTTTAGCTCATTTCTTTATTAAAAAGAAGATAATTTCATATCTTATTATGTTATCTCCATTAATTATTAGCACATTAATAGAAACAACAATAACAGAGGGCATATTTTCTACATGCATAGCATGTATTTTCAGGTAAACATTTGATATGATTGATTTAGCATGAAAATGTACTCTTACATTGTAAGTGAAGAAAAACTAGACTTAATTCAATACAATCAATATCTATGGATACCATGTTTAGTTTGTTAACCTAGAAAAATGGTTTTTAAGAAACAAAGAAACTTTATTTAAATATTCAAATGTATCATAAATTCCACATTAATAATATTATGGGACTTTTATTATATTACATATGAAATAAAGTCTAATTATATGGAAGTTGACTTAGTTAAATTTATAATAAATTATTCATTTAGATTAGGTATTCTTATTGTTGTCAATCACTATTTAATTTTTGATTATCTTCTAGGTTTATTCAAAGAAATCACACAAGCTGAAAATATCATTTTTTATGAAGATTGGTGGAATGCTGATGGCTTTGGATAATTAAATAGAAAATGGAATAAATAAGTCCATAATTTTCTTAAAATCAATATATATTAAAGGTTGAGTAAAAATGGATAAAATACTAAGGCTCTCATCATGACTTATCTTGTTACAGCCTTACTTCATGAATATTGCATAAATGTTTCACTCAAAACTTTGAGATTGTACTTTTTATCCTTTAGTTTTTTCTAATTCATCTTGATTCCCTATCAGAAATATATTCCATTATCTAGATATGTACTTTTTATTTAGATATTATTTGGGAATAGCTTATTGATATATTTGTATACGTATTATTGAATATATTAATATAATATATTTTATTATTTATTATCTCATATTTTAATAATATTATTTAATCTAATACTATAAAATAGTAGTTATATATATATAATTTAATAAAAATAAAAAAAATAAATTTCAATTTATAATTTATTAGCACAAAGGACAATTATTATGATTTGCTAACCATTTTGACATGCAATAATAATGGAAAATATGAGTAGCATGACATTTTAATTTATGTACTCTTTACCCTTTTGAAATTTTATCTAAACAAAAACAGCATTCTCCATAATCTTCTTATGCATTCTCTACTAAGTTATCTATGATTTACTGACTATTAATTCTTCCTTAATCATTTATTTATACATCTATTGCAATAGGCAAGATGATATTTTACTATTAAAATGAATATAATAATATACTCTACGATCCTCTAATTGATATGCAAAATATTTTCTCTTAATTTAGTGAACAACTCGTGCAAATTATTCAATAAATTACCAAAACATTAAAGCTACTATTATAGCTGTATCACAATATAAATAAGATTCAAGACTGTACATTTATACTATTGTAACATTATATATCTAATAAAAAGGGAATTTGATTAATCCATAAATTGTTTAGATGTACAATAATATAAATGTTAAATTTCTCCAAAATCTAAATTTCTTACAAAAAACTAAAGATCTAACCAAAATAAACCATCCTGTGAAACATGGAATATTTAAACTATATATTCTCACATCTTAAATATCTGGAATTTATTTGTAAATAGTTTTAAGTTATTTATATATTCTTGAACATAATATTATGCAACTTACATTCAAGATTGCTACTATAATTGAAAATATTTTATTATTTGTTTCTTCATTATTCTTGGCTATCATTATATACAAAGCTAATTTAATTCCATAATATCCAATAGAACCAAGCATAAAGATTATTGCAATCATTGTAATACCTCTTTTATATAATTTCTCCTCTTACAAAGATTCCTTAATGTGAAAAGTAAAGACTATTTCCCTAGAATAATCTTTAAAATCAGCCAACATTTTTATTAGCTAGATCACCAAGTAAAACTACAATAAGAATCCAAAAATAAAGATGATAACAAAAAGTACAATTGAAATTGAAATATCTAATTTAATTATGAAATACTTTATGTGAACTCAAACTTATCATTATGATATTTCAATCTTGTTATGAAACTAAGAGTACTATGAAATATTATGATAACTAAGCATTTTAAAACATATTTTGGAAACCATAAATCTGAATTATTTAGAATTGAATTATGTAACACTTTCCATGATTAAAAGCAATTATAATTATTAATTTCTGCATTGATCAGATTAATTGTTTATAATCTATACAATATATAACAGTGTATTCCCATTAATAATAATGCTGTAATTATATAGAGAGTTCCATAAATCTTTACTTCTTAATCATTCACTGAACCTGCTAATATACAAGCTAACAAAGTTACTATTCCAGAGAATATTATTAAGATCCAAGTGTAAATTTTTGTTTTGAGTATTACTTTTTATAACATTTTATAATAATTATTAAACCCATCCTTATTTTTTAATAAACTAACCTTATGGAATAATAATTATGTATGAATATAAAATGAGATTAAAGTTATTGGAATATATTACCATTCAAAGTCTAATGATAAATTAAATTATTTTAAAACATATTAATTTTATCATGATTACTTTTATATTATTGTAATTATTTTATAGATATTAATAAAATTAATGTCACTACTATAATTTTATTAGATTAATTAAATGTTAATAATAATAATTATTTCTATCCTTATAATTTTGAATAAAGAATAAATTCATTATTTTAAACATCTGATGTATTACTTAAATCAATATATTTATGAAAATATATCAAAAAGGATTTTTTAGAATTATTTAATCAAAAATTAGAATTCATAATAGAAACTCTTAATATTATTCTATGTTAATTTGAGATTTCCAAAAATTATTATATTTTTATTTAAATAAAGATGTGAGATCAACAAAATTATTATAATATATATATCAAGACATAAAGTTACTTCCAGAGTATCTCATCATTTACCGCTATTGACTAGAGGAAACTTATTTGATAGTTAATATTTACTTAATTTATTTTATAAACCTGATGATACTAGTGAAATTGAATCTACACGCCCTCTATCATTTTTAGTTGATGAATTTTTAACAATAAATCTAGTTACTGATTGTGATGATGATTTGTATATATTTCTTGTTGGAGTTACACTTAGAAATTCTTACTATTTTTTCATCTTTCCCATTTGAATAAGCCATTATCTATACATCCAATCATCTGTCTATACTGATTTATCAACCATAAGTGGTGGATCAGGTTGTTTAGCTTACTCAATTTATCTTAATCTTTAAGGGGCTTAGATTCTATAAAGAGTATTCTTAGGTTTTTAACTGCTCATTGGAGGTTTTTAGTCTGAATTTTTAGAAGGTGATTCTTATAAAATAGATGCTTTTTATGAGTTTAATGTAGATTTTGGATTAACAGGTTAAGGTTTTTTTTTATTATTAAATTCTTATTACTTTAAGTAATTTTTTTGTTTAGTTGAATAAGTCTTGGGTTAAAATAATTGAACTAATTCATCATCTGATAATTCAGCTTCAGATTAACTAGAATCTGATCCGTTATCTTAATCATCAGTTTATGGCATCTTACCTAATTCTTCAAGTATTTACTATTAAATATCAGGAACATTTGCTTAATTGGTAAATTCTTTTGATGTATCTTTAACAATTTATGATAGAGCATTGCAAATACTAACACCACAATTAAGATAATCTTTGACCTAGAAATGTTTTTTCTATTAACCATAAAAACTGCATTCATAAGTATAAACCCAATTAATTTTTAATTCTCTCCATAATTATATTCTGGCTGTTTTATCTTTTGAATTCTCAATTCTAAATGTACAAGAGGGATAATCCATAAATGGATTTAATTTAGCCATCAATAAAGCAAAGACTCTTTCAATTGTTTTAACTTAAGAAGAATAGGCACATCCATAAACAAATGAAGATTATCTTAATATAATAAATATTATAAATTTACTTTCTAGAATGACCATGCAAATCAATTACAAGAATGATTTATCTCTCTTTACTAAATCCTTTAACATACTTTTTAGCATAATAAACACTAGGATGTAGATATTTATTTGGCTTTTTCCATCTTCTATTTAAATCACTGCCTTCCAATCCACATCTATAATTTCCATTAACAACTCCATCTGGATTCATCATTGGGAATATTTTAAAGATGCAATTCTATCTCAAATATTCAGCCTATGGATTATTAGATGTAAGAAATTCTATAATTCCTTGCATTACATAAGAACCTTAAGGTTCACCTGGATGTTGTCTAGCTAGAAATACAACACCTTTTCTATAGGCTCTACGTTAAAGTGTATTTTAAGTTATGGTTAACACTTCACAAGTATTTCCACCAAGAGTAGTACATAGAACTTTACGTGATAGATGTCTATATTATATTAATATAGATTACTAATTTCTTTCTTGATCATCTAATTGTGTATTTAAGAATTCTAATAAATTTGTATAAGTGTATGGATAAGAATGAGCAAAGTAGACCTTATCATCATTATGTTTGAATGTGTAATGAAATCTTAACTGATAGTATTTCTTTTTTAAAGAAAGTGGATATTCCTTCATAAATGGACTTTTAAAATAGCTAATGTTGAATCCATCTCTACACCATTCAGTTCCACTTAATTGGTTATCTTTAATAGAATAGACAGCTGGTTGCAATCCCTCATTAAAAAGACTGCCACTTTTCAACTAGATTGTTATGAGAAACGATCTTATACATGATTGAGCAAATTAAATTATATGGTCTATCCTGCCTTAGCTCCAGTTACACTAAAAAAGAACCATTAAGTGTTTCCCCTTGTATTAATATCATTTTAGATGACCAAATCATACACATTTTCTGATTTCTTAAAGGCACAAAAGAGGTTGCCTGATTCAAAATTTGAATCAAATTGAATTTAATCAGAAGCGCAGGATGTTAATTTTTAATCAAAAAGTGCTTCTCCTCTAAAGTAAACTCTTGGCTGTGCTCTTTGTTTAGCATTATAAATACCTTTTAAAATTAGCAATTAGAGTGGCAAAATATGTTCTGTCATTACTAGTCCTTTTTCCTAAATCCAACTGATCAAATCGCTTATACACAAGATTTTGTTTATTTTCATCATAATAATCAAGAAGAGTTCTATTATCATCATTAATAGGAGTTTCAGAAATTGCACAATTACGTTGTGTTGATTCTTCTAAAAAAGGGACATAAGTTTTAAAAAATTATGGAAGTGATCTAAATGTATTAAAAAATAATTATTACTTAAGTGGGTATAATGATTTAACATCAATATCAATTGTCAATTTCCTGGGAAGTAATTCATTTGCAGGAGGTAATTTTGTAAGTGTTTCATACACCTATATATCATCCTCACTTGAACTGTCATTGTTATTATTATTGTTGGAATTCATTAATTATAATATTTAATTGTTATATTCTAAGGGTTAGGATCTATAACAATTCCTTTACCCTTTCATCAACAATTCATATATACTAAACCTAAATATTAAATGAATAATAATAAATTCCAGTCTCAGTAATGGCAAATGTTATATGCAAAACATAAACAGACAGTAGATAAAATAGAACATCGTGAATATAAATTCCTTAATGAAGTAGAACTCTAATTATAGAGATGTAATTTCTTATATGATAAATCTAGAAAGGGATGCCAACAAAAAGGTCAAAAATAGTTAATATTTCAAATAAAAGTAAATACTCTCTCGTATCATTGAATCTAATCTCATTCTCTCTAAAAAATTGTATTATATAGAACATAGAAAATAAGCAAAGTTCATGTAAATAACTAATAAAATTTATTGTGAAGCACCGATTCGTTGGTCAACCAAATCATTAAGAGAAGAAACTTATAATAAAATCAAAGAAGAAAATCATAAATAGTTCAAAAGAATTACTCATGTCAAAGGAACTCTACAAACTTAATGATTAATTATAAAATTCTAAATATTCCACAATCAGCTTTATAATTCATTAAAAACATAAAAAAATTTAAAGATTAAAAGTATATCATTAAAATTCTTTTGTATTTTTATAGGACTTCCACTTTGAATTAGATATTGTATTAAATGACATTGTTGGTTTATGAACTATATTTCTTTAAGATTTGCTATAACTAAATTAAGGAGAATCCAATTGTTTACAAGATTTAATTATGGAATATTTATTTTAAATTTATTTTTGCTATTCTAAGTCTCTTGTTGAAATACGATTTAATACTAATTTGTTGATATCTTAAGTTCTTCTGATTTATTCAAATTATTTAATTTAAAATGATTTCTAACTTTGAGGAGAAGAAATTATTGATTTTTATATTATTATTTTTTTCTAATTTAATTAGAGTTCTTTACTAATTCCTTTAATATATATACGATGGTTCTTTATTATAAATTACTTCATTTTTTTATCCCTTTTAGGTATTGATAAGTCTTCATACTTTCTTTAAAATTGAGTTAGATATCCACATTCAGAACATTCACAACTTCTCCTTTTTAATCTAGTTTAATTATCAACACTATATTAATCAAAATTCATGGATCCTTTGAAATATTTATTAACAATAGAAATCGAACGATTTGAGTTCCTTAAAAGTCTTCCATTTTCACTATCCATTAGACTTAATTCACTAGGAGTTTCAGTCTTAATTTCATCACATAAACTTAACTTTCTTAAATTCTCTACTTGATTCTAGTAATCAATTTCTTTTTAAGTTGGTAAATTAGCATGTTGTTATTAGAATTGATTAATCTTTCCACATTAATTACAATAACATGATTTTCTTCTGGTTGGATGCTCAAAGTGAAATGTGTTTATTTTGTTTAAACTTTTACTTCTAAAATCAATGATGTTTACTGAAAGATAAGAATTCATTATTTCTTATCAAAATTAGAATTAATTATTTTGTACTTTTATATGAAATATATATTTGACTTATAAATACTATAGGAATTTAAATTAGATTTATTTTTGAAATATATATTAATAAAAATTTTATAGAAAGACCATTTACTTTAAGTTAAGTATTGATAAATACAATAATTGATAATATAAGTAATGATTTTAAATTTCATAATTAAAAACAACAGATATTTAATATGACATATTAATTATTTTTTTTGATTAATTAATGATTATCCAATTCATCAATATATTAGAAGAGTAATTGCAAAAGATAAATTTCATCAATTTTGAGATTGACCTTTTCGTAATTCTTCTTTATATGGTAATATATATTACAATATTATGTATAGATAATTTGTACTCCACTTGGATTTTTGTTTCATTACATCAAGAATCCAAATGGAAGACTTTATTATAATCTATTTATGGGAATATTCTTTTCAGTGATTATTTGTAAAGAATGGTTTCCTTTGATGTTAGGATGGACTATTGTTATTTACTTTATTGCATAAATCTTTAAAAAATGTGCATTACCTGTTTCCATAGTTGCATTTGGTGTTCTATCCTTTGTTCATATCTATAGACTCATCTATTAGTACCTGAGTTGGAGAATGGATTATAATGCAATTCAAATGTTGTTAACAGCAAGATATATATTTTATGCTTGTGACAAATAAGACGGAAAGGTATAAGGTAAAACATCTTTTATGATGTATTTGTCATACATTTTTATGTTCCCCAATCTAGTTGTCGCACCAATTCCATATTATGCATTTGTTAGTTTAATAGAAAGAAAAACCGATTATTCATATTATACACCTAAATTTGCTTTGATTTCATTTCTTAAGGCCTTAGCAGTTAGTATGGCAGAATTACTTATAAGACCTCATTTTGATACAGATTGGTATTATTCAGATGAATGGAAATATCAATACAGTTTATGGTTTAAATTTGCTATGATTTTTATTATTACTCCCTGTGCTAGATTCACATATATTGCTGCCTTTTATTTTACATAAGCAGCAATGGATGCTATGGGATTAACCTATAATGATAAGACAAGTAAAAATAAGTTAATCAATTTATAGAAAAAAATGATTTATGGCTTGTATTTGATTATTCTTTTGAATTAGAAAAGAATGTAGTAATAAAAACATAGAAATGGAATTGTAATATTTAAAATTGGTTAAAATATTGTTTTTATGATCGTCTTTAAAAGAGATTTGGTAATTTAACATTCTATCTTGTCTTTATGATCAGTAGTCTATGGTATATAGTGTTATTATAAATAGGCATGGATTTTATCTTAGTTATTATTTTTTCTTTATCTTTTGGGCCATTACAGGATAAGTTTATAAATACTTTTACAAAGCTTAAAGAAGATTTTATTTGTAAATTATGTTTATAAATATTAAGTATTCCACAATCAATAAGACATTTATTGGCTTGGATATTTGGTATATTGACATTTGATCATTTTGCAACAGCTGTTCGTGTATTATAATGGGAGAAGACAATAGAATTGCATAATAGTGTATATTGGATTCCTCATATTGTAATTTTGGTGATTTTCTTATTCTTCAATATCACCTAATATGGTCAGAAGGATGGAAAACCAAAGGATGGAAGATCTAAGAAGTAGGAATGAATTTTGTTTATATAGTAAGTACACATTAAACAAAAATATAATCAAATCAAATTTTCGGTTTTCTCAATATTTCTTAAATTAAATACAATAAAGAGAGAACTAACATTATTGTTTAAATAATTAAATACGATCTAGGCACATAGCTAAACTATGAAATTAATCTAACTGCTACCATCATTAAATTTTTACTAATTTTAAAGGATTTATTGCTAGTAATTTTGTGAGTTGAATTACTATTCATTTTTTATTCAATTGTAAATTATTCTATTGTATGTCCATCTAAATAAAGTTAGACATCCAATAATAAATAAGATTCACTTGAAATTATTTCCAAACTTATTGGAGGATTAAGCTAATCTTTAACTGTAAATTATCCTCCCTATTCAGGTAAAACAACTACTTCCTAAGACTCCTATTGTAATACAATGGATGGAATAAGTAAAATCAAAAAAAACAGACCTATAATTAGAATTCAATTGATACTAGATAAGGTAAAGCCATAAATTCTTTTTTAAGTTCTCTTGAAATACTAATCAATACTGGTTGTAAAGGAATCCTATTGCATATCCCTTTCATATATTAGGTATTTCTGTTTCATAAAACTAATCACTGGCCGCGGTTCCATTAATTTTTTTAATAAAATTTTGGATCTAATAATAATGGATCAGATTACAATAAAAGACTTAGATTAAGGATCTATTCTTTATGAAGTATAATCCTCTAATATAAAACTCAATAAATCATCACATTGGGAATACTATTGGCAACAACTATTCGAAACTCATAAATTATTATGTACTGCTGCATAAGAAAATGATATTGAATAGTTGCAAATTCTATTATCACCCAAATATCATTTACCAATTGATATCAATATGAAATTGGAAGAATAGTGGTCTTGTCTCCATTATGCGGCTATGGAAGGTCATTTTGAATCATGTAGATTATTGCTGGAACATTAAGCTAAACCAGACATAACTAATGTGTAATAAAGGACTCCATTACATATAGCAGCTCTTAAAGGATATTTAAAAATTTGCAAATTACTATTATAATATGGAGCTTCTGTAAACTTATTCGATTATTAATACAATTCTCCTTTGCATCTTGCATCTCAATATGGTAATAAAGAAATAATAGAATTATTATTGGATAATGGAGCTGATTATAATGTTAGGAATCATTTTAATTTCAATGCTTATGATATTGGTTTAGATTAACAGACTTTAGAAATATTTGAAAAAAGAGGACTTTATTAAGATTATTAGAAAAAGTCATTTAGAGGAATACATAATAGGAATGATCATATTAAAAATCTATTAAAATTATCAGATCGACAAAGCACATAAGCAAGTTAAGTTAAAGTTAGTAGAGTTGAAATACAATAAGTTGGTCCTTAAGATTTTTCAGTATTAAGTTAATTGGGTAAAGGATCTTTTGGATAAGTATATTTAGTTTAAAAGAAAGGGAATACTAATTATTACGCAATGAAAATATTATTCAAAAAAAAATTATAAGCAGCTGGTATAGTTAGATATATTTAAACAGAGAGAAAAATATTAACTTATGTTACATCTCCATTTATAGTTAAATTACATCATGCATTTTAAACAGAAAATAAACTTTATATGATTTTAGATTATTGTCCAGGAGGAGATTTAGAATAATTAATGAATGAAAGAGGAAAATTACCTGAAAAAGCAGCTAAGGCTTATGCATGTGAAATATTATTAGCTTTGGAAACATTACATTAAAATTGTATTGTTTATAGAGATTTAAAGCCTTCAAATGTTGTTATTGATAAAGATGGTCATGCATTGTTAACAGACTTTGGATTATCAAAAGAATTAAATGCTTAAAGAACTACAAGTTTTTGTGGAAGTTATGCTTATTTAGCACCAGAAATGTTAGATAAAAGTGGTCATGGATATCCATTAGATTGGTATTTATTTGGAGTGTTTATATATGAATTGGTTTATGGTAAACCACCTTTTTATGAAAGAGATAGAAATACTATGTATAAAAATATCAAGACAAGTGAACCACCAAGACCAGATAATATAAGTGATGATTTATGGGATCTCTTAAAAAGATTATTAGAGAAGAATTAATCAAAAAGATTAGGATCAAAAGAAGATGCAGAAGAACTCAAAAATCATTCTTGGTTTAAAAATGTGAATTGGTAATAAGTAATTTAGAGAAAGTAACCAGTACCTAAAGCTAGTTTGAGAACTGAAAATTGTGATTTAGATTTGAAATTAACATTCTCAGAAAATGCTTAACATCCTGAAAAACATAATTTTATACATGATTGGGATTATTGATACTATAACTATATTAAATTATAATTCAATAAATTAATCAAAATCAATAAGGAAAGCTTTTTACTCTTAAAATTTATATATACAACTATCAATAATTATTATTATTAAATTAGATTATACTAATTATCAAGTTTTTAGTATTTTTTAATTAAAATCTTTTCTTCTGTTAATAATAAAATTAGAAAATATCTTAATTAAAAATAAATATTAATTTTCATCAAAAAAAAAATCATAATTTTTAAAATGTTCTACCACAATATAAATTATCTTTGAGAAAGGTAATTATATACATATAATTAATCATATTTTTTTAATTTTCTTATTTAATTATGTTTTTTATTTTTTATTTTGACAATCTGAACATTGGCAATGTGAACTACATTTTTTGTTTCTTATAAAACATTCACAATATCCTTTTATACATTTAGTTTTTTTGCATTTACATCCCCATACCTATCGTGTGTCAAAAGAATCAAGATCATGATGTGAAGCCCTTTATTCTTTAATTTTAATCTATTCAACTGCCTTAAGAACTTCATCTGTATGTTATCCATCATTATAACAATCAGAACATTTACATTCTTAAGTGCATTATCTTCTATTATGAAAACAAGAACAGTATAATTATAAACAATTTGTTTTAGCACAATGACAAGGCTTAATATCTGAGTCTAAAGTAGGAGAGTCATCAACCTTTTATTAAATTAAACTGAAATATGTACATTATAGTTAGCTTTACTTGCCTTCCTTCTAGTTCTAGAATTCACAATAGACTCCTCTTATATTGAAATTTATTCAGGCTAAATATCAATTGATAATGCACTTTTGAGTTAATTATCTGTTCTTAGTAATTTAGAGGGACTTAGAATTTCGATTTACATCATTTATTGTTATTTTTCATCTTGAATCTAGTTTAGAGAAGGACTGGAATTTAATTACTCTTGAATCTGTATGATAGGTTGATCTTCAATAGAGAATTTACTTTAAAATTTAGAATAAGTATCTCGTAATATTTATTTATCTTGTGGTTCAAATTCATCTTCAAAACCTTCTTTTTTCTAAGACCAAGGAAACTCTGGAGATGAAATATATCCAGCACTATTATTATAGCTTTAATAATTCATTAATAATAAATCATCATTTTTAGTTATATATTATATCAACTATGTCTTCCAAAGGCAATTCTTTAAATAATTCCACGTATTCTCTGGCTAGTTGTTCACTGCAATCAACGATTTGGGCTAATAGTTTTACTTTATCTTATAATTCATTATTAACAGGTTCTTATACTTAGACTGACTCTTAAATTTCAGGTTATGAGACTTATATATCCTCTTTAATTTATTAAGTTTAATCAACTTAAACTTCACAAGTTTATGGGAAATCCAATTGATCAAATTATTAAGTCTATTCTTATGGTTTTTCTTATTCTTAAACTTTTTGAATTTCCATTTAAGTTTTAATCACATTGATTAAATCTGAAGCAACAGTACTAGCTGTTTCTTTGATTTCCTTAAATTTAGGGTTTTCAATAATCTACATAAAGTGATTAAAGATATGAGGAAAAGGACCTACATGATGAAATTCTCTATGAATAAATGGTTTTTATTTTTAAGAATGAGATTTTTAGAAATCTTCTAATTCTTAAGAGTTACTAATTTTGAATAGTTTATGATTATTATGAAGATTTTTAGATTGGCATGATTCACATAAATCAAAATCTGGACATTCAAGACATTTAAATCTAGAACCAATAATAGGATGTTTTTAACAACCATCACAAGTGTGATAAGAATGAATCATCTTTTATTCTATTTATGAAGGTATCAATTATTCTACAACTTACAATTTAACAGTATGATGAGCTTCATCAATTAAAATTTGTAAATCCTCTTAACAGCTAAGAGATATTTCATCATTTTCATTATCAAAGTATGTTAATTTGAAGTTTGAATTAATTTATGGATAAACTTTCTTAACATGTGCTTTGAGTGCTGAAAGTGTTGGGTTATCTAGTTTTACAAGATGAATTTCTTTGTTATGTACCAACTTGAATTTCATTTATTAATTTTATAATGAAAAAATAATTAAATTTTGATTAATTTATAAAATAATTAGCACCTCAGTATCTGATTGATACCGATATAGATTAGGAAGAAAGATAATTTGTTTAAAATATATGGTTTTCTTTAATTGATTCGAATTTAATAGAATTTATGTTCTTTAGTAATTGTCAGAATTTTAGCGGATTTTGTTTAAAAAATATAAAAATATAAGAATTTTTTAATTTTTTCATAACGTGAGTCTTTTTCAATTTTTGAAAAATAATCAATTAAATGGACTTATTTAATTAAGTATTTGATTTGGTCGAGTAAAACATGATAAAAATTTTATTTGTATGAATTAAATTAATTAAATAATGGATAAAAAGATTTTAGCAGATGTATTCTTAAGACATTTGGAATAATTAGTGAGTAGACTTAATGATGTATATAAATTTATAGATTTCAATAGGAGATTCCAGCTATCTGTATATTATCAGGTAAGGAGGATGGATCAATCAAACCAAAAACAAAAGCATTATTTGTATGGCTATTTGGATACGATATGATTGAGACTGTCTTTTTAGCCACAAAGAAATAGATTTTTTACTTAGCAAGTGATAAGAAACGTAAGATTCTTAAGTGAGTTTATAGTTCAGATGATGGAAGAGACAAGGTAAAAGTTAAGTGGAAAGTTTGAGGTTCATTTTTATAAGAAGATGAATGATAATAGAGAATCATTTGAAAAGATTAGATAAAAAATAGAAAATGTTAAATTGGGAATGCCAATTACTGAAAAATAAGCAGGAAGTTTAGCTGCTGAATGGTATGAATATAAAGGATGGTAATAAATAGTGGATGCCAATTAATTAATTAGTGATGTATTAGCAGTTAAAGATGATTAAGAATAAGGTTTTATATAGTAATCTTCATAATTAACTACCCGCCTATTTAAGAAATTGATTAAATAAATAGAAGATTCAATAGATGTTGGTACACGTATCACTCATTAAGATTTGGCAAAGAAAGTTGAATAATCTTTAGAAAATGATAAACAAAAAGTAATGAAAGAGATTGGATTGTAAGATGGTCTCTATGATTTTGCTTATACACCAATAATTTAGAGTGGAGGTAATTATTAGTAAGTGGAAGGACCCAATAAAGATTATCTTTCATCAGATGTTATCATAATCTAAATTGGTACCTAAGTCAATGAATATAATACCAATTGTATCCGTACACTCTTTATAAATCCCACTGAAATTTAGAAAAAACTTTATAATGCAATTTTAGAAGTATAAAATAAAATCATTACATAAATGACTATTGGTACATCTCTAAATGTGGTATTCAAAGATTCACTTCAATTATTGTAAAACAAATTGTAAGAACTCAACTTATAAAATTTATAATTACCTACATCATTTGGATATGGAATAGGACTTGAATTAAAAGAATCCTGTTTGAATATAAATGAAAAATCTACTCATATAGTAACCAAAGGAGAAGTATATTTTATAAATGTCTTATTGGAAAATGTCTAGAATGGATAAAAAAATATCACTTACACAATTTAAGTTGGAGATGTGATTGTAATCACTAATGGTGCTGCTACAATTACCACTACACAAATTCCAAAAGCTTATAAATAAATATCTTATTAATTGTAAGAAGAAGATGAACCTGAAAGAAAACCAGCTCCAGTATAAACAGATAAAGATAAACCCATAAGAGCTAGACCTCGTAATTAATAAATATAGATTCAAAGATAAAATGAAAAATAGAGATAGATTCATTAAGAGAAATTAGCTAAAGATAAATAGACTGAATTAGAATAAAGATTAGAATAAGATTAATTTGTTTAAAATTAATAAGAAGTTAAAGCTTTAGAATTGGATAAATTATCATGTTACTAAAGACCAGAACAATATCCAAAAGAACTTTAGAAAGGATAGATTTATATTGATAATTATAAATGTGCTCTTTTAGTACCATTATTGGGAACTCATATTCCATTTCATGTATCTTGTATAAAGAATGTGAGTAAAATTGATGAAGGTAAAATGGGATCATCAATAAGAATTAATTTTTTTACATCAGAAACAACAACTGGATAGATTTAATTTCCAAAAGTTGATGGTGAAACAATCTTCATAAAGGAATTATAATATAGATCTAAGAAATCAGATCGTCCATAGAATTTAATACTTTAAATTAAATCATTACAAAAGAAAGTTAAGACTGAGTAATAAGTAGAAAGAGAGAAATAAAATGTAGGAGATATGGAACCATTAATAGTAAATAAAGGAGGTCGAAAACCAATATTTAAGGATTTAAAAGTGAGACCTACTTTTGGATCTGGAAAGGCAGCAGGAGTTTTAGAAGTTCATAATAATGGATTTCGTTATATCCATTCTAATAAAGAATAATTGGATATTGTATTCAAAAACATTAAACATTATATATATTAAAGTCCAGAATAGGATATTATAGCTGCTTTACATTTTCATTTACATTCTCCAATTGTATTAGGTAAACGTAAAACAAATGATGTTCAATTTTATTGTGAAGTTGGTGGTGCAGTAGAACATTTAGAAGGTAGAAAGAAAACAAATAGAAATGATGAGGATGAAATTGAAGAAGAAGAAAGATTAAGAATGCATAGAAAAAAGATGGCAAAAGAATTTGAAGTGTTTATTAAGACTATAGAAGAATTGGGAGCAGAATATAAAATATCATTTGAAAAACCATTTCGTGATTTAGGATTTGAAGGTAATTGGAATAGAGCAAGATTATTCTTATAACCTACTCGTGATACATTGATGAATGTTGTTGAAAGTCCATTCTTTATTTTAACTTTGAATGAAGTAGAAATATGTTGTTTTGAACGTATAATACCAGGCATTAAATCTTTTGATTTAGTATTTGTATTCAAAAACTATGATAAACCAGTACTTAGAATTGAGAGTATTGATATTAAAGATTTAGAAGGAGTCAAAAATTGGTTAGATAGAGTATATTATTATTATTATAGTAGATGAATCTTCTCTTTTTTGAAGTGGGTTAGAATTTGGTTTGGAAGAATGTTCTTGCATAAATTTAGAAAGATATTCCAGGATTTGTTTAAGATGGAGGATGGACAAATATTTTAGCAGAGAGTGAAGAAGAAGGAGATGAAGAAGATGATCCAGAAGCAGGTGATAGTGAATTCTCACCTAATGAATCTGTATATATATATATATATTTAAATCATTTAGGGTGATGATGGTGAGGATGATTCTGATTTTACAGAAGATGATGAAGATGGTGATGAGGATGCTGATGAAGATGATGATGATGAAGATCTATCTGATGTTCTTGATCTTAATAACATTAGTGATTAAGATGATGAAGAGGATGGTGAAGAGGATTCAGATTCTGGTATTGATTATCTACTTATCAAGTAGATAAAAATAAAAGAAAAGGGTAAGTAAAAGGCCATTCAAAACCATAGTAAAATATTTAGAATACAAAACCATAACCAAAACCATAATAATCTGGACCACCTCCTCGTTCCACTCAACCTCAAAAACGTTAGCCATAAAGGAAATGAGTATCATTAAATTTTATTGATTATATTTAATACTTAGTAAAATTAATACTAGTAATTTCAATAAGTTATATATATATATATATATATATTAATTATGAATTATTTCCCTTGCCCCATTCATAATGGACATGTGCTTTCCATCATATGCACTGATAAATCTTGTAATGACACTATATTAATTTGTCGTAAATTCAACTTTTTTAAATTAAAGCTCTTTGCGAACATGCAGATCATTAGAATCACCAAACCTTGCCTCTTAAAATCATGTTACAATTAGTTGAAAATTCTCATAATAGCACTAATGAATAGAATTATAATAGCATCTTTGATGTCTCACTATTTCTAGATAGATCACATAATGAGTGTTTACGAACTGTATTATATATTTAATTCTAATCATCTAGGTACAAAGATTCAATGAGGCATTAGAGAATACTTCAAAATAGTTAATAAAGAAGGTTGATACCTATTATTTGGATTTAAAAAATTAATTAAAGGCTTTTGCAAATTCAAAGATCCCAATCCATTATCTTCTAGACTCAGTCTAAAGTTACACTGATTTTCAATAATACAAAAAGAATATTCAGTAATAAAAGTTATTATGTAGATAAATACTGGGATAATTCGCATTTAATAATGGAATTGCAAGTATATAGAGTATTGATGCTGCAATAATGAATGCATGTAAAATTCAAATTGGATAGCTGAGTGATTAATTGATAGATTTGTAAAATGAATTAGATGGAAAAGTTGAGATTATGGGTAATTTATTTAGAGCTTAACCTATTACTGCTGTTGATTTAGTATAATCAATTTCATTTTAATTTTCTCCTCAATATAAGGGTGCCAATATTACAATTTCAGGATAGAATATGATTGCTGAATAGAAGACTTCTGAATCAAATGGACAGAGATTTACTATTTGTGAACCATGTATTCCAAAGAATGGAGTTTATAAATTTGGTTTCAAAGTAATAAAATATGCTGGTTGGATTGGAGTTGGTGTATGTCATAGAGAAGTAATTGTGAATGCTAATTATAAGTTTAATTATACTAATATTGGTCATGGGTAATTATGATATATATATATATTGTAGATCTTATCTTATTTCAAATAATGCATATTCATGGTCACATTTATAGAAAGATTTGAATTCAGCCCATAAATCATTCGATTTTGGAGTTGGAGACATTATTATAATAGAAGTAGATATTCCAAAAAAGAAAATCACTTGGTAAAAGAAGAAAACATAGATTAAATTTGTAATTTATAATTTTAATAATAGACAATGAATTTGGATACTAGTTAAGATTTATATCCATGTGCTAATCTATGTAGTCCTGGAGATACTGTAGAAATTATAAATAAAATTGAAGTTTGATATATCTATGTTAAATTTACAATCAAAATTTTATTATTTATAATTAATAGGAATAGATATATATATTATAATCATCATAAAACAAGTTAAATAGTAATTGTATTTATTTAATAAGATTTATAGTAGTTTTAATTTATCAAAAGAATGAAGCTAATATTATTTAAAAAATATATTATTGAAATAAATGAATTAATATAATCATACAAAGGTCAAATAATAAAAATAGGTTCATTTAATCCTCACTCCACTTAAACTGGAATAATCGTTACGTGTTAAAAATCATTATTTAGAGAATTCATCTTACTATCAACGTACATCACCTAGAACAATTCTACCTTAATTTACACCTTAAAAGAAAAAAACATAAATAAGTTTTCAAGATTAAAAGAATTCTCCATAATCTTCATTGGTCACATCCTTTAAAGTAAGACCAAGGAATTTTCATTAAGAAAAAGTGTAATTTCAAAGCAATTTGAGTATAGCTTTTATTTAGAATTAGTAAAGATTCAATAAAGATTAATTCCTGATGATAGTTTTAGATTCAAAGCTAAATATGCAGCTAGATCAAGAAAAGGTGTTTAATTAGGCAATGCTTCTAAAGTGAATTAGGATACATATATATGTTGTGCAAAAATTGAAAATAATGAATGTATTCATCTATTTGCAATATGTGATGGTCATGGAGAACATGGACATTTAGTTAGTGGTTTAATTAAAACTCAACTCCCAATATTAATTTCAAAGAATAAATTATTATTAGAGAAAAAGTAAATAATAAAATTATAATAATATTAGTTCTTCATAAGGGTTGATGATTATTATTTAAGGACTTTCTGATATTTTATAATAGAGTCATATTGATATGTCTTTTTCAGGATCAACTTTAGTAATAGTTTATATTTAAAATAACAAAGTAATTTTTAATATTAATATAATTAGATTTATTGTGCAAATTTAGGAGATTCAAGAGCAATTCTATTGAATAGAGATGAAAAATGGAAAATGAAACCATTATCAAGAGATCATAAACCAAATTGCAAAGATGAAGCTGATAGAATACTAGCTAATGGAGGCAGGATAGATCCATTAATGAATGGTTTAGGTTTATTTGTTGGTCCATTAAGAGTATGGACAAATTAGAATGTTCCTGGTTTGGCAATGACAAGATCATTAGGTGATGAAATAGCACATTCAGTAGGAGTGAGTGATAAACCTGAAATATTGTAATTTGATTTAGAAAGGAATGATAAAGTAATAATAGTGGGAAGTGATGGATTATTTGAATTTCTGAGTGATGATCAAATAATTAATTGTATCTCTCCATATTATGATACATCTAATATTGAAGGAGCTTGCAATCAATTAATGTTGGCTGCTTGTAATAGTTGGATGCAAAAATGCAATAATTTAATTGATGACATTACTTTCATAATATTATTCTTAACTTATTGATGTTTATTTTATGTCTAATAAATGTTTATTGATTCAGTATTTCTTATTATAGTATAAACATTTAAAAAATTATTAAAAAAAGAAAATAAATATTTAGATTTTTATTTTATTCTTCAATTTGATTAATGAATGATCTAATCCTTGAGATTTATATAAAATGGAAAGGAGATTCATAATAGAATAAGGATTGAAGGATTTTCAATTATATTCAAAAAAAAAATTAATTTTATTGGTGCATCAAAAATTCAGTGCAAACTAATTTATGATATATGCATTCAATATATAAATCATAACAGTCATTATTCGTCTTCCTCCCATATTTAAGGCTTTCTAGTTTATAAAGCAAATCATTATACTTTAATGCTAACTTAATAAGTTCAGCTTCGCTTAAATTATTGACTTTCTTTGGAAAATGAACTTTATTATTACAACAATGATATACTTTCATCTTGTTCATGAATAACTTAGACATCTTAAACTTCAGGAATTGTAATGATCTTCACACTACTATCTATTTGCACATGTAAGTCCTCTTATATATTATTCTAATTTTATTAATGTTGTTTCTCTTTCTCTTCCATATAATTAGGTTTATCAAAAGTTGATTATCGTTTTAGAATACTTTAACGCTTAGGTCTGATTTCTTAATCCATTTTTATGAAAATTAATATTATTTATTGATTATTTCAATAAATAATTCCTAATCTCAATATGTAATTGTTTGATTTTTCAATTTTATTAATTTAAGATATTCTATATATAGTATTTACAATAGATACAAGAAAGAATTATACATTAAAATATTTATATTAATATATATATATATATATAATTATTGTTAAAATTATTATGTTATTTGAAAGTTCTATTCGAACTGGAGATCCTCGTCTTTCAACAAGAAATAAATAAGCATAAACTACAGAAGTAATCAATGCTTATGATTAATCTTTTAATGGTAGAGTCATTTATGCAAGAAATCTATTTTCCAAATTATTCTTGTAGATGATTATTATTTGTAAATATTTCAAATTTATATAGGTGTTTATGTATGGATTGTTCATTCTATACCATCATTAGATCATTTTTTAGAATAAACTAAATGGATATTTTGGTTAAGTTTAGGAATTTGTGTAGGAACAGCTACTTTAGCATTAATTTATCGTAATCGAATTACAGTATCTCCAACTAATTGGATAGTATTTATTATATTCACATTGTCATTTGCTTCTGTTTGTGGTTGTTTGGTTGCCTTTGGTAATTCATAAATTGGATTATTACTCTTTGTTAATTTTGCAAGTAAGTTAAACTATTTTAAATAGGTTTAATATTCTTTTTATTTTTATATTCATCAACTGTAAGAAGAAAGATTACTTATTCAGGTGCTGTGTTATTTGTATCAGCAAGTATCTTAATAGTGTTTGAACTATTTACAATATTTACTAAGATATCTTTATTTTGGATAATGTTTATATCTTTGTCATCCTTTTTATTTGCATTTCTATTGATATATGATACATACACTAATTTGAAGTAATATTAATTCAATATCTAGTTGTGGAGATTCATATGATATAAATAAAGCAGATGATGTGAGTGGAAGTGTAACTATTTATTGGGACATTATTCTATTATTCTTAAAGATGGCAGAACTTATTAAAGATAATCTATCTAATAGAAAGAATTGATAAAATTTATATATATATATATATAATACATTAAATTTATATATCCAAATTCTCTCTAACAAACTCAATATTCATAATATCCCATATAAAATGGAATTCTTAATAATAACATAGATGGATTGTATCCATACATAGATGTTCTCTTTACAATCTTCTCTAAATGTGTTCCACCTTATCTTATCTAATTAAAGCAATCTTAACAAAAATCAACTAGAGCCTTATAACTATTAAATTATTAATATTACCATATCTGTTAATTTTCCTGGTAAACAATTTAACACAATGTATCTAAATCCTCTTATTTCATTATCACAACCATTGCAATCTATAGCATGTCTCTAAGAGTAAGGATCACCTTTCTTAACTTTTAGATTATTTCCTAGTCTATTTACATCAATATCATTCAACACAGATTTATCAACTAAAGGTGCATTGAAGAATATTAAATTATCTTTTACTCTTAATTTATTATTTCCTATTGCTTTTGTATCAAATACTTCAGCACACTTAACACAATAAAATTCATCAATAAATGGACTATAATATTGAGGAGTTTATTCATTTAATTCATTTTAACATAATTTACAAGCTTTTCCAGGAAATAGAAAATTTAATGTCTTTTAAGTTGTCTTATTAACTTAAAATTAAATCAAAGAGTAAACTTTATTAAGAAGTTTTAGATAAGTCTCAACATATTTTTATTTCCCATCTCTTATTGTATAATTTATTATTGGTGATAAACGAGTTTTATTTTCACCACATTAAAATTCAATAAAGATAAAATTCATAGAAAATTGTCTTTTATTATTGAACTAACCAAGATTCACACTTGCATCAGATTGCAAAAATTAAGTTATTTAATTATACTACTCTTCATTTAAATTAACTAATTATTTTAAATTATCAAGTCCTTCTTCTAATTAATGCTCTATAAGAGACTCTAAATCTTCTATTTAACGTGATTATAATCTTATATTTCCAATTTTATCAATAATAACAAAATGAGGGAATGTATTCACATTATATTATATTAAATCTGTTTAATTCTCTTCTATTGGAAAGTAGAAATCAATAACTTCTTCTATACCTTCATTTTTAAGAAAGTAATGTTAATAATGATCAAATTTATGTTAACTTAAAGCTACAAATCTTACATTATCCTTAAAGGAATCTTCATTAGCAAGTAAGAATTTTATTATTGTTGGGAATAGTCTATCACTATCTTTATTATCATTCCAATAAAAAATAATTAAAATTTAATTTTCTTTATGTTCAATTTGTATTTATTGATCATTACCAAATTTATGATAATTTTATATTGTTTAAAATCTTTATCCAACAGTTAATTATAATCCAGATCTTAAAGTATCTGTTAATTAGTTGATATTATTATTTATTAAATTTCTATCTTATTATTATTCTGATTCATGATCATGTTCTTCATCACTTTCTTCAATTTCTTCTTAATATTTCTTAAAAATTGGTTAAACCTATGAATAAATAGTTTAATATTCTTAAAATTTTAAATTAAATATTCCTTTCTTGTTTATTAATTAAACATCCTATTAAAATACTCCTTTTTCATTAACATAATTAAAAGTTTCTGTTTTTATTGTATAATCTTATATAACTTTGTTATTTTATTTTAAAGCATCCTAAAATGCATCAGATATTTTTTTTACTATACCATTTGGATCTTTTATTAATTATTTTTATATATGAATATTATTATTTCCTAATTGTGTTTTAATTTCATTTAAAAATTATATTATAACTTATTCTGATTATACTGAAATATCATATACTATATTTAATTGACTTCTTTCTATAAGTTCTTAATTACCATCATGAGATATTTTATGACTTTTAATTAAATTTAGTTTAATGAAATCACTTTATTCTAATTTTATATTTTGAGATAATTGATTTGCAATAGTTTATATTAATGTTTATTTTATTTATTTATATGTTTCTTTTTCAATAATATCTTTTTATTAATGAATTTCTTCAGATTCTTAAACTGATTCACCTGTTTTTATATATGTATTAATTATATCTTCTATTTTATTTGATTTTGTTGTTACATCTACAACATAATTATCTTTTCCAACAACAACAATTTTAGGTAAATAATTTAATTCCAATGCTTTTTGAAATTCATTTGATGAATCCCATCCAAATGTGAATCTATAATGTTCAAATTCTTTTATTTAATTATCTCTTAAATAAGATTTAAGATTATTGAAATCACCATCTAAAGAAATTGCTATGGGATTGATTTACAATTTTAAATCTTTATTTTATTTTAACAATTCATTCAATTATTGAAGTGCTCTTATTGATTTTGGAACCAAAGAAGACTAAATAATTATAATTTGCATAAATACCCAAAATACAATTAAATTCGTTTTATCCTATAGTGTTCTAAAACAACCCTTTTTTGTTTGAAAAGTATTTAAATCAATATTCTCAACACCATTAATAGTACCAAAAGTAGATCCCTTCATTAATTTAGGTTTTATGGTTTCTTTGAAATTATCAAATTATTTTATCACTTCTAAATCATTACCAAAAGTAAATGAATCTAAAACATCACAGAACTCATCATATTTATCATTCTACTCTAAAGTAAATCTCTTAGATGATCTTAATTAAATGGTCTTAACTAAACTAAATAAAATAACCATTTGACTCTTTACCCTGTATTCTTCTATAACTCATGTTTTTTAATCCTTTCAATTATGAAATTATTAGGAATAAGATGGCGTACTTTACCTAGAATTTACAAATCTATTTTCTCTTTATTTGACATCTGGATTAATTATTTATTTTAATGTACTTCTTTGGATATATAAAATATCTTTATACAAGAACAATAAAAATCATAAACAAATAGTAATTCTTTTCAACTCTATATCTAAACTACATTAATAGTTGAATATCGCATATCATTTCTTTCCTCATTATGATTTATAGTCTAAATAGTCTGTTTGTTTTGGTTATCTAATTCAATTATAGAAATTGACTTTGATTCACTTTCACCTTGTACATCTAGGATTCTCCAAGGATCAAGAACTTCAACTGTAACTTGATCAATACAACTAACATACACCAATGAGATAACTAATAACATTATAATAAAGAGCACGGTTGTGCCTGCCAATAATAAGGGTTCTAAATTACCATTCTATTAATTAAATATTCTAATCTTACAATTATCTAAAATATCAATGCAATTATTGTTCCAATTATTCCTAAAGTCACAATTATTTCAATTCCCCAACAACAAATTCTAGCTTTTGGTGCTTTCTATAACATTCTCAATTATTTTTTATTTAAAAATTTAGTTTCCATTTAAAATTTTGTATGACAAACTTCACAATCTATCTTTTGATATAACAAATAATCTTACCTCATTTTTATATACCTACTCTACACCTTACTTTTCTAATATCCAAACTTTAAGACAATTCTCATGTATAAATCTAAGGGAACCTTTACAATTACATGGTCTTATTAAAGTAGAATTACCATCATCACAAAGACAAATTCTACAGAATTCTTATATTTTATATATAGAATTTCTTACTAGTTTCATCAGGTATAATTGAATCTTATTATCGATATTCATTTATTTATATTTCTATCCAAACATGCTTATTTCTTAATTTATCCTAATTATTTCAATATCTCAAACCTTCAATAAATATATTTTCCTCATCTTGAGCTCTGGAACTATTTTTGCTGATTTCTTCATTTAGCCAAATTATATTGTCTCAAATTGGTTAATTTGTTATTACGATTGATCAATTGTTTAAAATTGATGGTGAGGAGATTATTAAATAGTAAGTGTTTCAGGAACAAACATACAAAATTAACCACTTTTCTAATAACTTCTAAATTAATAACTTACGAATATAAAAAAAATTTTTGCATAAAATTATCTTGTCTCAATAATATCATTTTATCATCACATCTATATTAAAAATTGCATAATATTTGACATCTTAAATTCTAAATCACTCATGTATGAAATCTATAAAATCTTGATTCAGAAAATATATATATCTATAGAAGAATATCAATTCTAATATTAAAAGAAAGGATTATAAAGAAAAATTAATAGACCTTATAAATAATTCAAAAATTTATTAATATCCCTATTTTTAATATAACTAATATTATTTATTTATTAAATTTATTATGTATTCACTAATATTAATATTAATTAAGAATCATTCATTTTCTTTTTATTAAAAAGGCCTTGTCTTTTTTAGAACTTCCCAATTAGGTTGAATCCTGTATCTGTCTGAAAGAATCGATTCGATCTAATGAGAATATTTATTCTGAATAAGGTGTCATGGAATAAGGATCGACTGATCTTGATGCAGAGAGAGTTTTTTCAAATTAATTTGGCTTTTAAAGAATTCTACTTTCTTCTTTATGACAAAAATCCATATCCAATTTTGAATTAAAATAATCAGATATTTTTCTTTTCACATTTTAAGTATATTTAGTTAGATCAGCATTGAAACTATTACTGGTTTCTAATTTACGAGTTTAGGATGAAACTAATGAAGATTAATAAAAAGATTCTTACGTTTGTGTATTTTATGTAATAGATCAACTTGTTTAATAATTTTAGTTTTAGTACTAGAGGTTTCATGTGATTCTGTCTTAGATTTTTAGGAATGAGCAGTTTAAGGTTTTTATTTCTATTTATTAAGTATTCCTTTTAAATTTCTTCTTTCCTAATTTAAATAATCCATATCTGATGAAATTTAATCAGATTATTGATAATTTTCATTCAATTCTTTTTGTTTCATAATATCAATATCTTATAGAGTTTTGGTAACTAAATTGTCATGTAAAGCTGGAAATTATTTTTTAATTTTGGAACTTTGATGAATGAAATATTCATGATATTTTCTATCATCAGATGCATTAATAGTTCTATTTGAATGCATTTTAAAATTGTTTTCATCATCTAAATTAGAATTATTTACTTATTCTTATAATCTCTTCAATTAAATTTATTTAATTTACAATAAATAAGGAGAAGTGACTTCATTATTGAATTTTTATTTTAATGTTAAAGTTTTAAGATTAAAATTTTGATTATTTTTGTAAATATGTCTCATAATATCTCTATAATATTAAAATTGTATTTAAAAATGTTTTTAAATATCAGCTTCTTTAATGAGTTTACTATATTGATCATACATTTAACAAATAATTTCATGATTACTTAATGTGACATCTATATTATCAAAATTAATATCTAATTATAAAGTTTATGTAATGAAATCATTCCTTATAAGATCATTCCATTAATTAATAATAAATTCATAATCTTTATGCATTTTAAACTTTTCCAATTATTCATTAGGACATCTTGTCATAGATTCAATTTTTTATTCACTAGGTATCTCTTCACTTGTTATACTACCATTCCTTTTACCAATACAAACATATTATCCAAAATGTTTAGAGTTTATAGATTTATTAACAGGAATACTCTAAGTAGCAAGTGGAACATATAAACTGAAATCAGTTTTAGTAAAATTTTTAAGATATTACATACATTTATTATCTAAAGATTTTGGAATAGATTTAGTTGTTTCTGATAACCAGATTACATTAATACATAATCTTTGAATCATATCAATTAATTTTTAGTATATGGTTATTAAACATAATTGATAACCATGCAAATGATAATTCAATTAATAGTTTTCATGAATAATTTATGGTCCTTCAATAATTGTATTATTATAAGAACCAAAATTAGTTTGATCATCTAATTGAATATTACAAATACTCTTAAGTTATGATAATTCATTGTTTAATTATAAGATTTATTATTATCTTAATGTTTTTTCTTCAGTAAAAAAATTATATTCATTAGTTTACATATTTTAATGTTCCAATAAATAATGATAGGTACTAATAATTTGATTAGTTAATTGTGCAATATCTTAAGTTTTATAGAATTCATCTACTTGATTTAATATTTCATGTCTTGTTAATGTTTTATCCATTTGTTATTATTATAATGTTTAACCTAATTCTTATAATTAATCTTGATTTCCTTATATTTAATCAACAACATTTAATTTGGCATCCATAAAAAATTCAATATATTCACTTATTTTAAAACACTCTTATAATTTATGTTTCTTTTATTCTTCCTGTTCAGTTAAAATACGAATTTATTTTAATAAATCTGAATTCTTTTATTTACATTTTTTTATCTTTAATTAAAGTTCCTTAACTTCTTATTCACAATTTTCCATATCTCTAGAATATTTCTCTTAATTCTATTCAGATTAACTTCTAAATTAATCTATTTCCTTTTAAAATTAGTGTGTTAAATTTTAGGTTTTCTTTAGCATCATTTTTACTTAATCATCTAATTCTTTTTGTACATGATCAGGCTTAGTCTTTATATGTCGTAGATTATCTTAATAATAATTGATTTTTCTATCTGTTAATAATTTTGCCTTTAAGATTTCATCTAACTTCGTCTTCAAATATTATTAATAAGTTAGAACTTCATCAGTTTATTCTTATATAAAATCCAGTTATTATTAAGTATAATTTGTACTCTCTTCACTTATTTTATTTCTATTGTAAGAAGCTAATTCCTTATTCTTTCTCTTATTCAAATCAATAGTTTAATTCAATATGTCTTTGAACTATTTAAAATCATTATTATACTTTTGATAGATTTTTAGGCTCCACTAAACTTTACTAAATTTCAAACTGTCTTTTAAAATTGAATTCTTCATCATCTTCTTATTTTATTTTTTACATTATTAATAATCAATTATTCACATTAATTAAAATACTCATGGAAAATTCAGAATATAATAAAGAATTACACTATCAGAAATAAGTCAGAACACTTAAATTACCACTCAAACCCAACCTTAAAGTTTTAGATGTCAGTGGATTGAAACTCAAAGATCTCTCCTTTCTTGCTGATCAACAAGATATTGAAATTTTGATTGCAGAATCAAATGAATTAACTAATTAATGTTTCAAAGAAATAGCCCATCTCAAAAAATTGAAAATACTTTCTCTCTAAGAGTAAATACCATATATATTTATACTAGCAATCAGATTGTTGATGATGCTAATTTGAAATTACTTGCAGATGCACAACTATTAGAATTGAGATTGTTATTCAATCCAATTTGTCAAACATAACAATACTATAAACTAATTTATAAAGCTTTGCCAAACTTATACACCTTAGATGATTACGATTAAGATGGCTTGTAAATACATAGTTTATTTTGATATATAAAGTAGTATAACATTTTAAATTATTTTAATTAACCAAAATTATATATCACAAATAAGATACCTTAGAGATTGTTTTATCTTAAAATATATAATATTTGAAGAATATTAAATCTTTTTATAATAATTACAAAACTAAAGAATTATTATTCCAGATTATTTTTAACTCATAATTTATTACAATTTTATTGTGATTAGAAAATAATATCTAATTAAAAATATTCTAGTCTAATTTCAACATATCTAACCGTTTTTAAAATAACTTGATTGTATAAAAGAAATAAATATAAAAGAGACATATTTTTATACTTTGAATATAAAAGAACTTTGATGATGAGTGTTGAAAATAAAAAGAATAAATTAATCATAACTTAACAATGAAATGCATAATTTCAATAAAGCTTTGAAATAATAAATTAATATACAGAATTTAATACAATCAATTCTTAAATATTTCTACAAATTCTTTAGTTCTCATATGTAAATCTTCAATTTAATGCTTGACTGTCTCATCAGTGACATCTTCAAGTATATACTTTATATAAATATTCAATTATTACATCTCTATCTCCATCATCAGTAAAGTCTGTATATTTAATTTATCCATCATCTTCTAATGTATATGTTATTTTCAAATGATAACCCATTCTCTTCTTACCTCTACTCAAATATAGATGAGCTTCTCCATCAACAGATTCTATTGCTGAAATCTTAGTCTAACCAATCTTCATCTAAAAATAGATATTAAATGTAACTCTTACTCCTATTATATTTTCAAGTGATTTCTTGATTTCACTCATGGGTACTTTCATTTCCTCCCATGTTCCTGATACATTCCATTAAGATCCTATTGTTTGCACTTGTTACACTTAAGAAGGGTTTTCCACTTTCTTTGGTTAACAATCTATTTTAGGATGATTAGGGTCATTTTTAACCCAATATGTATAAGAATGTTCCTTTTTCAAACTATCCATTTTTAATTCCAGAATATTAAATAATTTATTATTAAAATAGGATCTATATTTAGTAAATAGTAATTCTAATATTTTCAGCTATCTTCAAATATATTGATTATATTTGTTTTAATAAATAACTCTTATTTCATATTAGTGTTAGTATTGAAATTAATTTAGTTTATAAAATATTTAAAAATGTATCAGAAATCAGGAAAAATAGAACATATGTACAACAATCAAACAAGTCAATAAAAATAATCAGAATTATAAACTGGTAATAATGACAATAGATTTAAATATCCTAACTTAGATTCATAGATTAGATACACAAATAGAGAATTGTTTATGTAAGGTGGCACTAATAGTACTATTAAGGATCATCAAAAGCCTAAGATATTTGATACCCAAAATTAAAGTTCAGCAATTAAGAGCAATTAATTTGTAACAAGATTTCCTTTTTAAATTCCAAATAGTCCATAATGTGATCGATAAGATTAAAAACCTAATGATAATGTGAAAAAATGTTATACAACCAACATTAATAGCAATCTATAAATGCCATATAATAACTAATATAATAATAACTATTATTAACAGAGAATGGTGTAAATAGAATAACAATCAGATATGAATCAAACACTACCTATTAATCATTAAATATTTTCATATGATGTAGCTTAATAAATGGAATCAAAGTAATAGAACAACTTTTCTTTAGAATAGAATAAAAAATCTGAATAACAATACAATGGAAATACAATCCCTTTCTATGATAAGCTTGTTGAAAAAAAAGATTAATTTTAAGAAGTTTTAATAAAAAGTAAATTTGAGGATCAACAAAAATAGAGTCATGATTAAATAAAACATTAATATGTTGAATAATCAATTATAATATCAGAATGTAATTTAATGGAATTGAAAAATAGAGAGATTTCAACTATTAAAAATTTTAAGAAAACAATAGGGATAATTAACACTGAAAATTAAAAGGAATCTCCAAATAAATAATATATAGAAGTTGAGAAAATACAATCTTAACCTATAAATGAAATAGTATTATAAAAATAAAACAGTATTGATTAAACATAAACAGGAAATAAATTGATTGAAACAATAAAAGTAAATTGTATAGAAAATCTATAATGTCAAGAAATAATGGAAGTAATGAAATTTTATGATGATGATGATGAGAAAAATATAGAAGAGCCTGTTAAAGTTAGCAATTTTGTGACTGCCAAAATATAATAGAGAGGAGAGAAATGTATTATTATGATTAATTAGAACTTCAATAATTTAATTAAGTAAATCAACCAAGTTAACGTTGTTCAGCTTTAGAGTTTGAAGTATTAGAGAAGATGAACTAAGTTCGTTAAAATAGAGTAAATGGAATGAAAGTAGATTATTTTGGAGTTGTTGAAATTTTAGAAAAGTCAGATTGTATAACAGATTTGGTAGCTGAGAAATCAATTATATAATTAATCATTACATAATTCCCTGTAAATATTATATAAATAAATTTTAGTATTTAAGAAGAGTAAGAGGTGATGGTAATTGCTTATTTTCAAGTTTACTTTTTCCATATTTAGAATTAATTTATATTAATAATCTATTTGATGCTGTACTGAATTAGTTTGTTGCACATGAAATATATTGGAATAAGTAAATATTTTACAAAATAAAGGGCTACGATGATTGATAGACCTATGGTCTTTACTTTGATAAAGAAAATCTTTCAGGAGTTAAAAAAGTTTAGTAAAAAGTATAGTAATGATTTGATCTTGTTTTCAGAACTTATACTACATTATATCAATAAAATTAATGGGTTTTATGACATACTAATTATATTTATGCGATCAACAATAATATAGAGTTATAAATTATACTCTAAATAAGGAGAATATTAATATTTTTTAGATGAAAACACATCAGAAGAATTCTTAGAGAAGAATAGTAGTTTTGAAGAAGAAGGAGATTTTTTATCAATTTAGTTCTTTTGTGAAATTACTTAATTGAAAGTTAAATTGATTAATTTTTCAGATAAACATCCAATTTAGTCAATGTAAATACTTGAACCGAAAATTAATAAGGTAAGGAATGATTAACATAACTTTATTACTTTGAAATATAATGAGGGCCATTACGATATTCTTTATTCAAGAATGTTGAAATAAATGTAAATTAAATAGGAAGAGAGGCCACTTCCATAAATATAATTTACTCCTTTATATTGATAATTATAAATCTCTTTTAAATAATTATTAAATTGTTTTATATAATTCTTACATCTCAAACATAAATGTAAAACTGTAATTATAAAAAATTAATAAATGAAATGCTTTGAACACAGTGCACCTTATACTCTAATTTGTTAAGTCAAGGATTGCAACTAGAAATTGTTGTGTAATCAATGTATGATCAAACATAATGCTCAACATTATCCTTTGATTTAAAGTTTATCTGATATGGATTATCAAATTAAATAGGTTCCATAATTGCTTGAAAAAGATCTTGATACTCTCAAAGCCAAATTATATTCTATTCAAAATCATATGACAATTGAAAAGGACTAACTTAAAAAATAATTGATCAAATTATCTGATGTTCTGAAATCTCGAATAAATGCTGAAGTTGATGATTTTTGTTCTTCTGCTTTAGAATATACAAATTCATATTATAAATAGTATGAAACTGATATAGGCAGTTTGCTTGGAGTAATATCTGAACACTTAAATATGGTAGCTCCTTACACAACAAGAGTAAGACCAATAAACGAAAATTAATTTGGAATACTAATGGATTTTCAAGAAAAGATGCTTGGCAATATTTTACCAACCTTAACAAAGAAGGCTGAAATAATTTCAAAACAAGTTCTAGAGAATCAGTTATATATGCGAACTGATCATTTTTATGCAATCGTTAAAACTGCTCTAGGAAAAGCATTGTAGTCTTATAATTTATTCAAGAATAATGAATTTTAAATAGAATAAAAGAGAGCCATGAATTTACAAACTGAATAGGAGCCAGAATTAGTCAAATCAGCAATTTATCCAATGAGTGAATTTAAAAGAAATGCTATAGAGTTATTAAGAGATCATTAACAATAAGAAAGAAAGTCTGTAAGAATTTATAAAGCAGAAGAAGGATTTAATCTACCCAAAAATAGAAGTTCAGCAGAAAACAGTGGAACTAGATATATTTATGCAAAAGCAATTAACACAGTATTAAGTGGACATACAGATATTGTGACTTGTATTTGTATATATTCTTAATCTTCTTTAATATCTGCAGGAGGTGGAGGTATTATAAAAATATGGGATATTGATGGAGGTTTGGCATTGGGATAGATGAATGAACATGCAGGAGATGTTTGGGCATTAGTTAAAATTAATGAAAGTAATTTTGGTAGTGCCAGTGCAGATCAAACAGTGAGGATTTGGAATTATTAAAGAATGATATGTGAAAGTGTTTTAGTTGGACATTTGCAACCTGTTAAAGCTTTAGTTTATTTAAAAGATTTAGAATATTTAGCATCTGGAAGTTTAGATAGCACAATTAAAATATGGACAACAAATAGGCCAAAGTTAAAACTCACTATGTAAAATAATTAAAAAGTTAGAGCATTATGCTATGTTTAAGCTAAGGGACTTATAGTTAGTGGAGGTGAGAATACTTTAAGTGTGTTTAATATATTAAATGGTTATTGTAGAGATTAATTAGAAGGACATACTGGAGAGGTGTTATGTTTGAAATATCTATAAGAATCCTTAATGGGAGAATTTATGTCAGTTATTGCTTCTGGAGGAGCAGATAAAAAAATTATTATTTGGAATCTTGATAGAGGTATTAAACTCCACATTTTTGTTGGACATTAAGAAGCAGTCACCTGCTTAACATTTGATATTGAAAATAGACAGTTATGGTCAGGAGGAGCAGATAGAACTATTAGATGTTGGGATATTGCACAAGGAAAATCTATCTTAACTGCAAAAAGACATTCCGAACAAATTAGTGCTCTTGAGTATATGTCTGGAAGAGAATTAATCATAAGTGGAAGTTGGGATCATAGAATAAGAATTACATAGCGATCCATTTTAATGAATTGATTATTTTGTCATTTTTATTGTTATAAATAAATTCATTAACTTCCTCTGCATATTTTCTTCTTGGTTTCTTAATCAGGTTAAACTTAATAATTAACTTTATTTCCATTTTTTAGTTTTTTAATAAAGGTTTCAAATTCTCTAACAGTTACTTATAAAAAATGATTGGGTTCTTATACTTCTATTGAATAGGCAAATTAAAATATATTATTATAGGCAGCATATTCATTTTTTATATCAGCATTTACATTTAGAATATTGAATTAATCTTATCTCTAAATTAAATTAAACAAATCCACTAATTGTTTATCATCGATTTCTAAATGATATTTAAAATAGATGTAAATAATAAATTTTTTTTTTGTTTCATCTAATTTGTTTAAATATTTTATTTAATTTAATTAGCCCTATAAATATTAAAATACATCCTTAAGATGAGAATGAACTTCAATTTATTTATTCAATTAATCAACAAATATCTAATTAATCCATCCAACAAAGCATAAAATATTCATATGAGTCTAATTAAAATTTATTTATTTATGTTAGTCCTACTTTTATTTTTTGAGCTTTTCAACAAAATCAATAATGGCATTTCCCTTTTTAATAATATCTTCTAATCCTTCAATAAAATTAAAATTTTTTAATTTTTCAATCAAATTTTAAATAAATTTGATACATTATCCGGCATTCATATTCTTAAAATTTAGTATATATTCGAAATAATGTGAATAAGGCGAAAGCATTTTATGTTCATTGCAATAATTTTTTATTTCTTAATTAAATGTTCTAAAATACAATTAATCATCTTTTTTTATTTAAATGATTTCAACCCATTTTTAACCAATGATAAATTTAAATTTTTAAGCAAATATTAAATAATCTTCAGTATTGGCTTTTTATATTTTTAAAAAAATAATATTTTAAATAAAATTCTTCTAAACTTTTATTAAAATACTACGTGTTTATTGTTAAGGATCTTAAAGATTTTTTTATTCTTCTTATCCCTTACTTTCAGGAGTGCTAGATTCTTTTTCTTATTGAAGTTTTAATGGACCTTATTCAATAATAATTGCATCTTCTTATGAAAGATTAGGAGTTGTTTAATTTTTTTTGGCATCCTATTTTTTTGATTGATCCTGCTTTTGTGATTGGTCCTATTTTTGTGATTAATCATATTGTTAAGATTGATATTAATTATTTGAATTATTATATAATCGATAACCTTTCTCATTATCTAATGACTCATTTTATTGTAATACATCACCTTAAAGTGATTTATTTAAGTTTAAGAGGTCTGATTCATCTTCTTGATGTGATTGATTAAATAATTCTAAATTTGACTCGTTCTCATTTTTTTGCATTTTATTAAATAAATAATATTGAATTAAACAAAAATAATTGGATTTATTAAGAAAAATATAGAAAAATTATAATTTTCATACAAATTATTATATAAAATATTATTAATTTTTAATTTTTTTATTATTTATAACTCAGTCTTTAAAAAATATGCTTTTGCAATAATTGAACAACTTTTATTGTAATGCAGAAGAAATTTGAAGAAATGTAAACAAATTTATAAATCCAAACATTTGTTTTACAAAGACTTAATATTTTTAAGATGAATTATTATAATAGCAATAGAGATAATTTTGAACTTGCATTTAAGGATAATAATATAACAATTTAATTAGAATATATTAATTAAACTCATTAAAAAATTTAGATGATTCAATATTAATTCAATTATTATTTGATATTTTCGATATTTAAAAAACATTCTGGGTCTTAATTATATATTTTAAGATATTAAGCTAATTTTATAAGATTTTTTGCATCTTCACTTCTACAACAAATAAAATAATCTCTTAAATTAATATCCCATGGCGAAGCTCTACAAGCAAGTAATAATCTAATTATTTGCAAATTATCAGTAACCAAAGCGAAATAAAGTGGTTTTTAAAGAAAGAAATCTTCTGAATTTACATTAGCTCCATAATATAATAGTAATTTGACCATTTCAATTGATTAAATCATTACTCCTATATGGATGGCAAATTGCCCTTATTCATTAAAAGAACCTATATAAGATTTATCTTAATCTAACATTTGCTTAACTGCTTAAATATTGTTATACTATACAAATCTCAAAAATGCAATAGAACCAGGCATTTAATATGGTACTAATTGACAGAAATTTTAAAGTAACTATTATATTTAAATAAAAATAAATACATCTAAAACAAATGTTCTTTATTTTATAGCTCTTTTTGCTAAAATTTTCATCTTTCGAATAATTCTTCTTTTTTTTACTTTCTTTTCATAATAAATAGGATAGAATTCAATAAGTTCTTCATCATCTCTTTTTTTATCAATATCAAATACTGTTTAAGAATAGGATGATATTAATTCTGAAATCTAACTCTTATTTATTTTTGATATTTTTTTTGTGTATCTATGTGGTTTAAATATAATTGTTTATGGTATTTCACTATTGAATTCTTATCTTATTTATTATTTTTCTTTCAATTTTTATATATTTTATTCTTTCTAAGGAGATTCATTATATTATTTAACATAATTATCAAATTAATCATCTTTTCTCATTGATTTTTATTCAATTATAAATTATAACCATTTATTGCTTAAAAATCTATCTAATCCTACTCTTGGATCTGTGCTTTTCCCAAATCCCATTTTTGTGAAATTATCTAATGCAGGACTAGGTTATTTTAATTATCTAATAGATCTTTAAGATTTTAGTTGTAATTAAGTTTTCATAGATAATGTATTGATATTTTTAGTTTATGTAATGAAACATTTAAGTGTTTCTGATGGTTTTTTTAGATTAGAAGGTGATGGATCAAATTAATCATCTAAATCTTTTAGAATCTTTTAAGAAACAGATGTTTGTTATTTTTAAAGTTTCCTTCCACTACTTTTATATGTTGTTTTATTATTTGATCCAACTAATTCTTAAACTTTCTTAATATCCTTGCTTTTTACATTATTGTAGCTATTATTTTCATTCTTTAGGTTGCTTGTTACGATTTATCTCATTTGCATTGAATTTCTTGATCTTGCAGGTCCATGAGGTGAAAAGAGATGAGAGATCTGATTAAAGGATTTGGGAGTTAATTTTGATTTTTAAGGTGTTGGTGATGTAATTGAAACAATAGGTTAAGAGACAATTTATTTTGGATCCTCTGTAACTTAAGTCTCTAACTCTAAGAATTACTTTTTAAGGAAGTTATTATCAGTAACAGTATTTAGAGTGAATAATTTATCTATTGATTGTTGTCGTCGTTATTCAAAGAATTCCTTAAGTTTTCTGTTTAGAAAATCCCAATTCATAAAATAATAATTTGCATATTTCTAATTATTATATATTCAATAATCTATTCAAAAAAGGTTTGTCATAATATGATCTATCTATTCATAATATAGAGTATTGATTCAAATATTCATAGATATTCTATTGTAATATATCTTTTACTAAATCATAATAATATTCATTATATAAAGATATTTTCAATCTCTAATATAAGATAAATATATAAATATATGAATTATTCTTTATCATTTAACAATTCTATTAATATTTGAGAAATATTTAAATTAATTCAATTTTAAGGATTATGAAATACAATAACTCCTTAAAGTTAAGAACATTATTTCTAATCCTATATAAATAAGAGTATTTCAATATTTTACATTATAAATAAAATTGATTAGAATGATCTATTTTTGTAATCAAAATAAGATACATTGATCTGTAATTTTTAAATTTTGAAACTTTAGAGGAGAGTTTCAAAAAGTTAGATAAGCACTATTAAAATTATTTATGCAGTTTCTAAATATGGGTTGAAAATGGTTCCAATTGATATATTTAATAAATCATGAATTAATTACCTCTTGATAGAGTAAAATAATTAGAGAGTAACTCTGGTCTGAATTCTCCTTTAAGTTTGACTTTCAGATTGTCAAATGCGATAAGATATCATGGTCGACAAACAAAAAGATAAAAATCAAGAAGTTAATAAAAACCTTTTGTTTTACAATAGAAAACAATAAGAGGTCCATTTAGAAGGAAAAGTTGTTACTGCGATGAATGTGGGTAATTAGGGACATTTTAATATAAATGTATGAATATTAAAGGACCAAAACCATATAGAAAAGCAATTCTTACAAGAAGAGCATCTAATTAACATATGTATTATATTATATTTGATTGATTAGATAATCAGCTTAACCTAAATCTGTGTAACGTATCAAGCAAGCATTAAAAAAAATGAAAACTTATGATGAAAGTAAAATTAGTGCAATTCAAGATAGTAATAAAAACTCTTAGAATTTATAAGTTATATAAGAATAAATGACAAAATTGCATTCTTATTTCTCAAGACAATAAAAATAATAAATAAAAGTGTATTAATTAGCTTAGTATACCCCAAATTGTTCTCCAAAGCATTCAAAAACTCCAAGAAATTTACCTTATTTATCTCCTTATGTGACCCTTAGAAAAATAGATTCATAATTGTTAAAACCATTAAAGCCTGCTCAATTAATTTAATAGAGATCGTAACTATTGGCTTTGCATAGAACAAAGTATCATTAGAAAACATTATCAACTGTTAGTCAATTTTGAAACTATTAATTCTTTTTAAATAATAGTTAGTATTATCATATATATAGATTTGAATCAGTATGTCATAGTATTAGAGATGAAATAAATATTAAATTTAATTAAATGATCATCTCAAATATGACTCAAAATATTTCTCGAGTTTCGGATAAGACGTTTACAGAAACAAACTTAATTGTATACTCGTTGAATAAGTTTAAAAGAAGTAGTTTAACAAACAGAAATATACAACTTAATAAGGAAGATTTAATATAATCAGATGAAACCTAATTAAGAAGAAAAAGTTGCTATTGTAGTGAATGTGGTCAACTTAGTTAATTTCAATATAGACATCTAAATAACAATGTTTCTATTAAGAAAATAAAAATCTTTTCAAAGAATTCAATGATGAGTAAATCAATGAAAATAATGTAAAATTCATTAAAAATTATAAAATTTTAGTCCTACTTCTAATAGATAATCAATACTTATTTAAAGACATTAATTTCGAATGAATACTTGTAGAGAGATTTAATTATCTCATGTTTATAATAAATCACCTGCAAGATTGACTCCAATGAAGGAAAATACAATTACAATTAATAAAATTAAAGAGTAATATTATAATGAACTATTGGAATAAGTAAAGAAGAAGAATCGATTGAATTTTCATTAACTTAGTTTACCTTAAACAAAAAGAGATTAAGAACCATTATAGAATAAGAAAAATATATAAACACCCTAAACTCATCGAAAATAGAAACCAGATATTAGACCATATTTTAGTCATTTAAAATTGAAACCAATAAATTAAAAATTCTAAACTTCTCACTTTGAAATCTGAATTCTAAATATAAATTTATGTCATTTACTATGATTACCTACTATTCTTAATATTGATTCTTATATCTCTTGTAATTATTAAGGGTGTGACTCTTGAATATATTATTTTAATGTTTGCCAATGAGCATTAGAATTCATGTTCAAATCTTAACTATTATTTAATGTGAATAATAGACCAAAAAGTGATTAAACTAATGGTTTTAATTCTATTAACAATGAAATCATAAGATAAATATTTACAACTATCCTTTTCTAAAAATGAAAACTTTTAGCTTAGTAATGAATTTAATTAAGAATTGATTTTTTCCTTTCAAATAGAATTAAACATATATACATCTTATTATTTATGAATGATCTATTTTATTTCAAGATTTTTCTTTTCTTCTTCAGGTTCAACATTATTTTGGTCTAATTCTCTTTCCATATAGGCCAAAGGCATACTCAAGACTTTATCAAGATTATTGTTCACTTATTACAAAGCTTGAAATATATTAATAAAGTATATTTACAATAACCACTTAATCCTCTCATTCTAAACTTAGTCATAACATGTTTAGAAGCAGAATCAAAATTTTTTATTTATTACAATGACCATTAATAAAGTGCCTTAAATTCTTAATCTTCAATAAGTAATGGTTCATCTTACAATTTCTAACTTAAAGATTTCAAGTGTCCAACCAAAGCATATTTTCTAAAATAAAGATGATGATACCTTTATAAAATCCTAATCATAAATGCTGCAGCATAATGATCCAATTCTTATACAATACTTGAAATTAAAGTATTTTTATTTTCATTTTGTGTATTGAAACTTAATTATTATTACATATCAAATCTATCATCACTCATTTATTTGCTAATGAACTTTTCTTCTCTTACATTAATAATTATTAAAATAAATACAATTAAATATTTTGATCTGATATTTTGTGAACTCCTAATTCAGGTTATTAGAATTTAATAGTAATAGTAGGTAGATTTGTAGATAAGATAGATCCAACATGAACATGTTTACATATTGGATGAACAGCATATACTGTTTAACCAACATTAAATGATGCCAATCTTACTATATCATGTATTAAATCTAAATTTCTTATGTCTCTATGAATTGGATAATTTTAATCAAATAAGTAATTTCGAATAACGGATCTATATTTTGTTAATTTACTCATTTCTTATTATAAGAAATAAAATGAAAATCTTCTAGGTTATCCTACTGCCTATGAATTTGAAATAAAGTTCTACCATTTTAATCATTCTCCATTCAGTTATTGATTTTGATCCTAAAGGAATATTGGCTTTAGTTAACATCTATTGAAATTCATTTAGACTAAAATAAGTATAATCTAAATGTGAATAAAAATATTCATGTTAAATCCATTTACAAAACTTGAATTTTAATTAAATATATATACATTAAGACTTATGTTTTTGTTATCATAAACACATTGATTATTGAAACATTAGGTTTAACTGAAATAATAGGTCATATCCTTTGCATTTTCATTCATATCAAATTTTTAAGGAATAGACTTACGATCTTGTGTTTATGCAATAATGTATACAATTTTAATTTTTCTTAATCTTCTTAATAGGTTGTATATCATAAGGTTCATTTTATTCATAATGATCTCTTAATATCAAATACAAATCATGGGCGGTACAATTTTGATTTGATTCCAAGAAGTTTTTATTCTTCATCCATAATTAATCTTACCTTCTTATATACAGATAATAAATTTGTTATTGTTCGTTGATATCCTAATTGTCTCAAAGTCTCTTACATTCTTCCAACTCCTGCCAATTATAATTATCTAAAGACTACAATCAACTTATTCATTCAATCATACTCTTTAAAAACACTTCTAATTCGATTTCATTCCATTATTGTCCTAAATCTATTCTAAGTTTTGAAATATCTATTTATTCAGGAAATTCGTTCATATAAAAATTAATATATGTATTAAAACATCATTTATTAAATACAATAACATTTCTATGTCTCTCTACATGTTCCAATAATTATTCAATATCCTCTACACTTACTTCCATATCTTAAGCTATGCTTTTTAAATGAATCTTAAATTTATCAAATTGTTAATCTGAGATATTTAGATTTCTATGCACTTCAATTAAATCCCTAAAATCATCATATTTAATATCCTACCTTCCAGTATATTGAGTTTTCTTATCTCCCATCATTTATGAGAAGAATCGCTTTTATTGATATCTGACTCTACTCATATCTGCCTTCAGAAATTTGTCTCTTAAAAGCTTATCAAACAACACCTTGTAGTAAAATTAATCAATCAACTCAGAAACCTGTTAATCGCCACCAAAACGCTCATATAAGCAACCTTATTATTTATCCATTATTAAATTTTAATATATGTTCAAATAATCTCGCACTTAACTATCAGAATATGTTGCGTATTAAGCATTATCATATTGCAATCAAATCTTATAATCTTATATTTTTCAATATAAAATAGTAATAAAACTACTTATTTTTTTTAATGATATAAGCTAAACAAATGTTTAATGCAGTTTTAACTGAATTATTCATATAAAACCAGAACAAACTTGAATAATATTAATGTAATATTTTCAATAATACGTATTAATTAAATTTAATATAACAATTTTAATTTTAATAATTTAAATTATTTGTATTTTTATAAAAAGGCTTTCTAAAAAGAAAATTTATGTGATTATATACATATTATACACTAAAGTTTAATTTATCATATTCTATTAATAAATTGAACTTAATATTCAAATTATATGACTAAATTACATTATTCATATTTATATTTATATTTATATTCAAATTCATATTTCTTTTCAAATAAATATTAATCTAATAAATAATTTTGATTCTAAGATTTCCTAGGATTAAAACTTAGAATCTCAACAACAATTAATTAAATTTTTACTTCAAATTATTTTTTGAGGATTAATAATAGAAATATAACATAATAACACTGTGGTTATTTAATAGTCTATCATATTTAAAGCAATGAGAAAATAATATTTTAAACATTTTTGACTAAATTTATTTTCAAAAGGTATATCTTTTTTGTTTTAATTCTAAATAGGTTTATTTATAGTTAGATCCTGGAATTTATATAGAAATTACAAAAGAATCACCTCAGAAATTGATTATTTAAACTGAAGGGATTTTTTTATTAAGTCTTCAAATTACTATTTTTAAGACTATTTTAACAAAATTTTCTAGTCTTACTCCTTATCGAAGTATAAATTAATCAACAAGATTTTTTTATTTGGTTTTATAAAAAATACTAATTTAAACTATTTCAAATTTATGATTTCTGATTCCTACAAGCATATTATATGTATTTTTCTTATATTGACGTAGTATTACAAGTTGTAATTCTAAGTGATTTTTTATCTATATTTATAAAATTTAGAATCGAATAATTTAATAATAATTAATTACAAATGATAAAAATGAATGATTTTTCTATTGCTGTATGTAGTATAGAATAATGAACAATCAATCTAAGTGATAAGAATCTTCACGCTCATTATTTGGATTAACAAGTTTGGTTTTTAAAAGCATGCAATTTATAAGAGTTGTTTTTAGATGATATTGAAATAGACAAATAGGGCATAGATCATTAATTAATTAATGATGATTAAACTAATACTAATACAGTAGCTAGGCTTGATACAATCTTACAATTACATGGAAGTCAAGAAGGAAAAATATTAAGAATATTTGAAAAACTTGTAAGATGAATATTATAAATTGAATATACAAGACGAGTCAGGATCTAAGAATTATGATTATTCTGATATCAGTAATATAAGTTAACTAGAATAAGGATTGTAAGACCCATTATATAAGGAGGAAGAAATAAATATAAAGATTGGGCATAGAATATTAGTTAGGAGACCTATTGTATTTGAATTAATGTGATTATTCTGTATGTTTAGAAATAACACTTAAATTATTGAATGATTAATTAGAGTTATGGATATAATTAAATGTGCTTCAATTATAAATGAGATAGTGTTATAATAATTATGATTTATATTAATTTAATATTAATAATATGAAAAAGTAACCACCGCCTTCAAGTTAATAACCATAATAAATATAATCAAGAATAATTCAGAAGGAAGTTTTTTGGGTCTATCAAGCTTAAAGTGTATAACAAAGTGCTTTTGAATAATATTTAACATTGAATTAAAAAGAGATCTATAATTTATAATAATAATAATAAATTGGATTCATGGAAAACATCTAATAAGTATCTAATTCAATCAATAATCATATTCATCCATGTTTATAAAACAATGCATAGGATCAATTTTTAAGATTTAATAGTATTAATGTTGATTGGTTAACGTTGAAACTGATTCATCTATTTATTAATAATAGTAATTTAATGGCAATAGATTTTAGACACAATAGATTTACAAATTAAGAATTAGATGTTGTATATTAAATTTTTGCATTTTAAAGAATTATAAAAGCATTTATTGAATATAATAGTAATGTAAATATACTTAAATTATGTCCACTTTATAATTTAGAATTTATATATTTAAGAGGAAATGAGATTGAAAATAATATAATAGTTTAATTTATGGGCAATTTACATAATAGAGTAAGAGTTTTAGAATTAGGAGTAAATAAAATAAGTCAAGAAGGTGTAGATGCTATTGCTGAATATATGGGTAAACAGAATGCTTTGGAATATCTTGGATTAGCATAAAATTGTATTAAATCATTTTAAGATATAAAATTATTAACAAATTCATTTGGAAAGAATAGAATAACAACAGAAGAATTTTCTAAGTATTTATTTATTTTAAAATTAGAATTTAAGAATTAGAATAATAACGTGAATTATAAATATAAAAGTTTTAGAAATAAAAAAAGAAATATACTGAAGAAATGCTTATTTAAGTACCTCCTTATGTAAAAATTGATAATTTTAATTACACTTTACAAAATCCATAATTTAAATTACTTAATCTATCAGATAATTAATTAGTGGAATAAGATAGAGATTAAATTGATAAATTCTTAAGTAGATTACTAGATACTTAATCTGTAGTATTGACAAATAATTTATTCGAACATTCAACTAGAGCTAAATTAAGGAAGAAATATAAAAAATGTGTAGTAATTTGATTCAATAAACAAATGTATAAATATTTAAATCACTAAATTTATAACAATTATTATGAATAACAGCAAGAAGAGTTTAATATTGATAATTCTTTCTTATACTTCAAAGTTTAAATATCTTCAATCCATATTGCTATTATTATAGATAAGATTAAAATTCCAATAGTTAATTTTGTGATAATTGGATATAACTTAATAGTATAATTAAAAGTTAAAACTTAAGGTATATTGTTATCAAATTGTAAAAGCAAATAGATTTCTAAGCTTAATATTATTGTTATTAAAATAATTGATATTACCTTTATAATAGTGCCACATTTCAAAGTCTAGAAATAATATATTTTGCATATAAAAATACACATTAATAATGTAATTTCAGCAAAAGACAATGGCCAAATGAGATGTAAAAATTAACAGTCTTCACAATCTACATTGAAAGTTTCATATTAACCATCATAATTTAAACATCTTTCTTTTCCATTGAATGAGATCGTACATATCTTAGGTGAATATATCTCATATATATTTGTGAAAAATAGTGTAAACTCAAATACAATTGCAACACCCAACATTATCAATTATGAAATTAGTGATATTTTTACACTATAAGGAATATTTGCTTTCGTCATTTAACTATATTCTTAATTCATTTTAATACACTATATTTATTTTATTAATTCCTAGATCACAGATAAGTCATATATTTATATCAATTTAATCAGTTTCTTCATCTAATTTGAAATGTAATAAATCAAATAGAATATGAATATCAATCTCAGCATCTAAATTAAAATGAATCTTAAAAGTATTAATTAGATAGAATATATAGTAATTTATATTGATGTGATTGTTTGAATACCTATGATAGATTCAAACTTTAAATTAGAAATCATATTTATTATAGATCTAAGAAGAAGTATAAATTAATAAGAAAACCATAATTGATTTAATTTAAATCAATTACGATTTCTAGAAGCATAGAAATTCGGAATTTCAATATATCCTAAATATTTATACATTCATATATAGCATTATAAAGTTGAAACAAATATAAATTTGATTAGTAATATTATTCAAGTAGTAATAATAGATATTAAAGATATGATTTATCAAATGAATATATAATATTGATGTAATATAATGAAATATTATTAAAAATATAATTAATAATAAAATAAGAAAAAATGCATTAAAATAATGCTGATCTAATTAGACCTGGATGTAGAGGAGGACATGATTAATTCAATTGGGAATCTTTAAGAACAATGAAATATCATGATCGTGAATAATATTTAGGATAAACAACAATTATTGGTTATTTGGATAAGGGTGGAAAGTGGAGAAAGAAAGATTGGTACATTAAACCAGAAGATCGTAATGAATTGGATTTTAAATGTATATGAATATATTTATATTATAGAATTGGATGATGAATTTAAAAGAGCCAAAGAAGAAGATGAAAGAAGAATAAGAATAGCATTAGGATTGGAATAACCAGAAGATTAAAAATAAATGCAAGTAAAATTGACCAAAGAGGAAATGACTTAATTAACAAAAAAGTCAAAAATTGATTTTGATGATGAATTAAATAATGAGAAGAAAGGATTAGGAAATGGTCCAATGTAAAAATAGACTAAGAATACAGAAGCATAATATTTATTAGAAGCTTATGGTCATTAAGATTAATACTAAGTTTAAGTAAAGAAAGAGGAAGATGGATGTATTGAAAAGAAGATTAAGAAAGAAAAAAAGAAGAAAGAAAAGAAAGAGAAGAAAAATAAGGAAGAAAAAAAGCATAAAAAACATAAGGATAGTGAAGATAAAAAAGAGAGGAAAAAAAAGAAATGAAAATTATATACACTAATATATTTTAATTAAGTAATTAGTTGTTTTAATATAAGTCTTTGATAAAGAATGTTTATTAATTTTAAGTAATACTCAGAAACCATTTATTACTTAAACTTAATTCTGTTGATTACAAACTTTTTAGAATTTGTAGGATATTTATCTAAATTTTTTATTCAAATTTTTATTATATCATATGATGTTTTTTATACTATAACTCATCGGAACAATCTTTGCATTTAGTGAACTCAATTATTAATCATCCTCAAAGTACCATTTATAAAAATTACATTATTTTCAAATAAAATAATGATATTGCTTATTCCTAAATAGAGAAAGGGAATAATCATTAATATATTTCTTAGAAAATGCAGACTTTATTCAATAATAAGATGTTATTGTTGCATGATATTTATTGTTCAGCCAATAGCAAATTTACATAAACCAGAATTCTTATAAATTCAAATTATTTTTACTATTATTAATGAATACAACTAATTATTTACAATACTATTATGTAAAATTTATTTAGGAATTAAACTAGTATTTTTATATACACTCTTTAAGAAAAATTGAATCAATCTACAATTAATTTTGCAAAGAGACAATATTAATCAATATTGTACGTCTATAACATATTAAATAAAAAAGGGAAATCACTTAATTAGAGAAATACATCAGATTAATCTAATATTCTTTTTCTATATAATGAATTATTAGCATTTACTTATTTAGTTATAGAAAATAAATTTCATATTATTATTGATCTACATAAAAAAATTAACTATATAAATAAGAAGATTTTATGTAATCTTTTTAATAGACTATTTTCAGTGAAATATTTCTATGATTGATTAGCTATTTTTAATGATTTTAATTTATCTCTCAATATCCTCTACTAATATAATGTAACAAGATCTACTTCTGCAAAATTACTTATTGAATTTATCAATTATCAATCATATCATTTAGCTTAAAAAATCAGAATGAAATATTTATATAACAATTAAGATGATTATGTATTTACTATTTTCACAAATAAAGAAATTAGTTATCATAAATTTTAAGTTTTAAAATAAATTTTCAAAGATCACATTCTTTATATGAAATTGGAGGATGAATATTTTTAAATAGAAGATGTAAATTTTAATAATTAAATTTAAATTCTACTTAAACACAATTAAACAAATTAATTAGCAACAGATTATTATAGTTAATGTTTAATAAGTTTATAAAGAAAACTAATTAAAAATATTCTTTATTTTTAATAGAAAATTGTTAGGAGGAATGTCATATTTTAGATGTTGAAAAATCTTAATGTTAAAAAAAAAAAATAAGTGTATACTATACTACCTATAGAAGAATCTGAATCTTCAGTATCAAATTTTTCTGGCTTTTTGTTTTTTTTATTTTGTACAATTTGTTGTAGTGGATGTTGTAGAAAATAATAATAAACTAAAGTCTTGTTAAATTTCATGATCTTATAATAACATATTTATTATTATATTCACAATTATTATTTAATCTCTAGAAGTATTAATAAGATATGTTCTTCATTTTATTTTGTAATAATTAATATTTCAACAAGATAAATATTTCTTATTATTAATGGGATCATAGTGTTGTGTATAAGAGCGAAGCATGAATAGAGCATCAATAGCTTCTAAGGCAATTCAAGATGAGTTAGAATACATGAAAGAATTAACCTTCTGTCAGTAAAGAAGACAAATCTTAGTATATGAAGATAAACCTATATGTTATTTTCTAAGCAAAATTGAATTATAGAATGATACCATTGCGACTGCTTATTCATTGAATGAGAGGGGAACTGCAAATGAATTTGATTAATATCAACAAATATAAGATGAAATTGTTAAGGAAATACAAGATAAATGTGATTATGGTATAACTCCTATTGATGATTGGATTATTTTAAGTGATAATGTCAATTCAAAATCCATGTTGAAATTATTTATTAAATAAATTGAAGTTGATAATTAAACAAAAGTTAATGCAACAAGATGTGAATTTATTGTTCCTGGAAAGCCTTAAAATTTTATTGAATTTATGAGTAGTTTTCAAAAATAAAAAGAATTAGATTCTCGAATTGATGCTTTTTATCCTATAAAAAAGAATGAAGAAAATAAAGAATCAGTTATTTACTTAAGTTATAAACCAATATTAATGACTTCTGCAAGAGAATTCATATATTATAAGAAAACGAAACAAATTGACACAAATGTTTTTATATAATGTTTATTAAATAGGTTTGGTGTGACGTTAGTAAATCTGTTACAGATTCCCAATATCCAATAAGAAATAAAGTAAGAGGTGAAATTTTGCTTAGTGGCTATTTGATTTAACCACTCTCAAATTTAATAAATAATGATTACATTAAAAATAGGTATATATATTTATTAAGAAATAAAGATTCAAAAATAAAAATTTTGATGATTATTCCTTTGTTAGAATGTACTCTTTATGTGATTTCAAATTATCAATTCCTCTTTACATGGCCAAAGGATAAGTTAAATAGGAAATGATTAAATATATTGATTTAGTATATGAAAAATTATAATGAGAAATAAAGATTATTATTATTTAAAATATATAGTAATTTTATTCTTTTGATATATAAAAGTTCATTACTTCTCATCATAAAAATCTAATCTTTCTAAATCTGTAGTTAACATATTATGAAACTTATTAAATTCTGCCTATATGTATCCCATTTATTTACTAGTTTAATGAATTTGTATTCTCTCATCTTATTTCACATGTGTTTAATAATTTGATGCAACTGAACATATTTCTTTGATCTCCTATAAATATTACGAATTATGATTAGGTTTGATATGGATAGTTCTAGTCTTTGGAGGAGGAGAAGAAGATGAATTTTATTATGAATTATTACAAGAATGTTAACTTTTTTCTTTTCTTTTTTAAGGTGCTATTGGAGTAGATATTAATTATTTGAACTTCATTTATACAGGATTATCAGCTACAATCCCTATTTTTTGATAATACTTTTTGAATCTATCATAATTAGGATCTGCAAGTTGAGTATTAGTATTTATTTTTATTGGAGATACAGATGAATGATTACTAGGAGCAGTAGTGATTTCACGAAGTCGAAATTCAATTGATTATCTTCGAGTGAGAAATTAAAACTTATGATGTTCTTTTGTTGCTAAAGGAGGTTAAAAGATTTGACTATGTTTTGAGATACTTTTTCTTGATTTTTCAATCAAAGATTTATAGTTGTTGGACATTATAGCCCATTTTTCTTCTGTTATTTCATCCAATTTTATAATTGGGTCTATGACAACCTTTTAAAATGTTTTTTAAAACTATAATTTCTTCTTCTTAGGTTGTTGATTAAATTCTACATCATGTAAAGGTGTCTAGACTTCTTCTGCACTTTTTCTTCTTACCATATACTTGATTACACTTGGACTTTAATCTGCTTTTATATTCTCCATTTTCTTCTAAATTAATTTCAACTTCTTAAACTAAATGATAAACATAATTATTTACATATTCTTATTTAACCTTTGTATTCTACTCCATTAAATTTATTAAATGGAATAAATTCTAATTCTAATAAAATAACTTTACAATGAAAATGAGGAAATAAGAAAGTTTTCTGAAGAAGAACTGAATAATATATTTAATGATTTTGAGAAAATTAAGATTGGATTTGAATGCTTATGTAATTAAAATATTGAGAAATCACTTAGAGTATAATTTTTTATATATTTGAAACATTACCTTTAATAAAATTACAGAACCATATTAATCAATCATAAGGATGATATTCTTAATATTTTACTATTTTACTTAAATAAAGTGGATTAGTAAATAATTCCATTATTATGTAAGTTAATAAATTTTATGATTTTAAATACACCTGACTCTACATAAATTATAATATGTATAATGGATAAACTACTATTAGATATTTCTTATATTTAATTAATTACTGAGATGATGAGCAATCAAATTGTTAAAATAAAATTAAAATTATCAGGATATAAATATAATTTTAGTAAGATTTATTAATTCTTTAACATCAATGATTATAACATTATTGATTTAATACTCAATTTTTATATATCTCTTACTAATTCTTTAATTTATTTATTAGAAGATAACGATTATATAACTATTATAAATTAATATTGTTCATTTATTTCAAATAATCCATAATAATCAAATATACTTGGAAAGTTTTCCAAAATTATCATACGATTAATCCAAAAAAAACTACCCCCAGAACATATTCAATAATAATTATTTTCTATTATTACACATAATTATTTAGACAATTAATATCATTTAGATAGAATCACTGCTTACAGACTTTTAAAAATTCTAAATCAAATACAAACATCTTAAAAGATTAATTATCAAAAATAAAGAGAATTATTAATATTTATTGTCATTAATATAATTTATTTAGATCTACATTCATATTAATATTTATATTTAAATTTTGATGATGAGAATGAAAATGATTATTATTTACTTAAAATTAGAAATTTTGGTATTGATATGCTATTGACTATTTTAAAATTGGATTAATAAAATAAAATATTCCAAGAAATTTTACTTATTTCTGATTAAGTTGTACCTTNTAAGAATAAAACCATATTATATTTAATAAAATATATTACTAATTGAGAGTAAAATAACTTTACAATGAAAATGAGGAAATAAGAAAGTTTTCTGAAGAAGAACTGAATAATATATTTAATGATTTTGAGAAAATTAAGATTGGATTTGAATGCTTATGTAATTAAAATATTGAGAAATCACTTAGAGTATAATTTTTTATATATTTGAAACATTACCTTTAATAAAATTACAGAACCATATTAATCAATCATAAGGATGATATTCTTAATATTTTACTATTTTACTTAAATAAAGTGGATTAGTAAATAATTCCATTATTATGTAAGTTAATAAATTTTATGATTTTAAATACACCTGACTCTACATAAATTATAATATGTATAATGGATAAACTACTATTAGATATTTCTTATATTTAATTAATTACTGAGATGATGAGCAATCAAATTGTTAAAATAAAATTAAAATTATCAGGATATAAATATAATTTTAGTAAGATTTATTAATTCTTTAACATCAATGATTATAACATTATTGATTTAATACTCAATTTTTATATATCTCTTACTAATTCTTTAATTTATTTATTAGAAGATAACGATTATATAACTATTATAAATTAATATTGTTCATTTATTTCAAATAATCCATAATAATCAAATATACTTGGAAAGTTTTCCAAAATTATCATACGATTAATCCAAAAAAAACTACCCCCAGAACATATTCAATAATAATTATTTTCTATTATTACACATAATTATTTAGACAATTAATATCATTTAGATAGAATCACTGCTTACAGACTTTTAAAAATTCTAAATCAAATACAAACATCTTAAAAGATTAATTATCAAAAATAAAGAGAATTATTAATATTTATTGTCATTAATATAATTTATTTAGATCTACATTCATATTAATATTTATATTTAAATTTTGATGATGAGAATGAAAATGATTATTATTTACTTAAAATTAGAAATTTTGGTATTGATATGCTATTGACTATTTTAAAATTGGATTAATAAAATAAAATATTCCAAGAAATTTTACTTATTTCTGATTAAGTTGTACCTTTTCATAAAAATGAAGAAAGTATTTGTATTAAAAAAGAGGCTCATTATTATATTATATCAAACTTATTTTATAAAATACCTATTCATCAAATAGATTAACTTTTTTTACAAGAATTACTTTAATGTCTCAAACAAACAAATAATATTTATATACCTATAAAGATTTAAGTATTGATTCTCTTAAAAAGATTCCTCCTAAAATAAATCATATAAAATTAATCTTAAATTGATTATTTATTATCAATCCTTAAATAATAATTATAAATTATAGCTTAAATTAATAATCCAAATTTATTATGTGCTATGATAGATTTATTAGTTTGTTTACAATTGTTTTATCCTTAAAAAAACTGTTTGAATAAATAAATATATTTAGATTTAAAATTATACTATTCCTTACAGAATAAAATAATTTTTAAATAATCTATTATTAAATGTATGGTTGAATTAGAATAACTGCATTTAGGAGATAATTCTATCATTTTAATTGTCTAATAAGAATTATTAAAAGCTCAATAAGAATAAAATTTCTAAAAATATTAATTAAGTAAATTTTTTAATTATCATAATTTAGAAATGTTAATAGATGTAATGAGTTTTATTGTTGAAAAATAGTATACATATTAAATAACACTTTATTTAAATATTATTTACACATTGGTTCATAGTTCTCTTTAATAATTGAAACATTAATAAGCTAGTCTAAATTTATTAAATTTATTTTTGAAAAAGTTATTAATTCAGTAAGAAATTAAATCAAATGATCATGAAATATCAATAAGAATGATTTAAATATTATTTATAGATTGTTTGGAAGAAGACCCAGATCTTTTTGAGAACATTGTATAAACATATTATCTAATTCTATTACATGATGTAGCTGATTTGAATATAGCTCTTCAATTTATAACTAAATATGTAAAAAATTTAAAGAATTAAAATTTCTTGTCTTTATTTTGTTTATTTTTGTTTAGATTAAAAAAAGGATTATTCCAATAAGAAATTTAATAACTTTATAAACAATTATATGAAGATATGTAATATATTATAATAATTAAGTGAATAAGATGATGGAAGAACAAGTAATGAACTTTTATGTGGATTGTCTATTTTAGATATAAATTAATATGAAATTAAAGAAATAATGCTTAATTAATAAGGTAAATTTACATATAATTTTAGATGTCTTATATATAATGACAAATAAAGCAATCTAATTTATAAATTATAAAAATAAGTTTTATATAAATTACTTAATTAATTTTTATCAATCAATGATTGCTAAAAAGCATTTAATTTTTGATATGGAGTAGTTATCTTTGAATAATAGTTTTTTAGTAAAATTACATGAATTTATCACTTAATTAGTAATTAAATAAGAAGATACATAATATTCAATAATAAATCAAATATAAAAAATATTTGAAATATATTACTTAACCAAATTATTTATTAGTGATTAAATTATTAAAAAATGTATAGATTTAAAATATATATAGTTTAAATATCAATAATGATTCAATATTAGGATGATCTAAATTTAAATGAATTAAAATTATCATGATATTTTATTATTTAAAATTAAATAATCATAAAAAAAATGATTTATAATTATTATTATTAAAATTTAAAATTAGTATTATTAATATGATGTTACAAATATATAAAATTCAATATGATTATTAATTTAAGTATTCTATGTAAGAATCTGGTCCTAAAATTTAGATGATATCTAATTTCAATCTCTCTAAAGCAAATACTTATTCCCTAATTTTATCATAAGCCAAACCAAAATTTTTTGTTGCTCTCAATTTAAATAAATGAATACATTTCTAAATCAATTGTTCCTTATTTAAAATAATCTCTATAATTTAGACATGGATTATGTTAAAGTAGAGGTTGAATGAACATGTCAGTTCCTTTTTTAGCAGATTCCATCAATTTTTTAACTTCAATAGGAATAGAAGTCTCAATTAATAGATTTATGAGTTCAGTACAAACACTCCATCTTCTTTGTGATGTTGCACCATATTATTCATGTAATTATTGAATAGCAGGTATACCATTAAGTTATGTAATTGATCTATGATAGTCTTCAATAAAGGTTTCAAGCTATTTATAAATATGATTTTTTAAATACTTAAATATTTTTAATTTTATTTTATTAAACAATGCATTCTAATTATTATAATTGTTCTGTTAATTCTTTGACCTTATTTTCCAATAATTCTATATATATCTTTTTCCTCTTTCTGGAATTTCTAGCAGATTCCCTATTTTTAGCTAGTCTATTCTTTCCATCTGATGAGTCACTATCAACAATCACTTTTTGACGACTATCAAAATAATAAATATTTACGTTTGTTTAGGTTTGCCTACAGCAGTGGGTTTATCTATTAATTATTAAATTTTGTTAAGGTATATGCTTTTAGATTGATTGGCTTAAAAAACTTCTTTATTTTTTTTCAAGAGATCTTCCTCTTAGATTTTTTTATATTTCTACAATAATTGTCCACCAACCAATGCCTTTGATCGCTCAGGCATTATAGGCTATTATTACAATATCTATTCTTCCATAATATTACAATCATTTTCAAACATCCAATCTTATTCAGCTCTATAATCTTCATCAACATCTACAATAGAGACATTATTTTGATTTAAAATATTCAAGAAAGAATCTGATGGAACAATCTAAAATGGGTTACTCATATATTTATAATTAAAATAATATATTTCATAGTATTTATCTTTTAAAAACAAATTATAATGAAAATCAATAAGAATGAATGTCAAAACATTAATAAGATGACAATTAGTAACAATTGTAATCCTGAACTAAAACTATAGATATCACATTAACGATCCAATTCATTAGCATTTTGAATAGTTATACATTAATTTAGTGGACTATACCAAATACAAGTTAAACTATCATAAGCTTAATTGCATTAGTCTATATTAGTAAAAGTTGAACAAGATTGTTTATAACAATGATCTTATTTCCATACACAACCAAAAAGATTGAAATGATCACATAAACAAGAATCTGTTATCGTTGAACAACTTAAACAACCTTACTTTTCTTCTGTAATTTATCCATAAAAACATTTCTCAGATTATATTACAGTATTAAAACAATCTTCCTATCAAATCAAATAAATAATATACTTCATTCATAATCATATCACATTATTTTCTTTAACATTTATCATTTATCAATACACATTAAAGATTTTCATGATAATTACTATTTTCACATTTATCATTTTCAACAATATCAGAACAATCAGTAATCAAAGTACATTAATTATTTTAATATATGCATAACTATCCATTAATATTTCTGCAATTATCTTATGTATTATCCTTACATTATTTCATTCTACATGTTTAATCCCAAATACATTATTTTCCTGAAGGAGTTACTGAAGAACATGAAGGTGCATTATCAATATCTGAACATTATTTTACACTTCTGCATCCTAATTAACTTGTTGAACATGATAATCCAACATAAGCATCTCCATCACATGGAGGAGTAGTCATTTCACAAGTCTTTATTCTGCATTGTCCTCCAGTCCATACACATTCATTTCTAAATTATTTATTAGATATTTACATTCCATTGATAACTTCCTAACATTCATATTCCTTTTTTGCTTCTGAACAAACTAATGGAACTGAACAATAGCTTAAACTAAAACAAATAAATAATAGAATCAGCTTCATTAGGAAATAAATAATATTATTTTTAACAAGTATATAATAATATTAAATAAAAAAAATACATACATATGGAAAATAAGTAACCATATGACTACAAATTAAAATTAAAGTCTAATAATCTTTAAATTTCTTATTATTATTACAATTTGAAAATATTAAATTGTAATAATTAATTTTGTATGAGATTTGTAATATTTTAATAAATATTGTTTAATCTTACTTGTAAATTATATTAATATACTATTTAATATAGATAATATTATTTACATAATTGTTATTGTTTTCTTTAAATTACTACTCAATTATTTATATAATTTATAATAGATGTTTTAAAAACATTATAATTATATAAAATATTTATATAGATAAGTAGTGTATATTAAAAATAATTTTTATAATGTAATTAGAGTAAAGAGTTTCTAATCTTGAAAAATTAACTGAACAATTATTAGGAAGAATCTGCGAACTTGAAGATTAATAGGGAGATTTATAAGATTAAATTAAAAAATTACAAACTAAAGTAAACATAATTATTAACAAATAGAACTAATAATTAGAATAGGAAATAGGAAATTTGAAAAATAAAACAGAAGAAATTTAAGAATCATGGTTGTTTTACTGTGATAAAAGTAAGATGATTCTACTTAATATATAGAAAGATCATTAAATTCTATAAAATAAACTTTATAAATTGAGTCTGATATAGTGAAAGAATTTGATTATTAGAGTTGGCTTACAGAAGACATTATGTGGAGATAAATAATAAAGAATATATGTAAGGAGTTACAAAAGGATCTAGAGAAATTAAATGGAGCATAATTAAAATAATTGGCAGTATAAAAATTAAAAGAAAATATTGATAATGAAGTTTTATTTGTTTTACGAAATGTAAATAAAGAAAATGAAAAAATGAATGAATTGATTGAATTATGTGCTATATTTACTTAATTATGGTATGAAATAGAATTAGGTGGAGAATAATGTTAAGGAAGAATGATTTTGGTTATAGAGAGTGAAATTAATCTAGATAAATTAGAATTGACTAGATAAGATAATTCTAAAGTTATTTTGCAAATAGAAAAATTATAAAATTGAATTATAATGATGAAAATTTACAAAATATAAACTATGAATTATTTTGAATGCATGGATATTCATTAATATTAATCATAGTTGAAATGCCAAATCTACATTTTTTATACCATCTCCAAAATAGGCATATCCAAAAATTCTAGTTCCTGCTCTATGATAACCTAAGAAACCTGGCCATTAAAGATTACGTATAGTAACCTAAAATTAAATGAAAATTATTTACTTGATATTTAGAAGAATCAGTTTATAAACTCCATTATCCTACTGGATGATCATCCAATTAATCAAAAAAGTCATAATGAAATAGAGCATCATCTTATGCAATCAATTCTTTTTTATTAGGACTTTATGGGGCTCTAAAATGTTAATAATTAATTATTTTTGATGCTTCTTAAAGATTGAGTCCTTCAAATGAATCATTATATCTATAATTAAGTTAATTATATTACCTTAATTCATGAGTAGGAGTCAATCTAACTGCACCAACAGGTAGTAGAGCACATTCAAATTCAATTGCATTAACCACATAAGCTAATCTATCTACTTCCAAAAAGTTTTTAGGAGGTGGTTTTATTTCAACATCTGAGTCATCATCATTTTTTACAACTGGCTATGGTTCATCTGGATTTGGTTAATCAGCAGGTGGTTAATCTCCATCTTCACCTGTGATATTAATAAGTATTTTTTCAGGTTATCCAGAAAATAACTGTCTGAAAGTTTCAACTTATTCTTTGTATTCTGGATTGAGTGGTGGTAAATTTTAGAATTCCTTTAAATTTGCAGTGTAGAAGAATGTTTTGTGAGGGAATTCAAAATTATTCTTGAAATTCAATCCAATTGCAATATAATAATTGGCAACTGTTCCTTCAATTCTTCCCCAAAATAATAATTAATCAAATGTCTAGGTTGAGCTAAGCTTTATCAATGCTATTTCTAACTTGATCCTTCATTACATTAATCAATACTTCTCTTCTGCACTCAGAGTTTGACCAATCTGATTTACAAATCGCAAATCTTCAGGAATACGATAAATTTCCATTTATTAATATATTTATATATAATTCTAATTTTAATATTTATTATCTAAAATAGATCACATATATATATATATATATAAATACTATATTTTATAAATTAAACAAAATAAATTTAATAATAAAATGTCCGATAATTAGCAATCGTCTGAAATTCCAGAATAAAAGCTCTAAGAATCCATTGTTCAATAAGACTAACCTTAAGAATCAAAGGTTCTTAACACTTGGGCTAGATCATCTAAAGATCTCATTGATAAATATAAAAATAAGTTTGATGCTTTTAAAGCCATGGCAGTTCAAGCAGGATACAATGATCCAACTCAATAATCAATCAAAATTGAAAATAATATAATAGAAGTTAATAAAGATCAAAAAATCATTTCATAAGAAAATGTAGTTGGACTAAATTAAATAGATATTAAACCTTTGGAAATTCCATCAATTATCTTATAAAAATCAGATACACAAGAAATTTAGGATTAATAGATTGTTTAATAAGATGTATAATAGATTGTTTTAGAATAATCAAAACAATCCGTTTAATAGATTGTCTTAGAATAACCAAAACAATCAGTTTAATAAATTGTCTTAGAATAACCAAAACAATCCGTTTAATATATTGAAAATTCTTATAAATAAGAACCAATTAATTAGTCTGTTGATTCTGTTAAATATGATCTAAAACTTACTGATTAAACTTATAGTGATCTATTTACATAAAAATAAGAAACTTAATAATCTTAAAAGAAGTTAGAAAACTTTTTGAATATAGAATTTGGTTCAAGAAATTTAGATGCTGTAACTGTAGAATAGAAAGCAGTTGTGAATTCAGATATACCTGTTGTCACTAATACTTATATTGAATTGTTAGATTAATTTAAGAGTGCTACTACATTAGAAGATCTAACTGATTTATTCAATCGAAGAACTCCTTTCAAAGAAAGAAATAATCAATAAGAACTTTAATTAAATAATAATAATAATAATATTAATGGTGATGAAAATTAATGTTTAAAATAAAAAGGTAAAACTATTGATAATTTGTTATAACAATTTAAAACTCCCAATAAATTAAATTAAGAAGTTTTATTAGAGAATGGCAGTGGGAAGAATGGAGGAACTTATCTCAATTCTCAAGTTCCATAAGTTAACATTAAATTGTCTAATGGCAAATCACCAAATGCAAGATTTGGATTTATATAAGCAAGTCCTTCTTCATAATTTATTGGATCATCAGGTCAGAAAACTAAAAAAGAGAATACTTATTTAAATGTTAAAGTATAACAGAATATGAATTTCACAATTGAAGTTAAAGATAATATAAAACCTCATAAAAGAAAAGATGAATTATCAAATTTTATGGGTAAATTAGGATTAGGTAAATATGAAGCACCTAAAGTAACAATTAATTTGGATTAATAAAATGGATAAAGTAATTATTTATTAATATTTATATTAGATGCTTTTGATAGATTGAAACATTATGTTAATAATATTGGTAATACAAGTGCAAAAAGAACACCAAGTTCAGGTTTAGATGAATTAGTGAATGATAAATCATTTAATACTTGCACTTTCAAATAATAAATGAAAGCATATAAAAAAGATAAAGGAGATAGAGGAGAATCTTCTTAAAGAACAGGAATCTCAGTAGAAAATCCAATGTTGCAGGATTAATCATTTAAAAATCTACATCTTAAATTACTACATCATTAAAGAGCAAATTCTTAAGTTGGAAAATCTGTTAGAATTTGAGATATACTTTATTATTTTTTAAATATAAATGTTTTTGTAGACTATTTTCATAGATCCATTTATAATTTATTCTATTGGATAAATAGTTAATGGATCAAGTTTAAAATTCTATTAGATTTTATAAAATAATAAATTATATTTTTTTTTATATATATTTTTATTATTGATAAAAAGAGTATGTGATTGGGATTATGAATTTTAATTAATAATTAATATTTTTTCATACTAAAAATTATATATATATAAATAATTTTAAAAAATGGCAGGCGGATTAGAAAGAGTATATGGAACAGAGGAAGATAAAGTATTATTATTATCTCTTATATTAGGTGAATTGTTCATTTTATATAAAAATTGGAGCTTGTCGTTATGAAAACAAATGTTAAAGAATTCATAGTATCCCTCCAATCTCTTAGACTATTTTATTTAAAGTAAGATTAATAATGTAATGATCAGCATATGTATTAAAATTCTCCAATGGAAGTAGCAATTGCTTCAGGAAATGCAGTGTCTTAAGCAGGTATTGAAGAAGCATTAGAGAAATTCGAAAACTTTTATGAAGATGTATTTTTAAAAGTAAAAGTGGATATTATGATAAGTTGGCAGAGTTTGGTGAAATTGAAGATTTAATTGTATGCGAAAATATAGGTGATCATTTAGTAGGAAATGTATATGTGAAATACACATCAGAATTATTTGCAGAATCATGTTTTAATGCTCTTTAGAATTTATCATATGAAAATAGACCATTGTAAATGGAATATTCACCTGTGTTAGACTTTAGTAGTGCTAAATGTAAATAATACATTGATGGAACATGTTAAAGGTATTAAATTATAAATAAATAATTTAAGAGGTGGAGCATGTAATTATTTACATCTTAAAAAGATATCAACTAAATTTAAGAAGAGTTTATTTAATTAAATGTATGAAGAACATCCAGAATATAGAGAGAAAAAAGAGAAAGAAGTCAGTGAGTAATATAATTAATTGATATCATCTATAGAAAGAGTCCAAAGAAGAATAAAAAGAAAGAAAAGAAAAGTAAAAAGAAGAAGAGTAGTAGTAGAGAATCTAGTCGTAGAAATTCTATTGAAAGATAAAAAATGATTAATGATTGGAATGAAACAGGTATATAAAATGTAAATTATTTTGATTATTATATTTATTTAGGTATCGTAAGCATAAAAAATGATGTATGGAAATAATATGCCTGCTCCAGTATATACTCCTAAAGTATCAATGAAAACGAGTCCTGAATTATTATAATTACAATTATAATTGGCTGCTTTGAAAGAACAATTAGCTGCAATTAAGATGAGTTGAATAGTCTATTATATATATAATTATATATATATTAATTATGAGAAGGAAGAATTGGAGACCAGAAGTATATAATTTAAACTTATTAAAAAAGGAAGATAAGGCATTACTTGAAATATGCAAGACTCAAAATTACAATTGGAGAAGAGTTTCAAAATAAATGATATCTATTGGATATAAAAGATCAGGAAAATCATGCAAAGAGAGATTCCATAATTAGTTAAATCCTTATGTTAATAAAGATCAATGGACTTAAAATGAAGTTGACAAACTCTTTGAGTTATAAACTAAATATGGTAACAAATGGGTATTTGTCTCATATTATACATAAAAAGAGAATCATTGCAAAAGAATTACCATAAAGAACAGATGGTTTGATTAAAAATTATTTTTATTCATTGGTTAGAAAAGTTCTAAGACGTCTTTCAAAGACTGTTAATGGAACTAAAAATGGTAATAATATCAAAATACTAAAAAAAGGATCTTAAATGACTAAAACTCTTAAACCTTCTGTAATTTCTTAAATATTTTGTATCAATCAGAATTAAATAAATGAAAGTGGAATTGATATTGAATTTGCACAACTTTTTCGAAATATTATACTGAAATACAAAAATTTTAACTTATCCTAATAAATTGATATAGAGGACATTGATAAAATTAAATCCATTTTTCAAACATTACAACAATTAAAGTATAAATATCCTATTATTTAAATTAGTGAATCATATAATGATGATTAAGAAAAGAAAAATATCTCCAAAATTAAATCCAAGATCCAAAAAATGAAAACTAAATAAAGTAACATTAATATTGACAAAGTATTTTCAATTCTTCTATATTCCATAGATCATACTATAGAAGATATAACTTAAAAATCCCATTTTCACAATGAAATCATTTCCATTGCAAAAACTATATTCAGAATCTGTATTTCATCATAATACATATCATCCTACATAATTAATGTTTTAACCAATTTCATCTTTCACATCCTAAAATATAGACTAAAATAATAGTTATGGTGCCATCTTGGTTAAACCTGAGTAATTAGTATTTTTTTAACCACTTCCTTCACCATATTATGTATTTTTTGTACACAATTAATAGCATATGAATATTAGTGCCATCATCTAATAATAATCAAGCATCAATACATATTATAGTTCCTATTTCAATCAAACACCTGAAATTAAAGAGGAACATGAAATATGATTATATCAATTGACTTTCTAATTTATATGTTTACATTAAACTTCATCAATTAAGATCGTAATCACTTCCATTATTCTCTTTAATAAAGACTCTATCACTTATTCCTCACTATATTCCTTTCTTTCTCTCTATCCACTTAAGAACCAAAACTTTATTTTTATAATTATTTAAAATAGGGGTTATAAATTATATTTTATTATTACTTTATAATAATTAAAAAATAAAAAAGCCTTGTATTATTTTTATTCAATAATAATTTATTTATAGCTTATATATAAGTAAATTTAAATCCTCTATAATTTTTAATGAATTTCAAAAAATATATAAATTATCAACTAATTATGATTGTTTCCTTAAGTTATTTAAAGAGTCCAATTTGTGATATTTATCATCAATTTATCAAGTTTGTGTAAATGATTCCTCTTATCTATTTCATTATGTGTTCTTTTTTCTATTCTTTTTTCCACTATATATATAATACAAATTAATAACTAGAATAATTATTATAAAATTCAAAGGTACCTTTTTAATTCTTTAAATTTCAATAATTTACTAAATAAAGACTTTATCAGGATTAATGTATTTAGTTAGTTTTTTTTAAATTGAATAACTTTTCTTGATTTAAATTCATATATAATTCATCAGCAACTACTTTTGTGAGACTAATATAACTATTTCAATTCTTATGAATTTATATTGACTCAAATAAAATTGAAAAGAATTTTATTGAATTTAAGATTTTCTCAAATTCAATAGATTTTCCTTACTATTGATTTACTAATTTATATCTTAGTATTCAAATTACAACAAATATTGGAATGAACATAATAAATGAGAATCTAATATTTTTCTCAGTTTTCATGATACTAATAGATGTAATAGTTTCCAATTAGACATAAATATGAAATGTTAATTTTGGAAAATTAAAAGATTTGGGATTCAAAATCATTTAAATATATTAAATATATTAACAATTAAATATCTCAAAAAGTAAATACTTAATATAGGATTCATTGTTATCTAAGAAATTACAACATGTATTATTATTATGTTTAGTTTTTAATTATTAAATTGATTGCATTCATCAACCAACAAATATATTAATATTATAATCTATCCATTATTATCAATTACTAATTTAGATATTAATATATCAGTTAAAGCAATAATTTGTATTACACTATAAATTAAGTTGATGAGTCTTGATTTCTATAATTTAAGAACGTATGTTTACTCACTATTTCTTGATTTATTTATATTATCAAATATATGTCTCGAAATATAGGAGATTTTACTTTTAATTCTAACGAATGCATTGGATAAGGAACTCTAGGGAAAGTATGATTAATTTACATAAAATTAGTTACATAAAGGGACCAATAAAAAGAATAACTAGGATGTTGTACTTCGTTTGTTATAGAAATCATTATTGAAAGATGACAACATAATGTCAGCAGCTTTGACAGAAGAAATGGCACTTATGCAAAAACTTAAGCATCCAAAAATAAACCCAATAATAGAAGTCATCGAGTCATAAACATTTTTCTATGTTGTTTGTCCTTATCGATAATCTAATTTGCAAACGTAATATTCATATATATAATTAGAATTCTTTAAAAGCAAAGGAAATTGCCTGAAGCAGAAACAATCAAACTTATTAATGATCTTATTGATGGATTTTCAGAATTAATTAAGCAAGGTATAATCCATAGAGATTTAAGACCTAGTAATATCCTTTATGATAATGGATCATATATTATTTCAGGTATAAATTAATATAATAAAACATACAGATCCTGGCTTTTTAAAGACTATAGAAAGTTTTAAGAAGGACAATAAGACTAAACCACAATAATTTTATTATTCTGCACCATAGGTACTTGAAAATAAATCTAAATATTCAAATAAATGTGATATATGGTCATTGGGTGTTATTATTTATGAATGTCTAACTGGAGTTTTACCTTTTCCTACTTCTAGTTTAGATGAGTATTTAAAAAGTTGTCGATCTAAAAAGGTGGAATTTCAATAGGGTTCTATATCTGGAGGAATGAAATCATTTATTGAAGGTTGTTTAGTTTACTAGGAAGGTAATTTAAATGTAAATAATGTTAGAGAAAAGATTTGATTGGACAAAAGTATTGTCTCATCCAATAATAAATGCTAAATTATAAAATAAGAATTAAGATATTGTAAAAGATAATAAGAAATATTTAATGACTTAAATAAGATAAAAGATAATTAAAAAGAATTTAGATTTATAGGATGTTTATTAAAAAATAGATGCAAATCATAATGGATTATTAGATTTTGATGAATTTACTACATTTATAAGTATGATAGATAAGAAAGTAACAAAAGAAGATTGTTATTACATATTCTAATAAATAGATAAAGATGGAAGTAATAGTATTTCTTTTGATGAATTTAAATTATGGATTAGTAGTAATAATACTAGAATGGCATTTTTTAAGATTAATAAACCAGATAATTTATAAAATAATAAACTAACACAATAACCTAAAAATATTAATTAATAATAAGAATTTATATTCTAATAATAATAGAATTAGATTAAATAGTAGACACCATATTAATAATAATAATAAATGAATCCATTTTAATCACCATTAAATTAATAATAATAATAATAATAATAATAATAATAATAATAATAATAATAATAATAATAATAATTAATATAATAATAACCTATTAATTATTAATAATAATAATATTAATAATAACCAATAGGTTATTAATAACCATAAAATTAGTTTCCAATTAATTAAAATCTACCTCTATAACAATAATTTTATCCCTAACCTTAACCTTAACCTTAAACTCAAGTTTTTCCTTAAACATAAATGAAAAGTTCAGGGTCTATTCCTGCTGGTGCAGGTTTTGGTAGAAGTGATAAATTAGAAAGAACAATTCTTATGATAAGAAATGTTATCAAATCAAAATAAATGGATGTATTAACTTTATTTTAATAATTTGATTTTGATAAAGATAACTTCTTAAATTTCTAAGAATTCAGTTAATTAATTTGGAGTTTAAATAATTAATTAACAGTTGAAGAAATCGCTGATTTATTCAAAATATTTAATTTGAATAGTGATGAATATGTATCATTTGTTGAATTCAGATTAGTAGCAAGTATGGCAAATGATAAGAAATAAAACGTATAATACCTTCCAATGTATTAACCTATTTAATAAAATAATAATTTTTAATAATTCAATCCACCTTTTTAAGGATATTAAATTCCCTATCAAAATCCAGCATAATCACCAAATATTCCAATGATAGGAAATAATTAATAACCAATTCAAAACAATTATTCAATGAATAAAGATTAATATTTTACACCTTAACCCTATTAAAATAACTATCCTACTACTCAATTAGGAAATAACAATAATAATAAAAATATTAAGAAATAGAATGATGCCTCTCAATTGGATATATTGAGTACTAAATAAGCTAAAAAGGATAACAAGAAAAAAGAAAGAGAAGAAAGAGAAGCTAAAAGGAAATAATAACATTCATTCTCTCCTAAAGAAGAAAAACCAAAAAAACATTTGGAAGAACCATTAAGACCTCCTATGTTAACTAAATAAGATAAATAATAATCAATTTTAGAAACACCTAAATATCCTACAGAAAAGATTGGATCATAAAATAAAATACCTTCACCTCATCCTTCACCTAGACAAGATAAAAGAAAAGTAGAATAACCAACTGTTACATATGCATAACCTAAAAACTAAGAAGAAAATTAGAATTAGTAAAAGGCTTCACCTCTAACTTGGTATTAACCAAAATATATGACAGATTACAATTATAATACAATAGGTTCTAAATTGGATCAAGAATTAGCTGAGAGTACTAACCTAATACAAAATTCATCAATTCCTAATTTTAATAACAAACCTTATAGGAAAGTATTAGATGATAAGATAGACAAGTTTTATTATTCACGTAGATGAATTAATATTAATTTTATAATATATATTTAACATGCTATTTAATAATATTATTATCAATCTAAATTTAATAATGTATAAAGCATTTAAAGAACTCTTTTTATAATAATTGAATATAATCTATAGGATTAATTATAAATAGATTCAATTGATATATCAAAAAATGTACAAAATTAAAGGAATATGGACATTCTAAATTAATAGGCTCCATAAAATTAATCTAATCTTTGATTATCTCATGATTACAATAATTAACATTAGATAATATATATATCATTAAGATATAAATCCTTTGTATTCTCAATTAAATAATTGTTAAAAATTAAAAAAAGCCTATCAATTGATTTTTATTTTATACATAAATAATTCCATAATTTTTTCTATTATTTTATTTTGATATCATATTATACAATTAAAATTAATCTTATATTTGATTTAGGAAATCATCACTTAAGTTTTATAAATAGAATAATTCAAGAATGATAAAATGAGATTATCTGCATAATAGAAAAGTTATCAGTGATAATGAATGAAAATTTTATACTTTTTTGTAAGTTTAATAGTCTAAATAAACTGATGTTTTGTAGTTTCTTAAATTTGAATTATGGATAAATGATCATTTAGTATTTTATAATCTATTAGAAATGATTTGTATTAGATTTTTTTATTTATTTAAAAATGAATTACATAAGAGAAAAGGTTTCTGGGAAAAAGAAACGTTTAATATAAGAGGGATATAATCTTGATCTAACTTATGTTACAAAAAGAATAATTGCAATGAGTTATCCTGGAGAAGGATTTGAAGGTTTCTATAGAAATCCAATAGATTAGGTTGGTGAAACCTTTATTCTAATTAGGTTGCTGCCTATTTAAATACACAACATAATTAAGACTATATGGTTTTCAATTTAAGCTGTAGGAAATATGACTTTTCAAAATTTAAAGGAATAGTACAAGATTGTTGGATATGGAAAGATCATCACTCACCTCCTTTAGATCTTCTATTTGAAATCTGTGATCTTATACATGGCTATTTAAAAGGTTAGATTTCTATTTTGATTAGGCGACAAAATTAATGTAGTAGTAATACATTGTCTTGCTGGTAAAGGTAGAACAGGCACTATTATTTGTTGTTATTTACTATATACAGGGAAATTCAAAAGTGTGAAAGATGTGTTATATTATTATGGGAAAAAGAGATTTGAGAAAGAGGGTTTAGGAGTTAATTAACCTTGTTAAGTCAAATATGTAGAATACTTCTATAAACTTTTGACTATGGATTACGTAATCTATCCCACTGTTATTACTCTTAAAAGAATCATATTTTAAGGAAAGTAAGATTTATTTCAATATTAAAATTACAGAGCTCCTGCATTTAGAATGAGGGGTGGTTGTAAACCATATATGTAAGTGATCTAAGTGAAAAATGATAAAGAATTATATTCAACTTAAAAAGAAGCAATAAAATATAAAGGAATTTAGCATGATGTATATTTATAAGTATTTGTAATTAGTTATAACTGGATAAACCAATGCCTATTTATGGGGATATTTTAATAAAGGTATTTAATGAGGGAATGATAAAAGCAGAAAAAATGTTTAGACTAGCATTCAATACAGCATTTATAGATGATTCATGTTAAGAGTAATTAATAATTATTTATAATTTAAGTTCATTATAATTTTCATTATTAGATTTGGATCCAAGTCAATTAAATAAGGATGAAAGATTTGATAAAAATTTTTAAGTGATTGTATTTTTATTGTTTATATTAGATTAATAGATTAAAATAGAGAGATGTACAAAATGTAACAATCGAACAAGTTTTGATATGTTATGTGAAATTTGCAAAGCTTATTTATAAGATGAAGAGAAATAATGGATTAAAATAAATGCATTAATAAAATAATATAAAGTACCTGATGATAATTTGGCTACAGAATTATTATTTATAAAAAAAGAATATGATGATATTGATTATGCAATGTAATTAAAAAGAAGTGAAAAAGATGGTGATCCTAAAGATCTTTTAGAATTTGAAGAGAGAATAAGAGCAAAAACAATTATTTTTCCATTAGAATAAACATAATAATAATCATATATTTAATAATGAATAAATGATATGCAAAATTAATGAATATTTATTAATATCTAATTATATTAATATCTTTTATATAATTATTAATATTTATATAATATATAATAAATTTTTATATATATATAATACTTCTTTAAAGATAGTATTCTTGAACTTATTGAAAATATATATTTTTTTCTTTAAATTAGAATAATATTAATAGATTAATGTAATAAATAATTATAATGAATGCTTTAAATGAATAATAAATATATTTTTGATTTGATCATATTTCATTTAGCTTTATTAATAGCTGATTAAAGTTCATCAGAAAAAGCTTAAGTCATCAAAACATCTAATGCTTTTTCTATAAAACCAATTTCTCCACTAATGGCTGCTACTAAATCATCATGAATCTTTTGATTTTAAGAGAAATTATTATTTTCAGTAGTTAATCTATCTTAATAACCTTATAATTCTTTTCCTCTTGTATCTAATAATCTATTTGTATCTTCAATTTATACTAAATAAATAAATATATTATACATGATCTTTATTCTCTTTCAGCATATGCATCACTATATTATTTTTCAAATACTTATTTTTCATTTTCTAATTGATTCATTCTATTTTCATGTAATAATTTCTATTAATCTTCATCATTGTATGCTGCTTATAAAGTTTCCACAAAATAACTTCTTAATGATTATAATAGATCAACCAATTACTTTTAAACCTCTCTATCAGCAAAGTTCTACTTTTCACTAATTTACATTAATGCTTAAATTATTGATCCAATATAATCAGTAGATTTAGAGGATTTCTTTTATAGAAATAGAAGATGATCATTAATTTTATCAACTTCAATAAATGAACCCTAACTACATCTCTTAATATATTCAAGAGTATCATCAGTTGCTTTAATAGCTTCAGTAATTTCATTTGCTTATTATTAAAATTATGAATTCTATTCAGCTCTTAATGCTTCTGCATTCTTTTTAGCTACTTCATTTTTACCCATATTAGTTTTCAAAGTTGTTAAAATTTCATTTAATTCTTCTTTTCTAGGTTCATATTCTTAAGTTAATTTTTTCCTATCTCTATTAATAGCTAATCCACCTTCAGTTACCAATGACTCATACTAAATTCTACGTGCATTATGATCTCCTAGTCTATTTTACCACTATATTAAGTAATAATTATTACAATAGTGTTTTCTTCATTCAATCTATCCTCTTATTGACGACCAAAAGCTTTGAGAACTTCAATCAAGATGTCTACAGCACCAGAAGCCTCTAATTTTTGATAATGCTTATTACGTGCATCTCTAATTAAGCAAACTCAAACATCATCTTCCCTAATGGGCCAGATTATAGAAATTATCTAACAGCAGTTTAAGCTTCTGTTGTGAGTGTGGCCTACTCATTCATTTATATAGCTAATGCAGTTGTAATAAATAAGGCAACTATCATTAATTCGTTTTTTAATAAAATAATAATTTATAATGAAAATATTGCTAATTCCTGCTGCACTCTATTTTATTATTACTGGATGGTTCTTATTAACTGATTCTAAATTACCATATTATCCATTTTAGCATGTCTTCTATTTAATTCCTTATGTAAAATACATATTTAATTAGCCATTAATCTAATCATTGGTAATCATCTTATTGGGAATTTGTGTATTTTTAGATTAAAAGCGATTGTTATGTATTTTCATGTTGTTAGCCATTTCTGACATGATTATTATTTTATACTAAGCCTATTCTCTATACATGTAAGAATTGAGTGAGGCACTTAATCAGTAACAATCGAATTTTATAGTTAAGTGTTGGATATAAATGCTTTCTCTTAGGCATAATCTTGGAATCAATGAGAAACAATGTGGAATAATAAATAAGCAAATAAAAATGATTGAGATTTTGTGTTTGTTTATTTATATCATATAAGTTATTTAAATATTTTTGGATTTAAACTAAAATGGGAATAAGACAATCAGCTGCAATAAAATAAGACTTTATATAACTTAATTGTAATGATTTCATATCATATTGTATAAAATAGAGAAGAAAATATCATTATCTGGATTCACTTTTAAGGGACTATTAGAACATCATAGCAGAGGTTACATTTATAATTGGATTGTTGAATAGGATGGCAACCCTGATTTATTAGTAATGAAGATGATACCAAAATTACAATTATATAATGAAAAGAAGATAAAAGCATATATTAGAGAATTATTCATGATGGTTTCATTACAATTTCCTTTTTTAATCCAACCATTTTATGCATTTTAAGACACATACAATTTGTATTTGGTTTTAGAATATGTTCCTGGTGGAGATTTAAGAACTTAATTAAAGTTATAAACAATGAATGAAGGAGAAGCAAGTATAAAATAAATATTAAGAGAGAATAGAAATGTTGATAGCTCAATTATTAATAGCATTAAACTTTTTACATTAAAAAAGAGTAATTCACACAAATCTAAATCCATGTAATATTCTTTTGGATAACAGTGGTTATATTAAATTATATGGTTTACACTCTTCTAGTTGTGGTGGTTAATTTAGAATTGAAGATGATATATCTGAGTATATGGCCCCAGAAGTATTATTAAGGGAAGAATTTGGATTTGAAGCAGATTATTATTCAATAGGTGTTTTATTATATGAAATAATGGCATAAAGAGTAAGAAATATAATTAATATAAAAATTAGAAAATGTATGAATACAATTCAATTGATGATATGATTGATAATATTATCAATAAATAAGTATCTGTTAAGAAATCAGAATTATCTGAAGGTTGGTCTTTGGATGCAGCAGATTTTATAAATAAATTAATTTAAAAAGATCCCAAAAATCGTTTAGGTTATTATGGATTTTAAGATATAAAAAAACATATATGGATGGAAGGAGTGTAATGGTAAAAAATAGAAGAGAAGATTCTTGTAAATACTTTTATACCTAAATAAGTGCCATATTCTACAACTATACATAAATAGCCTCCTCATACACATGCAATAGTAGAGACATAGGATTTTTAGAATTTGTTTAGTTTATTTTAATATAGATGGGATGAAGAAGTAAAAGAAATAGATTATTCTAGATTTATATGATCTATCATTATTATTATTATTTTTGTTTTCTTACTCTTTTCTTCTTTTCTTTTGGAGGTTCATAACCAGGAGGATAATTATTGTTTGATTATTTTCCAAATGTTTCATCAACTTATAATACTCTAGCACCTTCTCCTGCTTTCATAGCTCTCATTTATTATGCAAGTGGATTATCAGCAAAAGCAATGAATTATTTTTTTGGTGGTTCTTATTAAACTTATTTAATAGGTGTAGGAGGTCTTTCTTCAAATTTAATATTTGAAGGTCTAAATTAAACATCATATAATTCCAAAAACTTTCTATTGATTATTTCTTTACCATGATAATCAAAAAGTGAATATTAATTATCTACATTCATTCTTGGTGTTACTTTTGCACAAACATAATATCTACTACATGGTGACCAATGACATAAACTGGCTGATTTGTATTTGTTATTACTAATTTATTTAAGTGTTTTAGCATCCCATATATGAATAGAACCATCTAAATTACCAAATCCACAAATCATTACAAATCTACCATTTCCCCATATAATTTTATTTTTATGGTCTTTTCCAAATTCAAATAATGGTTTACAAGTATTATCATACATAACTGCACCTGAAGGCATAAAACCAGATAATAAAATAAATTCCTTTGAAGATGGTGACCATTCAACATGATGAATAGGTCCTTCATAAGTTGGTAATTCTCTAAGTGCATTTTTTGGAAAATCATAAAATAAAACTTAATTTTATCCAAAATAACTTTTATTTGTATTGTCTTCATGAAATCCTTTATTTATTAATAATGATTATCCATTTGGTGACCATATAACTTCTAAATCACTAGTTTAATGTAATTTCTTTTCATATTTAATTTTACCATTTATATCAACTATCTTTAAATATGATTCTTTAATATTGAAATCCATTAAACTATAACAAACTACTAAAGGTTTTGGTGTATTAGGTTATACACTAAAATAATCACAATTTCCAATATCAGTTTAATAAACACATTTATTATCAGCATAACAATGTAATTTTTAATTCTATATCATAAAATAATATTGATCATCAGATGAATACTTTAAGATAGGCCAAGCTTCTCTTTTGAAACTTTTAATGTTGAAATTGATTCCCTTTTATTCTAATGAAGGAAACATTAATATTTGTAATTAAAATGATTGCTAATCCAATTTATCAATTATTATAAGATGTTATTTTGATTCTGTAAGATGAATATTCTATAAATTTGTAAATTCTAATTCCTTTATTTATTATTTATAATCATGGAGCTTGATAGATTATTTATTAAACATAATTATATGATTTTCCAAAACGATCAATTAGACATTTCCATCTTAATTAATCAATTGCATTTCCTCATCTGTCTTAGCCAACATATTGCATAAATAAACTCCATTTTTATTCCTAATTACCAATTGATGAGGAATATTTTGCTCCATAATTAATTTATAATTAAATAATTTATTATTATTTCTAGATCCAGAATCATTTGTAATCTGCCACTCCTTCTAATGTCTTCATTACTCTCTTAAACTGTCCTCCTTTCTATTCCATAGCCTCTAATAGTAACCCAACTGTATTCAATTACTCTTCCCTAAGGTCAATCACGAATTTACAGTTATCTTTTTTCAATTTTATAAGCTGATTCCTAATCATTACACATTTCAATCTTTGTTTATAACAAGTCTTTGTTATTATTAATAGAAAATCTAGTTAAATCTTCACTCTATTCCAATGAACTCAATTACTAACTTAAAGCAGCAGATTCATTTCCCAATTATCCTATTTCAACATCAGCTTATTGTTTTTATTTATTTATCAATTTTAATGTTTAAATAATAACATCTCCTTTGCTATCATCTGCCTTTTCCTCTCTCCTCTTTACTTAAGCAATCCAATCTAAAACACTAGAAGTGATATCAATCACTTAACTAGCTAATTTATTTAGAGTTTCTTCTGAATCATCATACATAATATTTCCTTCCTTTATATCATGCATCTATTAACATAAATCTTCAATTCCTTAAACCAATTAAGTAACTCCATTCTGAATATAAATTTATATTCATACCATTTCTAATCCAGTCTTAACCCTTTAAATAGCAACAATGATTTATATGAATGCATATTTTTCATTATGTTATCTTTCCTCTTCTTCTTCATCATAATCATCATCATCATTAAATGGAGTTTCATCATCATCCCAATATTAATTATCTCTAACAGCAGCCTTTCTCTATCTATTTTATCTTTGTGACAAATAAGCAATAAATTTATTCCTGATTTCTACAATAACTACCATAGCTTTATCTAATTAATCTTAATTATAATTGAAAAATGATTATTCTGCCTCTCTTAATTCAATATATCTAGTTTCTTAGTGATCAAGTTCTTATCTCATTTTATTTTTCTAATGAAAACGATGTATTATTAGATCATAACGAGGTTATTTACGTGTCTTTGTTATTTAAATATCTCTCTATATATATTATATTTTATTCAATTACTAATTTACGATTCAATTCCTCATCATTAGTTTTTAATTCTTTTATTTCTTAATTGCATTTCTCTTATGACTATTTGAACTATTATACTCCTTCCTCTAATCTTCTATCTACATTATTATAAAAGTTGGCAATGTCTCTAATTATCTTCTCAACTGGGTCATTTATTTATATTTTCTCTAAAAATGATCGACCAAATTCAGTTTATTTCATCTACATATTTTTGAGTTATTACTTATTTTAATGTACTTTCTAAATCAGATCCCATTACACCTATGAATAGCAACACATATATGAATTGCTTCATTATTATTATTATTATAAAAACGATTAAATATGAATGTTCAAGTTGGTAAGTTTTAATTCAATTCTCGTTTTTGTTTAGGAGAAGGTGCCTATGGAAAAGTGTTTTTGGGTTAAGATACTGAAAACAATGATCAAGTAGCTATCAAATAAATAGACACTAAATTCATTGAATAATAAGACAAGTATATTAAATAACAGATTATTAATGAAATTGAAATTCTCAAAAAATGCAATCATCCAAACATTGTTAGATTTATAGATTTGATTGATACTCCTAAATATATTTACATTATTATAGAATATTGTAAAGATGGAGATCTAAAAGAACTTTTGAATTAAAAAAGATTAAGTGAAGTAGAATCATTTGATGTACTTAGACAAATTGTTGAAGGATTCAAAGAATTATAAAAACATAGTATAATTCATAGAGATTTGAAACCAGCTAATATATTAATAAATAATGGAATTTTCAAAATTGCAGATTTTGGTTTTGCAAAGATTGTTAATAATTATTCAAGTACAAATATGCTTAAATCTTTGGTTGGATCACCCTATTATATGGCACCTTAATTACTTGGTTATTAATAATATTGTTTCAAATGTGATATTTGGTCATTAGCAGTTATTTATTTTGAAATGATTTTTGGAAATCTTCCTTGGTTAGCAAGTGATCCATAATCTTTATTAAAAAAGATATTAAGTTAACCAATCATAGAAAAATTAAAATAAGCAAAAATTAGTTAATTTAGTATGTACTTTTTAGAAAAAACATTAACAATAGATGAATTTAGAAGACCTAATTGGTAAGAAGTTGTTTAGATGATCAATACATCACCATTAATGAAAGCTGATAAAAATTCAATTCCATAACCATAATCTTAAAGTAAAACAAATATTTTAGAAGTAAGTGCATCATGTGATACAAAATCAAATATCAATTCAATATAACCAGAATAATAAAAGAAAAGATAAGAAATAATATTTAAACATTATATATGTTAAGAAATATTTGTAAATAAATCAGAGATTTTATAATTTTGTGATGGAAATAATGTATTATTAAAATTAGCATTTTGTTTATCAAAATGGGTATTAGTTTTGAGTCAATAATTATTAAAAGAATTACCAGAATTAAAAAGAGAACATGAATTTTATGTACAGTTTATGCATGATATTGAAGAATTAAGATTATCATGTGAATTTACTATTGAAAGAGTTCCTTAGATTTGTTAGGATTATTGTATAGAATATTTAACAATAGCATAAAGGAATTTGTAAAATATGAGTGAAACATACTTATTAGTGTTAACAGAATATTTAATTAATTTTGCAAGAGTTTTAAGAGATGGAAAAGATTCACCTATTGATTATGAAGAATTGGCTTAAAGTAAATTGAATGACTACGATTTTTAATTATATCATGATATTTTACAGACGAATTTGAGTGCCATCGTTATTTGATTTGATAAATTTTTTATTATAATTATAAATGTCGTAACTTCTAATGGTGTGGTTAAATGATGAAGTATAATTAAGTAAGAAGGTAACATCATTCGAACATGATTTCAGTAATGGATATCTTTTTGGTGAATTATTGAGCAAATTCAATCAATAGCTAAATTTTGAAGAATTCTCAAATAAGTAAAAAAATAAGGTAATGAGATAGAGATGTTCGAGAGGCTAAAATGAAGAATTTCTAATTACTTGAACCAACATTTAAGACATTACATATTTCATTTAATTTTTAGATGGCAGATTAAGTTATAAAATGTAAAAAAGGAGTGGCTATGCAATTATTATATTAATTATAAATGGTATGAGAGATATGATATTTTATAAGTAATTGTAAAAAGTGAATGATCCACATGATGTGATGATGCATGCTAAAACAGGGAAATATAATGTGATTTAACCTCTAATGGTCATTAGATAACCAAAAGATTAATTCGATAAAATGGAATAAGATTTTTTTATATAGAAATTGAATGAAAGAAATAAGGCTTAAAAAGATGTAAATTTAGAGAAACATTTAGGCAAATTTACAACATTTGCTATTTAATAGGCAGAAAAAGAGAGAAGATTAAAAATAAAGGAAGAAACAGAAGAGAGGAATTTAAAAGAAGAAATGCGTAAGATTCAATTAAATAAATTATAAAGAAATATGGCATTTATGGAAGATTGGAATTAAAAAGGAATTGAAAATTGGAAGAAAAATTAATAGATTAGATATAAAAATAAAGTAAATGATGATAAATTTAAATCAACAATGCAAAAAATAGCAGAAGATAGATTAGTATAAACTTAAGAGTTTTTGAAAAGTGAAATGGAATAATAGATTGAATAATTTGAAAATAGATAAAAAGATGAACCTGTTAGTTTAGGATTAAGAAATAAAATGATGAATGAATTTTTAAGAAAAGAGAGAGATAAAAGAAGAAGGAAAATGATTGTAGATTAAGAGAAATAGACAGATGAATTATAAAGAAGAGAATATTGTGTTTTAGAGAAACTTAAATAATAGAGTAGATAAGAAAAAGAAATTATGTATGAAATATGGAGAGCATTTTAATGTAAAGAAGTAATTTGTGAAAATAGAAAATTAAGAGATGAGAACTATAGAAATAAATAAGAATTAAATGTTATTAATTAGAAATTTAAAGAAGAAGAAATGTTAAGATCATTATAATAAGAATTTAATGAAGAAATTGAATTATAATAAAAAAGATAATTAGAAATTAATGTTGAATATAAATTATTGATTAGATAATAGAATTATGAAAAATGTAGAAAATTAGTTGAAATTCTATTTGAAATTGAAGAATAAGTTTATGAACATCTATAAAATCATGATTCAAATTAAATAAATGAATAATTCACTAGAGAAAATAATCATTTATTTGAATAAGGAATGGATTTAATACCATATAAAAGATTTAGAACATATGATCCCATCAACGAAATGAAAAAATAAGAGAATTAAAATTATAAATAAAAAATGTTTTTAGCTAAAATGGAGATGTAAGATTACTTAGAAGGTACTGGAGCATGGAATATTTATTAAGCATAGAATAATTATACTCTAGGAAATTTAGTGAGATATTTAATTGAAAGTTAATTTGAAATTATTAATACAGAACAAATAGAACTCAATATACCTTATGTTCCATTTAGAGGATCTGTGATAGGATTTGCATTTAGTGGTAAAAGTACTATAAGTGAATTATTAAGTAAGAAATATGGAATTACTTTATTATATGTTGATGTTATAATAAATGAATTATTAGAATATATAAGTAAATATTAATAAGGAGAAGAACATTCATAGATTTGGGATCAATAATAAATTGAATTAGGTCAATCTATATCTAATTATTTATTAGAAGGAGAAAATATTCCTGATGAATTATATATTAAAGCTATTGTATAAAAGATTAAAAGAACCTTTGAATAGTAAACATTTGAATAGATTTATGAGGAATAAAAAGAGAAATGTCAAAATCATAATGTTAAAATGATAAAAACTATTGATGATTTCAATGATGATGGTATTAATTGGGAGGATTTTCATAGAAATAACATGATAAATAATAAACCATATTGTAAAGGTTGGTTATTAGTTGGTTTTCCTCATACTTATGATTAAGCAAAATTATTGGAAAAATATCTAACAAATATACAACCATAAGATGAACCTACAGCATTATAAGCTAGATTAGATGAAGCAGCTAGGATTGTTAAACCAAATGAATATTAAAAGGTTCCAAGAAGTAAATAAGAGAGTGGAGTAGGAGTTTGTGTATATTTAGAAATGCCATCTAATGAAATGTGTTTAAGAAGAGCTATTGGTAGAAGATATGATAATCATAATCATTCTTTATATCATTTAGATTCTAATCCTCCTCCTGTTGACAATGCTCCTTTAATTGAAAGAATTCAACCTTTATATGAAGTTGACAATCTTCAATAATAGATTTCAGATAAAAATTCATATTTTATGACTTAAATAGAAGGAGTTAAAAATTGGTATAATAGTTTTGAATCTAAATTTGGTTCAAATATATAAAATGCATTTATAACAATTGATGCATCTAATAATTATGAAAGAGTATTTTATGATATAGATTAAGTATTTTAAAACTTTCTTTAAATTCAAGTTAATTAAATTTAATAGAAATATGAGAATCAATAAAATAAAATATTAGAACAAGAAGAATTACTTAAATAATAATAAGAATAAGAAGAATTAGATAAGAAATGTTAATTTAAATAAGTTTAATTAGATACATTACCTATGAAATAGCCAAATTAAACATTATTAAAATATTTAAATAGTTTTTGGAATCTTATTGAAAATAAATATATGTCACTTTAAAATATTTTCAAGGGATTTAGAGAATAAAGAGAATTTATTACTAATTATTAAATGGATATACAAAGAAAATTTATAGATTTAATTAATACACCAGATGAAAAATTTTATTTTATTAGAAATTTTTAAGAATAATATAATGAATTTATTTTGGAGAATCCTGATTTATGTGAAGAAGAAGTTTGTAAAGAAGAATTACATTAGAGAGTAGATGATTTATATGATTAATTAATAGATATAATAGATTAAAAGAGAGATGATTTAATAGTTGAAAAATCATAAATATAAACATCTTAATTTATAGAAAATGAAATAGATCTTTATTTATTATAATTAAAGTAAATGCTAGTAATAGAATTAGATCGAGCAACTAATTCTATTTAATTATTAAATGATTATTATGGAACATAAGAGGGAATAGAATTATAAGATATTTAACCACCTGTTGGAGAATTATAATTGATAGATGGTGATGATCCATAAATTAGATTAGATAAATTAATAGCTGATACTTTAAGAATATTTGCTGGAGAAGAAGAGATAATAGAAGATAAAAATAAGAAAGGAACAAAATAACCTGCAAAAAAAGAAGAGAAAAAAGGAAAAAAAGGAAAAGAAGAAGAAATTATAAAAAAAGAATTATAAAATGTAGAAGCTGTAAATGCTATCAATTTAGAAAAATAAATTTTTAAAGAAAGAGTTGATGTAATTAAAAAATATGCTTAATAAACTATTCTAAAATATAAATAAGCTGCTGATTTATTATATTCTAAATTAGATGAATGGATTCATTATACACATTTAACTGAAATTAAAGCATTAGATGCCATATCTAATCTATTTAGAGGATATATAGAAAGAGGTGAAAGAATTTAAAAAGAACTCTAATTATAATTTGTTGATGTCATTATTAACCATGAAGTTCTAAATTTCTTAACTCCTATTCCTCCTCCTTTAAAAGCTAGAGAACCATTAAGTAAGGATAGATTTTCAATATCTCAATTATATTATTTAATTGAAGACTTAAGAGCAATCACTAGTACTCATTTGCTTATTGATATTAAATAACTTGCATTGCTTTTATCTAGATCATCTTATGGAGTATTAAAATTAACACCATCATAATGGATGAAAGTTCTCAAAGTACTTGATCAAAATGGGTAATTTAATTTATATATTCTATTTTTAGTTATGTGAATGTAAGATAAATTTGTACTTATTTAATCTTATTATAATCACCAACTCCAAAGGAAGAAGAATTGAAAATCTATTAATCTTAATTAAATGGACCTTTAGTAAATAAAGAAAACTTTGTTAATACACCAGCTTGGTTTGATGAATTTGAAAAGGTTGAAGATGAAGAAAGTATAAATTATAGTAAATCTTTTAGATACAAACTATTTTGATAGAATTATATACATAAAAGAACTTCTATTCTTTGTTCATAAAGATGAAAATGATTAATTAGCTACAAAATACTATTTAGAAATTTTGAATGTAAAAGGAGATAGATTTATTGACTTTTTGTTCTAAAATCTTTAAGAATTATGATATTTTCATTTAGATTATATTTTATATCACAATAATTGAAATGAAGATAACAATTAAATTTATAATATATATATATATATAATTCATTTTTAAGTTGAGATTCTAGGCCTTTATATTTTCTTTATATCATTTTCATCTTATGTCGCTTGTTCCTTAAATTATTATTAACAGAATGATATTTCTTACAATATTTTATCATTAGTTTAATAATTTAAATTTAGTTCAAAATCGCATTATGAATCTAATCTATAAAGTAAGTAATCAATATATTCATTAAGTTCATTTAAACCTTAGATTATATAAATGTATACCACTTTACTAAAATTATGTGATTAATACTTAATCTAGATTATCCAGAGTTTACAAATTTTCATTGAATAAGATTTTACTAATGATGGGTATTCGATCTTCAGAATTTATGTTCTATTTACTAAATTCTTGTTCCACTTTTTAAATTGCTTCTATTAATTGTTTTATATTATTCATAATATTCAAAACTTTTTAAGTCAATTAACAATCCCAGTTACCAAAATTTCTCCATTACTATCTATAGTGTATTCCTAGTTCCATTAAATTGATTCAGACGACGAGGATGATTGAAAATCTAAATTAAATGGTTGAACTGACTAAATGATTTATGAACTCTAAGATTTAGATTCCTATTTTATTGGGGAGTAATCAATCATTTGAATATCTTATTAAATTACTTAAAGTTTCTCCTTCTTTTTCACAATCATACTTTGAAGTAATTAAGAATATGGTTCTTATTCATTTTCTAAAGTTATTGAAGGTATTGGATTTTAAGATTGATGGAATGAATGAAGAGATTCTTCAGAAACTGAATTCTCAAGTTATTATTCAACATCCTAATGCACTTAAATCTTAATCTATTCTTCAACATACTCTTCTTACTTTTACTTCAAATCAAGATCATTTACTAATATATCTCCATATCAATGATACTAATATCGTAAATCAACTCTATTACAATGTTTATGTTATTAAAGATATTTGTGTTATTATTAAATTATTCAATAACTTATTCTGTTTGAATTTATTTTGATTCCTTTCTTTTTATTTATTACCTTTAACATATGGATCCCATTCTTTTAATATTTAATAAAGAAATTATTAATAGTATTTATTAATTTAACAATTACAATACTAAACAACTCAAAAATTCTTTAATTTAATATATAAAATGTAATTCACAAACATAAAATTTATGAATAATAATTAGTTATTTAATATCTAATAAAGAAAATTAAATTTGATTATTTTAATAATCTTAAACATATATATTTCTTAATTTTATGTTATTATATTTATCATTTATAATTTAATAACAAGTGAAATATATCAAATACCAATATTAATAAAATACTTTATTAATAATTAAATTATCAATAGAAATAAGATATTTAATATTTAAATATTAATTACTATAAATCATTATTATAATTAACAAAATAAATAGTAAACTTTTTTATAAGGTTTGAATAACTTTATAATAGATATGATTATTCACTTATAAATTTAATAATATATTGATTATTTTAATTAAACATTTACAACTTTTAAATAAATATTTTTATGATCCAATTATTTATTGTCAAATTTGATAACACATTTATTAATTAAGTATAAATATAAGAGATTTTTAAATGTTTTTAATTGCATTTATATATTAGTGTTGTAATGTATTATTATTTTACATTATAAATTTAGTAAATAATTAATTCATATAATCAATTCAATATATAAAATCAAAAATATTAATTATTAATACTATCTTAGATATTAGATGCTAAATTTATGACACAAACATCCTCTTCAATTTCTTCTTAGAGAGGTAGATTGTATTCAACTTCATTCAACAATATACAATCTTCTTCAACACTCTTTTATATAATAGTATTTGTATCTGGACAATATATAATATCTGATCCTAGATTTACTTTGTAATTCTTTTAAACAAATACTTATATAACTAAAATTAATTGAAATATATTTACATGTTTTATTTTATTCAAAATTTCTTGGAAATTCTTCAGCTGCTCTATAAATTAAATGATCCAAATCTGAATTAATATATGTTAATTCATTTGTCATTTAATCAAGTTCCAATTATAAGAAATCTAACTTAGAACTAATTCTTTATATCATCATACTCAATGCTACTTTACTGACAATTTATTCTGCTATTATTCCACCAATCTTAATCATATATTAAATAATATACAAATAAACCCAAATTTAGATTACTTAATTTAGCTACTGCAACTCCTCCATTAAATAAAAATTATTTAAAAAAGGATTTCCCTGATTCTAAAAATGAATTATTTTTTATTAATCCAGTTGCACAAAACTCTTTTATCTTCTCAGTCGCAATCTCTTAAACATTTGAAATGAATCCTTTCATCTATATGTTGAATTTATATAAACATTACAATTTTATCCAAATATTTTTAATACAAAGTTTAATCCTTCTACCATGTCTAAAATTATTAAACATTGTAATCAACAAACTTATATGTATGTATTCTCCTTAACAAATCATAAGCATATTCAACTTAAGCTTGATAATAAGACAGATGAACTGTTATCGTATCTACTTGTTTCTCTAATTTCATTTAATATAATATTACTTAAATCATTTTCAAATATGCTCTCTAATTTTTTAACATCTATTTCATATCTAACATTCAACTTCAAATCTTAATATGTAAGTTTCTTTGCATAAGCTTCTCTAACCTTTTCCAAATATCTTTAAAATAATTGCTTATCTATCTGTTTCACAAACTCAAACCATTAATCAGGATCTAAATTTTCATAGACTACTTCTCTCCACAATGAAAATGTATTCGGCACAAAAGGTGCAGATATTATTTCATAATTTAAACAAGACTCTGATTTCTCAATATATTTCACAATATTCTCAAAATTCATTAAATATAATATATATATAAATATTATAATAGTATTATTGTAACTTAAAATAGCTCTTTCACTTTATTCATTTATTTTCAAATCCATTTTTATTACTCCTTCAAAACTCATTTTAAAGTTAATTCATTATTTTAATTCTATGTTACTCTATTTTATTTGTATTTAGATACTATCTTTATAAAATTTCATTTATCTTCTGAATCTATTCCTTTTGTGAATTAAGACATTTTAAATAAACTAAATCATTTTAGCTTTTTCAAATATGTTCAAGCTCTTGAAATCTAATTTTCTTTTGATTATTTAAATATTTAAACATCGTCAACCAGCAAAAATTGAATTTAATATTTACATAAAAAAATATAATTCACTCTTCCTCTTCATCTTTCTCTTTATGTCTATTCATATATAATCTGACCAATTATTTTGTTTTTAGTATTTTTATTTACGTTATCTTATCACAAGGTTTTTAAGGATTGAACTTTTAATGATGAGATCTAATCTTATTAAACTTAGTATTACCTGCATTAACTAGGTGTTCTTGTTCCTATTACTTGGCTCATTCTTTTAAATAGCCTTTAGCCTTTGTTATGATTAGCATTCTCTTATAAAAAACGAAGATATGATTCGTGTTCCTCTTATTTCCAATGTCCAGACTTCTTTTATATTTTTTTCGAACTATCCTATGCATCGCATTAGTATTTGGTAACTTCTGAATCGATTAAAGGCATTACTTTGTAATTTAAATTAATTATATATACCAAGATTTTATTAGTATTCTGAATCATTATATAATCATTTAATCTCATCATCTGTTTATTTCAAATTTATCATTCTCTATTGATCATTAGAATGCATATGAATTCTAATTTATTTCTAAATTATTATTAGAGTTTCATTAATATATACTTTTTACGTATTTCATTATACTTAACAAAATATTGTTACCGAAATGTTACTTAACTTGAATAATTAAATAAAGCTTTTATAATTATAATCATAATATCATATTTAAATCAATTATTTTAATACATCAAATAAGATTTAAAACATTTTTTTTTTTATGAAACTATTCTCTAAATAATAATATAAATTTAAGATAAATGATCTTTTAGATGTATATTATTACTCTAATTTTGTAATTATTTATCTAATCCAAAAATAACGAATTTGTTATTAATATATAATATTATATAAATAACATCAAATCAATAAAATTCTTAAAGATGGGTACATAATAAATTAAAATGATTATTAGAAGATACCACAATCAAATTCAATATATACTCATAATTAATAATAAAATAATCACAGTAAATAATATTATCAATTAAGGAATGTTAATAGTATTCTCATGAATTTATTAGTTTAATTAACTTATAGATCTAATTAATTGTCAATATAATTTATTAAACTCTTAAGGTTTTAACTTCTTTATAAATTATTAAGAAATTTTCACCACAATAAATAATAATTGACTAAAAACTATTATAAAAGATCCACTATCTTAAAGCATTATTTGATAAATTACATATAGTGTTGATTAATTTATCACAATTTTTGAATTCAACATTGAATTTGCTAAAATAATTCTCATATATAATTATATTATTTTAATAAAATTCAAATAGAGATTAATATAATGTCATTTTAAATATTATAAATAGTTGATTCATTCATAAATTGTATTTAATTTTAATTTCAACAAGTTATAATAATTGTAAAAATAGACAAATTAAAATTATTAGTATAAAGACTATGTCTAAATAAATTGATTTACTTTACTGTAATAATGGAAACTTTTTATGATTAAAACCTTTCTATAGAAAATGGAAAAGGATATAAAATTTATTCAATAATTTTGTGTAAATTAATAATCTTCAGATATATATAGTATATAATAAATAAATAACAATATCATGAAATTAATGTAATTAGTAGAGTAAAGTTCTAAGGGTCATATGAATATCTACTTTCAATTAAAATCCATTGATTATAATTTTTATATTTTATAATGGGTACTTCACCATGTTTCAAAAAGAAGAAGAAAGAGATTACAAAGATAGGTCATCGATCATAGTTAAGCGATAAGAGCATGAGAGTAAGTGATGTTCAATTATGAGAGTTAATAAATGAAGATTTTGTAGAGTAAATAGTTGATGATTAAATGGAGAAAGAGGAAGATGTAAATTAGATAAATAAGAATAGAACATATTATATGATTATATTGAAGGGGATTTGATTTAAGAAGGATGTAATGTTTATTGTGCATTAAATACATTGAATGGTTAGCTTTTGGCATTAAAAATTGTATAAAGTTATATGAGAATAGTTTAAACTAAGTATTTAAGATGATTTCAACAATATTATAAATTTTGTAGACTTGTTAACAAGGTTAGAATTGAAGAATGTTCATAAAATAATAGGATGGGATTATTCAATATAAAATAATGAAGAAGTAAAAGATGAGATAAGAATATTGATGCCTTATGAAAGTGGTGGATCAATAAGTTGGTTATTGTAGAAGTTCAATTCATTTTCTAGTCAATTAGCTTTAATGTTTATGAAATAAATATTATAAGGATTAGAAGGTCTTCACAATTCTGGAATACTTCATAAGTATTATTTAAATTAAATAAGGAATTTAAAAACATCTAATGTTTTAGTAGATGGTGAAGCAAATGCTAAATTAAGTGATATCTATATCTTAAAAGATTATAAATTATCATTTTATAGTGCACCAGAATGTTTTAAAGGTTAAGAATATAGTGAATAATCTGATGTATGGAGTGCTGGTTGTATCTTTATAGAAATGTTAACAAGAGCATCACCTTGGCATCATTTATCTATAAATATCACATTGGAATAGATTAAGATATGTATGAATTAAGGATGTATATATTGTAATTATAATAAAATAGAATTATTTCCATATTAATAAATTACTAAGAATGAAGAAATCTTGGAAATATTCAATTCAATCTTTAAAATAAATCCCAAAGAGAGATCAACACCTTCTGAGTTACTTAATCATTCTCTTTTTAGAAGTGATTTAATATTCATATATTATTGTAGATCTGGAAAGTGAACCCTTAAAATCTGAAATAATATCAACAAGAAGATAATTATAAAATAGACATGAAGATAGAAAATCATTCAAAATTTAGAATAGTAATATTTCAAATTCAAGTTTACGTTATTCTATTAGAAGAAGTCATAATCCATATTCTACTAAATATCATAATGTTTTATAATAATTAAAATCTATTCATTTAGATTTTAAGAATACAAATAATCATTTAGATAGTTAATTATTATCTTATATTGATATTTAAAATGTCTTATCAAAGAAGATATAAATAGAAAGTAAAATAAAAGAGATGGGCATATAATAAGTTAATTAAGATAAGAATGGAAATAGATAAATTAGATCTAAAGAGACATCTTCATTAAATAGATATAATTAGACTAATGATTATTCTTTTTCAAAATAGAATAATTTAAGAATTCCAAGTTTAAACAAATCTTTAAATAGTAGTTATGATAAAATATAGACTATTAGATAAATAGATCCTAGAATTAAAACCAAAAATACTAGTGAAATTCAAAAATTAGAGGAATTAATGTATTAATAATTCTACCTAGATTAAAATGATAATAATTCTAAACCTAATTTAAATGAAATTGAAAAAATGATGATGGAATAATTTCAATCTTCATTATTTAAATCTTCTATTAATGAATAATAACCTATTTAATAACCAATCTAAGCAACTTCAGAAATTCTAAATTTATAATCACCTAATTATTTTGAAAAGTTAATGTAAGATTAATTTTTATAAGATAATGATTCTGAAATTGATGAATTACAATAATTAGAAGATTTGATTAGCCAATAATTTTATTAAGATTACAAAAAATAATATATTATTAATAATAATAATGAATAAATAAATCAATAGAAAAATATTCATGAGAATTTATCAATTGTTGGTACTTATAATTTATTAAGTAGCTTTTGATTAAATTATTTAATCTCCCAAAATTAATACAATAGATGATGATTTCCTAATAATGTTATAATGAAAATATTAATATTTGTGAATAATAATATTATTTGTTATATCAAATATATATAATATTCTATTTACTTTTCAATTTTCTAAAATAGATATTATTAATCATAATAATCATATAAATATCTAACATTACTTATAAAGATATCTTTAATAAAATACAAAAAAAAAAAAAACATAGAATCATCCCCACCAAATAGGTTTAGGTGCTTCTTAGTATTACTTCTATTGATTTTATTCATTATGATTATGTATTTTATTTACATACAGATTTTATATTTAAGAAGAAGAACTATTAATGTAAGGTATAGCATTCTGATGAATTACACTAATCTTTAAATTTTATTATTTCTCTAATAATTTCTTTTATCTAATTCTTTCCATTTCAAGCATTTAAACTGAATTAGCAATTGATTTAGATCTATCTTCATGTAATGAATTTATTTGAACTTATTATTACTATTAATATCTATCACTTTTTATTGGTGGAACAGAACAATTAGGTCTTATTTCTTTTTGATTATTATTGATTTTTGGTAAAATTGAACTATTTGCTTAATATTCATCATATGATTTATTGGTACTTTCAATTAAATATTTAGATTTTGGCAATTTCTCTTTAAGATGTTTCAAATTCTTAGGCAATTTTATAGTCTATAAAAGTACATTAGAACCAGCCTAAGATGATTAAGTTTATTAAGAAATTCTACTTTCAGTAATAAATTATCTAGCATTTCTTAATAAAATTGGATTGCTAAGTAATTAAGCACAAGAAGGTCTTGATTTACTTTACACTTATAAACATAATCCAATAATAGTCATCAATTCTCCACTAAATTTAGATGGAATTCGTTCAAATAATCCTCTTTATACTTTCTTATACAATCCTTCCATATTTTATGCTCTAAAAGGAGGTCTAAGTGCAGCCATCTCATATGCAACACAGCCCAAACTCCATATATCACTTTTAGCATCATATGGTTAATCTCTCCAAACTTCAGGACTGGCATAATATGGAGTTCCTGTTTAAGTATATACTAAATCCTTTTTAGCAACTTTAGAAACATTCATATCTCCTAGTTTGTAATTGCTTTGATGCAAAAATACATTAGCTGACTTTAAATCACGATGTAAAATCTTCATTTAATGTAACGTTCGTAAGGCTAAAGATTAAGTATTAAAATATAAATACCTAATAAAACCTAGTAAATCATTTTCCATATTTCTATTTCCTAAAAGTATTGCTTATGTTTAATATACTATTATATATGTTATTATAGATCTCCTTAATCAGCATATTCCATTACAATACACAAACATTGAGATTATTCTTCATAAAATGCTTCCTTATAACCTATAATATTTGGATGTTAGATGCTAGCCAATATTCTAATTTCATTCAACGAGTTCTCTTTCTCTTTTTCTTTTAATTGTCCCATTCTAACTTTTTTCATTGCATATTCCTATTGATCTGATTGTCTTTTAACTTTCAATACTGTAGAAAAAGATCCTATATTATAATTCAATCTAATATTACCTTCTCCCAACTTCTCAAAAACTATGAAGTTTTTCATCATTATAAATTTAATAAAATGGAAAATCCAAAAACCTACCTTCAAGAGATGGGATTTACTGAAGAGTAAATTACAAATGCCATTAATTCAACTAATTCGACTGATATTGAGGTGTTATTATTAAATATGTATAGGTTTTGATTACATACATTGAAAGTTAAACTTCAGATAATCCATAACCATAATAATAATAAGCACCAGCTTAATAATTAGATTCAATAACAAAATATGTTAATGAAGAACATGTGGCTATTTTGATGTCTGAAGGACATTCAAAAAATGTAGCAGAAAAATCATTATTGTTCTCATAAAATTTAGGTGTGGAAGCTGCAAAAAAATGGATTGAAGAGCATAAAAATGATTAGGATTTTGAAGAGGAATTACAAATAGTTGGAACTGGCAAAAAGATATCACCTGAAGAGGCTGCATTTAAAGCTAGAGAACTTTAATAGAAGCTTCGAGAAAAAAGGAGAATTGCTGAAGAATAGGCTGCTTTAGAATAAGAAAAAAATAGAATTGTTTCTGGGAAAGCTATGAATGATGTTAGAAGAGAATTAGAAGAATAGAAAAAGAAATAAGAGGCATTAAGAGCAAAAAGAGAAAGAGAGCAATTTTTAAAAGATAAATAAGAAATGGAAGAATAATTAAGAAGAGAAAAAGAAGCTAGATTTGGAAAATCTTATACTTAATCTAATCAATAATAATAGTAATAAAAAAATTACTCTCCTATTGAATTATTTGAGTTAGGCATTAAATAAATTAAAGTAGCTTATCCACCTGATCTTATTCCTGATACTGCTTATAATTCATTATCACTTATTTAAAAAGTTTTAGGTAAGAATAAATTAAACATTAATTTTAGAGAACATTTTTAAAAATCCTTAAGAAGAGAAGTTTCGAAAAATCTCATTAACTTCTTAAGCTTATTTGACTAAAATTGAATAAGTTTTAGGTGCTAGAAATGCTCTTGATGGATTAGGATTTTAAGAAAATAATGGATTCTATGTTTATCAAAATGCAGATGTTTCAAATTTGCAAAAAGCCATATCTATAGTGTAGAATGAATTAAAATGAAAATGAGATAAAAATTAAAAATCATTTATTAAATAATTGGAATTTCCTTTTGTTCATTGCATTAAAACAAGAATCAAAATATTTGTTATTAAGAAAATATTTTTTCTCTTATTTTTCTTTTGTGTATCGACATGTATTCAAACATAATCCATTTAATTCACGGATTGTCAAACAAATTAAACCTTACAACACTGATAATTAAATTAAATACTTCTCTTGGGCTTTCCTTGTGGTAAGTAATATTACGTTGCTTTAATTTTTAATATTAATTTTATGCAGCCTCTAATGGAGGTAAAGATATAATTCTTTTTCTTGATCTTGTTGGAGATCTTGTAAATTATCTAGTTAAACTTGATTTTAATATTTGTCTGTTTAAATCTATAGCTTGACTTTCTGTATACATTAAAATTATTATAATTATATTAATTTTATTCATAATATTTTATCATCATTTACTGGTTCTAATTCTATAATATTATAAATATTAATTCATTTAATTTTGTCTCATATACAATGGACATTATGTTATTCAATTTTTCATTTGTTCTTTGAAATTTATTATAATAAATTAAAAGGAAATTATGAATTTTGCTATCTAAATATTAAAATATATAATAAATATATGAATTTCATTGTAATATATCTAAAGATATATTTATTAATTAAGTATATTCTATTAATTATTTTATTTATTAATTCTCTATTTTTTACTATTTTATATTTAATATTATTGTTTAATTATGATTTCTATTTTTATTAAAAAAAGACATTATATTACAGAATCATAAATTGAACTATGAAAAAATGATAAAGTTTTTTTATTTCATTTATCAAATTAAATATTGAAACATAAATATATTAAATATAATACTTATGTTAATTATATTTCTTTTGAATTAATAATTAAATAGTTTATAAAGTTATGAACTCTATATAAATATAATTTTTAAGAAGAATAAATATTATTATATTTTCAAATATTTCCTAATTTCTCTACAATTATCTTTCTTAACTATTTAATTATCAAAACATATAACCTAAGTAATTGATTATATAAATTAATTTTAATTGCTAAAGTAAATATATTATAAATAATAAAATAATAAGTTAACATAGTCAGGTTGTCTACTTAATTTTATATTTTTATATAAAAACATATATATATGAAATTTAGAATTATATTCAAAATACAAAAATATTTAATCAACTTTTTATTTTTTAATTTTGAAAAGTATTAATGAAAATTACATTAGAATAAAACAATTGAATTATTACATTAAAAAATTAAAAAATAATAGAGAAATGATGTATCTATTGAGATATTTATTTTGAATTTATTTGGTTATTTGTAATTTAAGGAGATTAATTAGTGTTAGTATTTAATTTATATAATGTAAAAATGAAAAGTGGAAAAACGATTATTAATAATTTTAATATGTATAAATCAGTTCTGATATGCGCATTGCTATTAACAGCATATGCTGGACATGTGAGAAAATAACATGGTGCAGTTCACTAAAAGAGAACATTCAATAGTGCATTCATGGAATTTGTTAATTTAGGGGACAGTGATTACCATCTGAATCCAAAAGAAGCTCGTATAAAATTTGTAAATTGAATAGAACATTGGGCTTAAATAACTTCAGAAGAAGTGAAACATGAGACCAAAAAACATAAATCCTTAGTTGAAACACATGCTGAATATATTCCAGGAGTTGTAGGATAAGTTACTGATTTATCAAATAATGCTGGTGTATATTCATATACAGTGACAGATTCAAATGGTAATATCATTGAATAAGATTCTGGTGATCATTTGGCTAAGTAATTTAATACTGCATATCTTCAAATGACATAAGAAATTGAGAGAGGTCCAGCTATGATTAAATTATAGACAGACTTAGACAATATAATGAGAGAAGATTAAATGGAATAAGAAAGAAAAGAGGAAGAATAAAGATAAGCATTAGAAGGAACAGCTTTATCAGAATAAGATTAATGATGATTAATATACAAAAACATATATGCATATTGAACATTCTTATAATTTTAGTGAGATATTATTATCTTACATATATTTTAATATGTAAAAATGTATTAATATAATATAATATAATTTAATTATGAAGCCTAATTAAAAAGTACTTGATCATCTAAAAAAATATGATTATTATTTGCCATTACATTTGGATTATGTGTAGAAATGGTACACTAAAATAATAATCAAAGGTTTTATGAATAGATGGTAGACAATTTAGGATTAAGTGAAAGTTTTAGAACTTCATTTTTGAGTTAAATTTCTAAAATTGGATAATATGCTCATAATGAATAATAATTTAGATAATTAGTAAGAGATTCTTGGTTTTGTTTCTTAAATAAAAAGCCTTTGAATTTCATTTGTATAATGATAGATGGATAAGAGTAGAATGCAATAAAGGAATTTTTATTGAATGTATTGATTTAACCAAAATAATATGATATTACATATATAGATGAATTACTTTAAATATATGAATATTACTTATAAGGGGTAAAATAATAGAATAATATATTTAGAATGGAGGAGTTGTAAATATTATAAATAGAACAAAATTTAGAATGATTTTAAGTAAATTGAATTGTAGTAGATTTATTTTAAATTAAGATGAAAGAATTTAATTACAAATTAAATAATATATGTTTGATCTTTATCTTAAGAATATAGAGAAAATAGATGAGAAGGAGAGAATTAATGTAGAATTTATTACAAGAACTAATATATTTAATAAATTATTTTAAGTATTATTTGATTAAATAGAAGGATAAGGAAATATGTTTAATCATCTTAAATAAATAGTTTTTGTTATGATTGAAGAATAATTAAATATATTGATATCTTTTTAAATATTGAAGAGTTTCTATTAAATGTATTTAGATAAAGAGAAACTTTTATTTGAAAGAATTGATTCTAGAGTGAATTTTGATCATAATAGAATAGCTAGAGAATTAAATTAAAAATACAAAGAAAAAAAAGACTTAGTAGAAGCATTAAAATCTATTGTATAAAAATAAACATAAACAATTAATTATAAATTACTTTTAAGAGAATTAGTTACTAAAGATATATATAGTAAAGAGAATGAATAAATCCTTAATCCTATATTAAAAGAATTTGATATCAATAATTAATAAAAAAATAAGAGATAATAATATATTGATAATGATCTAATATAATAAATTAAACTTTTAGGATTTAATAAATTGGATAAAAGAAATGAAAATGAATATGATAATCTCAATTTTTCAATTAATATTATAGATAATAATAATATAATTGTAATCAATAAAAGAAATAATTAAAAAGGAAAATGTTAAAATATCAAAGAACTTTATCTCTTTATGAAAAATTCTAATATTTGAATATTATATAGCTTTACTAAACAAATTGTATTTTTTATTATTAAATCTTATCTAATTTTAATAAATCTAAGTAGAATTTATTTAAATTTATAATTAAGAAAAATTATAAGTATAGTCATTTTGCAAATTTTTATGTCCATTCTCTTTCTGTTGTTTAATAATGATATTTTTCATTTTAATAACTCTCTCTTATTGTAGGTACAAATCTATCTGGATCTGGATCTTTCAATAAAGCAGAAATACATAAAAGTACTAATTATTATTATTATTTAATTACTTTAAGTTATTGTTATTGTTGGTGACCAATTATTATTATATAATATATCAATCTAAATATTTCCATCTTTATCAATATTTGGATGATAAATAGGAGTTATAAATTTTACTTTAGGTGGTTTAAATGGATAATTTTTTGAGAAATTAATTTATAATTGAAACATTCCATCTTCATATGGCGAATTCTTATGTCCAAAAATATATCCTTACCATATGAATAGATCTTTATCATCAATTGGACCACCTTAAATATTTATGAAGGGATCTTCAATAGAAAATCTTTGTAGTTATTCTAATTATGCTTAAATACATTTAAGTGCCATTTAATGAATTTGTTAAAACAATTAATAATTATCATACCCACTTATTAACTATAAAAATTCATTTTCAATTACATAGCAATATTAATATTATGATCAAAAAATATATAACAATTCTATTTTATATATCTCTTAATACTATTCATCTTATGTAGAATCTCATAAGCTTCTTAAAAATGTAATTCGTTAAATATGGAATCATGACATTCAGATCATAATTGAAATTCTAACCAAAGTCCAAATTCTTCTAAATATTGACATTAATTTTTAATAATTATGAAGAAATGTGATAATGATAGAATAGCATAATAAATATATGTTAGCTAGATGTTAAAGTTGTAAGGTAAAATTTTAGAAAAGAAATTGGCCAAAAATAGTTCTAAGAATTAAATAGAAACCTAATCTTAAAATATTTCTAATAATAATAGTCCTGTCGTTGGAAGATAAAAGTCATATGAGAATATATAAAAGGTTAATAAAACTTTTATTAATTAACCTCCTTCATAATAGAAATTGGGCAGTATTTTGAATGTAATTAGTGGTTCATAATAAATGCACAAATAATAAAAGTATTCCATCAACAATGAATTGATTGAAACAGTCAAAATATCAAATTAATTACGTAAAAATTAATCAATGATACATATTGATTAATAGTCTCCTGCTCTAACTAAAAATTATTCATTTCATCATTCAGTTAAAAATAAAATAAATAGCAACAGTGTATCAAGTGATTAATCTTAAATTCAAAAAGTTAAGGAAAAAATTAAGTTTTTATTATAAGAAAGAGATTAAAATTTACCTTAAGATGCAAAAGAATTGAGTTTTATGACAAAATTCAATTAAATTTTAAACTAATTAGTAATTACTTTATTTCAAGAACCAAATCTATAAAATTCATAACCATAATTAAATTTACCATCTTCAACTTAAGATACATTCTAAACAATTTAAATAGATCATTTTTTTAAGAGATAAATTTAAATATTATAGTAATCCTATTAGTTATAATAAGAAAAAAAGAAATTGGAAAATGCATTATTATAAGTAAAAAAGAAATGTGAAATTTTATTATAAGAAAATGAATAACTATAAGTCAATAAAATTTAATAAGATGAAAAAATAATATAAATGCAATAATAAATTGAAGATTTATTAAGTAACAAAGAAAACATTTAATTACAATCAGGTATTACTATATAAAAATTAATATAGAAACATAAGAATTGAAATATCTCATATAAGGATAATTTGAAGCAATATAGAAATTATTATAAAGAGAATAATTAATGAAAGTATTTTTAAAAAGAGTTGGTGATAGTTCAATTATAGAGTAAGAATAAATTGAATATATAAAATAGAATGTTTGAATAATTTATATCTAATGCTGAAAATATCAATCAAGATGATACAGATGGAAATTTAAATATTGATATGTTACCTTAACAAAAATAAAAAAGCTCATAAAAGAATATCTAATAAAAAGAATAATAGTAAATAACAGATAAGATTATTTAATAATATGAAAAAAGTTATAAATAATTAGATTTATGTGATTCTTTATTGGCTGATGATTCAAGTAAGAATTATTTACTAAAATTAAGGAGTTAATGATTCAGAAGAGAGTAGTTTTGGATATTTAGGAAAGGAATAAGCAACAGAAGTTAGTTGTTATTTTTCATAAGCATAGTATTATAAATTATTTTTAAATTGTTAGGCAATTTTAATAATAACCATATTTTTAGAAAGTAAAATCCAATATTAAAGATAAACTAAAAATCAATATGATGGATATACAATTGGCATAAGCAGCGTATTTAAATATATTTATTATATAAGATAACGATAAGAGTTTGTCAAATTAGAGAAAGAACAAGTTAATCATAAGATATTACCTGATGATATCAACAGTGAAGATGTACTTAAAATTCTTATTAATAGTTTTGATGTTTATTATTTTATATATATTTTTATACTTAGTAGATTATTTTTAAATATAATTGAATGATGTGTTATAATTTCATTTTTAATTCCAATTAGTTAAAGTAAGTTATGTATTGATTACTTAAGCTTGCGTTCCTTATAACATATGTTACAAAATCTCTTTAGTATATTTAAGTCTAATAATAAGTAAATACATATTACCTTTTTGTCATTTCATGATTTTATGATTCAAGAGCAGTGCTCAAAGGGAAATTCTGTTTTTCTCCTTTTTTGTTAATATAAGTGACAGATTTTGTATCAGAATTTAAAATGATAATAGTTTTATCAGTGAAATCTACTTAAACTACCTTATTAGATAATCTAAACATAACAGCATGTTTAGTTTTCATCCATTTCTTAACATAAACCATAGGAATTTTATTATCATCAGATTAATCAATAACTTCTTTATCTGTACTATCAGTATCAAGATATCCTCTGAAATGTTCAAGTAATGTTACTTTCTTTTATAAATCTTTTGGATAATCATTTAATGAATATGAATTAACTTCATATTATTAATTATCTGATTATTTTTCAATATATTCAAAATATGTTTATTTTGGATCTGCAATAATTTTACTTGAATCATTAAAATATACACCACTACTTCCATTATTTAATAAATAACCAAGTCCATATTTACTACTATAATCTACCCATTTTTTAACAAAAATTTCATTTCTTTAAATTTTTAATGTTCTCTAAAAAATTTATATAAATAATTACATTATTCATATTATTAGTTATTCCTGTAGGTAATGTTTTAGCAGATTATTAAGTGGCTCTCATGTCAACTAATTTTTAAGAGGATGCTCGAGAATCTTTCATAAAATTATTTTAAGTTTAAGCATCATTTAAAAGTGATACTCTATCTTAACTTATAACTTTCATTAATTATTAAGGTGCTGTATCAGCTAATCTTTTTTATTGAGATGAAGATGATTAAGTAGATTAATATTATGATAACCATGACATAGAAGGTGGACCAACTAATGTTGAAATATGAGCAGTTTTTGGAATTGAATTAGATGTCATAAATGGATGTTATAAGATTTAATCTAAAGTAGGTCTTTTGCTTGGATCTAAAACTAACATTTTAGTTATTAAATTTTTAGCATTATCTGAAATTACTACGTGATCAGGAAATGTATATTAACATGCTTTGATTTTTTTGTATGTTGTTTTGACATCTTAAGTTTCAAAGGGAGGTTTTCCTATTAGAAGAGTGTATATTATAACACCTAATGACCAGATGTCAACTTCATAAGAATGACCTATTTTGCCATCTAAAATTTCTGGAGCTATGTAATTTGGAGTACCACATATCGTTTTTTTCTTTTCTCCATCAAAATCTAGTTTAGTGGCCAATCCAAAATCACCCAATTTTAACTCCATTTTGTCATTTAAAAATAAGTTCCCCAATTTCAAATCTCTATGAATGATTTTATTTTAATGAAGATATTTAAGTGCATTGACCAATTGTAATATATAGCATTACACTTCTAATTATGTTATTCTTCTTCTTCTCTTAATTAACTCATTTAGTGTCTTTGATGATATCATCATATTTATACTTAATTCGTACATAATTCTAATATGATATAAACATTATCATGATCTTCAAATACATGGATAAATTAAACAATGTTAGTTTAATGTAACGATTTATGTATTTTGATTTCCGATATCAACTATAATCTATATATCACTAATATACTTTTTATCTTGCTCTGTTCCTAGTCAAAGTATTCTTTTAAATAATCTTGGCAGCCAATATTTTTTTTGTATCTATTTCAGTGATCTCATAACATCTAGCAAATCCACCCTTACCCAAGGTCTTCCCTCTTTGATATCTTTTAATTATCACATCTCCATTAGATTTTGAGATCTTTTCTTCAATTATTACATTCTCAACTGTTGCTTATTCTTCCATTTATATATATATATATATATAATTATTTATATTATTACATTATGATATAGATTTATTAATTATCATTATTCATCGAATTAGTTTTCCTTATTATTTATATCCCCTGAATTTAGAGCTTGAAAATCATTATTGAACATTTATTATTATTATTATTGAAAGTAATTAAAATTTAAGTGAAGTTGCTATTGAGGCATAAAATTAAAATTGAAACAACAAATATTCTTCTCATCCAATTATTAAGGTAATTATTATTGGAATAACATACATTGTTGAAAATACAACTGCTATTGTTCATTTAATTTTTCATCTTCCTTTAATTAATTATCGAATACAGGAACACAAGGAAAATAAGGAAACTAGAACATTTAATATTCCTATACATAAAAATTATAATTACCAAAGGTTATTGCTGAAATAATTAATGCTATATTTGTAAAGATTATAAGAATGCATTTTCATCATTCTTATTCATTTTATCTTTATTTTAATTTTCCTTTTTTCGTCTACCTGCTCCTTTTTACCTCTTTTTTATTTGATGAACAAAAGGATTAAATTTCTAATGGTGAGATCTAAAAATATTTTGTTAATTATAAACCTGCATTGAGATGGACTTCTTGTACCAATAGTTTCACTCATCAGCTTAAATATTTTACTTGTCTTTTTTTGATCTTGCGATTCCATCACAGATCTATGCATATTCAAAAAATCAATGTAAGTTTAATGTTCTGATTCACTCCAATGTCCTGTTTATTAACTGGGATTTGTAATTACTCTTTTTTTATTCTTTCTCTTCTATAAACCATCTTAATCTCCCTATATAATTTCCTCTTGTTTTGGCCAAAATTCACCTTAACTCATTTACATTTTAATTTTTAATAATATATATATAATAAAGAATATTTTATTTCTTTGTTTCCTTCTCTTATTATAATGTAATATAATAACTATGTCATTAAATAAATGTACATCTCCTTTATTAAATATTAGCTAATAAAAATTTATTAATTATTTATTATTAAAATGTAAACAGCACCTCCATTCTCACATAATCATACAAATCCATTATTAATGAAAGATGACGTAGGCAAGTCAAAACCCTCCACTTATAATCTTCCTAATCAAGATTTTGTTTATGGATAGCCTTTAGCAAGAGATAAAGAAGGAGCAAAAGAAGGTAATTAAATATTCTCACTCAGTGACCATGACATGGAAATTCCATTAAGAATCTCAAGACAGAGTACCTAATAGAGATTTTGCTGAATTAAACAAATAATCCATTCATAATGGATCTGTCAAAGCACATGTAACTGTACAATCTATTTAGGATATGTATAAATTTAGATAGACTAATGATGCAAGATTGAAACTTAAAAAAGGTACTAACATACAAGCCATAGAATTACCAGAAGAAGAATTTAGATATGGTCGTAAAAATAGGTTTATTTCAATTTATTAAAGTTAGACCCTCAACACCTATGAAATTGGTTATGGGTAATTCTTATGGAATTGAAGCTGAATCCTAAATTTTAGAAAAATATTAAGGTAGAGCAAGCTCATAAGTATCATATAAAAAATATATAAAGGATTCTAAACTTTCTTCATCATTGGTAAAAGGTAATAAAGCTTCTTAATTGTTTTATGATACCAATCATAAAAAATTAGCAGCAATCTAAGGAGTTGAGAAAAAAGAACCTTTTAAAATGGAAAAATTTAAAACAGTAAATCCAAAAATCAATACCAATTTATCAACTAAAAAATGATTATTCATTAAAGTAATCATTATAGTAGAACTTCTTATTTAATTAAAAATATTGTTATTCAAGATTTTTGGTTGTTATTATATAAAAATTAAATACTATATTAATGATTCATCTTTTATTTAATTATGTTTTTTTTAATATCTAAAACTTGTTTTTATTCAAAAATGAATAAAAATAAATTTTGATACAAAATTATTACATAACTAATTAAAACTTATTTTAATTTCTAATTTATTTAAAATATTTTTTAAGAAATAATATCCCAATGATTATGTACCCTTAAAAATTTAAATAAAATAGGAACATTTTATTATACAAAAAACTATATCTTAAGTGGCTAAAATATCTTAAGATTAAAAATTATAAGATATATATTACTTGAAATAATATTATTTAATAAATACAAAAGTTTAAGTCTTATTATAAATCTTTAATTTAATATTATTTTTTTTTGAATAAATTAAAATAAAATCAAGAAAACTTATTTAAGTTCTATAAATCTGGATATTTTTTTTTAAATGAATTGATCAGATCTTTTAATTTCACCTAACATTAATTAAAATCGAATAAATCTATTTCAGATATTTAAGTAATTCTATTAATCTATAATAATTTTAGATGATAAATACAAATTAATCTAATATTTACTCTTAATTTTCATAATCTTTTTAAATTACAAAATCACGTATAGAATAAAAGAATGAAGTAGCAGCTAAAGTATTAGCATGAAAGAAATTAATAGAATAATCATGAAGACACATTTTTAAAATAAAGATACTGGCTTCTAATATGTTCTATAAATTAGGACTAGAATATAAATATTTATTATTACTCATCATTTAAACTGAAACATTGATAAAATAAATGATAAAGTCTATCTAGAATAGTAGGAAATGTAATCTCATAATTCAATGTTTCCAATATGATTTTCTCCATATCTTTAACTTTTAGTCTAATTTTGATTACTAAATAATTACATTGAATATTTATTATGACCAACCCTTTAAACAAAATCTTCCAAAGGAATGTGATAGATATCTTCTAATTTTGTTGCTATAAACATGCTACTTATTCCTATTAGATGTAAATGTTAATCTGAATATTATGTGTTGGATTTCAATAGGAAATAGTCCATAATAGATACAGATCTAAAGAAAGTAGAATTAGTAGTAGTATCAATATAATTTCCTAATACTTCAATCATCCAATCAACCATTCTACTTCTTAGATTCTAGGATATCTTTTAATTTTGCAAACTATTTCCTAGATGTACATTTTCATTTTTAAGTGAATATTAAAATTCCTAATAATAATGTTTATGATATTGCCATTGCCTTCTTAATTAAGAATTATTTGGATCATCTGTAATGGCCACTAAAAAATATTTAAACATGAATATACATTTCTATTAGACATCTTCTAAAGAGAAAGAAATCAACTTTAAATTAAAAATAGACTTTTATTAGAGTTCTTCAATTTCAATGATGAAATTTAATAATTTTCCTTCTTCAGGATATTAGTATTATTAATCAAGTGATTAATGACTAGTATTAAGAGAGGAAAATTATTATGACTTATGGTCCTTCTTAATTTTCAAATTAGGAGATGGGGCTCTTTAGTTTCTTGAAAACTATGCTTCTTAAATCATAAAAATAAGATGATGAAAAGTCATGAATTGATTTTATAGAGTATATTTTTTAAAGATTTTAGTCTGAATTCTCTTTTTTCAGTCTAAATTTATAGAATAATAATATTAATTTATTTTAATATTTTAATATGTGAATCATTTGTAATTAAGTGCAATATATTTGATTGCAGCCTTCATCATGTCTGTTTGAAGTTTAGCATATTGATTTGTAACTGAGGTAGGAACATCTCCTCTTGGATCGAAACATTAGATAGTCACAATCTTGGTCATTTGATTTGGTTATGGAATTATAATCCATCCACTTAAATGCATTTCTGCCCTTTCAACTTTATTGATAGGAGGAGTTTTTTAATGAATAATTGATTTAGCTAATATTATTTTAATATTAGATACAGCAAACAATGTAAATTCCATCATTCTATTTATAAACCTTCTGAACCATAACTAGATCTCTGCTGTTCATAAATGGGATAGGAGGTTTAATTCTTACATAAATAATTCTTGTATTAGCATCAATTTATTCAATAACATGAGCCTAAGAATATTAGATCAAAAATTTTACAGTTTCTACTCTTTCATCATATAAAGGCCTTTTATTTACATCAGCAACCAAATCTAAAATCTACTCTGGTGTTCTGGCAATTTCAGTTTGTGATCTATTCATATTGATTCCATTTTCTGGATTCTTCTTGGTATAAACGACATATCCTTCCTTATTTTAAAATAATTCCCACATGTTTTGTTCATTTATTTCTTACCATTTCATCATTTTGTTTTTAGCTTCTACTCAATTAGAAAAAAAAAGTTACCATCGATGATTGCTTCGTAATTTACTTACATATTTAATTTTTAATATATAATATATATATTTAAATTATTAATTCATCATTATAAAATCAAAATCTTTGATTATTCCAAAAATACACAATAGAATTCTAATAAATTATTATAAGTCGATATTTAATATTTCATTAAATGTTATTTATTATGAATTTACTTAAAAATATACATTATCCTCCTATAAATTCAAATATGATTAGCATTAAAAATATAGATTCAATATATTTAAGAATTCATAAAAATTAACTTTTACAATTTAATTGCCTATATTGCTATCATACTCTTCAAAATATGTGTTTGAATATTCTACTATGTATTTTTGCCTGTATTTTAGAACTAATTTAACATACAATATGACAGTATAATTAAATTATTAATATATTTGAATGTATACAGAAGAAATTAAAAGTACCAAAAGTATTTATTTTCTTAGTTGCTCTTTTTGGAAATACATTTGTAGGAAAGACTCATTTATTTACTAAGTCATTAAATAGAATATAATTTTAGACTTGATTGGGAAAGGTTGCCGAAGGTGATCCATTCAAATATAGGAGTAGAATTTGGAAAAAAGAATGTTAATTCTAAAATAACTAAATAATCAATTTAAAGTTTTGGGATACTTACTGTAGGATAAGAAAGATACAAATAAATAAGTTTGAAGTATTCTTATTTATTATAGCAATTAGTCATATTAAAAAAGGATAAGGGATTTATTTAGTTTATGGTTATTACATGAAAGGAGACCTTTAATAATTTAAAATTTTAGATAAATGATGTAAGATAATGAACATTCCTAATTTTTGTTATAAAGTTTATTGGTAATAAATTTGAAAAGGTGGCTAATGATGATAAACTAAAAGATGTCTCAATAGAATAAGCATAAAAATTTGCTGAAATTCATAAATTGATATATATGGAAGTTAGTGCATACTCAAAAGAAGATATTAAAAAAATTTTTGATAACTATTGTTTAAGGTTTTATTTAATTAATATCTAGAATTCTTAAGGATAATTAATTTTGTTACAAATTATATAAATATATATTTAGTTAATTCTTGAATATAGTATGAATATTTTAATTTGATTGAATTCATTTTTATTACGATTATAAATTTTATAAAGCATAATAGAATTACAACATTTTATATATTAAACTTTTTCCCTTTATTTAATATTCATAAATAACAATCAATGAAAAATTCCATCCCAAGAGATATTTTAATTAAAGAAATGGAAGAGCTTATAAATAAATTATTAGAAATATTAAGGGAAAAAAATGATTAAGATAAGCCAATTTTCAATAACAATGATTATCATGGTCATTAGAGAAGTTCATAATCAACAGTAGAATAAACAACCACTTTAAGAGCTGAGTTAGAATAATTCAAATAAGAATTTGAAAAGGCTAAATTCAGCTTACTTCTAGTACCACTTGAAAAGAAAGAGTTTTAGGAATATTTATAAAAACAATCAGAACTTCCAAAAAGTAAAGTTTCAGCTTCATATGTGAATAGTTTTATCAATTTTAATAATTCAGATATTGATCGACAAAAAGCTGAAGATATTAAATAATAATTATATAATTTTGTTCAAAACTAATAANCAGAAGAAATTAAAAGTACCAAAAGTATTTATTTTCTTAGTTGCTCTTTTTGGAAATACATTTGTAGGAAAGACTCATTTATTTACTAAGTCATTAAATAGAATATAATTTTAGACTTGATTGGGAAAGGTTGCCGAAGGTGATCCATTCAAATATAGGAGTAGAATTTGGAAAAAAGAATGTTAATTCTAAAATAACTAAATAATCAATTTAAAGTTTTGGGATACTTACTGTAGGATAAGAAAGATACAAATAAATAAGTTTGAAGTATTCTTATTTATTATAGCAATTAGTCATATTAAAAAAGGATAAGGGATTTATTTAGTTTATGGTTATTACATGAAAGGAGACCTTTAATAATTTAAAATTTTAGATAAATGATGTAAGATAATGAACATTCCTAATTTTTGTTATAAAGTTTATTGGTAATAAATTTGAAAAGGTGGCTAATGATGATAAACTAAAAGATGTCTCAATAGAATAAGCATAAAAATTTGCTGAAATTCATAAATTGATATATATGGAAGTTAGTGCATACTCAAAAGAAGATATTAAAAAAATTTTTGATAACTATTGTTTAAGGTTTTATTTAATTAATATCTAGAATTCTTAAGGATAATTAATTTTGTTACAAATTATATAAATATATATTTAGTTAATTCTTGAATATAGTATGAATATTTTAATTTGATTGAATTCATTTTTATTACGATTATAAATTTTATAAAGCATAATAGAATTACAACATTTTATATATTAAACTTTTTCCCTTTATTTAATATTCATAAATAACAATCAATGAAAAATTCCATCCCAAGAGATATTTTAATTAAAGAAATGGAAGAGCTTATAAATAAATTATTAGAAATATTAAGGGAAAAAAATGATTAAGATAAGCCAATTTTCAATAACAATGATTATCATGGTCATTAGAGAAGTTCATAATCAACAGTAGAATAAACAACCACTTTAAGAGCTGAGTTAGAATAATTCAAATAAGAATTTGAAAAGGCTAAATTCAGCTTACTTCTAGTACCACTTGAAAAGAAAGAGTTTTAGGAATATTTATAAAAACAATCAGAACTTCCAAAAAGTAAAGTTTCAGCTTCATATGTGAATAGTTTTATCAATTTTAATAATTCAGATATTGATCGACAAAAAGCTGAAGATATTAAATAATAATTATATAATTTTGTTCAAAACTAATAATAAAATAATTAACTCACTTGTGAAACACATAAAAAAAGAATTGAATTTTTAAACTTATCAAATGATCCAAATATTTAAAATAGAACATTATGTTCGAGTTGTCCTAAGGGTGGAATAAAATTGTCAGAATTCTTAGAATAATATTTAATAAATTTCTTTGAATTTAAAACAAATTCAGAAAAAAAAGGATCTATTATAAATAAATAAATATAAGATCTATCTAATTTACTTCTTTAAAAAAAAAACATCAATCAATTATACTCTGATTTAAATATATCATTATAATCAAGAATAGAAATTATTGATAGAATTGCTGGATCTTAATTAAATAATTTTAATTATTTAAATCATATGGCTCAAGATTATGTAAAGACTTAAGCTATTTTTCTTAAATGGAAATAAGAATTTGATGAGAAATTATAAGCAAAACTAAAAGAAGACTTTGAAGATGTATAAGTTCAAATATAAAGTAATATTCAAAATAGGGAAGATGAAAAACTTAAAATTTCATAATCAATTCAAAATCAATAATACAAATTATTAAATACAATATAATAACCTTAAATATGCTAAGTCTTAACCTTTAATAGAAATGATGAATTGATAGCAACAGCAAAAAATAATGTAATAGTTATATGGAGTTTTTATAAAGGCTAAATGAAATATATTACAGAGTTAAAGGGACATTAAAAAGAAATAAGTTGTCTATTATTTGATTAGAATACAGAAGTATTAATTTCTGCTGGTGGAGATGGTGATGGCCTTTTAAACCTTTGGAAATATCTAGGAAATAATTAATGGATGTTGTAAAATAAAATTGAAAATACTGTAGGCATTAAAGTAATAGTTTTTGATTCAAACAAAAAATATTTAATTGTTGGATGTTAAAAAGGCAAAATTAAAATATTTCAATATTATCCAGAAATACCCTTCATTGAATTTGAATAAGAAATAGAATTGGATTCAAAATAAGCAATTTTTGGACTTACCCTTAATAATTCTAAAACAACAATAGTGTCNTTAGAATAATTCAAATAAGAATTTGAAAAGGCTAAATTCAGCTTACTTCTAGTACCACTTGAAAAGAAAGAGTTTTAGGAATATTTATAAAAACAATCAGAACTTCCAAAAAGTAAAGTTTCAGCTTCATATGTGAATAGTTTTATCAATTTTAATAATTCAGATATTGATCGACAAAAAGCTGAAGATATTAAATAATAATTATATAATTTTGTTCAAAACTAATAATAAAATAATTAACTCACTTGTGAAACACATAAAAAAAGAATTGAATTTTTAAACTTATCAAATGATCCAAATATTTAAAATAGAACATTATGTTCGAGTTGTCCTAAGGGTGGAATAAAATTGTCAGAATTCTTAGAATAATATTTAATAAATTTCTTTGAATTTAAAACAAATTCAGAAAAAAAAGGATCTATTATAAATAAATAAATATAAGATCTATCTAATTTACTTCTTTAAAAAAAAAACATCAATCAATTATACTCTGATTTAAATATATCATTATAATCAAGAATAGAAATTATTGATAGAATTGCTGGATCTTAATTAAATAATTTTAATTATTTAAATCATATGGCTCAAGATTATGTAAAGACTTAAGCTATTTTTCTTAAATGGAAATAAGAATTTGATGAGAAATTATAAGCAAAACTAAAAGAAGACTTTGAAGATGTATAAGTTCAAATATAAAGTAATATTCAAAATAGGGAAGATGAAAAACTTAAAATTTCATAATCAATTCAAAATCAATAATACAAATTATTAAATACAATATAATAACCTTAAATATGCTAAGTCTTAACCTTTAATAGAAATGATGAATTGATAGCAACAGCAAAAAATAATGTAATAGTTATATGGAGTTTTTATAAAGGCTAAATGAAATATATTACAGAGTTAAAGGGACATTAAAAAGAAATAAGTTGTCTATTATTTGATTAGAATACAGAAGTATTAATTTCTGCTGGTGGAGATGGTGATGGCCTTTTAAACCTTTGGAAATATCTAGGAAATAATTAATGGATGTTGTAAAATAAAATTGAAAATACTGTAGGCATTAAAGTAATAGTTTTTGATTCAAACAAAAAATATTTAATTGTTGGATGTTAAAAAGGCAAAATTAAAATATTTCAATATTATCCAGAAATACCCTTCATTGAATTTGAATAAGAAATAGAATTGGATTCAAAATAAGCAATTTTTGGACTTACCCTTAATAATTCTAAAACAACAATAGTGTCATGCGGAGCGGATATGGTATTAAGAATACATTTATTGGATTCAAAATTTAAATGTATCAATTAAAGAGGTTGTGATTCTGCAGGAATAAGGGTATAATTTATTGATGAATAATCCTTTGTATTAGTTCAAAAGAATGGGTGGTTGATTTATTATTAAATTGAATGGTAAACAATTAAGGAAATATAAAAAATTTCATTATCTTCAGAAAATCGTGATTATATTTACTCCCCTATATATTATAATTCAGTGAAAAGGCTCTTAATTGTTAAACATTACAGAACAATACATTTTTTACGAAGATTGAACAATGGAACTTTTGAAAAGATAACTTACTTAAAATATCAATCGAATATTCTATATGCCACCATATCGAATGATGGAAATTACTTAGTCACTTGGATTGATTAAGAAAAAGAGTAAAAGATAGAAGACTAAAGAATTCTACAATATCAAATATATGGGTTATAATTTTGATAATTTATATTTTTAATATTTATTAAAATATTATATATATTCATGATAAAAGATTTAGAGTTTCTTATAGATTTCTCAAAAACACATGTCAGCTTCTTGTTACAAATTTATTACAATGAAAAAATAAATTTTTAATTTAATTTAGCTTTGCCATTTTTTTTAAATTTGTCACCTTAACTTATTATTATCTGCCTTACCAATGCTTAAAAAATTAATAAGTTTTCATTTTCTGAAATAACTTGAGAAATTGAAAAGCTATTTCCCACAATTGTTTTCAAAAGGATTTATTCAAATAATCATTTGTTAACAAATTTCAATAAAATGATGTTTATAAAAAGAATTCAATTAAGTGTTAAGAAGTATTAAGTTCTTTTAATTGTACTAAAAAAAAAGATTAATTTTTATTTTTCAAATTAATATTGTTTGTTTAATGAAGGATAGAGCATTTAATAAGTTGTTAATCATAAAGTTCATGTAATTTTTAATTGGTAATTGAATTACTCAAAAATCCATTGAAATAGGGATATACTCTGATTTATTTGTATTTCTTCAATTTAACTAAACCCATTGATTTTTTCGAAATCCTCAAGTAAGAATTTTCATAAGATGTTTCTGTAAATAATTTTCAATTCTTAATAAAACTCCAGAAGAATATTTTAATTTTTTGTATATATATTTTAATTTCAAGATCGACTCATTGGTTTACTTTTTTTGAAATTTCAAATGTGAATTTCATTTTATAAGATTTATTTAGGAACAAATGGCTTTATCGACTAAATTTGCACTTATATCTTACATTAAGGAACATTAGGTATACTATATTAAAATCACCAGCTCTTAAAAATTTTGCTTACAATTCTTGTTCTAACATTAGTAATTTTATCATGTATATTCTTATAATATGTGAAACTAATGAGTATTAAATTATTTTCCTGTTGTTTATGTTTTACAGAATTTCTTAGTCCTCTATTTATTTTTTTCAAACTAGATTATATAGTAGATCTCATTATACTTCAAACAAAGATAGATATAGCATAAAGTTGTTTTACTTATTGATTTCTTAAGCACTTAACATTCTATTTTTCGAAAGAAGTTGAGTAAATTTTAGAAAAGCTGGAAAATCTTATATAATGAGAAATAGATTTCCTAAAAAAAAAAAAACAATATCAAATTCTATTGATTAATCGAAATAAAATCATGAGAAAAAAATAAATTTAAAATTTATCATTATGAATACTTTCTTATTTATTAAGCTGCGTTTAATGCATCTTTGGATGACTTTTATCAAAAATTTATTTTATTCCTTTAACTTTTAAGTTAATTTATGGTTTTATTTGATAATCTTTTGAATTTTAGATTTATTTTAAACCCTAATCTATGAAACGGATAAACTTGCTTAAGGAGTATAAATCAAAACAAAATGACTAAAAAAGAAATGAACACCTCCTATCTTATAATCATCCTAAAGCCCAAAAAGAAATTCTAGACTAAACTGGATTTCTTTAGAACTAGACATCTATAAATCATGAGTGCGAAAAACAATCTTACTCACTATTTGATCTTCAAATTGCCAGAGAATTAAATTAAATTGGTATGAAATCCATTAATGATTGCGATTAGGTCTAAATCTTTACTTTTAGAATTGCTTATTAAAACTTAATAATCTTCTTTCTATAAAGCAATCAACATAAAAGGAATACGGGATTATCTTAAAAAGGTTTTATAATATTCTTTTTATCCATTAAACAAATTCAATTTTAGATTAAATTATAATAAATTATCTTTAGAATGAAAAGTATTGACATGATAGTATTTCAGCACTTAGACTTTTAGCAAAATAAGCTGGTATTTATTATTAAATTAATAAGGCCATTAAATATCACTTTAGGTTTAAAATACTATTCAGATTGAAAAATAAATTAATTAAAAAAGAATCAAAAAAAAGTTCAATTTGATTTGCTTTGTTGTATATGGTTTCTAGTATACAATTTGACTCTTCTTTTGCTTTTACTTTTTGAGTTGGATTTAGAACTAAGTTGTATTTCAACCCTTACATTTCAGGATGTATTATCAGATAAAATCGAAATAAACAAAGAGAAGTTTGATAAATTAAGAATAAAAACTGTGCTTATTAGGAAATCATTATAATAGGTGGCAAAAATTAAATTAAAAATTTTAGGACTACCTTAAGTTCAACTATTTTTCCTTTAATTAGAAATTATAGAGGCATACACAGTCTATTAGAAAAATTTAAAAAAGAATATAAGTTTTGACTTGAGGAATATAATGAGGAGACCAAATAATTTATATAGAATTTTCATCTTTCAGCTATAAAATTAATAAAGAAATCGATCTTCTCTTCAAAATAAATATAGTCATCTTTGGAAAGCTAAGTAGCAAATCAGAAAAATAGCAACAAAGAATCTGATGCAGCAAAGCAAAAAAAAAGTTACATAATATTCATCCTTATCATAGTACAATAAATAAAATATTAAGATGAAGATTTAGATTTCACTTTTTAACTTAATTATTTTTAATAAAATTTTTCGAAAATATAAAGTTCGAAAACCAAATATGCATCTTTACTGATTTAAATTTAGTTATTTTTTAATTTATCAAGTGATCCAAAAGCTTTAAATATGTTCAAACTAGTTTTTTCTAACAAACAATAAAATTAAAATCAATTAGTTGTTTATTTTATAGTTTTACTTGTTAAAGATATTGTTAATTTAATAGATTCAATGTTCTTTTTTTTTTTTGACTAGTTTTGAAAATATATATAAAATTATTGGGAATATACGTAAATTTATAAATCAAATTCAAAAAAAAGTAATCTCAGAAATGCAATTCTGATCTGATTTTTATTGTAATAATATTTTTAAATATTGATATTAAATTAACTTTTCTTAAGCTATTTTTCAAATAAATTTTATTATTTATTTTTATTATTTAAATAGCTCTTTGTATCATAATTTATTTGATAGCCTATTCTTTAAATTTAATTTTAACATTTTGCTTTATCAAACATTTTTTTAGAATAAATTATATCATTGTTATTGTTTCCTGTTTATAAAGGAAATTATATAGTAGGCTATCAATTTTAGAAGTACAAAGATATAAATTTACAATGGATTTACTGATTTATTTTATTAACTTATCATTTTATATAAATTTATTATTTAATGTCATATATATATAATTGAATAAAATTTTGTATAATATGATTGAAAAAAATAAGAGGAACAGGTTAAATCATTGATTAAAATATAAAATCAATAATATTTCTTATATTGTGACATTTATAGGTGATTAAAAATATATAAAACAGAAAAAGCTAAGACTCAGAAATCCTCAGAAATTCATTACATAAAAAGAACATTTAAATTTTTTTTAAATATTAATTAAAATGATCACTAATACATTGTTTAAACCAAAACTAGAATCAAAATACTTTAATGTTAGCAACAAGGTAAGGCAAACATGCTGTTTTTGCCCACAAAGTTTAATCATCTGTTATGATTTAATAAGAAAAATTCCTATACCATTAAAAGGAGTTCAATATTTTTTAAAAGTTTAACCTGGTTTTGTAATAGTTGAATTAAAATAAACCTATTCGACTACAGGTTATAACTAACCAATAGAATTAGAATACTTATTTTCGATTAATAATAATGCAGCAGTGACTAAAATGATTGTTGAATTAGGAGATACAAAAGTTTATGGGATTGTTAAGGAAAAAGAGGAAGCTAAATAGTAGTATGAAGATGGAATAAATTAGGGAAAAACAATGGCATATAGTGAATAAGATGAGGAATTCCCTGAAATTAAAAGAGTTAAAATTGGAGCCCTTGCTCCAGACAAATAATTAAATATCACTTTTGAATACATATAATCTTTGGATATTGTTTTGAATAAATTATGGAAGGTAGAAGTTTAACCAATGATTGATAACAACTATTTCAGCCTTAATCAACAAAACTAGAGAGTTTATAATAATTATTTTGAAAGACTCAACAGATATCTTGAGAAATTTGTTAAAATTGATTAGTTTGAATACAACTTTAAGCAAGATATTACAGTATCAATAGATATGGGGTCTCCAATCACATATTACAAATGTCCAACCCATAAAATTTTAAGTGGAAATGCTAAAAATGAATAAACAAAGCAAGAGATTGGTGAGGAAAAATTAAAGAAATTACATCTTATGTTGGAGGATACACCATCCAATTTTATTCCAACAAAATAATTTACACTTCTATTTTCAAGTGATGATATAAATCTCCCTCGTTCAATCTTAAGTCATACTAATAACGATGCTTTAAACACTTAAAAATATTGCGCTACATTGACTTTTATTCCAAAATTTAATTAAACAACTTTAGATGATGCATATTCACAATATTTGGATGGATTAAATATTGCAGGAAATTAAGTAATTAATAGAGGAAATTACTTATTTTTTATTGATAGAAGTGGATCGATGTCTAATGTTAGAATCACAAGAGCAAAATAATCTTTAATTTTGTTTTTGAAAAGTCTACCTGAGGATTGCAGATTTAACATTATATCGTTTGGAACACAGTTTATATCTTTATGGTCGGATTCTAAGGAATATTCTCAAAGTACATTGGAGGAAGCCATAAGCCATGTGAATAGTATGGAGGCTGATATGGGGGGTACTGAGATATTTAAACCATTATAAGATATCGTCTATAATGAATAATACGGCAAGTCAAAAACAACTACATTAAATATCTTCTTGCTTACAGATGGAGAAGTTAATTCTGCTCCTATAATTGATTTGGTAAAAAGAAACAATTAAGCAGAAACTAGAGTTTATACTTTAGGGATTGGAGATGGATGTAGTCAATATTTAATTAAGTAGTTGGCTGAAGTTGGAAATGGAAAATATTAGTTTGTATCAGATGATGAAGATTTAAATGCAAAAGTTATTGATTTATTAGAAGATTCATTGACTCCTTATTTACAAGGATTTAATCTTGAATCTAATATTACTTGTATTAATTAAATAGTTCCTAATCCTGAATCTGTTGTTTGTTTGAAGAAGAACTAAGAATTAACAATTTAGGTTTTATTTTCAGTTGAACAAGAGAATGAAAATTTATAATTAACTTTAAGTTGCTTCGATCCATAAGAATAAAAACCAATTAAATATTCTGTTTCATTAAATTTAAAAAATTCTTAAGAAAATGAATATTTTCATAAGTTAGCGTCGCATAAATTTATTTCATATTATGAGAATAGTGTGAAATATGGAGATAACCATTTAAATTTTATCAAAATCAATAAGGATACAATAGATGATCAAGATATAATTAATACATCTATAACACATCAAATATTGAGTTCTAAAACAGCATTTGTATGTGAAGTCTGTGATTTAGAAGATCAATTCAAATAGCAGATGAAGTAAAAAGTTTATATTCCTTAAATTTAAATTATAAGGTATGAAGAATATTTTAGATATTTTGGCTTGTAGCCAGTTGGTTGTTGCCTACAAAAAAAAGTGCCTAAAACTAAAAACAGTGAAAAAAGTATTCAAAGAAAATCAAGTCGAATATAATAATAAAAGATCACAAAAGAAAAGAGAATGCAAAAATAGATATAGGAAGATATTGATTTTGAAGATGAATTGGAAAAACGTTAATAATTGTAGACTTAAATTAAAAAGATTGAGTATGAATAATTAGTTTCTTATTCACAATCTGATGGTAGCTTCTTATATGATGGATAAATAGAAAAGTAAATAAATATTGAAGGACGGAAGAATTAGCAAAGCTATCCATAGAATGTCTGGCTTACTTTACTTGCTTTGCTATATTTAGATTAATTTTGTTTGCAATATAGAAAGTCATGGCGATTAGTATACTAAAAGGGAATCTAATTCCTATAAAAGAACGGAGTTTCTTATAAGTAATAAAAGGAAACAGTACTAAATAAGCAAAATATTTGATTTTATATGTGTGTCTAAAATACCAATAATATTTATTAATTTATTTAATGAATTTAAAATTAATGCTCTAATGGCGTCTAGATTGATCAGTGCTTCTAGGCATATCATTTAATGCAATACCCATAATTACATTTATATACTAATTTGTTGAGCATTGGTTTTACGAAGCCTATATTGCTTGACACTTCAATATTGACAATCAGCACTTTTAAATAAAAGCCTGCCAAACTTAAAAAAGCTAAAAGAAAAGAAAGAAGAAAGAAAATCAATCGGATGAATAAAGCGAATAGAGTAAGACGTAATTATTGATTATTTATTAAACACATATAAATATTATTTTATAATGAATGTAGAATGGTTATGTATACTTAAATCTATATATAAATTTATCAAATTTCTAGACACTTTTCAAAAACATATATACTATCCAAGATATGTCTGAAATCTTTATTTTTAACAGCACAAGCTTAATGAAAAATTTCACAAGTAAGTGATAGATTATTCAAATCATTGCCTTAGAGTGTTAAGACTTCTAAAAATTGTATATGATTAATTGATGGTTAATATAATCATTTTAATATAGTTAATATATAAAAATATAAAGTATCAAAAATGATAATTAATTTAATCATTTGTTAACATTACATTTATCAAAATATAAATTATAAAAATTAATAGTTAATTTAATCATTTGATAACATTTAATTTATAATAATAAAAATTATCAGAATTTA